ACGTTGACCTTGGTCATAAGCGTTCTGTCCATGTGCATTGCAGTCGTGAGAAGTGGTTCCAATTGTGCCCGCTTTTCTGGGATGGACGGGAGAGACCGTTGGAGAGCTCGGATCGGATGGCTTTTGACGCAAAACTTTAGCTTTTGATTTCTTTTGGAAAAGCGATGAGTTGAGTCTTGTATAAATTGGTGATATGTAAATATGTGCTATGGAATGCTTTCTCATGCTACTGTGTCATTTTGGTATATGTTTTGGTCCATTGTTGTAAAATTGAAAGGATGTTGTAGGCATTATGCCAGTGTACTAAATCTATGGTGACAATAACCAGGCGCAACAGCAAGGATCTACACTGCAGTTCGGCAAAACGAGATAGGGAAAAATCGACTGATAATCGGTTAGAGAGTTGAACCCCTCACGAATATTGGCGGAAAGATCCGATTATATTCTAGCCGGATACGCCAAGGTAGGAAGTATCGTCTCGCCCAGGAACTAGTCGATCGTTAAGCGGGAGTCAGAATTTTTCGTTATACAAATCCCTAGAATCCCGTTACACTCGGCTTTTGTCATTCGAAAAAGGCAGCTAGCTTCCAGTGCAAATATTGTAAATCAGTTACTGTTTTGGATAGGGCTGGAGACAACACCTTGCTTACCAACGGGTATAAGGTGGGCCAAGGGTCAATGTCGATGATCGAGCATCGATACCAGAGTAAAGTTACCCTGCTATAGTAGGAATTACGAGCGGAAGCGAACTAATTCCCGATCGCTTGCGAGAGAAAAGAAAAAATAAAAAACGAGATGAAAAACCTAAAACGAAAGCGAAGGTTACACCCGCCAAGACCACCAATCGGAACATTGACGCAGCCTATCAATCTAATCAGATAATTTAATTTTATCAGATAAGCTAATACCAATGGAGCATCGACGTCCGACTCGATGAAACAGATTTCTCTCGCCGAGCCTCTAGACTGCTCTAGTAAAAACGCTTGACCCCAGTTACCCACATACCTTCATTCCGGTTTTTATTCCCTCATCGAGTCAATGATTGACGAGCGGGACTTTCCGACCACAATTGCATTTTCCCGCATCCTGTTTCGGTTCGGTATGGTGGGTATTGGGGGTAGAACTTATCTGATCCGTGATTTAGTCGGAGGAATTCGTTGTGGACCGGGTTTTTATTCTTGGGTTACTTTTGTGACTGGGGTTGTTGCCTGTTGTGGTGGGCTAGTTTGATCTTATAAAATTCGCTCACCTCATTATTAGGTAAGGAGTCTATGTACCGAAGGAGAGACCGTGGTAGGGGATATTACTGAGCCCTAATGAAGGAATCGTTAGTATGAGACTAGCGATGTTACTGTTTGCCAAGTCGTTGGTGGGTTTCAAAAATTACCAAGCTTACCGCGTATCTTGAAGTACTTAATAGTACATACAGTACGGTAAAATACATTATCACCACGTCGTGTTTCTTTGCTTCGTCCCCACCCTCGCAAAACCAGACTCATGTAGGTGTGCTAGCTTTTCAAAGTGAATGCGCCCAGACTTCGAGATTTAGAAGCCCAGGAATCACGAGTGGCTGCTACAAGCTTTGGCTATGATCTTGGCTCGCTTGTTCTTTATGACAATTGGAGGAGTTTTAGTATCATGAAATATTCACGCAAACCTGTCGTGACTCGTCTATGTTACTGCTTGGCTTGAACAAGGCTACAACTTTTAATATGCAGGTTTGAGTTTTCAATGTGGCACTAGACCGGAGCACAATGGATCTTCATGCACGTTCCCTACATTGAATGCCATGTGCAGCTTCCTGGTGGGGGGATGGAGCGAATCATCAACTTCCTAGGTGGGGTTAATGCAAATATATTTTCACATTGCCTCTATCCGGTACATAGTAAGTTCGGTGCCCAACGACCTCAGTAAGTACTTAAACCAGTAGAATATGTAATGTCGCTCCAAGTTGTATCTTTGCATTAAGATGGAAACATAGGCTAACAGTCTGGCGACCCGTCAGCTTTCCCGATGCACAATAATGAGGGGTAATTCATGCAGGATGCGAATATATGGGTGATCCAGTTTCGTTGACGAGTCGGAACCTGCCGCTGATAACATACATCGAGTTGGGATCCATAAAATCCATTCTAGACTGGTGTGCATGTAGGTTGCATATACGAATGATTGAGCACATGTTTCCACTCATGGTATTATTGTCTGCTATCTACAACCCGGGTCCTGGCAGTCGGCAGCAAAACAACGTGTCAGTCCTGCGGAAGAAATACTCCTCTTTCAAGTGGCGAATTCGATATTTGTTCGACAATGCCAAGCAGCGTCGCAAAAGCCGAGCTCATTGTTGCTATGGACTTTAGGTCTATAGCCCGAATTGGGATTTTGACCGAAGGGTGATCTAATCAGATCCCGACTTCCACCAGAATATCTAATCTGATCTAGTTTCTTCGCGTACCTGTGCTCCGTACAGTATCCGGTCCTCAATTTCAGTATTTGGTGAAAGTTTGTGCTCCACTTGAGGGTTACTAGTGCATAATATTCTCCGAAATACATCTTACAGTATGTAATAAATCGATTACGTCTGTGATACCAGATAATATGCCAAGGTTATTTGTCTTTTCTCTTTTCATTCACAAACCTGGACCTCGTGTCCGGAGTCTGCTACGCTGGGTCAATGGGTCGCTTCGGTTCCGATAATTATCCTCGCAGCCCGTACCAAACCACTCACAGGTGGGTCCGTCGTTTCCAGTCGAACCACCCTCATCATGAAGATATCCACCGCATCCCAACGCCGACGAAAAACGCCAAAGGCACATGAATCCGATCTCGGCAATTCTACTCTCCTGCAGAAAACGGACTGTTGCAACGAACTTCTTGACTGAATCCTAGTTCTCGAAAGCCACAAACACACGAACTACTACTCGCTAGTTTGACAAGAGTTCGATCAGCCAAGCAAAAACGTGACATCGAGATCTCGTGTATCTAGTTAGCTGTTCAAGATGTACTCCAAATTCTGGCCAAAGGGCGGTCTTCCCGGTATCCTGCATCATTATGTGAGCTTCCCCCTCGCCGAACACATATATTGAATATAACTGACTTGATGATGATGAATGCCAGACCGAAACCCTCGTCACATTCGAATACACAACCTCCACCGTCAGAAAACCACACAGTCTCCTCTTCGTTGGCGGTCTAGGCGATGGCCTCGCAACAACCTCGTATATGGCAGACCTCGCACATGCCCTTCAACCCACAGAATGGTCTCTCTTCACCCTGAACCTCACGTCCTCCTACCAATCATGGGGTCTCGGCCATCTGGACCGCGACACGAACGAAATAGCCCAATGTCTAAACTACATTAAAGACTACAAGACCGAGAAATTCGGCAACGGAAAGATCGTCCTCATGGGCCATTCGACGGGTAGTCAGTGCGTGGTGCACTACCTCTCCCGGCCCAACCCGCATATCACTACTCCCGCGTTCGACCCGACGCTGGAGCATATTAAGCGCATGGCCCTTGACGGTGCGATTATGCAGGCTCCTGTCTCTGATCGGGAGGCGATCAAGTGGGTGCTTAAATGGGGTATTGGGGGCAAGTCGCCCAGCGAGGTCCGGGAGATTTATGACAAGGTTGTGGCTCTGGCCAGAGAGGGTGCTGCGAAAGATAAGGATAGCGGATTTGATACTTTGCTACCTATTAACTTGACCGGCACCATGGGGTATCCGCCCAACACGCCCCTTAGCTGTCGGAGACTTTTGAGTCTTGTTAGTCCTGATAGTCCCGATTCTCCTGGGGAGGATGATATGTTTAGTTCGGATCTGAGTGAGGAGCAGTTGGCGAAGACCTTTGGGATGATTAAGCAGGGAGGACTGCTAAAGCACAAGCTTATGGTTTTGTTCTCAGGGGCGGATCAGTCGGTTCCGGATTGGGTTGATAAGGAGCAGTTGTTGGAGAAGTGGAGGAAGGTGACGGATCGTGATGGGGAGGACCCCATCTGGGATCAGGAGCATAGTGCTGTTATTCCGAATGCTTCTCATGCTTTGAGTAATGACGATCAGGCAGAGCCGAGGAAGTTCCTGGTTGAGAAGGTCATGGGATACTTGCGTGGTGCTGAAAAGGCGTGAAAATATTGCTCTGCAAATAACTACTAGAATGTATATATGTGACACCATCTTAAGGACAGAATGGGTAATGATATGTTACGTTAATATCCCTCATACCGTTCAAATATTGCGCTGCAAAAGTCCTATTCAAACTTTCCACCAGCTTTAAAGGAAGAGACGAGCGGTCCCAGAGCGTTAGAATGGACCGTCGGCTAGCCGTGACCGGGCTATTATATAGACTCTATGACAAATTCGTTACTCCTGAAAGCTTTTCGAGCTTGGGAGGATAAGCGTGGAACGCGCAACGGGAACTACAAATACTAAGTAAGCTTGGCACAAGGACTGAGCCCCAAACACGTACCGAACCCGAGCATTGTGGTCGCATCTACTCCGTATAGTAGTATAGAAACTTACCATATTAATCTAATGATAATTATCTCAGTGCTCTAAGTACATATAATTCTTGACGGTCAGTCTAAAAATCAACGGTAATAAACCGTAAATTAAATTGGGCTGTATATATTTAAGTGCAAGGTCCACTGCATCTACAGATATATATATCACTGATTTGCTTTGTAGCATCACATATAAATAGTTAAGAGCGACCGGTACAATCTAGGCATCTGTTTCAACTGTAGCAATACCTATAAAGTACTACATATCTCATGTTCATCATATCATAACCCTTGATTACAGGACCTACAGCTCTTGGAGTGGGATTTCTAACTTCACAGAGTAGTGGAAGACGAGACCCTGGTCACGAGTGTGATTTCAGCGGCTGTCGGAAAAATGGTGGCTCCGAGAACAACTGACCTATCACGTGAGTGGGTAAAATTTCAGGCCGTCCAGGGTGGCAGAATAGCGACATTTCGACATAGAAAAATTAGTACCCAACTGAACATCTCGCTCCCAATGGTATCGAACAGTCATCTAGCTTCTACTTTTGTTGCCACTAACCTGTGAAAACGAGAGCAATAACCGATTATATTATTTTATTGAGAGCTGTTTGAGAAGATAAACATTTTGCCTTGTAACTACTGCTCAAGCTTCCTGCATCACACAATATGTTGCCTTAGCTCAATCGTGGCTGCGAATAATTATCATAGTATATCTTCATACTCGCTTAACATCAATACAACCAGACAGTTACCAGACCCCTGCCAATTTAGATATCCTCGTATGAGGCGCACCTCCTGCCTGAGGCTCAATGCGCGTGAAATCTAGGTCGCAATGCTCATTTATCAATGCACTTACGGGACCAGTCATCGCAGGTTCGAAAATCTCTCCGTGCGAGCATTCCACTCGCTGAACCTCAATATGCGGACACTGACTCCGCCACCAATCTACAATACCCGACTCCACGGCCTCCGGAGTGGCTAGGTAGAGTGAGCGGCCGAGGTAGTGGTCCGGGCATGCAGAATTCTCCCATATATGGGCATGCTTATCAAAGTGTTCCTCAATCATTCTTGTTTGGCCGGGGCCAAAGAGGCGAACGGCATCGTCAGCAGCTGTCTGTCTCTCTTCCTCGTCCTTGAAAAATGGCTGGTCTGGATTATAACAACGTGTGTCAACTATGATTGTAGAGAATGGTGATCCTTTTCCAGTTATCTCCAGCAATCGAGCCATCTCTAGTACCAATAGGCCGCCAAAAGAATACCCAAGCAAAACGACGGGTCGGTCCTGTTTGAAGTGGGTGTGAAGCGCTTCCAAGTAATGTGCGGCCCAGTCGCGCAGAGATGCGGGGCCATTAGGTTTTCCAAAGAAAGGATCAGAAACTTGCACGATGTCGTACTCTTTGCTTAGAGCCGGCACCACATGGTCAAACACGCTGGACTGGCCAAAAAAGGGATGGATTAAAACCATCGTCGCCCGACTGCTGCTGCGTGTGGTCAACTGCATGTAAGCAGGGAGCTTTTGCCGTTGTACGCCACCAAAGATTCTGGATGCCTGGGATCGAATGGTCGAAAAGGAGCCCAACTCTGTCAAATTCAGTTGGAAGTTGTTACGCCGTAGTAGCGCGAGTAGGCTGATGGCGCGCACGGAATCCCCCCCTAAGTGAGAGAAAGGTGTCTCCAGACTAATGACCACCTTGTCGACTCCTAAAATAGTAGCCCAATACGAGGCGAGCGTTGCTTCTAGAGTACCTGGGGGTGGGCGAAGATCAGCTGGCTGTATCCGGCTGATGCCGACGGGCAGTAGATGTTCCTTATCCACAAGCTGTTGCGCTAGGGCATGGATTGCCTTCCGATCCGGCTTGTCAGAGGCTGTACGAGGAAGTGGTGTGTCGAGCAGTTGAACATGCGCAGGGACCATGTAGGCCGGGACATTTTGTGCAATATGTTGTTGGACGGTGACAGGGGTAATGTGTGTTTGATGAGAGTTTGACGCCTCGATAAATGCCATCAAGGTTTCCTTGTTTCCCAGCTCCATTTTGACGACGGCACACGACTGGACACCCTTGACCTGCCTGGCTGCGGACTCAATCTCGCCCAAGTCAATACGCAGGCCTCGCAGTTTGACCTGAGAATCCATCCGCCCAATCCACTCAATCATCCCATCTCCGTGGACCTTGGCAATATCGTGAGACCTATACATTGTTTGCCCGGCCCAGAAGGGATCTGGGACAAATGGGCTTTCGGAAGAATCGCCGCCACCCCGGTATCCCACAGTCACCTGTGGTCCACTGATGCATAATTCACTCGGTACTCCAATTGGGACTCGGTTGGATGTACCTGGCTGTAGGATGTAGACACGACAGCCGTGAAGAGGAAATCCGATCGTGGTAATCTGGGAATGTGGAACAGGTTGGCAATATGTGGGTCCTCGAAGCATACATCCAGTCACAACAACAGTCGTTTCAGTTGGACCGTACTGTATATAGAAAACCATTTCTGTTGGTGCTTTATCCAGGATGTCTCCATTTACCGCCTCACCTCCTACTATCACATCACGCAACTGCGCTAACAGGAATCCGTCGGACGATGCATTCGAAAGCATCATATCTGCTACCGTGGGGGTCGTCATAAGTTGATTTACCGCAAAGGCATCTGCCCATCCAGCGAGATCACTCCAGAGCGACTGTTGTCGTGCGAGTAAGACGCGCCCCCCTATGGCTAGTACGGGGAAGATATCGCTGACAGACATATCGAATGTATATGCAGCGATCTGAAGTCTGTTCACGGTCCAGGACATGTATGTCTCACTTGTTGCGGATATCATAAAAGATACCAAATTTGCGTGATTGACCATCACGCCTTTAGGCACGCCCGTGGAGCCTGAAGTGTAAATAATATAAGCTAGAGAGGATGGAGTGGGCTTTTCTCGGATCGGGGAGTACTTCCCCAACCGTCCGCTGCGTTGGAAAGCTCGTTCAGGGTCGAGACGGTGGCGCCTGAAGAGTGTCCAATGGCATGCAGCTTGTCAAATCCTTTCTGGCCATCCCAAAGGATAAGCTTGGCCTGCGCAGATTGACAGATCATTGTTAAGCGCTGCTCTGAATGGGAAACATCAAGTGGAATATAAGCAGCCCCAGCTTTTAGAACCGCCAGCATAGTGACTACCATGTCAAGCCCCTTGTCGAAGGAAATTGGAACTAGGGGTTGTTCATGACCTTCTGACTTCGAAATATGATTGAAAAATGCGCGGATCACGATGGATAGCTTCGTGCTCTCCCTATCGAGCTTTCCGTATGTCATGAACTGGGAAAGTTCATACTGCACAGCTATCTTGCAACGGTTCTCGATGGCCTGTCGCGATATCAGATCATGAGCGCACAGAGATTCGCTAGTCGTGCCCAGCGGTAGATCTGGGGTTTGGTCGCTCTCGGAGGCGAGCTTTATTAGCGCTGCCTCTTCAGCGTCACTAACAGTTAATTTGGCATTGGGCTGAGAGGGACTGTCAGCTATGGAACTCAGAACCTGTGATATGTGTTCGAGGAACCACTCAATGTCCTCCGGTATTAGAACTGTCGGGTCAAATACGCATTGGAGGCTCAGGTGGCCCGTGACTGGATGGCATGATGCTTGTAGCACGACAGGAAATTCAAACCGACCAATATGCCCCCCTTGGGCCTCGAAATTATCTGAATCTTCTTCCCGAGCGTCAGTTTCAAAATCAAACGCCTGTTGATAAACAAACAGCACCTGAAACGGCAGAAGATCTGGGGCATCTGACTCCCGTCGGATGCTGGGTAAACCCAGCTGGTGGTAGGGTACTGTCTCCAAGTAGGAATCCAGCGAGAGTTTGACCAGCTGGTCAAACGACAGTCTATGATGATTGCTTCTTGACCCTCGCTTTTGTTGTATACGTATCCTGATGGGGTGTGTTGAGATACAAGGTCCGGCTACGAACCCAGCAGCGCCATCAATGATAGATCGACCACTAGACACCTCTCCAAGAACGATATATTCAACACCGCTATGCTCTGCTACGACTAGAGCCACTGCAGCCCTAGAGATCGCGGCCGGGGTGACTCCTCTTGCTTCAGCTAAACCATGCATGTTTCCCTTCCATGTCAAGGACCGGGCCGAGAACTCGTGTATCTCTGTTATTCGACCACTCTCCAATCGTCTCGCAACCGGCCAGCATGCGGCAGGGGACCCATTCAGATAACCTTTTTAAAATGAGGTTGCACTCTCTTTTAGCATTGCTTGCAGCTGAGAAACAAATATGCTAAAAGGTATCCTGTTCACCGATGTGGCAGGAGCCCACTCGGGAACGTAGTCTTTCGTGAGCCGAGCTTTATGATACTCTCGGGAGAGTTCGTGAATAATCCATCGGATATATGCTTCGTCATATAGAACGTGGTATATGGTGAGTTCAAGTTGAGTTGAGCCTCTGTCCCTTGCCTTGCACACGGTCGGTACATCTACCAATGCCAACGAGACTGGGATATGGCCAAAACCTAGAGCAGAGCTGTCCACTTCATAGTTTTGTCTGTCAATAGACAAAAGCCTGTGAGCCTCACGGGAGCTAATTTTGAAGATACATTGCCAAAACGTGCTGGAGGTAATGCATGACGAAGAGACATCCTCAGCAATCGGTATGAAAGCAGTAAGGAGTGTCTCTTCGCGCTCAACCACTTCCTGCCATGTGAGCCGTATCGCCTCTACATGAAATTGCATCTTCAGTCCTAACCTTACGACACCCAGATAGCCGGAGTCTCCTGGTACGGCTAGAGAGTTGGACAACACTCCTTCTTGGAACGGAGTGCAAGGCATCAAGTGGTCTACTTCACTTGACTGAACACCCCAATCGCGAAGAGCATCATGATACTTCACCTTGTCCAATGCAAAATATTTTCTTTCATCGTCGGTGGCAGCGTTGGCTTCTCCGTTACTATGGGCTTGTTTCGATAGTAACCGGTCGGCCAATCTCGCAGGCGTTGGGCAGTCGACCAAAATGCCAATGACATCAAGGTCGTGCCTTGAACACCTTATCCCCAACATATCTCCTGTCTTAATAGTATATATTGCTTACATTTAACTTCTTCAACTCCTCCACTCGTAATAAACTAGGGACTGGAGATGGTATTGTTAGTTCAAACGTTGGAGTGCACTGCTAGAAATCTGCACATAGCCGCTGTTTGAATGCAATAGAATGGTTTATTCGATTGATCTACTTGCGGGCGTCAACAGCTCGTCCCACCCTTTTTGTCTGCGTGACACAAGTCTTGCCTGCACAAGTATATGTGCCTTTCATTGAAGTCGCAGGTCAAACACTTCCTACAATGGGCTCCGGAAAGAATTACCCCGCAATAATGGACTGGATTCCTGTCTGCAAAGTCATTCAAGTCCTCATTACCCTGTGGCGTTGATATAACTCCTCGATAGTCTACAACTTTCTGTAGAGATATGGTATTGCTGGAGAGTTGAAGAAACAGGACCCTGAGTAACAGAACGCCTAATCGATACCAGAAACGATCCCTACCGGGAGATAAATACAGGAGTAAAACTAGCCAGCGCATCACAGAAAGCATGCGTTACAGCCTACTGAATATGCCACCTAAGATAAAGCTTATATAAACCCCCGATCTAACGAGTCGTACCTACCGAATCGTAGTTGCAGTAGGGGTGAACTAAGAAATAAGATCTATATCGGAACCCCTCAGTCATGTATCATACTGTGAAACCAATGTTGCCGTGTTAATATTGTTCAGATGGTAAAAGAATCCGGTATCCTATACTTCCGGATGGCTGAATGATGTACATCCGGCCGACTGTGAGATCGGTGGCGTCGGATTAGTTTCCAGCAGCTTGACAAACCCACCACGCCTATCCACCGAATTGAATGGAGAAACGGATCTACATACGGGCCGCAGAGATCTAAGAAGCATGATCATCTCAATGCAGAATGGCAAGCATCCTACTGTGATGTTAAATGACGGAGCAAGCGCACTTCCCATCTCAACCTCAGACTTGGTTCCATTCTCACCTAACTTTGGAAGGTCAATACATTTTGGTACTCTTGCAAAATCTTGAAACGGCCATTTGGGCCATTCTCGCTTTCACAACTTTCGTCTTGATTTCTCAGGTACACTACAGAGCCCAATTAGCCAAACTTCCTAGCTTTGATATTGACGGAGGCAACGAGATATGGAGGAGGGCTTACTTGGAATCCGCACGCAAGCTCTATCAAGAGGGATATAAAAAGGCCAGCCGCTACCCTGGGCTCTCATTGTCAAATATGTACTAAGAACCATTCACAGTTCAAAGACCAAGCTTGCGTCATGCCAACTTCAGATGGTCCAAGGCCGCCTTGATACACCTTACCGTGATTTAAGTACTTAGTGTGGTGCATTTCAGGCCCGAAAAACGTTGTGGTCCCTGGTCGGCTTTTATCTGAGTTGAGTAAACTACCTTGAAACTGTTCTCAGTTTTCCCCACCGCAATTAACAAGGTTGACTACATACTCCCCCGTGCACACACATGCCAGGCATTAATGAGAAAAAGGTACTGGAGGTTAAATACACCAAAGTTGCTCCCAATGAGCCACTCGTACCTTACTGTATCAAGGCTGACTTGAATCCTGCTTTATGTATGATTTCCACAGGGTCCATCACGAGAGATACTCTCTGACTCTAATTAGCCCGGCTGAACCCCATCATCTATCGGGAGGTTGGAAATACTCTTAAGGACGAAATTCCAGGATGCGAAGATTGGACACCGGTATTAATTTATCAGGAACTTGTGAATACCGTGGCGAAAGTGTCAGGGAGAATCTTCGTCGGCGCGGGGCTTTTTCTCAACAAAGATTATCTCGATACGGCGATCAATTACACTATAGAACTGGGCAATGCAGTACAGGTCGTCAAGGAAATGAAGCCCTGGCTCCGTCCTTGCCTGGCGTGGAGGCCTTCAGAGGTCCAACAACTTAATCAGCGCGAGGAGCTGGCAGTACGATTTTTGGAGCCGATTATACAAGCTCCTCGTGAAGCTGTCAAGGATCCCAAATATCTAAAGCCCGATGACATGCTCCAGTGGTTCTTCAATCGCAGCGGGGATTATAAGGTTCACTCAATAAGATGTCTCGTGAGAATGCAGCTTCTGGTGATATTCGCCGGCATCCATAGCGCGACCGTGACTGCTACCAATGTCCTATATAATCTGGCAGTCTCTCCCGGGTACATGCAGCCCCCGCGCGAAGAGATACGCACGGCAATATCAGACAATGATGGGACGCTCACTTCACGTGCACTGCAGCAGATGGAAAAGCTCGACTCGTTCATGAAGGAGACAATCCGTTTCTACCCACCTGAACTCACTCCTTTCTCCCGTCAAACGGTCCAAGGCACTACCCTTTCTAGCGGCCAGTACATCCCGCCAGGCACCTCCATCGAAACACCGCTACAGGCCATATATCAAGCTGATAACAACTATCCCGACAGCGATACCTTCGACGGCTTTCGATTCTACAAGATCCGGCAGGGAGAGGCGCAACTCTCCATGCTCGCAATCAATTTGTCACTTCCAACGAACAGAACCTCGTGTTTGGATATGGAAGACATGCGTGTCCAGGAAGATTCCTAGCCGCTGCGGAGATCGAGATGATTCTTTCGCGAATACTGTTAGACTACTATTTCAAAAATGCGGACAATCGGACGGAGAGGTATCCGAATTACGACGTTGGTCGACTGGTAAGCTCTCCCAGCTCCCCCCCTATGCAGGTGAGAAATCAGCTAAGGATCATAGAATATGGCCTGAAACGGCCCTGCCATTGCTCTTTAGGAAAACGAAGGCATAAGACAACCGTCCGTGGATGCAGGCAGTCAGTATGCGGGAACAACGACGTTTTGGTCATGGTTTGACCCACTTTCCAAGGATTCTTCAGGGCATCTTGTGGATTGCGAAACCAACCGTTGATTTCCTCGATTCCTAAATGCGGTCTATTAATTTATCTTGAAAACTTTTCTTTTTTCTTTTATTTTATTTCACTTCATTTCATTCTTTATTTTTGAGCATCCCCTGGGCGTGATTCGCTCAAGGTCGTTGTTCTAAGCACCACATTGTAGCCGGGAATGGAAGTAAAAAAAAGAAAATAAAATAAAATGCAGATTTTTGTTACACCTCGTGCTCTGGGAGAATTCTAGTGACGGCTAATCATGCATAGACCTGGATCCACATGGACCCCGACAAGTCAAGTCTCCGTTTCGACAACGATCGTGAGTAAAGATACGACGATCGATCCTCGAAGGGGTTAGCATCGAGACCCACGATGGATCCAAATGCAGATCTCCATGCTTTGAGTAGTATTCTATCAATAGTATATTAGAATTATAGCAATCTCGGGTCATTGAGAAATTAGAATAAAATATCGCTTTCTTAGATAGAAGCAGTGGGCGATGGGGCGCTTACACTGGCGACATCGCTTATCCAGTATATGAATGCTCTAGAGCAATGAGTACATTTACAATATATTGCTTGGCTTGTCAATAGTGTGTTCTATAATTCAGGGTCCAACCTCAAAAAGCGCTGAATGGTATGTTGTTACTAAATCGGGAACGGCCTTTTCACTTTTTGTATCTTGATTCATTTATGTTGATTGTAGAAGTATGACAGGAGTAACGGAGTTGTTCATCCGTTTCAATGTACCCAGACTGCCCCCGGCATTCATGTTTCAGGGCCTATATATTATACTAGTTTAAGTACTACTTGTAGAAGTGGAATGCCTCTAATTGGTTGCCGGATTTCCCGGGCTATCCGGCCTGCATTCTTTTTGTTTTTCTTTTTTATTATCAGACAATATATGAGCCAATATGGTTAACAGGTCCTCCTCTACAATGGAAACGTCCAACTGTGTTCGGCATGGCCCAGACCTCCTTACTCAGCCACAACCATGGATCGAGATCCAACAGACTTCAGCCAAATGACCGCTATATATCTCAATTACCATAGCTACCGACAATATATATCGGATATTATACCCTAATGTAGACAGCGACGTAATACAGCCTACCTCACCAACCGTGTGAATCGCAAAGCGGTAGGCAGGGTTGGAATGTCCTACGACTTATCATGATAGATTGGCACTCATCCATGTCGAAGCGCTTAAGGTCCAGGAAACCAAAAGAAGAATCTCGCAATGCCTTGGAACACTATGATTCCTCTAATAGCCTGCCTAGCCGCTGGTGGCGCAGCGCAGCACCATTTCCTGTTGTGGCCGTAATTGCCGTCCTCACCACCGTCTCACTTGAAGCCATCTAACAGGTGTTCAGGGTACGCTATGTGCTATCGCAATCATGTTCAATATCTGCACCGTCTCTCAAGGATGGCAGGAAAAGGAAAATGTTGATGGCAGCATAACTATACTCTCTCAACCAACTTGGTGAGTATCATTCCACCCTTTCCGTTTAGTCTAGGTTTTAACAATCAGAAAATCGTTCAGGATGGTCGCGCTCAAAGCCGTGTCCTTAGCTCTGGCTGGTATATCATACATCGTGCTAATATTGACCATGATGGGCAAAAGAAACCCACACAAAGGATTCATTGTAGTAATATCGGGTTGGCTAACTGCAGGAGCATTATTGTTCAGTCTCATAGGGGTTACTACTCGACGGCATCCAATACTGCAGCCACAACAGTCATTGAAGTATACCCAGAGTTACTTCTATGGCATCCTAACTGCAAGTTTGTATATTTTCATTGCAATTTTACTGGTAGCTTATACTGCCATTGCGCGCTCAGTCTCTCTAAGTCGCCATGACAGGCGGACAGTCGAGTATACAAGCATTATTCTGAGAACCATCACATTTATAACCGTCCTTACTGGTGGTGCCGGTGTATACAGCACTGTCGAAGAGTGGTCTTTTATGGATGCCCTATACTTCACCGACTATACCGTTCTCACTATTGGCATTGGGAATATTGTTCCTAAGACGCATCTCGGAAGAAGCCTACTATTTCCATACGCCACTGCCGGGATCATCGCATTGGGTCTGGTTGTTAGCTCCATAACTTCATTTGGGAAGAGCATCAGAAATTTGAGACTGAAATTGGAGCTCCAAGAAGCACGAAATAGGCTTCTGGAACAAAAGAAAACACCCAGAGCCGCACATCATGAACACAACGACGACACAACATTATCCAGCATACCATCCACTGCGACATTTCCTCAAACAAGTGACGTCGCGGAACTCCAACGTATCCGATCCGACTTCAATCGAAGAGTCCAATGGCAAGCCCTTCTATTTTTCGTGACGGCATGGTTTGTCCTATGGCTTCTCAGCGCCGCAGTATTTCGTCGATCGGAACGCGGTCAGAACTGGACATACTTCACAGCTCTTTACTTTACATACACTTCGCTAACAACCATTGGCTACGGAGACTTCTACCCTACCAGCAACTTTGGAAAGGTTTTCTTCGTCTTCTGGTCATTACTCGCTATTCCAGTTCTGACCAATCTTGTCACTGTCATGGGTGAAATAGGTGTGCGGACACTTGTTTACTTTGGTGACTATATATTGAGACTAGGTAAATCAAGACGCGAGACTGGGCATAAGAAGAAGGATGATTCAGATCTGGCATCTTCCAAAAATTTTAGAGATATCGAAAAACAAGCCCAATGGTCGTCAAACCTGAAGAAGGCATCAGAGGACATGAGTACGGTAGGGACAACGAGCACTTTTGCAAATAACGAGCTTGAGCTGTCCCAGTCCATGATTGAAGCCGGACAACATAGGTTTCTACTAGCCGAAGAAATCAAAAAGCTAGTATTGACGCTTCTGGAGGGATCCAGTGAGCAGGACCCTCGTCGCGATTGGCCGTGGGTCCTCTCTCTGCTCCATTCCCGAGATGGCGAGGCGAGTAACTCCGCCGAATACACTTTTCCTGATATTATGAACCAACGTACATCATACGCATATGAGGGCCTTAGCAGCGACGAAAGAACAGCAATTGAAAAGAATAATGAAGCCTTGCTGATGCTGAAGTGGTTGACAGAGAAGCTTTGTTCAGAGTTGGGGAAGGGAGCAGGGGCGAGTGGACCTTAGCGTAGAAATATATTCGAAGTTAATTGAAATGGATTATCTTGAATGCTATAAGGTGGAATCTGGGTGGCTCTTCAACACTAAAATAAAGTAACAGTAGAGAAATGCCAAGACGTAACGGACTTGTAATAAATAGGCACCGAAATGCATCCACAAACATGGTAGTAATAATTGAACCCTTAGTATATTATAGGTACGTAACGAGTTCCACCGTTCGAAAGAGGCTGTTTGGACTATCCATTGTCAATCCGAAAATTCAAATATACTGAATACATACGACAGCGACTTGGACATATAATAAAACCTCGAAGACTCATGAGCAACAAACCAGAAACCAAACATCACACCACTAAAGCCATCAAGAAGCCATCGTGGCTCTTTGTACCCAGCGTCTGTACAAGCGCTGCTTCCACTCGTCTATCCTGTCCAACCTTTTCTACCACGGATATCGCTCCTTCCTTACGCTTCTCCGGTCCCACGATTCCATCTTCCAGCAAGACTTGAACGGCATTGTCAATCAATATGACAGCCCCAGGGCCCTTGGATAATTTGACACCATAATCGAAGTAATGCCACTGATTATCCCAGTCCGCATCAATAAACACAAAATCGAACTTTGGTCGCTTCCCCTGCTGGATTTCCTCCTCCAACCGAGGCAATACCTCCAAACCGGGTCCTAGTAACACCTCGGCCTCTTCCGGAACTTTCACCCCAGCATTGCGCAGATTTTGCATAGCAAGCTCTCGCCTATCCTCGAGGATCTCGATGCTAGTCACCTTCCCCTTATTGCCATTGGCTTTCAGGGCCCGGGCGAACCAGATGCTGGAGTAGCCGCCTAAAGTGCCGATTTCTAGCACGTTGTGGGCGCCTGACATCTTAGTCAAAAGCGCAAGGAATTTTCCTTGGGCTGGGGAGACCGCAATCGGTGGTATACCATTTTTGGCGCAGCTGGAGATAGTGTCGGTTAGGGCTTGATCAGCTGGAACTAGATGAGACACGGCGTAGGAATCGACTTCCTTTGCGTTTTGGAGGGTGCTGTTTGTGGACATTTTGTTGGTTCAATAAGATATACTATGTTGGATTGTGATTTAGCAGAACCGAGTTGTTGAATGGGTGGGGAGTGTGAACAATATGAGTTGGGAGTCTAATCCATGAGATGAACAAGCTTTATATAACCACTCGCTGCTCGGATCTTACACAGGCATATGAACACTATCTCCGAGATGACCAACAAGAGTCAAATTTGGCAACTTGCTACTACTGAATCAGACCTCAGTATTGACCTTGCCTCTTGATTGAGGTTTGGTTACAATCTAGCTTTAGGACTTCCTAATGACTCATGACGATCACCTTTTTGTACTGGAGCAAGAAATTGTGACTGGACTTGGAATGAAAAGCCGTCTAAGCAACAGGGGGAGCTTAACGTCGATCACTTTATTTGTTTTTATCCTACATACCACTCCATAGCTTTATTATATGGTTATATTAAGTCAACACAGGTATATCTAACCCTCCCTGGCAGGGGTGCTCACTATGGTCTGTCGAAAGCATTCTGATTATCTGATTGTGATCTTGATAATCGTAATTTTCCTTATCGCCGAGTGGTTATCGCCGAGGCCCACCTCCTTTCTCCGAGCCTCACCAACGTCACGACTTATATCTCCGCAACCCCCTCGGACCTCCGCTCTTCACTTCGCGATCTGATAAGATTGTAATCCAATCTGATAGCAAGACGCCAGTTCTTCCGCTCGAGGGGTACAATGCTACCCAATAGCGCCCACGGGATGTCCGAGCCGACAGCGCCAAGTCGACCGATCGCCCGGAGAAAGCGGAAACCCTTGTCTTGTTCTCTCTGCCGACGACGAAAATTGGCTTGCGACCGTGAATATCCGTCCTGCACTCGATGTCGAAAAACCGGGAACTCTGAATCCTGCTCATACGAGGATCCTCCTGCTCCATTGCGTCAGAATCAGCGAAGATCAGACGTGTCGGGGCAAAACAGACCGGTGCTAACTGCAGCTACCCCTGTCCTTAGGAACACTGCCTCCTCCTCCTCACTAGAGGGCTATAGAGGCAATGATGACAATCGACCTATTGCCTCGGACCTGACGGAATATGCAGATACTTGGCAGCTGTTAGGTGGTGATGTCGATGGAGCAACGACTGGTAAAGAGCGACCGGCCATTAAAGCCGACGTGACTGAACTGACATATCCTCCTGAGCCAAAGCCAACCGAGGCTGTTGTCTTCCGAGGGGAGAATTACAGGACACAGTATTATGGAAGTACAAACCCGACTAGCTTGATCGGTCATGTAAGCGTTGTTATCAAAATGTAGTTCGAGTACAATGCTCATTGAGAGTCTAGTTCCCCGAGCTCCGTTCTTACATGAAGGAGACAATCAAGCACCATGCTTCTTTACCTGGAGTCCAAAAAGAGCTGAAGGCATTGGATACGAAGTGGAAATACGAGAAGCCCAGTAACCTGCCGGTCAAAACGGCAGACTTGTTGCTTTTGCTCCCTGACCAGACAGAGATGGACGCATCCATTCGGCTATATTTCGACACATTCGAAACGATGTATAGAATTGTGCACAGACCGACTTTCATGGAAGAATATGACCAATTGCAGAAGGACCGGACTGCTGCGAAGCCAGGATTTATTGTCCTCGTTCTACTGATCTTGGCTACCGTCAGCTGCACGACGGAAACCGACCGAACTTACGTAGGCAGCAGTAGTATTGGTCGAGAACAGGGGTCATTGTGGATTGAAACCGCGGAAGCATGGCTTGGAAAGCAAAGCAGGAAAAACATCTACTTAGCCATATGGCAGATTCGCTGTCTACTCGTGCTCGCAAAACAAATGTGCCGCTACAAAAAGAAGCGCATGTGGTCGGTGGCAGGCGACTTGGTGAGAGAGGGAATGGCGGCTGGGTTTCATCGCGACCCAAGTCGTCTGGGAGGCAAGATAACCTTTTTCGATCAGGAGATTCGCCGGCGACTGTGGGCAACAATGACGGAGTTGGAGTTGCAGGCTTCAGTGGAGCGCGGAATGCCTTCTGCCTTAGCTGCAATTCGAATGGACTGTGCCCCTCCAGTTGACATTGATGATGAAGATCTCAGGCCCGAATCCGATCCTACACAGATACAAGGATCATCCGGTGACAGTCCTTCGACTTTCTTCTTGCGTCTATGTAGGAATAGCCTGGACTTGCGTGTGGCATTGAACTCTAGGATGAATGACCTCACCTCAGATTTGCCATATGAGGATATCCTTAGATACGAGGATATAATCATGAATGAACTTCGGAAGCTCCCTTCTCCAGTCGAGAACAACGAGAATACTAATGACAGTAGGCTTTCACAAATGGCAAGGACCGTTTTGGATTTGCAACTCCGGCAATTCTTGGTCTTGCTTCACGCCCCCTTCGCCAGGAAGACAGAAGGAAATTCACGATATGCAGTGTCAAGGATGGTTTGTTTCAACGCTGCTGCCAGCATGATCGATCAGCATTGGCGGCTGGTACAGTCGGGAAACCCAATGCTATTGCTCTTAAGACATGACTACTTCCGAGGAGCGTTAAACCTTTCTCACTACGCATATTTATCTTCAGATATTCGAGGTAAGCCATTTTGATTAATTTACTGCCATCATAGACATGATTGTCTTTGCTAATTGAAAGTGCAGCCGATCTATGTGTCCCAGTGGATCGCGACGCATTACTGCAATATATTCAAAACGCCCTCACTATGCTGGAGGACAGTATCACCTATCTTGGAACCGGGTTCACATACCATTGGTACATCTCTGCTGCAATATCCTTTCTTCGATCACAGACACAACCGGCAAAGTCCAGCACACTCAAGCAGGAAGCAATCAACCAAGTTGTGAGACAGTACTACCGAGTGCTTGCGTCCCAAGAACAGTTCTCTCGTGCGAAGGAGAGGATCTACTCCTCACAATTCAGACAGGTAGCCGAACTCGAATGCTTCCCTGATGTTACATTTCGGAACGGTGTATGCTAAATAGTCTCTTATAGAGAAACCCCTCGGAAGCTGAGCGCCAGTTCGACGTGTTAGACACAGCAGAGATGTCCTTGGATGATGTCGGATTTTCTCAGGTTCGTCAGGATGCCTACTCTGTGCTCCCTTCGTTCGGGATAATTAGTGATATGCATACTGATATGTTCTAGTTCGATCCAACTGTTCCCACAATGGAGCAATATTTCTTCGGTGACCCTGCCGCTTGGACATTTGATAATCTCTGGGAGGTTGGGTAGACCACTGAATTCTCTTCTATACTGTCCTGCTTCATTTGGTGACAGTACCTCGAATTACCAGCCTTAGTCATATAGACAGTATCGGTCTGTTCGTAACTCTCCGAATTCATATGATATGAAGGCTGGTATTAACGTATAAGCAAACTGAAGGAGACGATCTTTGCTGTCGCATCCTTCAATACTGGGCGTTCGCCTCGTCGTCAATCCGTCAAATCGAAGGCATCCATCCATATCATCTCTTATATCAAACCGTGCACAAGTCCTAGAAACTCTGTTCTCTTTTCAAGAGTGTGATGCTTTTGGCCTTTGAATATCTGGATGCAAATTAATGGTTTCCATACATATATCGTGCCCTTTCTATCTGTATATAATGGACCTTGGGACAGTTTTACGGATCCATTTGATGGTATATTCAAGGTCACTTGAGACATGCCAGTGGGGTATAGTTAATATATCTCATTCTAGAGTTGATTTAATATAGCGAGAGTACCCTAATTACATGGATAGTTGTCTGTGTCCTTTCCAATACCCCAGTTCAGATGTGCCTCTTCTGCACTACATAGTGGAAGCGTACTGAACCCTGGGGCCCCGATCTGATATGTAATAAGCGCATCCACATTCAGGTCGTCAACGCTAGAAACGTCACCCATACTTTTCAGTCTCCAGCCGTTCTTGTTGCCGTTTGCCTGGTAAGAGCGGACGGTGCTATTTGGCACGAATTAGATTGCCTCGTTGGAAGAAAGGTGGGAAGAATGTGGGGATTGAAAAGGAAAAATCCACATACCTTGCTACTATGTCAACGGGCTTCACACCACCATATTCCCGGATTTCCCCAGTCAGCTCCTCCAACCCCGGAGGGACTTTAAATTTCAGCGGTACACAAACAGGGGTAGAGCCAGGCAATTGACATGTATCTCCGGCATTGCCATCTGGATACGCCACGTAGTACAGTTTATCTGCGAAGCACACCGCAGTAGTCTCTGCGTCGGTGTCATCAAGGTAGTCAGAGATGGGATTACTCCCATCGCATGCATGATTGGTGTCGATGACAAACGCTCTGGTGCCCGAACTCTGCCAAATACGTGGGATAAGATAACCATAAAAGGCACGTTCAATCAATGCTTGGATTTCCGTGGCAGACATTTCCGTTGGCGGTGTAGCACCCTCAGAGCTTCCTTGGATTAATTGACCGTCTCTTATAATCTTGGATAGGTCCCTAATGGCGTCTTCTGTACCACTGAAGAGGTATCGACTGGCATTTTCAGTTTCGTTCTGCCATGTGTGCCACACGTCTGTCATGAATCCCATAAACTCCCATTGATCCTCTTCAGTCCAACCACTACCACGAGTTAGAAACAGCCTAATAGGCCCAAAGGAAGGTTCTCGGACAAAGAACATACTACTTTTCTGGATTGCTGTCCTTGGCTATGTTCACCCAGGAGCCGACCATTGTGTAGATTACATCTTTGGCGTTGTCCAACATAGCAGGGTTTGCACTGAAATACGCAGTTCTGCTCAAGACTTTACGCATATGATTAGCAATAGAAGTCATCTCTTTGAGGTGTTGAAATACCGTTGTTGAAAACAGGCGCCATTCCCGTTGGGACTATAAGCCCCAGAGTATCCATGAACAAATTGAAAGACATAGTGTAGTCAGGTATTGGAGCGAACTTATTGACGAATTCAAGGTTCTTGTTCGCGACCACACCTGCCGCGTCGGCAATACCCGTGTAGACGGATGCGAACATCTGAAAAGTGAGTTAACTAAGTAGTCTCTCGGGGACAAGTATCTGCAACGTGCCTACCTTGTGAATGGCTACGAGTGAATTCATAACCTCGTAACCTGCTGGCCCAGAACCCTCTCCTCTGGCATCATGGCACCCGAAGCTGTGTCGGCAGTCAGATTCCGGCGAGAGTATGCCACAGTCCATATTCTCGCGAGTGTGGAAGGTGTCGCTAATAGAGGCCGTAAACCCAATGTTTCGAGGTATGTCATACTGGCGGTATTTCTCCAGAGCATCTTCCCACGCAGTACTGCATTCCAGCGCTTCCCATCGCTTCTGCGGTGGGATATCGAACACACCAACAACAGCGTCATCTGTACATGTAATCGAGCCATCTGCCCAGTGCCCGTTTCGCTCGCCGTGTATGAAAGGGCTCTTCCCATTAATGACCGTCTCAATAAACACAGGCCATTCCTTAATAATATCTGAGACCGACCCTCCTGGCAGCAGTGCATCTGAAGGAACTTCGTGGAATGCATGCATACTGGTAGCCCATTCCACAGTGCCGCCGAAGTGCAAACCCTTGTACAGGATGTCACGGTCCGCCTTGTTCGCGTCATCCATATATGCGACCCACTCGGTCTCATTGTATACAAGGACGTTGGAGAGACTGTTGTCAGTCCATGTGTCCGCACTTGGATTGGTGTTGACAATCTCATCTATCTCAGCTAGAGAGAGGTATCCTTCTGTGCCGGTGCACCGCCCCGGCCTGGCCCCAGATTCGGCTCCTGTGAAATGGCAGTCAGGGCCCGTGCAGGCGGGAGTTGCCATTTTGAACGCACGCCCGAAGCTGGCAACGCCGGTTATCACCTTGTTAGAAGGCATGCCGGCCTTGGTTACCATTGAAAGGGCACTATATGTCTCTGTTAAATTCACGTGACTCCTGAGACAGTTGCCCTCTTCACAGCCAGGAGCAGCCCAGTGGTTGCTGTGGTCCCATTGTCCGTGAAGGTCGTATGTCATAAAGACGAGGTAGTCGAGGACATCAGCAAGTGCGGCAATCTGGTACGGTCGTAAGTACCAGTAAGAGGCTGGGGCAGCAATGGACAAGCTTTTGTCGGGCAATAGGCCTTTCAACAGAATGAGAAATATTGCATACTCGACACCCTCATCCTCAGAGCCAGGTGGTATTCCAGGTATATCTGGAGCCTGCATATCGTCAGCTGTTAAACCCAGTATGACAAGGGTCAGCAGCAGAGAAGAACGCAATAAGAAAAGAGAAGGCACAAACCCCAGGATACTCCCAATCTATGTCCACACCGTCTAGATCGTGCTCCTTGACAAAGTTGGCAATATTCTCTGCCATCGCCATCCGATTCGCAGACTTAACTCCCTCCCGAAAGATGGTATAAGTATCAGGAGATGTCGAGAAGTCCCACCCGCCAATGGACAGGATGCGTTTCACCCCAGTCAGCTGCTTGAATTGCTCAAACTCAAATTGAGAGAGGGCATCGCCGACTTTGACCTTGAAGTCCTCACTAAGTGTACCAAACCCGAAATGAACATGAGTATATTTCTCCGTATCGATCTGGCTGGCATCCATGTTCAAGCAAGAACGACCAAGATTATAACCCTCAAAATATCCAATACGTAGGTACTCATCTGGAGGGCCTGAGCTCACCACATTTGCGCCACAGTTAGAGATACAGCCATTCTCTCCAGGGGCCGCTGTTCCTGGGGCGCCCGATTCGCTGGAACTATAAGTGCAAAATTCGGCTGTTGTACCGCATTGGCCCCACTAGGATAATTAGTATCAACAATGTCACAGCATTTTAGGTTTACACATACTATGTCGCAGCATGCATTGAGAGGACATGGGTTTAAACTAGCAAGGTCTTTCCCATCTGTCGGTGCTTCGGTACCAGGGACTTGGGGTCCACAGATGGCATTGGCGACAGGATTAGGCATTGGAGGATCACCAGAGCTGATACATATCTTTGTACCTTGCCATAAGGTACCGCATCCATTCCATCCTACAGGTTCGCGTGAGTGTAGGACAGGATATTGTTGAGGAGAAAGCAAAACATACCCCATGTGTTTTTGTTGAATTCTTCCAGATCGTCCAAAGTGATGGAGTTAGCAGTGGCGATAGACTTGCAACTTTCATCCACCAGAACAGTGTACGTCGCACATGAGCCATCAGGGTTCGGCTTGGGCCGAAAGTCAGGAAGCGTGCCAGCAGAGCAGCAAACATGCTGCCCAGGCTGTAGACTCGAGCATAAATTAGACTGTGAGTTGTACTTCTCGAAGTCGGCACCAGATACACCACATCTATTCGCAAGCGTCCCACAGCTATCCCCCTCTGAAACTTTGATGGTTGAGCATTCGGCACGAGGTTGCAGGGTGGCTGCTCTTGCATTCAGGACATCAGGCTTTCGACTAAAGACCATCGTAGGAATTATAGCACTGGTGTACGAGCTTACCCAAGCCGTGCGAGCTATGGGCCTAACACACTGGCCCTGCGACCAAGTGCGAACAGCCTCCAGGACGGTGGACATACTGTCTGAAAAAGAGACTATGATGCCCCACGCCTCATGAGCGTTTCGCCTAGTGCCACAGATTTGCTCTAGGATACCATTTGATAAACCATTATGAGTGATGTGCCGGATGAGCTGTGGAAAGAGCGATGTCGCCATCCGCTGGGTATCCATTAGGGCACCTCCGAAGAATCCCACAGTCGCATTTCCGGACTTTGAGAACAGGATTGCGTTATTATCCTGTTCAACCTTCTTCTCGAGATACCTTTGGACGTGGAACACGGTACGAGCGGCAACAAGACTGTCTCCTGAGGCCCCTTCGTATTCTATCCTCTGGAGGGTGACATTCTGGGCCGAAGAGTTTAGACCAGGGACAGAGGTCTCAGGGGCAGGAATATTGTCTCCCCAGATAGAACAGGCCCGAATCTTGTGCCGAGTATTGGGGTGATCCAGCTCTGCATCCAACTTGAAATCAAAAAGGAGCGGCCGGTTACATCGGTCCAAGGAATCTAAGCTGTAATATACAGCCCAGTTCTGTGGATTGGTGCCTACCAGACCGCACTGCCGTGGGCATAGCTCATTGGGGTCATAGTCCCGAAACCGACTGGAAGAAGGAGTGGCAGTTGCAAAAGAAAGAAAATGAGTGACGAGAAAGAGTGACTGAATAAGACGCATAATGAAAAATCAATGAGGGTAAGGACAAATCATTCGAAAAGATTGTATGAAAGGAAGAAAGAAAGGCATATGGACGAGACATTGGACTGGGCGAAGGCTGTATCTTATACATTTCTCGGACTACCCTGGACTCTCCTTTATCTTTCTAATGATTGCAGCACATTTTCCTATCGAACGCCATAGAGAACGACCTAATACCCAGAGTCACAAGGCGAGAGGTGTCCTACCATTGAGGACTTGTCTTGGCTCAGAATGACAGGGTTGTGGGAAATTATGGACATGGCACTATATCCCCTTGTGCCCACAGTATATTACAACGGCTAGTGCATCCTCGTTCATTTGTGAGTTGGTTCATGCTAACAGAGATCGCTTTTCAAGGCGTTGTGGATTACCGTTAGGGCCGCATTCAACCCCAAGACGTAAACAATCAGTTCTCTTGACTCGTTATCGTTGTTCGATTACTGCTAATGCTTGGACCGTATTTGCTATAAAAATAAATATAAGCACAAAGCTGGACTGCAAGATAGAGGTGAGGATGTCTGTGTAAGTAAATGTACATGCGGCTCACAGGCTAAAAGATCGGCTATATTCACCTGCTTAGCGGCCAGAAAAAACCAAAAAATGAAATACTGCTTTAGCATCTTGGAAAGTAATACCGCTTCTGGCTTTATGCAAATGTGGGCTTATGCAAATGGAATGTCATGTATGATCTTCTCACTTCAACTGTCTACAGCGCCAAGCTCTTGGCACTATAGCTCCAGTATATCTCGCTTAGATTGAGGCATTTCTTTGTCCCTTGGCGAACAAACAATCTATCATTAGAAGTCATGGGACGACTCAAGAAGCAGTTTACCCGGAACATGCCCCCAGGGCTACTAGTGCCCCCTAGTTCTAAAGAAATAGGCACAATTGAGATCCAATCATACTGAGGTTTAATTTTACTAGTACCTGGCCCGCGAGAACGCCAAGCGATTAGTTCCCCTTAGCGAGGATCCGGTTGCTAATCCGCCGCAGGGCCACCACGAACGATGTAACCTGCCTAGACAAACGCGGGGATCATGCCTTTTACAAGTTCACATCTTTCCGGCAAGTCGGCCGGGTTGTTAATCCCGGATCTGATAGCCTTATTAAAGGGTCCCACAGAGCATAAGAATTTCCTCGAATCACGAGAACGCTCTTTCTTGTTGGTGGTATACTTCAACCCTGCGTTTACTCGAAAGGTGGAGGAAACTCGGCACCTACCAGACCAAGCCACGATGGCCACTACTACACTCCTTTTCTCCTGTTTTATTCTTCTCAACCCGTCACTCGCACAGGAGTGGCCATATACCCCTCAAACCATCGAGCTCGATCTTGTCTTCCCGCGCAATGATACGTATGCTCCAATAGACTACTTCCCACTCATACTGGGTCTTCAAAACGCCAAAGCTGCCTGGCCTCAGGGTATTATGATAGACTGGAAGCTAGAGCAGCTGGACACAGATATGCGCATGGAAGAGGGTTATTTCCCACCGCACGAACCCCAGTACTACCTAGGTGGCTCATACAATACGCGGAACGAGCCGCCCTCCGACCCTTTCATCTACTTTCATTTCCCGTTCAACCTGCGTAACTTTACCTCAGGACATTGGCGGTATTCTTGGCGATTTGGATTCGCGCAGAATTGTACCGCTCCGCAGGCTACAAGCGAGAGATGGTTCCTTTCCCAGCCACGCCAAGAGGTCGTCTTTCGTACTGCCGCTGGGGGGAGGCCGGTTGACCTCCTTGACCCCCGGGACGATTGCTTCGGCGAACCAGTTACTTTTGAGATCGTGGACTGGACAAGAACGCTATGGACAGACTTAGCTACGTGTCCGATATTGAATGAAACGGCGCCTAAGCCAAATCCATGTGCGCTGCAGTTTGAGCAGACAGACGTTGGTAATATCACTGCTGCCATAGAGGCGGACAAGGGGTGTAAACCAGGGAGTTTGGCAAATATTACAGATGTATGTGAAAGCGGGGCAAAGAGATCTGGCTCTTTCGGAATGCTCTCGTTGCAAATGGGTGTTCTTTGTACTATTCTCACTGTCTTACTCTTTTGAGTATTGCAATATCATGTTCACTACAAGATTAGTATTTCAAGTGTGTTTGACACCAAGGAAAAGTAGTTACCGTCCTAAAGTATATTATTTAAGGCTACGGGACTGTCCGCCTAGCCGCCGCAGCCAAGCGAGAAATCCAGCAATCAAGCAACTGTAATGCCAAGACACGGGATGCTCAGATGTAAGGTACGCTGCACCTCAGCTGTCCAATGTGCTGCTTAGTAGGTTCTAGGACCTGCAAGAACATCTCATTGGCAAGGGTGTTCTTCTGCTAAAAGGATTGTATCACCTGACCCCTAGATTGAATGCCACAAAAAGGGTTATTGTAAGGAATAGGTTCATGCGATAGCGTGATGGTTGAGATATTTTAATCTGGCAGAGCCAAAGCTGGATTTTACCTTCTTAACATGTTGTCGCTGATATCCTAAATAGATTGTAGGCTCCGTAATAAATCTCTTGTGGCCGTAGCCGAATTTCGTCATATTTCTGCGAGGTTGTAAAGCCCGCAGCCCTTATATAAAACCACCCAAGAAAGTTCAGGTGCTCTACAATAGTCTCTCCATGCTGCTTGTATACATAACCGTTTTATATTGTATTTCCTCTACGGTGGTAGAACCAGGCCACTGATAATATAGAGCAATGTCAAAGTACTGGTCCCACCGACTAGAATATATATTTTTCCATTGCCTGGTAGATAACGAACTGGTAGGGCAAAAGGGAATGTAGGAAGAGCACGCACACTTTAGGCATTTCTGAAGGTGTGAAGAGAGCTAATACAGATATGTAAGAGTATATTCTGACCCTGGGAAGGTTGGGGTTACTATATTATCGAGCCTGCAAGTAACCCATTATATTGCTAACAAGGTCGACATGGCAGGGCTCTTGAGACAGTACCTAGATGCTGATATGGGTACAAAAGCACTGAGCGCCTAGACTAAGTTGGAGGAAGGTGTGAAAGAGACCAGTTATAGCTCTATATTAAGATTCGGCCTCGCACGCGAGGTATAGCTAATTTTTCAATATTTACGTTATAGTAGGTTAATAGGACGTTGATTCATTACTTGTTTATCAAGGGTTAGGGTTCCCGTAGGGGTGTGATGAGTCGGTGTCTGCGACGAGTATTTGAAATCTGCCAACGGCTTTGTTGTCCTGGCACAGGGTCTGTATCTTTCATCGACTCTGTTGGGCAAATGTCTCCCTTAGGTTTGATACTTGGAATGGTAGCAGCTTCTGGGATGATGGAGGGCTGCAACAGGGCATATTTTGCCTCATCCAGTCGCCGTGGTGTCGAGCAGATAATGACAACGATATTTGAAGAAGCAATAAAGCAATATTGAATTGCGATGGTAGAGCTTGGATAGAATAATAGATATCAAGGAAAGATTGCGAACAAGTGTCGGGCAAGAGGTATTGGCAAATTAAATCTCAACGGAGGAATGTAAAAGAGAAACAAGGACTAAAACAGAGAGGGAGGAAGGCCAGAGCTAAATCTATGATGGAACAGGTTACTAGTTACTACGGGTCCTGGATGCAATGTTGGCCATAGAAATCTTTCATTCTATGTAAAGGTGAAATAATCCATCGTCGGTAAGTGTTTCGTCCTTCTTTATGATGATGTAAATCATGTCATTGAACCAGTGGATTTAAACCATTCATATTCGATAAATCCTAGGTCAGCTGCGACAATATACCCCTCAGATTTAAACGCTTCAATTCATCGAACAACTGGATTTTGGGGAAGTGCTGGTCGATGCTAGCCTTGTACGTAGTAGTCGATTATTGAAGAAACATACGTCACTAACACCATCAATTAAAACTATTATCATGTTGGTACGATTGGGGTATAGGAGAATGTGTCCACGTTCCGCAAGATCCTTAACTTGCCCAAGTACCGTGGGGTCAATCACTGGGGCGACATTTTTGATCAACTGTAGTATCCGATCAGTGCCATCGCTGGTGAGGAGTTGACCTGCATTATTCACGACAGTGGTCACTTGTTGAAGCTGTTCGGATGGTATGACTGGGGCTATCGTGTCGATCAAAGTATCCGTTGAATTGGCGAACTCAGCTGTGAGAAGAGTCTGTGCAACGTTCAATGGACTGTCAACCTCATCGAGGGTCTGTTGGGTAAGGGACTTGGATATATTATCAACCAAGCTGCCTCTTTTTGTAGCTGATTCAGAGGTCAACAGACCGTTTCCATTCCGGAGGAATGTTGAGATTTCACTGATCGTTTCATTACTAAGGAATTCGAGGGAGATGGGAATCAATGCTTCGGCCCTGGCAAGCACTGTCTGGTCGGAAAGGAATTGGCTATCGGCAGAGATGAGTGCCTTCGTATTGTTGACCATTTGAGTCATCGAGAGATTGTTGCCATGGCTGAGAAGGTCGTTAATCTTCTGAATGATGTTTGTTGTAAGGAAGGATGTAATGTTGTTAAGGATGTCATTGATCTCGTTGATTAGATCGGTCGTAAGAAGGACAGGAGCATTGTCTAGAGTGGGCTTCAGTTTGTCGACAACCTTCGTCGTATGAACTGGCGCAATAGAATTTACTATTGATCCAATATTGTTGATGACGTCGGTGGTAAGTCGATGGGGGTGTTTAGGAGAGGCTGAATGGTATCGACGTTAGATGAGATGAAGCTGCTAGCCTCTTGTATAAGACTCGCAATTTATTTGGCCAAGTCTGCGGTAAGGAGGTCATTAGAATTGGTGAGTAAACTGCCAATGTCGTCGCCATGTGGTGTGGTGTACTGGTTGACAGAGGTGAGTAACTCAGGGATATTTTGGGTAGAAGACTTGGAGGATAGATTTAACGGCGGTGGATAGACCTCGACGATGCGTGATTTCGTTTCATTGACAAAGAAAGACATCAGGAAGGTGCTGGTATCGTCGAGGAGGCTGTTTATCTCATGAAGGAAATCTTCTGTAAGAAGAGAGGATGCTTCCTCAAATAGGTCGTTGATCGGTTTCAAGTTGTCCGCGGTTAGAAGGACGTTTGCGTTTTTCAATAAGCTGATCACCTCATTAATTGTCTCATTCGTGAGCTCGTCAGTTCCTATCTTAATATGTCATTTTGTCTGCATCTATGTTTGGTTGTCGAAGAGGTCCGCTATGTGAGTGACTGATGAAACGACATCCTTGACAATAGTTGGTTAGAATAGGCCAATGATGCCATCAATGAAATTCCCAACATTTTCCGATATGCTATTTGTTGTACCTTGTGCGATGAGACTATCGAAACTATCTTCTAAGATGCTACCTAGATCGAAACTAGCCCTAGGAGCTGGGTTGCAGCTGTCTACTGCTGAATTGCATCCATATACCTGAAAGACAAAGATGAAAAAAGTGATATATGGAATGATGGAATACATTATGATCATGCCTATGAACATGAAAAACTCCCATGGTCAACTGTACCCTCCCATTCTAGCTAAACCCTATCTCTACAGTATATGTGGATATGTTAGTATACTGTTTGTTTCTACGTTTGTAATGCGGGGAAGTACGCGGGGAAGGATTTAATGAATGCATAAACCGGAATCGGGACATATTTCGACTGTGCGGATCTCGGTATTTCCTAGGGGCACATGGGTAAAAGATTTATACTTCTTATGTACGATTGGCTCTGGAATACGTAAACTCTGCTGCAAATCTGATTAATATAGTTTCTCTCCAAGCGCTGCAGATCTCCATTTCCCCCTCTAACCAGGGAGAATCACACACGGAGTCTTACAGACTAGCAGAATAGGGTAATATCAGAGCTCTATCTAGCAGGAGGTCCCCACAAGCGCTACCTAGGAAATGGTGTCCCTACTTAGAATGCTTAGCATTCTACTAGGGCTGGCCAGTTCTATTCCTGTACCTGGCCCAAAGTCCTACCAGGAGGCACTCGGTAATCTGCACACTGCCCTCCACTCAACGTGGCTAAACCTAGATGTTGGACCTGCATTAATCAAGGTTGCACTAGAGATAAGCGGGGAACATATCCCATCTTTCCGCTAGGATGTCTAAAAGAGTAATAAATCGGCATGCAACTATTAGACGGAATTCCTCATGTATCGCAAGGATTGACATACCTAGAAACTGTTACTCTGTCATAACTAACCTTTGTGGGTTCGGGGACACCTGGATACGACTGAATACCTATTATCGAGAAAGAACGGGTAACTAAATTAAATGTACAGTATCATCAAGCAACAGAGTCCCGCAGCAAGGAAGTGTATATAGACTGAAATCCACCCTGACCAAAACCAACATCATCACTCATATGTTTTCCAGAGGGAGAAGTTTCCATCTCTAGACGCCGGGGCCCATCCGCACTTAGTGAATGCTCCGTCTCCATATCTAATATACTGTCCAACTGCGAACTCCCAAATTCAAAGAAATTCAGGTTAATCGCAGCCTCTCCAGCACTATCCTCTTCTGGACTGGAGATGTCTTCCACGCCATAGGTGCCTTCCCTTATTGAATCCCCAATTGCTTCGATAAACCGAAAGCGATCATCGCCTGGGCTCTGGGAATCGTCACCTTCGGAAATATTCACAGCTTGCTCTTCTGGAATATGATTTATCTGAGGTACGAAACCTATTTCCTCAGTCACTCTACCACCTGGAGGAGCATCTGAATATCCCGGACTATTATCTGCGTCTAGCCCCACGGTCCACGGCAACTTTTGTTGTTTCTTAGCCCATGGTGTTTGACGAACAAGAAGTGGTAGAGCATTATCATATGGGAGACGGCCAGTTGCAAGGCTATAGTCGAGCGATACAGATATTCTCAAATACGCGCGAGGGCTGCTGAGGAAGGCGTCATACCAGTTCGTCACTCTGTTCGCATTAAGCATGGAGGCATCGAGTGACATGGTGGTAGACGATGGTTCTATCTGCATCTGCGGGGAGCCGATGGTGTTGGCTCTGCATTGTAGAAACGCCTCTTGTGTGGTGATATATGCTAACTGGAGAATATGATTGGTCCCGACAGCCACATAGTCGGCTACATCATAAAGCATCCTTGAATGTCGAACAATCTCTCCTAGACGCTCTAGACGACGCTTGCGGATCGCCATTTCTGCCGGCGAGGGAGACAGCTTGACATCGATGGCGGTGAGAACGAGGGGAACGGCGGTATAGGCCAGACTGAGATGTCAGTGAATATCACCAATCGATACTAGAAGGGAACATACACGCTGAGAGGTATTCGTTCTGCGCGGCCTTGACTACAGAAAAATTCTATAGCACTTGTTAAGCCATTCATGGCATTGCGGAGGTCTGCGCCAGTTTCCAGTAATTGGGCCCTATAATTAGTTCCGGTAAAGTTCAGATGCTTCTCGATAATGAGCGCCTCGTACTGGGCCAGATCGACGCGGGCGGCACTAGAACGATCAGAATCGTGAGAAGATAAGGGTAGACGTTAACCTACTAGTAGTACATCCATGTCAGATGAGTAAAGAAGCAAACGGTCTCATGGCTGGTAGGCGGGGGTACGATCGAAACGGCCTCCCATTTCGTGAGATACCGCTTGATTCGCCGGATGGCAGCGAGAACAGCCTGAAATTCGGCCAAAGACAGTGATGGGGAGGATACTCCCTGCGACGAGAAGACCAAGGCAACCATATCAGTGAGAAGAACTGCTAGTTTGCATTGTTCCTGCAGTACTTGGAAAAGCTGTATCTTGACTTGCGGATCGTATACTCGAGAATTTACGATTTCGTCCGCAAAGTCCTCCTCTTTGAGCCAGTTTGCCCCCATGTTAAATTCCACCGATGTAATTTGAGGACGACGACGGAGGCCAATCGATAGCACCCGATCGCGCAGCACCATAGACCACCACAACCGTCGCATCATGGACAAGTTGATCTCTCTGTCACCTGGGCCTGGTCCACACCCTACGATCATAGCATTTTGGATGGCACGCATCAACCATATACTGCTAGCTTGAGGATCGTGAGCCGAAGTGTGGTGGGCAAGAAGGACGGAACCTTGTGCTTTAGCGAAGGCGTCATTTTCTGCTTGGAGGTCGAATAGTGTCTGATGATGTTAGCGACGCTCCAATAAGAACAAGACGTAGGAGGGTTAGCTACCTTCGCACGATTGTAGAATGTTGTTCTGGCCTTTCGCCTATCGTTGAACCCGCATTTCTGGAGCGTTTCCAAAGAGACATACTGATGGTGTTAGCGGGATGGGATGGCACAAAGAAAAGTACATGTACGTACAGGACAGCTGGAAAAGAGTAGAGCTTGCAAAACGAATAATGATATTGTATGTGAAGCAGAGTCGACCGAGAGACGCCAAAACTCTGCTTCGTCCAGGACGGGAAGACAAGGTTGAATCTGGAGAAAATACTGCCGCGCGAATTCATTGATCGTTGACCAATCCGGAACACTCAAAGACCCTTTTGAAGACAAGTAGGTCACATCTTCCTCAGGCAGGATGGCCAGACCATTGAGCGTGAGAAAAGGGCAAAAGAAGAATGACACGTTGCCCGGAGTGGTGAGATCGACAGACGTTGGTATGCCAGGCCCGGTTGGACCGCCAGAGAATCCATCGATTTGTTCTTCTCGGTGCGTGACTTGCTTTGGTGTGTCATTACTCGATGCGTTCCTTTGAGGAATATCTTGATCTGTATTTCCCGACTTTGCAGAGCTATGAAAAGAATTAGCTAAGTCAAGAGGAAACTGTTAGCACATACTGCCTGCCGGCCCTGGATCCGAGTGTGCAATCACGTCGACCATCTTGACGACATCTCGTACAAGGGCAGCCATGAATAGATGCATCGCATCGGACCTTCCGATGGCGACACCAATAACAGGCCCGGGGGGCCCGTTTGGTTCGCTGCCACATCGGTCGATGTAGAGACAATCTCCTCGATGGACGGAGATCGTGAATGTAAAAGTGAAGAGATACTGAGCTATGGATCTTGGGGGGGAAGAGACTTCCCCGCCCTTCGGTATTTCAAATATACCCCAGATGAAGCTAGACGTTGTCGATCACGCCGGTCGAGCGAGGTTTAATATTTCCGAGAACAATCCGCCAATAGAAATGAACATGACTCAGTGATCAGCATGGCAGCTTGCGTACGAGCTCTACTACGTAGTTCATTAGTGTTACCCCGCTTCTTGGGCTGGAACCGATCCTTTAGGGTTATCGCGAATCTATCTCTGAATTAAAATATCTATTGAAGGTGCCGATACCCCACAGATAATCCCGCGGCATATTCGGATCTCGGCCCCACCCACCATGTGAAGCATAAAAAACAAAACAAACAATCCACAAACAACATTCATACTAAATACAGTTACCTATGTTGTTGTTGGGCCTTCTTCATTCTCTTCCGCATGTCCTTCATGTAGTACCGCATAGGGTAGGTTCGAATAAAACTAGGTGTAGCTGGGTAGACAACCTTGGTAAATCCTCTGATCACCTTCTGCATTCCCCTCCGGCTCCTACTGGTCTTGAGCCCATATTCCTCTCGGATGCGATCTGGAAGGAGGTCCGCGGTCATGAGCCGCACCAGGGGCATGGAAATGCGGATCAAGAAAGGAACCTCTTTATTAAACAGTAGATCCTTCGCGACGTTCTTGGCCTGTGGGGTTATCTGATGCTGTAATTTTTCGATCTGTTCATCCCAGTAGGTCCAGAATGCCTCACGAGTCGGCGGCCACATCCCCGGCTCAACACGGAGGGAAACTGCAAGAACGGCATATTCACGATAGATTGCTTCGGCGGTGGCCTCATCCATACGACCGAAAACCTGCTCATACAGATCAATGCCAACGGCGTAGAGAGTTGCCGCAACCCACACCTGCAAGTGTGGATCATCAGCAGAGTAGTCGGGACCTCTGACGACTGAATGTGCTTTATGAACCATCTCAATGATGATCCTCTTCTCTTCGGGAGTACCGAACGCCATGCAGTAGACGTATGTCATAGTCGTGCGTAGTCGGTCCAGCGGACGATAGGAGAAGTTGCTGTGTGCATCCACGCCTTTGCCAACGCCGGGCATGGCAACTTGAAGAAGAATGGCTGCCCCGCCCCCGGCGAGCAGAATGCCTTCGCGGACTATTTTCTTGATTTTTTGAGGGTTCTCCAGCTCCTTGAGGAGCTTTTCGTCGGCGCCATTTGATTTTTCATTTTCCGTGGTGATGTCTTTTTCTTCATGCATTTCGAAAGAGAATCGAGTAATATGGTATTATTGATTTGATTAGATTAGTTCAGAAATTACATCTGTCCATTTCTTTATATACCATATCGAAAGTTCACGTTTCCTACACAATGTAAGGACACATGCATCCCTGGTATTCAGATACCCATGCATACTGTAATACCGCGGACCGGACGGACCGTGTACAGTGCCACTCTATTTCGAGTAGAACTCATCCGCGGAAGCATTGAAGGGATGTGATAGCGGGGTAGCTTGGTGCCGATCCTCTAGGGTCGTTATTCGCTAAACCAAGACGAGCAAATATCGCGAATGTCCAAGCGTAAGTTAGGTATATGCGGGGTGTTGCAACCTCTCGTGTTTGTCAAGAATCCCTCTATTTTGGCCTGCTATATACAAAGTATTGGAATGCGATATGTAACTTTAATCATTGGTCGTAAATCAAGTTCAAGATGAAGAACCAAGCTTTTCCCCGCATTCCCCAGAAATTCCCTCAGAGGGCTGAGGATGTGATATAAAATAGCATGACAATAGACTTGCTACGTGTAAACAACCAGCACAATGGCGGACAAGTATCTGGAAAAGGATACGCGAGCAACAAAGCTCACCGCGCTGGACGCGCAAATTGAGCATGTTGAAAACGCCGGTTCAGATGTACCTGGTCAGGGCAAAAAAGCAACAAAACTGAGAGTGAAGCGCCATTTCCGCCGTTTTTGGTTTTGTTACGTTGTCGCTGGCATCGTATTTTTGGCTATCTTCCTTCCCATCTTGTAGGCCTCACGAAACATAATTTATAAGACACCTCCTGATAATCAACAGTTTCATCTACATTATTCCTGCGATTGCGCAGAGAGTCGTCGACGACACTAGTCTCCCTGTCTATGCAGCGCGTATCCTCGATCCGACACCGGACAGCGTCACCTTTTCAATTGATACTTCGTTGAAAATCCCTGCCGGCCTCTCTGTGCGGATCGATCCATTCACCCTGTCTCTGTTCAACCGCGACGTGAAGCCGATCACTCCATTCATTGATGTATCGCTGCAAGGGTACAATCTGAAGGGGACGACAAAAATGAGCATCAGCAGCAACAATACCGCTGTCCTCGACCGGGAGCAATTTGTCGCGGCATTGACGAAGGCCGTATATTCAAAACAGTTTATCCTGTCGGCAAAGGGCTCAACACTAGGACATTTGGGGGCTCTCAAGGCAGGCGTAACCCTAGATAAGGATGTGGAACTTGCGGGTTAGCCTTCTGTGGCACCATAGTTCGGGCCTTTCTGACAATGGATCTAGGGCTCGACAAACTCAGTGGTTTTTCCATTGATGCAGCCCGTCTTGTCCTACCAGCGGAAGCAGATGGGACGAACCTGAGAGGAACCGCAACACTCCCCAACCATTCGGTTGTCACATTTGCGCTGGTGAGTTCGTTCATTGAGTACATTTCCTGCAGTATGCTGATTCGATAGGGCAACGTCACTCTCAACCTCCTAACAGCAGGAGTCGTAGTCGGGCAAGGCTATCTCGACAACGTCGTGTTGTCACCGGGTAACAACACAATGCCTTTACGAGCAACACTCAATATTCGAACCGTATTGGAGAATCTTCTGGACATTGTGGGAGCTCAAGCGTCAGCATTGATGGATGGCAAAATAGAAATATCGGCATCGGGCAACTCCACCGTTTATAACGGGCAAAATATTCCGTACTTTGAAGAGGTTTTGAATAACCTCACAATTACGGCGCGAGTGCCGATTATGACAATTCTGAGCGATACACTGAGTGGGTTGAGGAACTCGAGTTTGTTGGATAGTTTAAATGGGACCCTGGATAGTGGGGGGGACTTGCTCGGTAACATTGCAAAATTGTCAGATATCCTTGGAGATTAGTTATGCATTTTGTTTATACTCAAGCGAAATACCTTGACGATCTGCGGTCCGTGGTCCATGCAAGCGAACCGAGGTTGGCTACTACGCTACTTGAAGACAACCCCGCCCACTCATATATACCGGACATGGAAGCACTGTAGGTGTAGTCGTTCTCGTCAATCAATCAGTAACGATGGCCCAAACATTCGAGTCTGCCCACGCAATTGAACGATTGACTCCAGAAGAGGTTTCGAAACACAATACTCCCGATAATTTATGGACCATCATTGGTCAGGAGGTATATGACTTGACCGACTTTCAGAAAGAGCATCCAGGTGGAGCCAGAAGTACGTCCACCATTTTTATACGTTGGTTTCCAAGGTCTGACAACACTAGTTCTGCATGGCGTTGCAGGGAAAGACGGGACAAAGAAGTTCCGCAAATATCACCGAGAGGCGTTGTTGGTGAGATACAAAACGCTACTGATAGGAGAGCTGGTAACCCAGCCAAAGACCCGAAAATGGCTATTCTTTAAGAGTTCGGTCAAATGAGCTATCATGACTTATTCAGATGTGTGTAACTTGTGTTGGGCTGTATGTAAATATTTCAATAAATCACATGGTTTGGGTACGGCGCAAAAGTTCTGGGTGTAACCGAATTCTGCTCATGTCATGTCTTCATCTTCTCTTTCTCCTGACAATTTGAAACATCGCGTTGAGTACATCCTTGTTCATATCTAGCACACTCGCCCAGTCACCTCTCACAGGGTTCCACGTGTAAACTTGCTTTAATTTCCTTCGTGAAGGAGTCGCACCACCCATTTCCCATCCATGTAGCTCGATCAACGAGTAGCAAGCTCCATACTCTCCCTTTCCTCGATGGGTACCAGTTGACAAATGCATCGATGTCTTCACACATTGGTCAAGTCCTAGCATTTGCAGGTGGCAGCATGCACAAGTATCATTGCGGTATCCTTACCACTGCTCTACCGGAGATAGAATCATTTTTCAACCCATCCACAAGACGCGGTGTCTGCTCAAATTCGAACACTTCGATAGCAGGCATAATCTCTCCCCTTGCTGCCTGCTGCAAAAGCTCACTCATCTGGTCTTCCGTGCCTACCGAGGAACCAACAATACAAAGACCTATCCACATCAGGCTGGACGTTCAAAGGATAGCATAATCCTAACTCACCTCTAGCCGCGGATAGCGTCGCAGATACAGGCCACTCCATCTCATTGGGTGGCAATCCCACCCCAACAATCAGTCCCATATTCCTCACGACCTGCGGCGCCATCGCAAATGCCTCTCTTGTCCCGGGTACCACAATCGTCGCATGTGCACCTTCTCCCCCTGTCACCTCCCGGACCCTAGCTGCGACGTCTTCCGTCCGGTAATCAATGAACACCTCGGCTCCAGACTCCAAGCTAACCTTCCTCTTCACCTCCCCACTATCAACTGCAATAACTCGGAATCCCTTCATCCGAGCGGCAATTTGTACTCCCAGATGACCCAATCCGCCCCCCGATCCAGAAATTACCACCCAATCACCGGAGCTGAGACGGTAGTCGGCCAACCTACCCACCGCACCAGCCATAGTAAGGCCGGCACACAGCAAAGGCGCAGCAACTTCATCCGTGACTGTCTCCGGGATCCGTGTGATGAATCGCACGTCCGCGATGACGTACTGCTGTAATGTACCGGGCACGTGGCGACTCGTGTTCTTCTGCTGGGCGCAGTAATGACTAAACCCTCGTTGACAGGCAGAGCAAGCCGTACAGGCGCTGTACAGCCACTTCACTCCGACACGCTGGTGCAGGAGTGAGGGGGAGACATTGGGGCCGGTTTGGATTACAGTTCCGACACCTTCGTGGCCGATGATAGGGTTGTATGCGCCCCAGGCTAAGACGGCGCGGATTTCAGAGTGACTGGCTTATGATTTAACATATGCATGTTTGGGATTTGTATGAGGGGTAAAGAACAGGCGCAAAGCTCACCAGAGCCCTGTACATGATAACTTGACGAGGATCTCGTCCGCTCCGGGTGTTCTGACCGGGATGTCATCGCGGATGATCATTTCATAATTATTTCCTGGACTCTGCACGACCACTGCTCGCTGGCAGGTAGGGATGGTATCCATGGTGCTCGATACTCTACTGTTATGGTTGGATGGTATTTGTTGTGGTCTGCGATAAGTTGACTACGTCTATTAGTTTTGTTCTTGAGATCAATGTAGGGCCACCACAGCCGAAGATACCCAGACGGCAATTCAGTCGGCATTTACATCACGTGATCCCTACATACATGATTGGCGTCTGTATGTAATTGTCTTAGTGATTTATTTTCGGTTAATTGGCTGACAAGTTTACCATTTCTTAAGGTTTCTTCAGGCTCTATATTCAATGGCGATGTACCGCCAGGTTGCTGGCTCAAGCTTCCGTTAAAAGCCATGTCGAACTCAATCGACCACAATATAAAGCGGAAATATATACTGTAGTTCGTTCCATATTGTGCGAACGCATATTAAATAGTACGTTGAACTTGTACCTTGCGTCTACTATAGCACAGATAGGGGTTCTACTTCACAAGGGTCACTGAAGTCATAAATTAATGAATTACTTAATTCTATAAATCTCCCTTGGCAGCATCGAACGCCTGTCTGAACACCTTCCTCATCCCCACCATATCTGTCATCGCGCTCATCATCTGGAACCCCTTATTCGCGTATTCTCTCGCTTGCTCACCAGTGTCGCAGTAAATTCCAGTAGCCTTTCCAGCGGCCTGGGCAGCGTCATGAATTGACTGGATGGCCGCCACAAGCTCAGGGTCCATTTTCTCAGGGTTGGTGATGGGATGACCGATGTTGACGCTGAGGTCAAAAGGCCCAATAAACAGGACATCAACACCAGGTACAGCCGCGATCTCTCGGACATTTTCCAGGGCAGCTTTTGTTTCGATCTGTACCGCGATAACGAGCGAGCTATTGGCTTGTTGCAAGTATTCCATACCCGTCAACTCCTTCACCTCACTACCGTGAGGATGTTGCTCCACGAACTTCTCCACCGCCAGGAGACTTTCAAAGCCTCGGTTCCCAAGTGGTGGAAACTTCGAATATCGCACCACACTCCTCGCATCCTCCGCTGTATCTATCACTGGAGCAAGAATACCGTGGGCGCCGGAGTCCAATGCTCGCTTTATCATCCAAGGCTGGCATTCTGCGACACGGACGATGGGTGACACTCCACATGCTGCAGTAGCGGCCACAATCTCATGCATCGAGTCATCGGAGATGTTGCCGTGTTCGAGGTCAACGAGAAGCCATTCGAGGTTTCTTGCTGACCGGCATATGGTTCTGGTCAAGTTGGTCCCGGGGAGCATTTGCCAACCTCCGAAGGAGGGCTCGCCCTTCGTGAGGGATTTTTGGAGTCTGTTGGCCGCTTGCATTGTGCTGATTTTGATGTGTCTGATCAAGAAGAAAAGCGATGGAGAGAAGGCGACTAAATAGGGACGTGGACAATCGGCACGGCTTCCAGAACTGGCATAACCCAGCAGGGGAAGATCACGGACAGTGCTCTCATTTTCCTTACCTTATCGGTATACATTGTCGGCATCATACACCGACCTGTTTACAAAAGCAAATGGAGCCCTCTATTTCCGTAAAACGTGTAGATGTGTAGATGTTCGGGATCGTCGGGTTTCTATAGTGGATCAATATTTTGATAGTAGTAGCCGCCCCGTCGATCCCGAGTCTCTCCACATCGCGGCATCGGGCATCCCAAGCCGCTCGGGGAGTTCGGGTTCCCCATGGGGATCCTATTCCCACACTTCATATTCCGCACGGTTGTCAATGCACCTGTTATGGGCCTAAAATACCACTAGCTCCATCTGATTGTTAGCATATGCCATAATAACAGGTTGCACCTGCCGGAATTCTGTGTTTTCTCTCAGTGTGCTTGTGCATGTCTACTAAGTTCTCCTGCTCTGGGATAGGTTTTCCATGTTCGGCTAGGTTCTTCTGTATTACTCTTTGGATGTGAAGGTTCGTCATTATTGTCGTAGTGTGTCCTTACTCTACCTACCTAGTCGTCTTCTGGAGCCCTGAAATCTGATTGTCAAGCGCAATTTCTCTACGCACAAGTTTCGTAAATGAGTTATGCTGGGCATTCACTGCCTCTTCTGAGGCATATAATATCTATCCTTGAGGGGAAGAATCCTTGAATTCCTCTTGAGATCTTGCCGATACTTGAATCTATCAACATGCTTGCGGGAGGGGAGATCTCTCAGGAATAATGGCGCTAGGCCTATTTAGGCAGCGTCAACAAAAGGCCGGGTGGGGCTGGAGGAAGCATCAAAACTCCAGTGTCCGTATGGACAGTGCTGCTCTTAAACAGGAACTCTAGTTAGTGGGACTTCAAGGCCTGCAAAGGCTCAATAAGGTAAACGTTGAATTTGATATAAATGCCCTACACGCACAGAGAGATACGTTTGTCTATGTGATCCTCTCGCTAACTATAAATGCAGGATATGCTTTTTATAAACTCTGCAGGACGATATAATGCACTTCTGAAGGCTAATCACACATGAACCTTGGAAATGCTTCTATCGAGATGATCAATTGCTTAGTGCTATACTATTCGCCGAAAGAAATCAAAGGACCAAGAATGTTAACTAAAGAGCACGCGCATAACTTGGCACACGCTCACGCTGTAATCCTAAAGCGGACTCTTTAAGTTTCTCAGCTTTTTTGTATGTCTTTGGAGAAGCTTTCCTTTTAACTTATTCCCAAACTACTCCTAGCTGTCTTCATATCATTCTACGTCCTATGTTCTCCTATCACGTTGAGAGTCAACATGTTTTATAACCCTCACCAATTGTTGGGGCTCACTGCCAGGCGTGTCGCATCTTCACGAGTTTTACTCAGTAGGTGCGAAGGAGTGGATGGAATATTCATGCGATTGGCTTCTAATCAAGCTACCGGATACAAAAGCCTCCCGTTAACAGTGCCTTCGTTATGCTGGCTGGAGACATATACAAACATGAAAACCAAAACCATATCTTTACTGGAACATCTATCTATTCCATACGAGACGAGCATCCACGTAAATAACGTAATTTGTCTGCGCCCCACCTTTGTCTATGTCTCTAAGCCTGTCCTTGTGGTCCTCCATATAGCTCTAACATGATCTCTACAATCAACAACCGTTCGAGACCTCCTGATTTTTGGAGTCTCGTCTCCACCCAACTGTCTCCAGTATCTCAGCCCAGAACCACTTCGGCGGAGATGTAAGTCCCGCCTCATACGCATCGATCATTGGCCTCTCTTAAATCAAGCCCGTTTCTCCGGGTTTAACCACTCTAGTAAGCCAGAATATCTTCCAGGAGAAGTACAGTACCGGCGCCAAAATAAGCATGGTACAGTGAGTGAAGTAGTTCGACACGTCCCAAGCAATGAAGCTGGAGTAGCCGTAGAAGATAACGATGAGACATTCTCCAATCAATCCAATCCAGGCACTGTCCGGCTGGAAGCGACCAAAGTAGGGGAATGCCTTGCGATCAACAGACTGTGCTTGGCAGGCGCGGGAGAAAAAGATGTATGTAACACAGACAACGATGTAGACAATAATAGGTCCGGCGGTGATGAGATTTGTGAGCCAAGTAAGCGCTTGCCAAGTTCCATTGCTGAGTGACAGTAGGGACAGCAAGGGAAAGCACATAACGCTGATTACACAGTATATCGGGGCTCCGTTCTTGGTGCATTTTTCAGAAACCTTGGTTCCCGGCCGTCCAGGGAGAATCCGTATGAACTTTGGCTCGAACAATACATGTATGTATTTATTTCTAGCTAAAAAGATGGTGGTCACAAGGAGAGCGTTGATGAGATGTGGAAATCCTACTACCTTCATATTCTCCGTTGCAAGAATGAATAAAGATGCTGCTTCGGTACCACTTCCAAGATTCATCAAGAACAGAGACAAAAGGGGCGGGTCGTTGTAGGCAACGAATATTCCAACACTGATAGCAGCCAGTATATAAACGAAGAAAAACCGATAATATATAGCCTCGAAAGCGTTATTAATATAGACTCGCGGTCGTGTAGCTTCAGCGGCTAGTAAGTTTATGAATCCCAGACCCATAATAGTAAAGCTGACCGTCCATAGCGCAGCAGGAACACCCTCAAAGCGGCCTGGATCTGCGGTGTGAAAGTACTTGCGGTAATTTCGAACGGCATGGAATGGGCTTCAAAGAGGAAAAGGTTCCACCCTGCCATGAAACCGAAGGCATCGTCGACTCATTTACCAGCCAGACGGATGGAACCTCCCCGAACGGGATGCAAAACAGTCATTTCGGCCAGGTAATTGTTGACACAAGCAAGTATAAGGCAATATATTGCATAGCCGAGAAGCAGTCTTAGTGGTCCACTTTTTGCTAGGGCACCGCCAATGCTAATGAAGAGTGCCGTACTGATAGCACCACCGACTCCCATGATCTGAGTATGTCGATTTCCGAGACCTCTTTTACAGTTAGTACGTACCACCGACTACCTCTCCTGGCTTCTGGATATCATGGTCATGCATACCATGGCTCACATCCTCGATGCCATTGGTCGTAGGGGGTTCCTTTGTGCCCATATTCGTAGGATAGAAGATCCAAAGGATGATAGAGACAATGCGAAGAGGAGGAGACGGATAACGACAGACAGTGGCATTTATAATACTCGAAATCTCTATGGATACTGGTGAATACTCCCAGCTCCATAGACCCCGCATTGCTTTCTCGACTGTGGGCCCCATACAGTCTGTCAAACTTTTAAAAACAATCCCGGACACCACTACCTTCGTATAAAGCACAGTTCGAAATCTAGGCTCTAGCGATTTCGAACTGTCTATATGCCTTCTCTGTTCACGTACACATTAATTAATAGCGTGGCATCTATTGAATTAATATATATCTTCTTATCTTCCTTAAACGCCCTTGTCTAAAGGGTCATTTTGGTCAATAAACATGATAGTGATAGCAATACTCAAGTCCGCGTGTCATGCCGCTATATTCGACTCTTGAGGAGTTGGACTTAGCCAAAGTTAGCAGGAATGATAAGCAGCGCCAAGAGCAGCCGCACACCCGAGGAATCCGAGATATCCCCCCAATCCGATTGACCCGAGATATGACTATCATGGTTTAGGGCTAGCAGATAGTTTGCCTCTGTTGGGATAATTCATACGGTTAATCGGGAGGATAATCCGAGCTTGTTCCTGGAATCATGGTCACACGAGCGCTCTGTGTATCGTATATTCAACTTGATATCATGATCATATTAGGCTATATAAACTACCTCATTTCCACTCCAACGCTCACAGGCTCAAAACAAGTCTACATGACCGTCAATATCACTTGAATCAAAGAGCTACTCCCACAAGAAAAATGTCGACCACAACAGTTGCACCGCCCACGATTGCCCACACAATGGTTGGCCCTGTGAGGCTCACAGGAGCACGTCCCACCAACGAACTCCCCCAATGGCTTATTGATGAAGCGAAAGTCGACGAAAAGCAGTCTTTCGATCCCAAAAAACACATGAACTACCAGCCTCCATCGAAGATCTACACGATGAAGGATATTGGCCTTGAAGGCCAGGGAATCTCCCCGAATGCAGTCACTGCACCATTCCAACTTTTCACGGAGGAAGCCATTAAGCAAATGAGAGCTGAGATCTTCAGCAAGCCTGTCCTGGATGAATGCCAATATACATCGCCTTTTGTGAAGAACACCATTCGGGGCATGGGACCTGCGTGAGTTTGGCTAAGATCAAGACGGAGCTTGACATATGCTGACTCCCTATAATAGACGTGCTCCATTCACCTGCGATGCCTGGCGCGACCCGGAGGTGCTCGCGAAGATTTCAGAGGTGGCTGGCGTTGACCTTATCCCTGCCATGAACTATGAAATTGCCGCTATCAATATTGCCGTGAATGACGAGAGTAAGACGGTCTTGAAGGATACCAAGTCAAAAGATGAAAATTTGCGTGCCTTTGCATGGCACTGGGACAGCTACCCGTTTGTATGTGTTACAATGCTTTCTGATTGCACCGGCATGGTTGGAGGAGAGACTGCACTCAAGACGGCGAGTGGTAAGATCATGAAAGTCCGTGGGCCTGCGATGGTCAGTTTCCCGGATCCTTTGTTAGAAACTAAGATATATGAGGCATTGACCTACTGACCACTTCATAGGGAACTGCCGTTGTCATGCAAGGTAGATACATTGAACACCAGGCGTTGAAGGCATTTGGAGGGCGCGAACGGATTAGCATGATTACTTCGTTCCGCGCGAAATCTCCACTTGTCAAAGACGATACAGTTCTTACTGGAGTTCGACCTATCAGCAATGTATTAGAGCTTTATAGGGAATGGTCCGAATATAGACTGAAGGTCCTCGAGGAACGGATTCGTGCACAGTTGGAAAACGAACACCAACAGCAACTGGGACAGCGTCCCTTCAACATCTCGGATATGAAGACCTTCTTGATCCACCAGAGGGAGTTCTTGGATGCTACCATTGCGGAACTCATTGAGTAGGCTTTTGCTCTTGTGATTTTTTGAACTCAGAATTGTTTTTGTATTGAGAGAATGTATTGTTCTTTTAAGCCATGGCATCATCTGATATATGTTATGTTTACAACGTTAAGGAAACCAAGATTGACCATTATTACTCCATAAGAATTGAAACCACAAACATTACAATCAGCCAGACATTTAAACTCCATGCTCTCTCGCTATAAAATCTCGGGTGCGTGGTAGCCCATGTAAGTTCTAACCCTCTCGATATTCGTAAGATTCAAAAGTTACGAACCCGAGAAAGCCGACAAATTTGCTGCATGATCGGATGGGTCTCCCGAGGATGTGCGGGGGACGAATCAGAAGGGAGCGCAAACGACGAAGGGGGATTTCGAAGCTTACCTGTAATGGAAAAGCTATCCTGCAAGAGGCGAAAAACAGGAGACCCAGTGAAATGCTGTCAACTAACGGGTTAAGATAGGGCTGGCTCTCCATACGGAATCGGCCTCACGATCCACAGGAGAACAAAGACTCCTTTCCAGGTGCGGGGTACATACACTGGAAACTTTTAAAACATGACACGTAAGAAAATATTGATCCCCTGTGTTATATTTTTCCAACCTCATCCCATACTGTTGATGTGAAAAAGATGGAAACCGGTTCGAGCTACGGTCCGCGGAAATCAAGACGAACAGCGAATGCGTAAGCAATACCCCTGGGAAGTAAGACACTTTTAATAGAATGAAGACTCACGTGTTTCACAGATGCATTGCCTGCCGTCATAGTAAAATAAAATGTACCGGCGATGCGCCGTGTGCCAACTGCCAGCGGCGTGGACTGCGGTGTGAGTTTGTGGAGGGAGTCAATCGGGTTGTGGTTTCTGAGAGGTTGGTTCGTCGTGAATGTTGCAGGAAACTATCTGATGACACAGGTAGGACAGATATCTTCGACAGTTGGAGAAAAAGGTCGAAGAACGTCGGCAATTTGCTGGTGTTAGAAGCCCTCCAGAGTCGCCGTTCGAGTCGCAGACTAGGTCCAAAGACACAAGCACAGCGGATTCTGCAGGAATACTTTCTCATTCAATGGAAGAGTCACTACAAGGCCTCGGTTATGCACAGAGTATCTGGACTAGTCCCTTTACCTTGCCTTCGACGACCATCCGGAACACCCAGCAAAACAAACGGACTTGGAGTAGGTTATCAAATTTGACCTTTTCCGTTCAAAGCTAACAATACAAACAGTTTGGCTAGCTCCATCCTCAATGTGGTCCTTCACGACTCGATTAGCCATTATGATGACAGAGAAACTACAGCTCAAAAACCTGCATGGTGCCCCTACGTCTTCAGAGAAGGAGAGCTATCCTATTCGATGGGAGGCTTGTCCAGCCGATAAAACCCCCGATATAAGTGGCCTGCCATCCCTGGATCACGCGCTTTATCTTTCCGAGACAGTTAAATTCCACCTAGGGCAAAGTTACCGCCTGTACAATGAAGATGAATTTATCCACAACGTGCGGGAATTCTACTATGGGAACTCTGCAAAAATGGCGACCGAGCAACGATTATGGTTTATCCAGTTTCTGTTAGTTTTGGCATTTGGAACCGCCTTTCTTCACCGGTCAAAAAGATCCAAAGATCCCCCTGGATCGAAGTTTTTCATCCGTGCGATGTCCCTGATGCCCGATCACGCCCCGTTATGGAAGGGAAGTCTACTAGCAATTGAAGCCTTAGCTATGGCTGGGTTATATCTATACTCGATCGACCAAAGAGAGTCGGCACATATTTATGTAAGGTTCATGTTTTGCCTGGCGGAGTGCATTCTTACTCACGCCTACTTTGCACAGGTTCGCCAAGCGATACAAATCGCACAATTCGAAGGCCTACATACTCACCTACCGGAGGAGCAGCTCGGTGCGGATACTGTTTCCCGATGCCGTGATCTGTGGTGGACCTTATACATTCTGGATCGGCATTTTTCATACTCCGTCGGGCTTCCGATGATGACACAGGATAGCGATATCAGTACCCCGATCGATCCTCCGAGCACATGCTCGCATCGCGACATTGTCATGAGCCTGCAGGCCAAGCTGTCGCACTTGCTCTCAAACATCCTTAACAGTAGGCTTCCCTGGCACCCTGAAATCCGCCGATGACTAAGAATATTCTCCCCAGCCGTGTACAAAACCGAAAAAGCGCAACTCGGGGCATTTCTCGACATGACCAGGTCTATCCTACATACATTAGCTGGACATGCCCAGGAAGTGGAGAAGATCATTCACGTCCGGTTCTCGAATTCCGTTGATACAATGCCCAAAGGAACACGACATATCACATTGCTGTACCACCAGGTATACTCAGAACAACTGGTTAAGAAGTTAAAGGAACTCACTATCTAACATCGCGTAGTGTGTAATCGTCGCAACGAGACCACTTCTCCTTTCTGCCCTCATTGAGCGACTAGAAAATCTCGATCACGAGAGAGAATACTGGCAATCCTTCCTAGCTCTTACAAAAACCCTGATATCGATCGGAATTAAGTCCGCCGTCAAAATGCTCCAAATCCTATCCAATGACGATAACCTTCTTGGTAAGTCGCTTATACTCTTACATTCTCATACCCATCAAGCCCAACTAATCCCATATGAAATAGAAATCTTCCTCCCCTACGACCTCGAATTCACCTACGCCGCCGCCCTCCACCTGGCAATGGCAAACGCAGTCTTCCCCCAAGCCCTAGACGGTCAGGCCTACCTTGAAGAAGCGCACTGCATCCTCGACGAAATGATCTCCAACGGAAACAAAGTGGCCGAGGTCCGGAAGACAGAGCTCGTGCATCTCGAAACCCTGTTTGAGGAATTAGCCTCCCGAGTAAAGTCCCACGGACTCCAGCCTCTGACGCTAGTGAGCCCAACCGGTCCAGATACTGTGACTCAACCCCAGGACATGGAAGAGGATGGAGAGGGAGAGACGGTTACTGATATTGGGGTTTGGGATCTTCCGATCCCTGGGGACTCGCTTACTTCGCATCCGGCTGATATGCAGATGTCGAGTGTGGAGTTGCTTAATAATATTGGGATCTCGTCTTCGGACTTTCTGTACATTGTAGATCAGATTGGCAATCTGGATGTTCCGTATAGCACTTTGGATCTTGGACGGGGCGGAGGGGGGATAGAATGATTAATGGCGGGAGGATGTGTCGGCTAATTTGGGTAAGGCATATTAGCTTCTATACTTGCTCAAGGAGGTTTGGCTCGTACTCCGGACTATTGTTCATGTTTTGAACACCTTGTGGGTTTAAAGTATGGGACGCACGCTGGGTTCAAATAGAGGTGACAGATATCATGATTTGTATTAGAATTAGATGACTAGAGACGAGATAGGACGTTCTGATCGGACATCAAGCTGCCTATTGCCTAAGACAATAAGGGAGAGCAACACCTCTTGTAAACTGAGCAGCTATCAGCGCCACTCAGTGAATCTATAAACCCAGAAACGATAATTGGAACGAAACAACATCTTCTCTCTACCCATCTTACTGAGATTCATCTTCGTACGTGATATCGCTCCAAACTTCAAAGGTATCATAAACGGTCGCCGGTTTGCCCTTCGAATTGACCATTGGTTCTACCTCAGTACAGTAAGCCCTAGAACGAAGAACCACGTCTCTTGGAAAGGACCCGTTCTGCTCATGATGCCACCTGGGCAACATGGTAACGGTGGTGCCGGGCAAGGCGGACGATGTATAATAAGCCAGATAGGGGATATGTGAACTTATGGAAACCTTAATGCTCTTCCGACATCCAGCCAGCTTGCATGTCTCACGCATTGTATATTGGAAATCTTCGACAGTTACTGGGATGACTCTGGGGGCTGAATCTTATTAGTCCAGGAAGTTCATGTGGGAGCGGAGGGTTATTCTACTCACATGACAGATGCCAGCACCTACGTAGGTGCCGGTTATCCAAAGAGGTAACGGTTTCATAGTCCTTGGTAGCAGCAAATATGATATACTTTTTGATTGCTATATTCCTTGATGAAGGGTCGTATCTGTTTACATTCCATGTCCGCTCCTGTCATTGTGCGTGTCGCTTTGTCGGCTTTCGTGTTAATCCTTTCTGCTTTTGAAGGCATGCGATGTAGTCGGCTCGTGAGAAAGCGGCAACGGTGGCGTGATGGATAAAATATCAAGCCGAGTAAAGAGAGGAAGAGACTGAAAATAGAGCCCCGGACACTGTTAAGCCTGTAAAGGAACAGGAAAATGGATTTTAGAATCTGGAGATAGGCCATGACAAGACAAAGAACCTAACATTGTCATCTTTAGCTATTGATGGCCTTAAAAGCGGTTTTTAGGCGGGGAAGGTTTGCAGGGTTGGCACATAATTATCTAACGGAGGCGTACATAGACTCGCGTCTACACTCGGTCATGGAGGCGCCATTGCATGGGCTGTAGAAGCTATAGTTAGTTAACTGATTTAATACACAGCATTGACCTATCTTTTATTCGGTTACCCAAAGATAGGGCGAGCATGCTAGGATCAGGAGGACTTTGATTAACATTCTTTCAGTCAAGGCTACATTTTCTCTAGTCGTCAATCGAACCAAAACACTAAGGCAGCATTAAATTCAACAACCTCCTCTGTGAGTTCGACCACCAGACGTCCGGTATCTATGGCTACGTTAATTACAACTCTATCCGGTTACACCGCACTTCCTGGACATAGCTGGAAGAGACAAATAGAACATAAGGCGGACCCAATGGCACAAAGAGTAAGAGGGAGAACAAAAGGAAAAACGGAAATCCATGAATATACCCTTCACCCCACAAGCCGCCAAGAACACAATTCTACCGCCGATACCACATCCGCGTAACTTTGGTGTGCCGCATCTTCTTCTGCAACTGGAAAATACCATACAGGAATGCCTCAGGCGTTGGCGGACAACCTGGAATATAAACATCAACAGGAACAATTCGATCCACACCCCTAAGAACACTATAACTGTAATGATAGTATCCACCCCCATTCGCACAGCTACCCATGCTGATAACCCATTTGGGGTCCGGCATTTGATCATAGCACTGCCTGAGAGCGGGTGCCATTTTATTAGTGACTGTGCCAGCCACGACCATGACGTCGGATTGTCGAGGGGAAGCGCGGAAGATTATTCCGAGTCGATCTTGGTCGTAGCGGGGCATCGAGACTTGCATCATTTCAACGGCACAGCAGGCGAGGCCGAAGCTTAGCGGCCATAGGGAGCTTTGGCGTGCCCAGTTTACGAGTTGGTCGATGGTTGTCCTGTCGGGTTGTTCGTTAGGGGCTTGCTTGAGGTGATAGGAGTTGGTCGGTGGTCTTACAGAACGTGCTCTGCTTTGTTGGAGTGGGTGCCTTTAGTCGTGACGATTGACTTCGATCTAGGGAAGGCTTTCGCGAGAGCAGTTCGCGCTTCGTTGACTTTCGATTCGGTTGAGCTGTTGTGCCGACATGTCCCGAGAACAGTTGGGGTAGCCAGCGAGAGTAGAGGGGATGGTCTCTGAATGGTCCAGAATATATCTTTTGTATGTCAGTGTCGGTCGAGAGAGGTTATCAAGGGAGCAGGAATTGCTTGTCTGTATGTTCCTTACTCCGACTGGGGTTCAGAGCGTTCATCTTGATGGTCTTGGACATAGGGTTATCATTGACCTATTGGAAAAAGCTAAAAGCCGGGGAATAGTTTGGACAATGAGCGCTAGTAATTCTAAGAGGGTATACAGGAATGAATGGGAAGTAAACATAATGACAAGGGGATTGGGAGTATACCATCTTCTTGTCAAGTGGGTTTTCCCCTACTATGTGGGATATTCCCGACTAATCATTGCCACCGCGGAAACTGGACCTTGAATGGCCCCGTACTGCACCGTATCTGATAAGTCGATTGGCGTCGTAGGGCAAGCCCTGCAAATATAGGGATTATAAGTGAAAAGGTAGTCAAGAGAATAGGCGGCAATCTTTACCCTATACGGTGAAATTGGGACTCGGGACGGTGATGACAAAGCGCAGCTCACTTTCCCTTGCCCGATCATTTTTGATTGCGCAACCTAACTGACGACGACAAATCGATTTGAACTAAAAGATTAAAGAAAAGTGTCCAACGTAATGAGACAAAATTGAATTTTAGTTAAGGTGGCCATAGCGAATCCCCGACGATGCCTGCTTCCCGCCCGCGTCATGAATGCGGCAAATGCCACCAGCTTTATTCGACAAGCAGTCACCTGCGACGACACGAAGCAACACGTGAGACCCGACTTGCGACTGTATGTAATGGTATATAACTAATATGTCACTCAGATGTTTCGGGAGAGCATTTTATATGTCAGTTCTGCGAACGAAAGTTTGTACGAAGGTTCGTAGTGCCTTAAGCTTGATACCTGACGACTGAAGTCTGACGAAATGACGCCAAGGGACGTTCTTCGCCGTCATTTCCGATCCTGTAAGCGGATAGGTAGCAACCCGACTCCATCGAAAGGGAAAAAGGGTAGAAAGCGGAAGGCATGCGATGCGTGTGTCGAGAGTCGTACCCAGTGCGATGGAGAGCTTCCGTGCGAGACATGCCTTCAGAGAGGATTGAAGTGCACACTTAGCCGCAAGGGAGAGCAGAATGGGAAGGCCAGGCACAACCAGGATGAGCGGGAGAAACCAGAGGACTCAGATATCAATAGAATGCCAGTCCGCTTTCTCCTAAATTATACCAATCCAGCAAGCAGGAGATTATATGACGTTCAGCAGATGCTCGTGGGGTGCGACAAAGACCAAGGGAAATATGCATCGTTTGGGAAGGCCGAAATGTGCAATTTTGATAGCACCACAGAGCAGTGGATGGGGCTATTCTACCTATTTATTGACACCGCAGCGTTGGAGAAGTCAGACCATGATGAGTCCCTTATGTATGGGCTTGCGGACACTGTCGAGCTGAGCCACACGGTATCACGGATTCTAGGACTGATGAAGCACGCGCTCAAATCACAGTTCAACAACAAAGGGCAGTTTACTATGAAAGAGGCTGGAACGTTCTTCTCACCGACCAATATTACTTTATTTATCAAGGCCTTCTTTGAGCACTCATACAAAAACACACGCTTCATTCATAAAGCATCATTCAACGTTCATACAAGTTCAGCCCAGCTGCTATTGGCTATGGCTTTGATGGGTGCGATATGTGTATCATCGCAGGATGCATCCAGTGCAGAAGGGTACTCCGATGTAGCCGAGCATCTCATTTTCGATGGATCTGAATTCGGTCAGGTCCTTAATACAGACGACCCGTCCCTCACGAAAGCGAATATGGAAATTCTGCAGGCAGCAATGCTGATAGCTGTCATCCAGGAGTCGAGGGACGATGCCACCATCAAAAGGCGGATTCGAGTTCAGCGGTTCCCGGCTCTGGTTTGCGCTGCACGGACGCTAAGACTGACGCAGACTACCAACGACGCTGTCGGCGATACAGGGTCTTTTAAGCTGGACAGGTACTTTTATAAAGAGAGTCTTGTGAGGTTAGTCAGACAGGGATATCGAACGTACGAGCTACGACTAAATGTCTTTGTAGGGCCATGGCGTGGCTTTACCTTATGGACTCACATTTAGTCATATACTATCGAAACCCGCCACAATTTAAGGTTGCTGAAGCTTGCTTTGGCTTACCACAAGATGAGGAGCTTTACGATACAATGGATCCTTCCATATGGGTAAATGCGTCGCAAAATGCAACCAGTCACGCGCCTACCATCACTTTGAAGTCCGTTATACAGCGGTTGATGGAGAGAGACGATACGCGATTTGAGGAACTGCTCTCCCAACCATGCACATTATTTGGTCTGTTTCTAGTTCTAGGGAGTATGTTGCTTCACTAAAAGCTCACTCGCTATGCGTGTCGCTGATCCTCGAATGAGATAGGTCTACATTGCATGTTCTTCGACCTCCAAGCACTGGGCACCTGTGTTGATTTATCTGGTCCCTTTGGGTCCCTTGATGTTGCCTTGGATAGATGGAAGAAAATGTGGGATGTAACATATACAACAGCGAGGCCTAGTGATATGAGGCAGTCAGGGTTCATGGTGCACGCTCTCGAGCTTTGGTGGCTTGGAAAGAAGCTTATTCAGAAACCAAGCACGATATGTCTGGACAGCGCGCTCTCTGTGAACTCCACGAGCATCTTTCACCAGATGATCAGGGAATTAAAAGGTTTTCACCCATTACAATGAGAGAATATAGAGCGATCGTTGGTCCACATTGACATTGAAAAGCCTCTTTGTCTTCGGCCAACCTGAACGCCACTTTCTAGACCATGGAACAGCAAGGAAAACAAAGACAATGGTATAACCCGTCAGGCGCGATGCTGGCGTTCGAGAGTTCTTTAAGACGACTCATTATTTAAATATGTCCAAACATCGGAGCCTCTGTGCACGGCCTCATTCAAACAACTATCTGCCTTACTCAGAAAGCTAACTTTCTACACCTACCAGAGTTCAACCCGTCTGAAGGGGGACACCTCATCTCAACCTAGACTCCTCGTTCCCACATTTATTGAATACCCCCAAAGCAAAGATCGTCCGCGATGTCTGGGTCTCAGAACGAAACTGAGTACACAACAGATTCCTCCGTTACCACTGAACTTTTGAGGGGAGATAACACTCACCAGCTTGCCCTGGAAGCATACAAAGTACGGGAACTCACCTCATGTCTCGAATGCATGACTCGCGCTGAGCTCATGGAGGTTCTCCAGACAGTAGGAGACAATTACGTTGAAGTGCGTAAACTAGTCGAGTCTAAAGTATCAGAAAGGCTGGACAACAAGACAACAATGTATCGCTGCGAAATGAGCCCTGTAAAGGGGTTCAGGGGCTGTCTTCAAGCTGCTCGAAAAGCAATGGACGAGGCAGAGAGTCGCGTTCGATTCTTGCGCTTATGGACCAGCTTGCCAGACAGTGGCAATGATGACTTTACGAACATGGTTCAGCTCATCGCCGATCACTGTGGGGCGTTCGCGCACCCCAGAACGCGGGCTAACGGGCTTACAGTCCTGTGCGAGATGTGCTACATTCTCATGGATCTGGCTCGAGACGACTTTTGGGAGCAGGATCGAAGCAACTACGGCTGGGATGTCAGTCTTGAAAATGCGCTGTTGGAGGTAGTCACCGCGATGACACCGGCTGAGAGGCAGGCTGTGGTCCACGATCATGACTTGTGGTCTGCTTTGGTTTATGTATACCAGGAATCAGATCATAGGATATTCCGTGCCTTTAAAGATGTGATAGATGAGTTCCCGAATATGGACAGTTCTACTGGGGAGGATGATGGAGAGAACGACGAATTACGGTCGTTGTTCGAAGAGTCTGACCAAGATAGGGGACAGAACGAGGTCGACATGTCGGAGGCTGAATAGATTGTAAAGAGTTATTTTTCTGCTGCTCGTCAAGTTTCACGGACCAGAATGGCAAATATTTGAACCATAATCTGGAATATACCCTCATAGTCACGATTACATCAGAACTCTGTAAGAGTAGTAGTAGTGGTAGTAGTAGTAGTCAAGCTCCGCGCAACTAAATATAGTGTGGTTAATGATGGTTTGTTATAGTTCAATTCGATGGTTCAATCCTGGCTTTTGCTCTTGGAATTTGCTTTGCCGAAGATGTTCGTATTTGGTCACGTACAAGAGGGTAAGTCATTATAATCGCTCTCTACCATTCAACCAAGACCCCGTATGCTCTAGAAAGCCTTTACAATAACATCGCCAGACCTATTGTTATATAAGCCTAACATCCAGCACTGAATAGAGCCTGTTGCATCACGTTCTAGATACTGTTATCGAACCACGACAGCACATACCAACAAAACAGTGACATTGTAATTCAGCCGTGTATCCGGGGGATTCGCTAAGCTTTAACTTTCCTAATATTTAAAACAGAGTTATTCTAGGCCTACAAGTAGTAACCGTTTGCTGGTAATGAGCTCAAACCCTTGGTGGCGGCTGGGGCTTTCGCCGTCGGTTGAGCCGTTTCAAGGGATACTCATATTCGAAGCAGCTATTTAGCTGATACCCAATCTCACGGCTCTTTCCTTATGCAGGCAGTTGCAAGGCGAGTGGAACAGAGCGAATACTATGACGATTCGATATAGAATGGTTCTCTGAAATTCTAACAAGAGTAAACCGCTTTCGGGAACCGACCTGGTGACATCATGTTCTCTGTGTTGGTCCCAACTAATTGAATCGGCAAGTTCTCGCCCTAAAGGTTGTGTAATTGCGGACTATCAGCAGTACACCAGTAGGGTAGATGGACAGAATGTTCTAAGATCGACAGTTCATTATCATGCGGGTTGTCACCGTACAATCTCATGTCTAATTATATTGTCTGAGTAGCCGCAGAGCGAGAAATAATATATCGCGATATTCATAGGGTGTTTAATTCGTACTATACTGAGCCAAGAAGAAGGGCTTCACGACATAGCAAGGGCCACAATGTAAATATCGACTATATAGCAGTTTGAAAGTAGTTTCGCCTTTCATGGAATTCTTGGGTTGCGAAATATCTGAGGAACACAAGTTAAGCTATAGACCATGAAGCTAGAATCAACAAATCCAATCGGTTTTTTTTTCTGTTATATATGTCTGTTAAAGATAGGAGGTTTCGCATTGCGATATTTCAGAACTGCAACCGCAGTCTTGGTTCTGTGCAGGTTGAGCTGCATGAGGATGGTGATCGAAACAAAATGTCGCAACGAATGATTTTTGAAATCTGGATCCCTTTGCAGAAGAGCAGAACGCAGAAAAGGCTATACCGGTGGGTCACGTTAATGTTGTGGGGTGTTTTCGTATCTTTGTATCCCTGGTGCATCACTATTTTTTGAAGATCGGCTGAAGTCGACGAATCTCTCTGCCCTCCACATCGACATCGAAGCCCTCTAGGACGCATTGCTTTCCCTGCGGTACTTGTGGATGTTTATCGCCCCCAAAGCCTCCACTCGCGAAGTACTCATCGCCATTTGGCAAATGAAATCGAAGTGAGTCTACACATCCATGTTGGCTGGGGTCGGGGTGGTATACATCCAGCCAGTCGATTTGATTCTTGGCCGGGAAGATGAAGCTGTCGTGAAGGGTGCGAATGTCTGAAGATGGATCCGGTGTATACCCTGCTGCCTCATGTTCTTTCCCCCACCAGGCCTCAATGCCCCGTAGCACCGTATAACTCTTACCAGCAGCATCGAACTCCCCCGACCAGACATCTAGTCTGGTCAACGGCTTTCCAGGTCTGTCAATCCGTACCATAATGTAGAACGATTAAGTAAATGGAATTTGAATCTCACGGGGGTAGTATGGAATTGATCAGGTAATTCAAATGACTATCAAGGAGGACTTCGACGAAGAGGATCAGTTACCCTGTATTTATAGCGTCCCTTCCGGCCTTAAATATCAACCCCGGACCTATATCAACCTGTTTTGCATGTTGATGAAATCATGTGTACCCTGTTTTCATTCATTCGCCACTGATGTGTCTCGCATGGCTATGCTGGTTTTATAATATGTTGAGTCTAGAATCCGTGACTCACCTTACATGACATGGTCTAGTACGGTTGCAGTACCCATTATGGCGTCAAGAAGCTTTGCTACGTAGATGTACCAATGTTTCATCTTCAATATGTCTGGTATAGCTATTTGGCTGTTACCTACTGCGGGCACTTCAGCCGACATTTCCGGGGCATCAGTAAGTTTATGGGTTTCCAAAGTTAGTGGAGAACCTTAACTTCGATACATAGTATTTCTATAACAGAAGCAGGAGCAAAGAGACAAAACACGGTGCGGTCCATATTTCCCTTTATTCTGTCTGATCCCGGGGCAAAGGTACCAAGGGACTATCGGGCGCTGGATTGACTATGTGTTTTACAACGTCCTTCCATGTCCAGCTTCCTTCCACAATGACTTCACCGTCATCTGTCTTGCGGTCTTTGTATGATTTAGATGGCGCTTGGCCTTCCGTTTTAGACGTCAAAGGCTGGCCATCTTCCGCGGAAGCAGCTTCGCCCGTTGCTCTTATATTTTCGTCGCTGACTTTTCCATCTACCTCTTTGGTCGCCGCTTTAACCAGGAATTTAAACCTTTCCACCATCTCACCTAGGAACCCGTTTGTATTCTGCGCAGTACCAGATAGAGTACCTGCAACCCAAAGCATCATTTGCAGGGAGACCCGCCCTGTTGACTTTCATGGTATCTGAATCCAATACCTTGTGGGATAGGAGTAGACCTCGGCAGAACCCTTTTGAAACGCGAACCGAACCCGAACCTAGCCCATTAAGGGTTTTGGGTTCCAAACTATAATCTATACCCCACGTAGGGTACCTTTCTAAAGTCATTTAAATCCATTTTTGCATAGGATATGCAGTCTAGTCCCTGGTCAGCTTATCGATAAGAGCAAAACTAGCGTGGAACTAAATCTAGCTTACAGACAAAACTTTGGATTTTTAGATAGAAGCGGGTTCCCCGCTAAACCCGATCAACTCTACTGTTTCTGGCCACGAAATATTGGCTTGCATCCGTCGCTAGTGTCTGACATTGCAGGCCTTGTGTGTGGTGAAATTACGGATACGATCAGAGATATCGCCAAGCTATGCGGCCTGAGTAGAACACTCCAGGCACGACTGGATGCTCTTTCGGCCCTGTGCACAATTGGGACGTTCATTTGTATTTCTATTAAAAGTAAGGTGGGGCATGATGTACAGATACTATTCGACTTTCCCCCTTGTCTTGAGGAGTCAACGATAGAGATCCTTTCCACCATGTCTGAGGAGGAGAGAGGAGCGATTCGAGAAGATGAGTCGAGTGAACGAACATTATGGCCAGAGTTGGTTGAGCCTAAAGATATGACCTTGCAGCACAAACGTCTTCATAAATTAGGTGACGTGCTGGCTTTAATTGATCCGCAACGAGAGGGAAACGATGGCCGTGATTAATATGCAGAGGAGAACCCCGATGACGTTGACATACAGGACTACAACAATCCTGCAGATCGGCCATGGCTGATAGACAGCCCAGTTTGGAAATCATCATGTATTCCAAGCCTGGGAATAATCGAACATAAGCCCGGCCAAATACTGCGTCTCCAATGGGGATAGCAAACCTGATGATAAGCGATACCATGTTAATTCTTTCCACCTAGTAGGTCAAGTATAGACTTATCAATGTTCCTCGGTCATCAAGTAAGAGTTATTTTCCGTGGCCAATATGAGCGCAATAAATCTCGAAGTGAATGGGTGCATAAGTCCTCGCGCAGACAAATAAATCCGTTATGGAGCCTTTGCCAAGATTACTGTAGCAAAATATATACTTAGACTGCCACTAATGAACCTTCGATTGCGCTATTAAAATCTGAAAAGTGTACAGAGATGGTATCCAAGCCAGCCGCACCGGTTCACGAGGCTGCGATGGTTCCTAACTTCACCGGGCTCATGATCGTCTGCTACTTTGGGCTTGATTCGGTTGTGACGCAACTACTAGACGATGATAGGTGTGACTTAGACTTCGCTGATGATAAGCATGAACGATCAGCGCTTTCCTGGACTGCAGAGAGGGGCTCTATTTACGGACCTCAGCCGAGCAAATATTTACCAGGCATGCTATCAGCTGGTCATACAGCAACCGTCAGGAAGTGCACCGATGACAGGATAACCCAGCACTGAAGCTATAATTACTGGTTCGGCATACTATTGCGTTGGCAGAAACTTGGGCCTGGGGATTTGCCGATATATATACTGTGGAGTAGCACACCACACAGAGCTGGACAATTGCCAGTATTCAGTACTACACACTGAATCGAGTTATCGGACATATTCAAAGAGCGATTGATCACCACCATCCCCTACAACTAAGGCCCAAGAAATACAAACTAATCCAAGTGTGGATCAAAGATATCAAATCCACGGTGACGATGATTACGAACCATGAAGCCGATTGCCGCAGCCGGCAAGGCGCGCCCCACACGTGCCCTTGACTGGACATCAACCATACAGAAAATGCAACCTAATTCAACATGCTGTTCCTCCTACATGTTATTTACTTTGTATCGACAATCGGACAGTGATACCTAGATTTCACAACAAAGAAAGTAACAGCTACACGCAATGCAGGCAAAATGACCCCTCAAAGCCCCAGGTGGATCACCACAGCTGGACGATTACTTAAGCGTGGACCCGCACGACCAGAAAGCAAAAGATACAACCAACATCACTCCAGCCCCAAACAACTCCATCTAAATCCAATCTTCCATTCCCCAACCATGCCCACCGACCCAGTAAAGCTGCTACAAACCGACCATGACGGGACACCGCCACCCCGTCCGGATTCCCAAGTCGACCAAGCCATCGCCGTCAAGTACTGGAGCGACAAACCCGCAACAGTGAACGGCATGCTTGGCGGCTACGCCCAAGTCTCACGGACAGATCTACGCGGATCCCGAAACTTTCTCGCAAAGGCTCGTCGATTAGTTCCCGGGTGTCCTGCGACGGGGAAACTCAAGCGCGGTGTAGACTGCGGGGCTGGGATCGGCCGCGTGATTAATGATTTTCTTGGCCAGGAGTGCGAGGTCGTTGATGCCGTTGAGCCGGTCGAGAAGTTTTCCCGGGTGTTGAGTGAGAGGCGATTGACGAGGCATTGTGCGCTAGGGGAGGTGCTGACTATCGGGATTGAGAATTGGGTCCCTGGGGTTAAGATGTATGATCTTATCTGGGCGCAGTGGAGTGTGCCCTATTTGACGGATGTGCAATTGGTTGAGTACTTGGTGCGGTGTCGGGGTGCTCTGACGGATGTTGGGATTATGGTTATTAAAGAGAATATCTCTGAGGAGCCAGAGGGGGATATCTACGATGAGTCAGAGAGCAGTGTGACAAGGACTGATGAGAAGCTGAGAAAGCTATTTAAAGAAGCTGGAATGCAGCTGATCTTGTCAGAAGTACAATCGGGCTTTCCTCGACAATTGAGGCTTTTACCTGTCAGGTCTTATGCGTTACGACCGAGGAGCTAGATCCGCCGGATTACGGAGTCGAATCTCTTGAAGTGCAATTATCCTTATTTTTGTATGACTGTGACTATCGAATTATTATGTCGTTGTCAATTTGGAGGTTATAACTTAGCTATTTGCGAATTCGGCATATATTAACAATGATAGCCATTGGGATCAATGGCCCGAGTAAAAATGAGCAATTTCGGCTTATATGCACCCAAATAAACCAAACGCCATCCCAAGTAGACATGTACAGCTATGCAATAAAAAAAAAAAAGGAAAGACGGACAATTATGCCAGCATGTTCCCACTCGACCCAGAAAGCAATCAAGCGCTTGGTCAAGGGCTGGTTCGTAGAATATATCAAGGCATCAACAATGTAAACAACACCGTCAACATAGATGCATATCATTATTACCCACCATTCATCACCGTCCCATCCTCAGAAACGCCCACCGATCTCAGTCAGCCCACACAAAGCCCTAGACACTAGGTACTCCAGCTGTCTAGGCAGAGGTTTAGAGTACCGCTCGACTTCCTTTCCATCCTTATATAAGATCAGTGTAGGACGTTCCACTTTCGCATAATCGGAAATATGCTTTTGATCGCCCACGTCGACTTCATAGAATGCCACTGTGTCACTGTATGCATAGGAAGCAAAGTCATCGTAGGCGACATCAGTATCCGACAAGCGACGCCGGGAGTCACGGAAATTGAAGACAGCGTAGTTAGCCCCGCTCACTACGTCGTGATACGTGTTCAAGCTAGTTCCCAGTCAGTCTCATGCACAGCGCATCAATAATATTAGTTGAGTTTCCCTTACTCGGTAATCTTGACAGATCCCATTGTCCCTGCGAATTATGATGAGCGTGGCTAGATTGAAAGATACTCGGTTTGGGGCTTTGGGGGGATGGTCCAGTTGTAGAGTGTGTTAGTCTTGTAAGCAAGGCCTGGACACTCTTTAAATAGTTTATTCTATTTTGGAGCACAAGCGCCACCATCAAGATAGACGCAAGTATTATGGTATGATCAGGAAGTGTGGGTATAATAAGCTTAATTCCTCCTACTAGCGTGAAAAAGAGCACTTCGGGTGAGTTGCGAATGTTGGGTCTTGGTTCTGGCCTGACGTGATTGGGATAATGAATCATGATACCCAGTCTTTACCTAATTCAGACCATAGTAGAAGCCATTCCTACACTATAGAATCTCACATATAAGTCAGAACAAGAACTCATCCCTCCTCAATCCTCCAAACCAAATCAACTGTTAGGGTGTGTAGTCAATACGTCGGACCTGTATAGACCCTGATCACCTCACTCCCCGGTATTAATACGATTGTACCCGCTTTTCCCCGTGTATGAGTGGATGATAATCTCTGGAAATAGACTCCACCGAAAGTCTGGAACCCGTCATTACAAAGTGGTGTTATCTCATTCTGACGAACGACGCTGTCAACTTCATGTCTCGTTACACTCGATGACGAAGCCATTTGCTAACTTCGGTAAGTAACAATGCTTCCTACTGCTGGTTCGAAGAAAAATTACAGAACGATGGGTTGTCTATAACGAAAGGGTCTTAGGTATTCTTGGCTGAAGCATTGATTGGCGGCTCGATTGTTTGGTTTTTTTTTTTTGTATCCCGGAGTGGGTTACGGCCGTGGCCTCATCCAGATTTCCATTCAAAGTAGCCTGTAGGCGTCGGGTTCCTTTCCCTGAGTTGGAAGGCCGATGTTGGCAATTAGGCTCTAGGCTGGATATTGTTTGAATGGGATATATTTGGGGTCTAATGGCATGGTTGATCTGGGCCCTTTTATCACTTTTGATTTTTATGGTTGACGTAAAGACATGAAAGTTTTGCGTTGTATTACGTCAGATATTAATTATTGCCTCTTTTCTATAATAGAAACATTTTTGCCTCCATTCTTGGGCCTCCGAGGCAGAAGAGGCGAGAACACCGCCAAGACATGTCTATTCTTCATTAGCTAACCAAAGGCAGTATTTGGAGTATCGGCTGAGAGTCACCGAATTTACTGCCGACGAAACCGTTGACCGGTTAGAACACTCGAAAGGCTATGAACCGAGCTCAACCTAGCTAATTTAAACAGTTCAAGTGGTTCGAGTGCACTAAACCAGTTCAAGCAGAATATCATATTATACGCTGTAATTCGTCGGTTCACTCAATGACTCGAGCAGATCTAAAATATTTTATCTAACACCTTTACAATATTCTCTACCCAGTCTTTAACCAAAGCTTTATAATGATGTTGTGAACTGCCATGCATATTTCAACTCCTCCATTTAGTCGTTTAGTGGTCTCGTCTACCTAGAACTACTTAAACTGACTTGAACCGGTTGATTTTCGGGATCGAATGGTGTAAATTCAGCCCCAGAAATCGTACATGTAGGGCATTCTTATCCGGTTCCGTATGTAAAATAGACGTAGTCTGAATGCGATACACGGGATCCCCTAATCTAGTGCCTTTGACAAGCCCTTTACCCTACGTAGTAGATACTCCGTTGTACTCAATACCTGGGCAACTTGAATTACCCTAAGTAAACTGATAGAAGTGCTTCGAAACAATTACAAAATTGACCAGCTAGGAATTGTGTTAAAGAGAGTAAACCTTTGAATTAGTACAGAACACAGAACCGGGGTATATGGGATCCCACGCTAGTTGCCAAGAGTGTAGTTGTTCCATAATACAGTAGAGACTATTGTAAAGGTATATATTAGAAGACCGAAGGTAGGGTAATACGCAGTATGATTGTGCACTGCATTTTACCAACTACAGCCAACGAGTCAAATGAGCAACTGGAACTTGTTGAGGTTATGAAAAATGCCATTTTGTATGGATAGAGAGGCGTGCATCTCCTTTACCGGTTATGTTGACCACAGCGAGAAAGACACAAGCTTATAAGTGTAAATACACAGTTATGAGCTGTGGAGGTCTTGTGAAATAAACCCCTCACCCGGCAGTCATGATAAGCAATCGATATGGCTCCAATCTGCTTGGATGTGAACCACCCACTCTTTTCATCATCTCGCTTTCATATCTGGATTAAGGTTCGCACGACGCTCTGCTAGAGATGTACTTGTATATGCCAGGACGTTCTGCAAAATCCCCGTCAAAAGTTCTGCGAGACATATTACAACTACCATGCAGGTATTCCATCCAAGGCTCATTCGCACAGTTGCACAACAAGGTAAGCTCACTATCAAGACCTGGAATCCATGTGGTTGAACTTTCTTGACGAATATAGCAATCGCGATCTTAGCTATCCCGACAAAGAAAAACTTATAGCATTCTCTGCCATAGCAAGTAAGATGGGCCAGGCGATGAACGATGTCTACACCGCTGGTCATTTCTGAAAGACGCTTCCACATACCCTCACCTGGATGGTGGAAGATGGTAGCAGCGCAGCCCACAGAATAAAAAGAATCCCAGGTGAGACCTGTGAGGAAGGGCGCGAGAAAAAGAACAAAACTCCCACGTGAAGTTGGGCTTCCATTGATGGACCCGTGGTTGGGGGATTTCACATATATTTGCAAGATCCCACTGCGATTGCAGAGCTGAGGTCATATGGATTAACCCTACTCGACGACAGTCATCCATACGGGGCAGTAGCCTACGCGAGCCTCAGTATCGAAGCCTTCTGAGCAGAGATCGAACTGGCAACAAACCAGTTTAATTATCCTAGCGTTGGCGCACGTTTTGACGTATTAGATGAAATGCCGATGAAGGGACATTGCATGTTGTTGGTAGCATTGATACATTTTAATCTAGGGGGCGAAGAGCGTGTTGAGGGACTGATGCTGAGAAGGAAGGGAACAGCTGGGGAAGAGAAGTACACCAGAATAGGAGTTTTCCACCTCAGGCTAGATGAGAACAGTACCTTGGCCAACATTTTCGAACAAGAGAAAAGAACAATCACTTTAATATAGCGAAACTGCAGCCTACCTGGAACTGTCGATAATTTTCTCATCCTATTCATTTGGACATTTTTGTTTTGAAGAACTCAAATACAAAGACATACATAGAAAGTATGATGAATCCCAGAATTGCTCAAGTCCTCACTACTCCATGTTGCAAATCGATTGGACATGATAAAGATAAGAATTATGAGATTAAATTTCATGATTATTGCGACTCCTTTTGCCCTGCTTCGAAGACCGCCAATGCAGGAATAAAGTCACCACGTCAAAGTACTCTCAAGTTTCCACTACAGGTGCTACAGTTTCACAGAGTGATGCCGAACCCTTTAAGTGCCACAAGGTGGACTGCCATTTGAACAATTCCAGTCTTACCCCCTCATGATCTTTCCATTTCTTTGTCATGACTGGTCTTTAGTTGTAGCGTGCGAAATGTGCCATCCTTCCTGAGGAATCGACCAAGGCGCAGATCCGTAGGGCCACCTCTGCGATGATGAACACGAATCGGATTGGGGGTATCTGGAAATTAAATATAAATCATACTTTTGCAGACGGTTTATTGCAAGGTTGTGGGTATCCTTGATACGCAGAGCTATTCATGCATTACATGTATTTACATTCAGGTGATAGCCCCTCAGGGTAAAGTATAGCCTCCATCCACAACAAGATCGGCCCCAGTCGTATAGCTTGAAGCATCCGATGCCAGATACAAATAGGCACCTTTAAGCTCATGCGGCAGGGCTTCTCGGCCCATTGGAATCTTATCTTTCCAAATGCTCTTTGTCTCATCAGGAACAAACGTCGAGATATCCGTAATAATATATCCAGGCGAGACTGTGTTGGCCCGCGCAAATTGAACCCATTCCACCGCAAGTGATTTACCTGTGAATCATTAGTACTTTCCGGCTTATTTCAGGAAAGGTGGTATCAACATACACAAGTGGATGACTCCGGCTTTAGCCGCATTATACGCCGCTTGGAGTTGTGGTATATTGACAATGTGGCCACTCATGGAAGCAGTCGCAACGAAGCTACCGTATGTGAAGCGTTCAAGAGGATTGCCGAATATATCAGTACCCTCGGTCTTCTGCCTTCTCCAGTGGGCGCCAGCAGCTCTGGCACAATAAAATGTTCCATCCAGATCGGTTTGTGTCACGTCTCTGTAGTGGTCAAGCGGAGCATCAACCATGGGACCCTGAGTCCACGGAATTCCGGAGTTGGCGATAAAAATGTCTAGGCGACCGTTAAGCTCGCGGACACAAGTATTTAACAGCTCTTCCACTTTTTCGCTGTCGCGGATGTTTATTTGGTATGCACGGCCTAGTACATGATTAACCAGTATATTCAAATGGGGTGCGCGACGTGGGGATAAAAGATAGTATCTGACATACATTTAACGCCATACTTGGCTTCGATATTTGCGGCCTCCTCGACGGCTTTACTATTCCTATTATACCAAATCGCAACATTGGCGCCTGCCTCTGCGAGTGCATGCGCGACGCTCAACCCGATTCCCGATGCTGCGCCGGTAACGACGGCGGTTTTTCCTCTTAGTGAGAAGAGGGCCATAACGCTTTGCTCCACTGGAGGGGTAGTGTTATTATGGCGGAAGAGGCCATTTACGACTGGACCTTCGGACATTGTGTGTTTTCGTGCGTTGAGTGTGACGACCTGGATTGAGAAGACAGGAAGAAAAGTGTACCTTATACAGAGCACCCGATACCTGCATTAAATAGCCCTCCAGATAGATAATGTGCTACCTGTCGTGTGGAGCTATGTCCCCACTGCAGTTCAGGCATTCGTTGATGTTGTCATTCAGGGCGCACTCTGGCTCAGATTCCGGCGGATGTTCCTGCTTAAACATATCGTTCACTGTTACCGGGCTCAATGCTTACCACAGGGTAGAAGGAACAAATCATTCAAAAGCTAATGCTTAGATAATGGGAGCTTTTGCATCTATCTTGTACAATATCTCTATTTACACCTATAGTCAATGTGTGGTGGTGGGCTGCGAAGGTATCCTAGATCCAACCCCGCAATACGGTCCGGTTCCGAACATCGTGCAATTCCGGCGGAAGCTCGTTTCTGTCTACTAAACTTCGTTGAATAAGTCCTTTATACGGCATAGTGTGGTGGGTCCTGGGTCCCTTCACTTCTGGTTCAGGTATTGACTCCAGAGTATGCGGTCAGGCTGATACTCTGGCCTACAACCTTCACCCTGCTCTATTTCGGTCTGTATATCATTGTGTCGTCATTCACACTAACCGGGGTAATATCACTCTATACCTAGTACCTTGCTGAAGAATGGAATATATCTCTAGTTTCTTCAACTGGTGGTACTGTGTAGACCGGGGACGGGAAACCGGACTGTGGGACGGACCCACACCAGGGCATGGACGGAGTATGCGCCCACTCTTGGGGGTTGACCGCCATGACTTCTCCGATCAATGTAAACTGCAGTTTGCTATGATTCTCCCCTGACCTGGCTTGCAGTGTATATCATCCAGGTGTACGCGAAGCCGGGGATTGTAATCGCGCGTGATAATGGGCATGTTGCTCAAACAACAAACCAAATGCCGAAAATAAGTGCAAGGATATTGTAATTTGGGTAACAGTATCGACCAAATGGAGGTCAATCCATTAGAAACAGCATTCTTTGATCAATTTAGGTCTGGATAGCACTTGTACATTTTGCCCCATTATGCCGGTCTCATTCAATGTCAAGTGAGTTCCCGGATTGATTACGTTCTCCTAGCATCTGTGCTCCTTGACTAGGCAGGGTGCCCAGCGATTCGCTACGGCCAAGGCACTCTATTTTTAACTTGTATCGGTTGTAATCTATGAGAAATGATGGAGTTAGCGCTGGGGAATATCTGGTCGAACAAACCAGCATCAAGATGAGCAGAGATGATCATCGCGCGCTTATGAGCAGGCTTGCGACCAATCAACAGCGAAGTCGCTAGTCATAATCTAAGATTAGTCATCTTTATCCCTTGCATAATTAACTAGCATGAGCCAGGAACTTAACTACAATTCGTTCTCCTATCACAGCTTAGCTTTCAACACATTCCTAGCCGTCAATTATCTGATGCAAGATGGCTCCTATTCTGAGATGGGCAAGACACACATTTAGAAGGGCTCCATCCCCCCCCATGTGTTTCCCGACTACTGGCTTCGACACAGTCAACGGATCGCAGATACTCGAAGAGGAGCGATTTGAGGACTTGAGGAAAGGCCAATATTATCCTGTCAATATCGGGGACATTTTCAGCTCCAAATATCAGGTTATTGGCAAACTGGGGTTCGGTATTAGCTCTACAGTATGGCTTGCTCGCGACCTGGAGTAAGCTCGTTCCTATTTCTTGGCGTCCAACCGCGACAAGCTAATGGCGTCAGAGGGCATCAATATGTGACGCTCAAGGTGTACACGCGCACTGAGTCAGACATGGCAGAGTTTCAGGTCTATAACCTTTTGAATAAAGGGAGTCCATCACACCCTGGCTATGCTCATGTAAGGTGAGCGCTAGATGTGTTCACCATCCCTCGAGGGGGGGGTGACCATTGCTGTCTTGTTCAGAAACCCATGTGGGAAAGCTTTAGGGATCTGCTCTATCGCAATCCCACTCATAGATTTACCGAGGATCTACTCAAAGCTGGCCTCATGCAGGTTTTCCTTGCCCTTGACTATCTACATACCGAATGCAAGCTGGTTCATACAGGTAGGAACACGATCACCCAATCACGAATGAATGGAGGGAGAAAAAGAAGAAACTAAAACGAGTTCATCATTAGCTAATCATCCTCCGAGACAGATATTAAAGGTGATAACATTCTCCAAGAAATCGAGGATGAGTCCATCCTTGAAAAGTTTACCCAGGCTGAAATGGAGGACCCTTCACCACGCAAGACCATCAACGGTATCCCAGTGTATGCGTCTAGACGATTTGAGCTGCCAAATTCATTTGGCCGGGCCGTTCTCAGCGATTTTGGTTCAGCAGTGCGAGGGGACGAAAAGAGAAATCATGACGCACAGCCGAATGTTTACAGATCTCCGGAGGTGATGTTGAAGACTGAATGGAGCTACCCAGTGGATATATGGAACGTGGGAACTATGGTAAGTCCTACAGTCTATATCTGCTAACAAATGTTTGCTACTGCAAACTAACACAAGGATTAGATTTGGGATCTCTTCGAAGGAAAGCATATGTTCTATGGCAACGATCCCGATGGGAAAGGGTATTCTACCCGTGCGCACCTTGCTGAGGTGATTGGTCTTCTAGGACCGCCGCCGTTAGATATGTTAAAGCGCGGACGACGGAGCAATGAGTTCTTCAATGAAGATGGTATGTACTATGTGTTGTTCCTTCTGGATCCATGAAGCGTCAGCAAGTGGCTTATCGATGCTCAATAGGTCAATGGAAACAAGATATCGCAATACCGAGCCAGAGTCTAGAAACGTCGGAATCATTCCTTGAGGGGAGGAACAAAGAGATGTTCTTAGCATTCATGAGGGGAATGTTACAATGGAAACCAGAGGATAGAAAGACGGCCAGAGAGCTTCTCGAGGACCCTTGGCTAAATGACCGGCTAGACTAGTTTGCCTGCGACTCCCTGTATTCGATAGCTATCGACTGGTGTAATGAACCTGAACGAGGAAGAGAGCTAATTGACGAAGCCATCTAGGTAGCAGTCGAAGTTACCCTAACACATTCTAATTCTGTGACCGAGCATGGCCAGAGCGATCCCGTTCTCGACGAGAAGACGACATACTCCAATTGGGGCCATCACCTAAGAGATCCTATCTCTTACGGGCGTCGCACGCACAACCCATGTTCCAGGCGCCTCAGCTAGAACAAGGAGTTGTTGATCTACCATAACTTGAGCTATTTCCGGATGGCGAATGTAATTACTGCACGTTGTTCGATTCGATGGCATCTCACAACTTAGAAATGTTTCCTATATGGCCACGCTATACCTAGCACCTTCTCCAGTAAGCATTTGTACATAAGCCAAGTTACTTCCTATATTCCTCGTCGATCTGGATTAATGCATCCATCCCATCCCGCTCCAAAGCCTCCGTATCCAATACCATCGTCGCTATCAAGACCGCCGGCTCCGTTTTGCTGGCATTATCGCTGATGCGGTGATGGCAACCCGGCGCCTCATACCACGAACCACCCGTCTCAATCACTTTCATCGGATCGTCGTTCATCTTGTTCAGGAGTGTTCCGCTCACAACATAAGCCGCAACGGCAGCGCCCCCGTGACGATGCGGGGGGGTGGACCCGTTTGGGGGGAATTCAACGCGAAGGCCGACAATGCTCTTGCCCGGGGTATGGGTAAGCTTGTATTGGTAAATGATGTTGATAGCAGGCATCGGGCGGCTACTCTGTTAGGTTCAGTGTCGAAGTAGGTGGTAGTCAATATACGTACCTGGGGTCGTAGGTTGGTTCTTCCATTTTGAGACTTCGCTGATGGTGTGGATTGTCCTGCGGTTTCAGTTAAGTATGTCAGGACGCTTTTATATTGACATTTCCCTCGTACGGTGAGCAATTCTATTATATCATACGACCAGTTCGCATAGGCTATTGTCGTGTTGTTGCTAGTTACGGGACGCCTATTCGGCCCGAGCAACGTAGGGATGGTACCCGTACCGGGTATATTGTTGACGGCAGTACATCCCGCACCGGCAATCCGATAGGCTATCAATAGCCTATTCTATTCCGACCGCAATAGGTTATCAATCTCAAGTTTTCATACATCCAAGCGCTCATCTATCCAGAGCCATATACTTTACTTACTACTGACACAAGATGAGTAATGATTTCAATAATACAATAATTGTCCAATACTACAATCGCTACAAAAAGAACAATTGCGACGACTCTCCGCCTCCTGGCGACTAAGATCGTTGGCAAGTGTTGGCTGCGGTCGGAACTGGACTAGGTCGAGCACTCAAGTGCCTCTGGCAGAAAGGACTGCTACAGCTCTTCATCTTCTATTAATATACTGTATAATAAACCAGAGAGAAGTTGGGTGGTTGATGAGGATTGCGAGACCTATAAATCCCGTCCGGGCCAATGTACGGGCCGGTCTCGGTCAGCGGGATTAATATTAAAACGGCTCGGTTTTTACCACGGAGCTAATGCATTAAAGATGCCAGGCACCTCGCCAGGCTAGGTCCAGACTTCCAGAACTTTATACATGGTCAAGGCATGTCTCGGCAGAGGACTTTCTCCAACTCGTCCGTTTCCAGGTCTGACTATGGGATCACGGGATGATCCAAGGCTCAGTACAAATGACATCCAACATTGAACACGCGACCACCTTCCTTATTTTCATACCCTACCATGATTAGTAGTTAGTTATTGATTGTTATTCTTTATTGAACCTCGTATGGTTGTTACTTCCAGCGATATCGGCCAGTCAGAAACCTGGTTTCACGGGAAGTGCCTGCCAAGACTATGAACTTTATTAAGGAGAAAAAAATTCCATGTCGTATAAACATAGATAAGGATTCTCCTATCCATGGAAAAGACCAGTAAGAAGTGTTCTGACTGGCGCGATCGTTGGAAAACGCGTGGAAGCTCGTATTTATGGGTCCTAGGGTGTAATCTCGGAGCTTTATAGCGTACCATTGTCTCGGGCTGAACGGGCTGCATATGAAATGTCTTACCTCAAGCTAAGCTTAGTTTGCAAATAGGGACGCACCACTTTTACCCTGACGTGCTCTCCACGCCTGGGGAAGTTGCCACTCTTTAAGGCCCTGTGATGGCAACGCTCTTGGTCGCGAAATATTGCCACATACGGTACGAGCAGGAGTATTCTCGGCGCGGAACGGCGGACACAGGCCGAGGTCCAGCGATTAGAACCTTAAATGACTTGAGACGGCAGGAACAAGAAAATGGATTTTCATGCCACTCTAAGTCCGGTACACACAACCACTGCACCAAGGATGAGGCTGTCCTTTATCCACGGAATCTTATTTTTGAACATAATAATCCCTGTATCTTCCGAACGTCTAGTCAATCACCTCAATCGCTGCAAGGCCCACGTGTGCGCCACGGTATTATCCCCATTAAGCATAAGGAAATGGCTGGCCCGTGTCCACTGTGGATCCAGCCCAGTACTACATAGTTGGTCGTCACACCTTCCAGTCCCAAGGATTGGAATGTCGTTGTGACCCGTAGTGTGGACGCCTTCTTCTATTTTTTCGCCGAGTCATGTCCATATGTTGTCCATATATGAGCCAAGTCTCTCTCCCGTATTAATCATCACAGCGATGGATTGTTACTACTGGAATCACTGCTATCCCCCTACATCCATCGGGTCGGGATGGTGTCAAATGTGAATAGCTGGGTGTGGTTGGCAGTCGTAGTGCTAATCGGTAGGTTATCTTAATGTTGGGCAAGTCTGCAGATCTCTAACAGATTTGCCCTAGCATTACTACGCTATGTCTCCCGGTGGCTTCAATTGGGTACGCCCAAAAACTTCCAAATCGAAGACCTTGTGATGATTGTCAATGTGGTATGTATAATATTTCAATGCTTCCTAAAATTATTCACGGACTAACCATGCCAGGTTCTCTACGTTCTATTAACGGTTTACTTGATCGAGGTCGAAAAGCACGGGACCAATGGGATTCCCTTAGACAAAGTCGACCGCATTGATCCCTCAACAATACCGGATCTTATCAAGGGGAGTAAGCTAGTGCTTGTAGTAGAACAGCTATGGCTAGGAGTCATCTGGGGATGCAAGGCATGCTTGCTCTTGTTATACTCGACCATGACGTGAGTGCACAAGCTTTCTTCAGCAAATACAACCTAATTAATCGATAGATCGGGCCTTTCGCAACATCGAATTGTCAAATTCATCGGTGCATTCTGTGCGCTGAGTTTCGTGCTAGTTGAAATCCTCTTTTTCGCAGCATGGTGTCACCCTTTCTCCGCCTACTGGTCGGTCCCGCCAAAAAACATACAATGTTCCGTCTACCGCAATCACCTCATCCTCGTCTTGGCCCTGAATGTTGCTACCGACCTCATGATCATGTGCATCCCATTGCCCCTCTTGATTAAAGCCAAGCTAAGCCTCTCCAAGAAGCTTACGCTGTGCGCCGTTTTCTCACTGGGTATATTCGTCATCCTCTGCTCGATCCTCTCCAAGTACTACTCTATATCGAATCCCTACGGAGACCGCTGGGTGGACTGGTACGTCCGGGAGGCAGCGACGGCCATTGTAGTCGCTAATATCCCTCAAACATGGACATTGTTCCGGCGAATGTTCAACTGGAAGTCCTTCTTGGCACACTCGTCATATAACCGCAGCCACAGCCGAAGCAAGTACACCAATCGTCTGGATAGCTCCACCATCCATCTCTCGCGATTCAAAGGTGGAGATAAATCGCATACGCACTCTGTCGACATCACGGCGTCTGGGGAGCATATTAATCGGGACGAGCCGTTGGAAATCTGGGAGCATCGTCAGTTCCATGTCACGAATGAACCGGGAGCATCGAGCGATAGCGGTAGTCAGAGCAGTATCAGCTTGGAGTTTGATACTACTGGGCTGAATCCGCAAGGCAAGACGACCGTGACGACAATGCCTTGATTAGGTGTCTGCGTGACGTGGTATGAATGGCAGGGATTGCGCTCAAGTTCGTGTGGATTTAAATCCCCCGAGTCCGCATTATTCCATTGCTTGTATCGTTAGAAATACACACATAGATAATTAGAGATACCTCAACAATAGAGGCCACCCTTAGAGCTCGGAGAATACTCCACTCAGACAAATACCGGAGCCCTCCCGCCAAGCCTGGTCGGCATTAACTGAGCAGGGTTAAAATCCTTCCCCGTAGGATTCGTCACTCCCGTTGCCTGCGCTTGTGCTATGCATTTTTCTAAGCTCCCGTCTGGCAATAGTGGAGCCAAGTCCCAAGTATAATACTGCGGATTTCAAGAATCACATCTACTTAGTAACCTGTGCCTAAATAGTAAGCCCTTCACAGAACAAAAGAGAACAAGGCAAGAACGTGGTCTTTAGCCGTCCAAGTATAAATACATTCTTTTAAAGCTGCGCTCGATGCCTTGGATCAAGTATGATTAAACTGATACTTTCATACTGCCAAAAAGATAAAGGAATATCTAAGACAATGCCAGGATCTCCAAGTTTCACATCTGGCCGAAAGCCTATCTAGACCTATACCCTATACCTCCGAAGTGAACCTCCCAACTTCCTACGCTAAGTGTATCCTTTTAGCAATAATATCCCACGATTTCATATTTCGCTTCGTCTATGACAGGAACCTTTCGTAGAGATAGAAAGGACATGACGTGATGCCTGAGTTAGCATTTAATCCCGACAACGATATTCTGGGCTTGTCCAGTAAAGTGATTTTCATCACAGGAGGCAAGTTGCCATGTGCAATGCAGGTATCATGGCACTTCCTCCAGGACTAACAAAAGACCGATACGAGGTGCAGTTCGGCACCAACCATCTAGGCCATACATTGCTGATCCAGAAGCTGTTACCACTACAGCAACGTACCACCGAAACAGGCACGGATGTACGCGTCGTTATCCTCACATCGATATGTTATCAGCTGCATCCCTATGGGGTTATCATTTCCGACGACTTGAAAATTACGCAGGACTACGGCTTCTTGGTATCCTGGAGACAGTACGGTCAGAGCAAGCTGGCTAATATTTTGTATACCCGAGAATTGGCTCGTCGGTATCCGGGTATTACCGCCGCCTCAGTTCATCCCGAGGTGATATGAACCTGGGATGGGCGCATCGCTGGTTCATTTATGCGACTATTTTTAATCAGATGGTCACGCTCGAGGACGGTGCGTATAACCAGTTGTGGGCTGCTACGACGTCTAAGGATCGTTTGATGACCGGTCAGTTATATATGCTGGTTGGTGTTGCGTCTAACGATAAGCTCACCGAGACCGCGCAAGACGATGTATTGGCTGGCCAGCTTTGGGGGTGGACGGATAAGGCATTGGAAGACTAATATCATTGATTTGAGAAGTTGATCTGATGTATAGTGACTGTATTTTTATTTTATTTATTTCTTTATTTTTAATTTCAGCTGCTCTTCTCTTTGTACTACTAGTCGTATGCAAGTGTTCCAGAAAATATATACATTCGCTGACGTCATTGCATTATATATGTTGTCCCACGTTTTAAGTCCAATTCTATTAATTCTTGGAAATCCTATGCCGTCGAAATGAAGGTGCCGCGATAATCATTCTAGATACCACTATTCTCCTTCATTTCTCTACATATCCAATGACAGTAAAAAAATTCTCAGGGTCGAGACAAATCCAGTGACGATGAATTTCCGGAGTAGGACTAGCGCATGGTCACATGTGGCACTATACCCGAAGTGACGTTAGTGACCCGTGCATTCAAGAATTAAGATTCAAGAACGATCGCCAAATGTATTATACTTTTGCGGCAAATTTCCAGCTGAGATTCCTGACGAACTATTTGGTATATTTAATCATTGGGCTCGCTGCTCGGCAATGCCTGAGATAAATTATGCCCCGCGAGGTGGCAGGAATAGGAGTGCATGCGATCTATGTCGGCACCGAAAGGTAAATTGACTCCCGGCGATATCCTGATAATAAGCCCTCTCTATTTACAATAAACTTGTCAACAACTGATACAGATTCGTTGTGATCGCGCCCAACCGTCTTGTGAAAATTGCTTGCTGGCACGAGTGTCGTGTACCTTTACTGCGAAGCCAACTGAGGCGCGTAAAAGCATTAGAGAGTAAGATACGTCATGAAGCTGCTCTTTTGAGTTCTTTTGGCCTAAGAATATCACATCTAGGCGTCTCTCCGAAACACAACGCCAGGTACAAAATCTTGAGAGCTTGATTACCAACAGTGGCTCTGCCTCCTGTGGTTCAGCAAAGGCTTCCACTCATAATAACTATTCTGCACAAGCTCATTTTCATGACACGGCTGGCTTTGAGAATGCCCTGTCTACATTTCAACAACATCTGGAGTACTCCTGGCCCGGAGGTGACCGGTCATCCCACAGGGCCAGCTTCTGCTCCGCAATATTTCACCACACTGGTTCTCATTTCGATCTTGACAACTTCTTCCGTCAGGTCACAGACTCGTATCAATCGCGATTTGGGATAGAAGAAAAGAAGCAAGCGACCTCCCAATGGCCTGACAAGCGTTTGGTCAGGAATTGTATTGAATATTATGATCGCAAAGGACTTTACTCGGTCTTCCCCATAGTCGATATTCGCGTGGTCCGTGAGCTCTTTGACGCGGGTGTTTTAGACGACCCATCCAAAGCCAGTCCCGTGGCCAACAAGGCATGTCTCGTCGCATTCACGGCGCTTATCGCTCAGCTACATCGCCATAGCCCAATGTTCGCGCACGCTAAACCGGATTCCTACGTGCGAGCGGTGTTATCATTGTTACCAGACTTATTCATGGAAGAGGCTGACGTGCGAACATTGGAAACGTTCATTATTTTGGTGAGTGATTGAGACACGGTAGTATAACTCGTATCTCATTTTTGCAGACCATATATATACCCCCGACCGGGCAAAGTTACCCAGCTGAGATGATGCTTGCTGCAGCTGTACGCATCCTCTATAAGCTTGGTGGCCACCGACAAAATAATCCCGACGGGGATCAGGGGACGCACAACCATTACCACATACGCTCTCTCTTCTGGCTAAGTTATTGGATGGACAAAGAAATGTCATTACGCGCGTGTCGCGAACCGATGATAAACGACGCAAGCTGTGACTTGGAATTGCCGTCCACCTATGTCTCCCAATCCTCGACTTATCAATTCCTACAGGCTCCCCTCTCGTCTGAAATACTACTATATCCTTCCGACCTCCGCCTTGCGCTAATCAAATCAAAAATCTATCGTCTGCTTCACTCTGACTCAGGCCGTGCCCATCCCGAATCCACCCGGATGCAACACATCATTGAGCTAGATCAAGAGCTGAGTGCTTTAGAATCGAGCTTTCCTGCACATTGCCAACCTCATGTGTTCGCAACCCCAGATTGTCCTTTGTACGCATTCCATGACCTTAGCATGCGTGGTGTGACTTTGCACTTGGATTACTACTATTGCGTGAAAAGGATCCACGAGGCAAGTGCTGCCTGCAGCACACAGTATTCCTTTTCGTCGGGCATGGGGCTTTCTTACCAGACTTCACGATGCATGTTGCTATACATTAACCAAGTGAAATCTTTTATCACTTGGCATAGTTTTTGGTTCGTACCAACCGTCATCTCAAATCTAATCTATTTTACCAGCTAATGGTTGGCTTTCACCTTAGGATATATGCTCAATGGTTATTATCGGCTGTGATATCCCTGTTTTATCACTGCATGTCCAACCCCACGTCTCCAACCTTTTCCGGGGATCTTGAAATCCTCGAGAATACAAGAGACATTTTCACTTGTCTTATGCGTAGTACCGAAGAAGGGAAGTGCATTGCGCCGTTCTACATTACTGAGGCGTTTGTCGACACACTCATTCAATTTGCTAAGCAATCATACATCAAAGCGACTGCCATTGAGCGTTAACGTGTACATTACCTTTTGACCGATACTTTACAAATTCTTTATGAATATAATAAGACGCTGATAATCTTTCAAATGAAGAGTTGTACCAGAAATACTGCTACGACTTCTGCAGCTCCATATTCCACGTGCTGGAGCTTTACCATAAGGTAGGAAGGATCAAAAAGGACCTTTGGCTGTTCCAAAACTAGGTCTAGAAAGTTACAGCTCAACCTCGGAAGTCGTACTCCGGGACTTGTACATTAGGTTAAAACCACCGGGACAAATGCCGTTGCTTAAATTATCTTCGGCTGTTTATTGGCGGCATTTAACCTGCTTGTGGCCTCGATGATGTACGCAGTACGTGCTTGCGGTTTCCACCGCGGACCTGGAGGACTTCAAATTCCACCACAAATGCTCAGACTTGCGCTCTTGGCGAATCTTAGTCGTGCAATTGACTTTACCGGGTAGCAATAGACTTGCCGATTGGGCTTCACAGCCGTATGAAGAGATATGAAGCGCCGGGAAACTGAGGTCTAGCTCCACAGCTGAAACGCTTAATAGCAACGGTAATCGCGCCAAGAAACACCGTCATCTCTATTTGGACCCACCAAAGATGTCCGAACCAATTATTTCATTGCCGATGAATAAGCGGGCCGTTTTTGCCCCGAGATATGAAGTGCCAAGCTCTGGTAACCAAGCGTGCCCAGTTGAGGACAAGACCAAATCTACAGGATGGAAAGTCCTTTGCACTGCCTATGAGCGGACGAGTCTTACTAACTAGCTCGGCACAATCGGGTTCCTACATATCTGGAGAGCTAGTGGTGACCATCCTTCCCTATAGAGGTCTTGTGAGTAGCATAACATGCTTACCCGCCTCTCAAGAGTTGGATTACTACGCATAGTCTTTATTACAAGCCCAGCCATCATATCGGACTGTATATGAAGAGGATGTGCTCTTGCCTGGATATTATCCGTATCCAAAACGACACTAGATGAGCGTATTAATCTATTGCCTCCTCTTTGTTGCGTAGAAACTTGAATCGAGTCATACTCTAGCCAGTGCTCCGGCAGACTAAGATGCATAACAGGCTGCGCCCCAAAACATAGACAGTCTTGGCTGCAGATCTTGTGGCTCTCCAGATTCAATCCACTGCTCCAGCGGTCCCACTACGCGGGCCGTGCAGCCCAGTCACATTCGACGCATTCGTCATTCCAGGAGGCATTCACTTTGATAGGTCGCGAGATGTGGTTGAATAGTGATTGACATGCTGCGTTTCCGTATCAAGAAGGTCAAAATTCTGTCTACTGGTATCTCAAACATTCATGCAGGAGCTTGCTGACGACGATTCTGACGAACGGCGATGAATTCCGTCTACCGGCTGCAGACCTTGGTAGCACATGGAATCCCATCTGCTAATGGCTCCGAAGCTTGGATAATGGAGGTTGGGGTATATAATAGGTCGTTGCTGTCGCTCCCAAGATGATAATAACTCAGACTTCTCTTCCAAATCCTCACCACTAGTCTTATCTTGCTGTTTCGACCCTCAATATGCAAATTGTTTCTTTGAGCAAGTTGGCCATACTAGGCCTAGCCGGCCTGGCAATTGCCCACCCTGGCGTCCATGAGCCCAGCTCCATGTCGCATTCCGCGAAGAGAAGCTTCCTCAACAACGCGAAGCGTTCCCTCAGCAAATGCAGCAGCCATTTGGAACGCCGTGGAATCAACGACCGGATCCAGGCTCGCCGTGCCTCCGCGTACGAGATGTACCGCAAGCGCAGCATCGATGCTCGCGATTACAACCCTTCCGTGAACACCTCGCACCACTCTACCCTCGATGTGACCTCCCAAACCACGGAGCAGGAGCTGTTCGCCAAGAACCCTGTGTGCATTCTCTCCCCCGAAGGAGAAATCGGACCCTTCTGGGTGAAGGGTGAACTGGTCCGGTCTGATGTCCGCGACGGCGAGGCCGGTATCCCGATCATTATGGACGGCCAGTTCATCGACATTGAGACCTGCGAGCCCATCAAGGATCTCTACTGGGACGTGTGGAACTGCAACTCCACCGGTGTCTACTCCGGCGTCCAGAGCTCCATGAATGGCAATGGCAACGATGACTCCAACCTCGACAAGACCTTCTTGCGTGGTGTCCAGAAGACCGATGCCGACGGTGTCGCGCAATTCCAGTCCATGTTCCCCGGTCACTACTCCGGCAGAACCACCCACGTCCACGTCGTCGCCCACGTCGGTGCCACCCAATTGCAGAACAACACCATCACCGGTGGCCACGTCGCTCACATCGGTCAGCTCTTCTTCGATCAGGATCTCGTTTACAAGGTCGAGGCTACTTACCCTTACAACACGAACAATGTCTCCATCACCACCAACGCCGATGACCATGTCGTTCAGGATGAGACTGAAGATAGCGCCTCGGACCCCTTCTTCGAGTATGCTTTCCTCGGAGATGCCCTTGAGGATGGTATCTATGCCTGGATTACTTTGGGTGTGAATGTCTCCGCCAGTTATGATACCAGCTATGCTGCTACCCTGACTTCTTCTGGTGGTGTTTCCAACTCTAACAGCAGCCCTGGTGATACTGTTAACTTCTGATTGATTCCATCCACGGCTGGAAGCAGGATATTGAGGTAGTCTAGCATATGTGATTGCATGTGTGTCCACTTCACTCATTTTATATATCTGGATGCACTCATTGTTAAATAGTCAAGTTGCGTTCGTGTATCTAAGCTTTACCAATAGTACTTGAGCCATTATTTAGACCAGTGCTTATTTCAAACCCATAATGGAAATTGCTCTGCCACCGATGCAACGCCAGAATCTTCGCGAAGTTAATTAAGCCAGATAGCATGTCATGAAAAAGGTATGCTACTCAAACCATTTTATAGCACAAGCTTGACCCTGCCCAAAGACTCCTATCAGCTCATCCACTGCCCTGATCTCCTTCCTGCATGGGGTTCTCCTTCGACAAGACTGTGAATGGACCTTACCATTCGCCAGCTCGCCCGTATAGATATGCACTCGCACTTGGAATAATCTGTCGACTCTTACCGCAAAGACTTTCCGCAACTTGAGGGGGCTAAGTAGTCACGCGGATGTTGTCTTGAGCTATGTTATATCCGGTTCTGTAATAGAACGCCTGCGTAACTTAGTTAATTTATTTCTACCATTTGGATTTGAGTGATAGCATAGTTGTACCTTACAGAATATAGGAAACCGTGGTAAATACCAAGTGCTTCCAGTCCCTATTTTCATTCTCGCCCTGGCAGTACTGATGGGCCTTGATTTAGCCTGAATGGGAGATACAGACCTCGCATGTAATGAAACGGGAGAATACCGTTGACAGCCGTCTGTTAATGAGTGTAGAATAATTGGTGTAGGTATACTCTCTTAAGCAGGAAATACCGCTGGTCCGATATGACTCTATATACTAATGGGTCTTTATATATTTTAGACATTATGTTCGAAGTAGAGATAAGGTTACAATCTAGGCATCCTCCAAAAGTGCAACTGAAATAGAAACATCCCGTCCTGAGTATATGGCTCACCGATATGAACGGCATTTGATCATGTTTCAAGCTTGCCTATTCCGTGGCGGAGCCGTTATCGAGCATCCTGCAGATTAGATAGGATCATAAATGGACAAAATAGAGGAAGATCAAGGATCCACCCTCGGGTTCGGGTTCGGGTTCGCGTGCGGGAACATCAACCCTAGATGACTGCTTGTTGTTCTTTTTTTAAGATTAGAGTCACTAAGCTTAACATTTAGGCAGCATCTATCCATATTCCATAATTTTATGAAGTTGATTACACAGGTCTAGATGAGTGGCTGTTGAAGAAGTTTTCAATAACGGCAAATTGATAAAAGGAAATCTTGAAGAATGGTTGAACATGCAGATTGGATACTAGTAGAGCTAACATCTCTAGAAGTCTCTGAGGGACCTGGCATCCGTATCTATCCTTACTGAAGATCTCTTGTCTTGTAAAGAATACCACTTTCAGTCGTCATGTATACAGTATGGAGAATGGGTTCATAGTGTAAACCTTGTTGTACGGAACTCCCATGCCAAGTGTCTGCAGGATCGACAAGCTCTTGGCATTCGCGATGACTGAGATATGTACTAGATCTGATTCTCCGTAACCGTTGCAGCTAGCTCCGTACAGCCCCAAGAATAACCAGAAGCCAAGAGAAGTTTAAAACGATTGACAATATATCGAATCTGGCTGCCTTGAACAAACCCAATACTGAAGCCTACCTCTCCACCAAAAGCACCTACCTTCATCTCTTGGCTTTTATCGCTGAAGATGTATAAAAGGACGTGTTGGACAAGGTCAGTATACATCAATTCATTCAGCCATCTCAAGGCACAATCCAGATCTCAGTTGTCACTATTATCATTTAGCACCATCCAATAACGACCTATAAAACACAAAAGCAAAAATGAACCTCTTCGACACCCGCTGGAAACTCCCCCTCCACTGCTTCCAAATATTTCTGATCGTGATGGTAATTGGTCTTTCCATCCCAAGGCTCTTCATGAAGAACCAGCCCCGCACGCGAGCTAGTACAATCGGCCTCGGGATGGTAAATCCCTCCTCTTCCGTGGTTCAAGCAACCCACAACTAACCATCGAGCTCCATACAGGGTGCAAAATCCCTAGTAATTGTCCTCTACCAACTCCTGACAGAACACATCGCCGCCCTCGGAAAATGGGCAAGTCTAAAAGCATACACGATTCTCAATGCCCTGGAGATCGTTTTCTGGGCCGCAGTTGCGGTTTTGACTATTCAGGCCAATGTACAGATGTGTGTGGCGCCTGGATGCATCTTGGGCTGGGGCGTGGCTATTACGGGGATTAACTTGAGGTATGGCATCTGGTTCTAGATGATGGGTGTGGATATTGTGTGGTTGACGTTGTTTACGGATAGTGTTTTGGCGATTTATGCGACTATCATTTCTTATCGTGAATGGCAACAGTCTAAGGGTGGGGAAAGGTCGGATGGATACAAGAGGGCCCATGAGTTGAGGAGTGCTAGCCCTGTTTCTAGTGTGTGATTGGGATTTGATCGCTTGGGGTATTTATGAGGTTATGTTCCGTTTTTGTTGGTTTGTGTATGTCTCGCTTGTTGGTTTGGGTTTTTGGAATAGATATACTGATGTCATCTGCTAAACGTATGTAGGGAATGTAGCTATACGCTTTTTCTAACACGATATTTCTGTTATATTTGTGTAGCGGATAGGCAGGTGACACATTTACATAGAATAAATTGGCATTGGGGCAGATTAGAGGAATGGAAGGATGGTGGAAAACAACGGATGGGAAAGAAAAAGCATTGAAGTAACTATAATACTCCACATCAACATATGAATGCTAGACACTGCGAGAGTACCACTTGTTGCCTACAATAATTGTTAACGTTAACCAATAAATAGAGTTCACATGATCCACATCGACAGAGCGAGATGTAGCTTACATTTTCCGGGGATACCTGTTGGTGTGGTTGGTGATCTGACGCGGAAGAGCCTTTACCAATATTGCTCGGATTCGCAGTAGGGGACGCTGGAGTGGGCGTCGCAGAAACAGAGGTAAACTTGGGTTCAGTGCGCACGCAGACATAATAACCCGGTTGTATACCTGTGCATCCCTCACCAATAGAGCTATATGATGTGTTAATAGCCAACTTAGTCTTGCTGCTATCCGATCGCCGCAGCATGGACTTACGGATTCCATGAATAGAACTGCTCAAGAGTATAACTGCCATATTCATCCTGAATGGTGTAGCAGGTATCCCTCAGTTGCACTAGATGATACTTGGTGCAGGATGAGGTGACACCATTTTGCGTGGGAGCTACTATACCGGAGTATGTGATAGTGCCTGGATGATCGGAGGTCCGGGTAGTTGCAGTGATTGTGGTAGATGTTGTCACCGAAGAGGGCCCTGCGACGCAGTAGCTCCTTCCACGAGTCATGATACATGACAGTGACAGATCTGGGTTCTACGCAAGGTTTAGTTTATTAAACTTAATTATACAGAACAAGATGCATTCGTTGGTCATGATATCACACGCCAATAATGTGAGAAGTCCAATTCCAACGGGATAAGACTAAGTAGTCGGGAGGGGAGCACGTAGACTCACCCAAGATCGAAATTGCGCCCTCGTGATCCCAAAGTAGGCTTCAATGGACTCGCAGCTGTCGCTTGATCCAATGTCGTTCGCCCAGTACTCGCACTGATCAACAACGGATGATTCAGTGGGCCCAGTCGCGCTCTCGCCATTAATCCACGCAACAACTGACTCGCAAAAAAGAATCTGAAGAAGGACCCAAAAGCTCAACATTTTGATACGAGTATCAAGCCTGGGTTTGAGCCAACTCTCGAGACGATATTAATTAGCACATTGGCAGGTTCGCTTTCTTTGAAGTCAGGAATTAAAGAGATGTAGGCGAGTAGCAACTTGTAGAAACCACCGGTTAATCAAGAGCACACGTATATGGTCTTGCACTCAGAGCTAATGTCTAGCTCAGCTTAGCACGACCTACTATATGCACATCCGCCTACTTTGTCCGTGATTGACCTTGTACTAAGTAGCTGGAAGGCCTGGGCGAATCTATACCTTCTAACATTACCCAGTCTCCCACAGAGAAAACAACCTGGATTATTGCTGCCCCTTATAAGAATTTTCGCATAGGCTGCAAGGTTACACCTTGCTAGGATATTATGAATTGGGGAAATTACTATGCGCTAGCCAGTGCGTCCTACTAAAACAAGACATAAAAGGGCGTTCTTGGCATCTAAGCTAAGTCTATAGTGGGGAATGAATTGCTAATCAATACTACATTGTGTCACGCCACCAGAGCATCGGAAATTAAGATACACATCCGTAGTAGTACATTCGCGGTGAAACTTTCCTTGTGTTTTCATGGCTAAAGGGGGTATGTCATCAGGATAGATGCAAAATATTCTCGGATCTCTTCGGGTACTTCCTCTTCTATCCTACAGGAGATGATCGAGTGGCGATGGGCGATAGTTCCATCCATGCCATCACCGTCTTCTCGATCCCATTCATCATCAGATCCCTCGGACTCCTCAAATTTTTGGTCCAGATCCACGCCGTTTGATCGTAAGAATTCAACCATTTCTTGATCGTGTCTTTGAATAGCGACACGTAATGCCCGGTATCCATATACTGTGCCATCAACCCCATTATCGAACAAGAATTGAAGCATGGTTGTGTTGCGGCGCTGTACCACTAGCTTTAGAACACTTGCATAAGATCCGGGGCCCCCATGTTTCAGTAATATTGCGATAATATCACATCGACTATCCTCAACCGCCCGATACAAGGGAGAGGGGCGGTAGCGGTCTGGATCAGCCCCTTTCTCAAGCAAGTATTTGACCAGATCCGCATGCCCACACCTGACTGCTAGAAAGACTGGTGGAGGGTCCTTCGCGCGAGAGTGTCGACGTCGGGTTCGCCCAGGGTTGTCATCACGCAGGTTCCCACGATAAAAGTTCACCTGAGCACCCCAATCTAATAGAATCGTTATGATTTCCTGGTGATCGATTTCAATAGCAGCAAGTAAAGCCTTTTGGATTTGGACAATATCTGCGACACTATACCCAGAAGTCCTTAATGGATGAGCTGAAACGTCGCGGGTCAATGGGTGCTCGTCTTCGTCATTTGAGTTCCATTCAACCTCGTCCGAATCCTCTTCCCATAGTTCCTCGGCAGGAGCTTCACTTCTCCAGCGTGGTCCTGGTGGAGTTCGCAACTTCGTTCGCGCAGCACTGAGCCCCTTTAAAAGTTTTTCAATACGTCCAACGTTTCCCTGCTCCGTGGCGAACGCTAATGCAGACCCGTGGTAGTAGCGACTGTTGTATTCATAGAGAAAGTCGTATAGCGTATGACGTAGATGGCGGTTCGTCCGTACCAGTGCATAGACATCCTGTTGACATGGCAGATACGACGCGATCAAAAAGAGTGTGTCATTCGGTAGTCCAGTGAGACACATTGCATGAGAGGGAATCTGTCGGGAGGAGGGCTAAGGGACAATTATGGAATAGAGCCAAAGAGGCTTTCGATGGAGCCTTTCAACCCTTACGAAAAAGAACTACCCCGGGGTATCGGAAAACACGGGATCTACTCTTCTCGTTAGTGACGACTAGCGGCTTGGTATGTCGACAATCTAGATCCGGACGGGGATCTGTTTTATTTGTGGCTACCAACGGCCCCACATTGCCTATGATAGTTTTGGTACGGAGTAGACTTTTTGAAACGGCTATTGCTGTTGTACAAGCAGCGAAAGCTTCAAATGTCATGGTTCAGTGACTGTAAACGGTGCTAGGAGCGATGGTAGTAGGACAATAGGAACGATATAGGCGATAAGCATATAAGACTAGCCTACACATGATCAAAGTTGGAATATAGAGGCTCCTACTCTAAAGATGGTGTGGTTCGCGCCCTACTATGGGTAGTATTTCCGTCCAACAGCTTGTTCGTTAAGGCTGGGTTGGCTTCCCCTGTAGTACAATGAAGATATCTCTCGATTGTAGGTGATTTAAAACAATAGCAAGTGGCATTTCCACTGCAAGGAATATAAGAGCTTGCAATACTAAGAGACCGCCATGCTAAGGCGTATGACAAAAGCTGGATAGCCTTAGTCCAACATACAATTCGAGAATATAAGGACTCTGTAAGGACTGTATGTCTAATGAGATCATACTCGGGATGGATAGGAACAGTGACATGTGCTTTATAATCTTACGGCAAATTCAACACTGCCACCCTACGCTCAAATTGGGTGTTCAAAATAGTTGACACGACCAGAGTAGCGCACTGTGGATTGTTGACCAACATACTAAGTAAAGTTAGTTTTGGGGGGGGCGCGGGTTGTTAACTATTAGTATGATTGAATACCCACACCATCACCCAACAAGTTGACACCCACAGATTCACCTTCCTGCCGCCGGAAATGAGTAATTGACCAGGTTTATCAATACGCTGGATTCACATCTCTGCCACTCTGTATTACTCCCAGTAAACCGCTCATTCTGTATCTCGTTTACCATCTCGTTCTATTTCCCCTCTTTCGTTCCGATCTTCGCTTTATCCCAGGACCAGCCCTTTCCAAATTCACTGACCTCTACCCTCTCTTACTCGCTCGTACTGGATCTGCTCACGAGCATCACCTCCACCTTCACAAGCGTTATGGGCCTTTCGTTCGTCTGGGGCCCAATAATGTTTCTGTTGGCTCTCCCGCTGCCATCCCCATCCTCTATAATGCACGTACTCGATACCCCAAGTCAGCGTTTTACCCGGTGATGGGAAATGTCGCTCATGGAAAGGTTGTTCCTATAATCTTCTTCATGCAGGACGAATCCATTCACGAGTCGATGAAGCGGCCCATTGCCCAGGTGTATGCCATGACAAATTTTAAGACATACGAGCCGCTGATAGACAGCACCAAATCTCTCTGCTTAACCAAATTGGAGAAATTCGTAGAGGAAGGGAGACCCCTAGACCTGGGCACCTGGCTGCATTGGTTTACCACGGACGTCATTATGGAGATTACATTTGGAAAGAGGCTTGGGTTTTTGGAAAGGGACGAGGATGTGGATGGTATGCTAGAGACAATAGAGAAGCGGTTTTGGTATGTGGCTGTTGCGAGTTTAATCCTGTCCCTAATATGTAATAGAAGTTATTCCGTTTCCTTCCCGCCTGGTATGTGGTTTATGTAGGAAGGTAGACTGATGATGCCTACTAGGTTAATAGACCGGTCAAATGCCCTGGCTCGATAGGCTACTACACAGGAATCCCCTTGTCGACCTTTTCACACGCTTTGTTTCGAAGCCAAGCGTCTCTCCAGTTCTGGAGTTCTCTCTCAAAAGAATAGCAGAGCAGAAAAGTCAGCGTCATGACCACCCCGAAAGAACAGGGCAAGAGCCGGACTTCCTGGGTCGGTTTTTAGATATTCAGAATAGCCATTAAGATATTCCTGATTCGTGAGATAACCCATTTACCCTGTTCGTATTACTGTGCTCACATATGGTCTCACATTTGGATATTATCCTGGTGTCAACAAAACATTCAGGCTGGCTCGGACTCCACTGCAATTACACTAACTTCAGTCATGTATCATCTCTTGAAAAATCCGGACTCTATGAAGACTTTAATTGCCGAGTTAGAAAATTCCAATCATCCATCACCAGTCCCCTGGGATATTGCCCATAAGCTTCCCTACCTTGACGCTTGCAATAAGGAAGCCTTGAGGATCACCCCGGCCATAGGGATATCATTGGAGCGAGTTGCTCCAGCGGAAGGAATAGAGCTATGTGGCAAGTATTTCGGAAGCGGAACAGTTCTCGGAGTCAACGCTTGGGTTGTGCACAGAGATTAGGGAATGTACGGGGCAGACGCTGCTGTGTGGAGGCCGGGACGGTGGATTGAAGCCAGTCAGGATAAACGAAAATAGATGGAACGGGCATTGTTTGCGGTAAGCTCTCCCGAGATACAATTTGCACATCGCCCATGTAGTCTGCAAGTATCCAGTATGAAATACTAATATTAGTGTATTAGTTTGCAGGGGGGTCGAGAGTTTGCCTGGGCAAAAACATCTCGTATCTGGAGATGTATAAGGTCATTCCTGAAATGCTACAAAGGTTCAAGGTATGTTACCTCGCCGATCTAGTTACCTTGTCTGTCAAAGATTTACTAATAGTCTGGCTCTTAGTTTTAGTCCAAAGACTCACGAAAGAACTGGTCATTGAAAAATGGATTTTCTACCTACACGAGGGATGTTGAAGTCTCTATTCAAAGAAGGGAGAGCTCTTGAAAACATTAAACAAATATGAACTGCGGCTGTTTACATTTGTAAAAACACATGAAGATTTTGTAGACAACTATCGAACGAATGAAATCAAAAATAAGAAGTCATTTCGAGATTCCTATCATAAGAATACCTCTAAATAGCCCTATGCCGCCTTGCGGAGATATTTCCAAAGTTGAGAGCAGCAAAAGTATTAGACAATTCATGAAACTAGCTCTACGTTTGAAGACTCATCAATCAATGCCGTTGATCCTGTGGATTCACAAAGACTTTCTTTCCACTGACTTTCCCGGCCATAAAAGCGTCAAGTGCATCCTGTACCGACTCTAGCCCACCTGGGAATACATAAGAAGGGTTTGAAAAGATCCTGCCGCTAGACAACCCTATGGGAAGATACTGTTGAAGATACCACAATTTGGCATCTTTGTTCTCATCCCTTGAGACTAAGAGATCCGAGTATCCTGCCCATTCCTTTTTCACATTCTTTGGCAGGCGTGGGTCTGCTGGGGTAGGACTTGTCGACCAAAAAAGGCCACCATCTTCCGCGAGCAAGTCGCCGAGAAGTTCGGTCACTTCTGAGGAGCCAATCGCATCGAATATCCCGTCGTAGGGTCCATTTGCCTTAATAGATCCCAGGAGCCGATTCTTTGGCGTAGTATGGTCAATAATGTAGGATGGGTCACGTCGCTGCACCAGGTCCCAATTGGTAGGAGATGATGTTGTCACTACCTCGTATCCAGCGTCGGTTGCATATTGAACAGCCAAACCACCGACCGAAGATGAACCGCCATAAATGAAGATTCTTTTGCCATTCCTGGGTGCCCTACCATTGATTGGAGGATATCCGAGTTTCATACAAACAGAAAGCGCAGCAACAACAGTCGCTAAGTTGGCCATCACGCCAGATCCTTCCTCCAAGGAGGTTTGACTGTCTAGTTTCACGACGTTCTCCTCAAGTGCCAACGGGTACTTTTGGTAGGCACCAAACCTCTTATCAACAGCTGCTCGACCCCAACAAGCAACTGCCACGCGATCACCAACCTTCACTGAATCCACATTAGGTCCTACCGAGGCGACTGTTCCCCCAAAGGTGTATCCGAGAATTGCCGGATACTCAATCTGAAACATTTCCCATCTATAATTATAACATATTAGCCATGCCCCTTATACCCATTTTTCAAATACCGAAAAACCAACACAAACGCCACGGATAGTCCAAGTCACCCTTTTACTCACTTCTGTATTTTGGCCTCAATTGGGTTGAAAGCAATGGCCTCGTTCCGCACCAGTACTTCTCCCGCCCCTGGCACCCATGTTTGGATCTGTTCAACTTCAACTGAAGCCCGTGGGCTCTTCAGTAAAGCGGCTTTGTTCTCGTCCATCTCGTAATGTAGTAAGTGAACTGCCAATTTATGAAATGGGGATGTTCAGTTATATATAAAACAACTGGGCCCACATGAAATTTTGTGGCTATTATGTGGGGCTGACTGGCATTATTAAGCCAACTGAGTTCGAATTGAAGTCTCACTGTTACCCATACTGTCATGGGAGACAATGGCATTAAAGTATGACATGGATGCTTCGGAAAGATCGTAAGGGTACCGTGGATGGAATAAACAAAGTTCCAGCAAGTTATACCGGCAAAGACCTAGAAACTGTTCACTCGAAGTCTAACCACTGTAAATGATAGAAACTAATGAAGTTATAATCTTCTAAAGTCTGTAAACACTACGTTATATGGATAGATCTTAAGGCGGGGTAGTAAATCTTCAGTGGAGAGATGAGGTCACATGCCCTTCCAGCCCCACAGATCGGGCTGTGCATAAATCATTGCCCTGGATTTCACTTGGTAAGCTTTAGGTATCGATGCCTTACTCCTGCAATTCAAGAGCCAACCCTTCCGGTTCATTAGTGGCAGCAATTCATATTGTCTGAATGCGACGCAAATGTCTTCCACATGGTAAATGGAATCGTTTCAGTCCGACGAACTCGTTATTTGTTAATGTTAAAAATATGAGGAACCTTCTAGTCCGGTGAATCTCGTCTTCCTCCACCATTCTTGTGTTGACAAACAGTACCGTTCACTACCTTCCCTATGACCATGGGTTTTATTGAATACAAACTTGGTCAGTCAGACTATAATTCTGTAGCCCCTGATTATCAAATAAAGATCGCTTCCCTCTATATCGAAATCATAAATTGTCTGTCTAGTGCTGATGTACTTCACCTAGTGTAGGTATTTCAAACTCTATGACAATGTAGCATATCTGCTATCAAATATATTAAATAATGTTGTGACTGTTGGGATTAATGGAGGATGCACATCATGCAAAAAAGCAGTATCGATAATCATTTCCTCCCCCCTTGGCCCACACCATTTATTCATTGGGGGGCATTCCAGTAATGATTAAGTGAACTTTCGGGAATATATTGCCGAATGGACCCGAACTTACCCTAGACTTTGTAAGAGGTCGTTGTGGCCGTGAGCTCTGTTGTCTGGCCCCTAATTTATAGTGACATAGTGATAGCTATCGAATTCTGCATCGTACGGGATTATGACACGGAGTTTGACCAACGGTGTTATCCACTTTGCTTACAATCTAAGCGAACCATTGGAGTATACGTTGAGCGGTCTATCCAATTCGACCGAGCGTTGTGAGTTTTTAGTAATTCGTTCGCTCACCATCCATCTGGATAGGAATTGAAGTAGTTCTGCCGCCGACGAGTATCTACAGTCCGCAGCTGTGAGGAAGGTCGAACATTAATGCTCCCTACACATTAATGCAACATATGCAACTTGATATTGTATGCTCTCTAAATACTCACTGTTCGTAATTAACATTGATATCTTAAACATTTTATGGTATAGAACATAGTATTATGATATCTGTTCTAATTTCTATACCATGTTACATGATCAACAACGGTACGGATCCTAGTTAGGGCTCTAGACCCAACAGTGCCAAAAATGGTAAGATGACTCCTACAAGCATCTATAACTTTATAAGCCGATCGTCCCAGAGTGCTCGGCTATTGGATATTGAGTATCATGAGGCATGGTGAAATAATCGGTTTTCTGCTAACAAACTCTATTTTTCCAGCGATTTATACTAGATATTAGGTGCGCTTGGTTTCCAGACATTTCTGTGAATAAACTTTGAAATGTGTATTTCACGTTATAGATTAGATTTCTGTCGAGCCTTTCAAATAATACGACCCCGTCCTACTAGGCTATGTTCCTACCTCCGCTGATCCCGGTACTTCCTTCCACATGAAAATCGCAAATTCTCCCTCCGCTGGGGTACCGACATATAAGGAGATGTCCAGTCCAGCTATTTTGAACCCCATCTTGAGATAACTCTGGATAGCCGGATAGTTGACATTCGACACTTCCAACCACACATGGCGGACTAGCCATCTAGCAGAGCCGAGGCTTTCCGCTAAGCGGATGAGATTCCCCCCTATTCCTTGGCGTCGGTACAATGGGTTGATTCCGATATCAGTGATGATCAACCGAGAGTTCCAGCTAGAGAACTTGGCGGAGATAAATGCGACGATTGTCGTACTCTGGCCGGCAGTATGAGGATCTATTGTAGTTGCATCCCTAGCAGATAGCGCATTGGTATCCTCGGCTACCACGGTAAAGCAATCGGATGACTCGACGTCCCCGTCCGAGTCCTCGTCTTCTAGGAAGAATTTGTGCAAGGGACTGTCCAACTCGACAGTGCTTATGTCCAGCCCAAATCCTGTGTCTCCGGATCCTGTGTCGGATGTGTTGAATGCAATTTGAAAAACCCGATCTGTCACGAAGGAACTGTTGAGCGAGCGCATAGACGCTGCGTCATCCGACGTCGAAAGGCGGTATTTGACTCTCCTTGTAGGATCTATGAACGGCAGTTCTTGAAGGTCCGGCATAGTAGTCCCCATAATAAAGACTATTCTGTAAATTAAGTATATCTTTCGTAGCAAGGAAGAGTTGGATCAGCGTGCTGGAAACTTGCTCTGGGACCCAGCGGGGAAGGTCTAGTGGAGCACAACTCACGGTCTCGGTGGATCTGAATACGGGCTGAGTCACGTAGCCTGGAGAGCCAAAAAGATCGTCCATCATTGTCATTTGTTGCGTTTGATTCATTAGTGTGGCCGATATCACAGACATGGATATCCATCCCACTTGCCCTAAACACCATATGCCGCTAAGGTCACCTTGGACCTTATCCACGCCCAATAATGCATGATGAAAAGTCAAGCAAAATGAAAAGAAAAACATACAACAGGAGGGATTCGCTGGTGATCACCCACCCAACTACTAACCTCCCGGCGTGTGGCTTAAGTACGGCTGAGCGGACGGGAAGCCCTGTTCTCCACACCCTATGGTCGTATGTACAGACTTTTTTGTTACAGAAGATTATGTACAGCAGAGCTACTTCTGCTCCACCTCGTCATAATTTCTTGGGTCCGGATTCAGTTCTAACTTGAAGTTCAAGCTTCTCTTGCCCAAACAAAAGATATGTCCATAAATCTGAGCAACTCTGCACATAATAGAAATATGTCGTGTTACTGCAACCTATTGAAGACCTATATGGACTGCTGAATATGATATTCCCAGCATATCTCATTTGTTTTAGGCCTTATCTTACCCAAATGCTTCGAAAGCAATCGCGCTGGAGCAAGTCCAAACACACTCGTTTATAATGGACGACATTAGCGGCTTTTCTTGTTGGAATGTATTTTCCGGAAGAGCATGTTCTGCGGCCAAGCGAATAATCTCTAGGGTTGTGTTGTCGTTGCGTCTCGCCTCATCAAATCAGACAAGACCCCGGTCAGAATAGTCATATAGATCCCGCATCAGTGGTATCTGCCTGGCCTTTTCGTCGTCGTCATCTTGATTGATACAGATTGCATCAACCCATAGATGACGAACAAGCTGGTCATCTCGAATATGAAGCAATGCTGTATACAAATTTCGCCTGACTTGAAAGTTTTGACCGTTGAGTAGAATCGACTGAGGATCGCCCGGGTCGCCCTAGACATAGGATAGCGCCTCATAGTGTTGTGGCCTCCCCGTGGCTGCTAAGGAATATTCAGCTAAGCAGCATTTGGTCCGGTCGGTCTCTTTGTTATTCAGCAGTATTTGAAATCTGCGAATAGTGGCAGGTCCCGACAGTGGACAATATGTGTATACGGAGGGCATTTTAACCGGTGCTTCAGTTGAACCGGGCTCGAAGTGTAGAGAGGGCACATGATTTCGCTGGTCGGGGCCAGCTGAGCTGTTAAGGCTTGCATTTCTAAGTGGCAGATAGCAGAGCACACCAAGTTTGCAGCATTTCTAAAGGCTATGAACTTGTCATAAATCCTGTGTTTATTGTAGAATTTGAGTAGAAGATTTTGGGGTTTGCGATCTACCTACACATGGAAATTAAACGCAAATAGGACGGAAATATACCACCAATTATATAAATATCTAGGGCGATCAGATTTATAATAGACTAACAGTTAAGTGGCGCAATAATCCTAGGAAACGATCCACCCACAGCCAGCTTTGCTTATTGAACAAGGCCGTACATAACATACTGTCGATATTATATTGAAAGGTTTTCTTTTCTATAATTCTCTATTTTACAACCTCATCTTATCACTTTTTGGCCGCCTACTTTCAACTAATTAACCAAAACGCCCCCTAACGGAGACTAAACATGTGTTAACTCGAACATCTATTCTTCTTGTAAATCGGCATACAAGTTCGAGATATTAGATTTTTATTCAGTACCCGGGTGACTGGAGTCTTGAATAAATGTAAACGATATAGACGATCGGCTTTCACTCAGCGGGAGCTCTCTGTATTCAAGCAGCTCAAGCAGTCTACTGGGCGGCCGCATAGCGTTGACAGGGATACTTGCCCGGGCGCTATTCGGGGCTCTGTGAAGAGATTTATAAATTCTCTTAGGGGTTATAGTGATATCCAGGCGCTGGCCGAAGACAGTATGCCTGAGCAAGTCAGAAATGATCTTTACCACAGCTCATTCCTCGATCAGGTGACTGTCTGTCCCCTAATTGGGAAGATGACCGCCAGTGTGGATTGGAACCGCCTGGCCGTGGGCGGATCATTACCCTACATATGCTGGCTTGTCCCACATTTTAAACGTGATTGGCAGCGAACGGGCAAAGCCCATGCAGTGGGGCCGAAATTGTGTACAGGAAGCTTATACTCCGGCTCTATTTGACAGTCTAAACTTCAATAGTCCGTTTGCAGCTGGGCTAGTGCCAGTTCTGTTATCTGGCCAACCCTGTCATCCGCTTGAAAGTCAAAGGGAGACTGGTTCGTTGGAATGGGGCTAGAGGTAATCTACGGGGCCAGGGTTCTCAAGCAGAATGTAAGTTTATGTGTTGAGTGGAGTAAAACGACGACAGCGGATAACGATCGGCACGTACACGAGGTTAAAGCTTGGATTTCCTTCAACTTTGATCGATAATTGGTCGATCCGGCCTTTTGTGGCACGCGGATTTGCCACGTTCCCCCGCGTCGATGGTCTCTATCGTTGAACAACTGGTTCGTTACTTATGCAGGGGGGCGAGTAGTGAGTTCACGCTACTGAAATTATGCCAAAGTCTTAGATCACTATCTTTCTATAGGTGCTAACCAGTCCTGGGGAGCTTTGCAACTTACGTAGCAGACTAAGTAGTTATTGATAATGGTGGTTTGCTCGTATGTCAGATTGTAAGTAACAGTTGACAGGACACATAATCTGGATGTGACAACCTAGGTGTCGAAAAATAACGCGAGGTTCCACGGTTAGTAACCATGATCTTCAACCAGTAGTCAGGATTTGTATTATCCACGGACGCATGTGGTCCCTGAATGACAATCACTTGCCGGGGCAAACCCGGCCGGCCATACTCCGTACGCAAAATATATAAGCTTTTAGGCCATAGCTTGGGCCTGTCGTGTGCGGAGTGGGCCCTACGTCTTGAACTTGTGAAAGTGTGGTATGGGTTATTCTGAGAAGGGTTTTCCTGAGCCCCTTGAGCTTATCTTAAAACCGCATTTTCTCTCTCGCCATCCCCCTATCTGGCAATGTAGCCTCACATTGTCTTCTTTGCATTTAATCATCCTGCAATACGAAACAACATGGTATCCCTTCGGGGATCGATATTCGCTTCCCTGCTTTTAGCTACCTCACTTGTAGTTGCAAATACAACGACTGAAGTTCTTCCACAGTGCGCGGTACGCTTCGTTGTCTTTGAAGAACATTAAACAATCCTTAACACCAGAGCAGGTTACCTGCGAGCAAAGCGCACTGCAGCAAAATAACTCAACTTGTTCTAGTGGCAATACGACGTGCCTTTGCACAGATCATCTTTATCAGTCTAATTGGGAACAGTGCGTGCTTGCAAATTGTACGGTCAAGGAATCGTTCAGTATGTGATTATATGCCCTTTCCTTCCTTAGTTGAAACTCAAGAATGCACAGCTGCCAAACGGCTACAATCCCAACAATGCGACCTCCCCACTCATCACGGACGCCCTGCCGCAGATCCTGCTCTCATTATTCCATTATGCCTTGCGACAATCCTCTTTGCTACCCGGATATCCGCCAAGTATATGCGTATTAGTGGTAGTTGGGGGTGGGATGATTATACTATTGTTGTGGCATATGTGAGACTGCAACCTGGCCTAGCTTACTGCAATAAAAATTGGTCTTCTAATATCCATCCAGATACTGGCCGTGGCCGTATTCTCGTTGAATGTGTCCAGTTAGTCGGAATATTCAATCGCCTGAGTAGTAGGAGGTAACTAATACATTTTAGTGATTCATCATGGATTCGGGAAAGACATCTGGAATATCACACCGTTTGAGGAAATAACTGAGATAATGAAGGTTAGTATTCTCTACCACATTATGATAAATCACTGATTCTCATTTGCAGATCTTCTACGTATATGTTTTGCTATACAAAATGCAGATATCCCTCGCGAAGATCTCCGTCTGTCTTTTCCTATTACGAATTTTCCAGTCGACAGCATTTCGCTACACAGCTTATACCATCATCGGTCTCAATGCCGCAATCGCAGTCACTTGGGTCCTGGTTGACGGCCTTCGGTGCACCCCAGTCCATCTGGCATGGACAGGATGGGCGAAAGAGGAACAAGGGAAATGCATCGACTTTATTGCGGCAACCTTCGCCAATAGTTTCGTCAATATTGCAGTCGACGCTGTTATGGTCGCCATGCCAGTGTATGAGGTGATTAAACTAAATCTCAGCGCGCGAAAGAAAGTAGGAGTTGGCGTTATGTTTGCAATGGGCTTGGTGTGAGTAATAGGCACCGTTGGACTTTTTATTCTCTTCGAGGCTGACGATTCTCGCCTCACTAGACTCACCATTGTTGCAATACTCCGAGTCGTTGTCTTCTGGTATAACCGATGGAACAAGAACCCAACTGGTACGTTCAACTCGCGACTAAACATGCGTTCCTACTATTTCCTAGTCTAACTGACTTCGTGTGTAGTCGAATTACAGCCGATCAACGTCTGGTCGGTCATCGAATGCCAGATTGCGGTGGTCTGTGCGTGCTTACCTGCAGCCAGGGCCGTGTTGGTCCGCTTCTTCCCTGGAATGATGGGTGGTTCTGCTGGGGAGTCTTACGCGCGTAAAGCCACGCGACCGAGTGCTCCTGGCACCAGTGGTAAAATCTCCCAAACGACAACCTATACCGTCGAGTACAGCAGGAGGGCTCAGGAAAGGGCATCGAATAGTGCGGTCAATCTTGTAGAGTTACACCGTGAAGGAGTCTAGATATGAAATGAATCAATTCCCCCGTTGAGTATAAATAAATATAAGAAAATGAAAGCTAGGCTCTCAGTGTGATGATCGGGAAGACTGAGGGTGTCTGACGATGTGAAACCAGACCATATAACATCACGCATACGACCTTGATTCCATGGGAGGAAGCTTTCTGGTTTATCAAGCGCCGGGGAGGGACCATTTCCTCCACGGGTGGCGCTAGGTCTATAATGGCTCAAGTTCTTGATTAGGACTAACAGAGCTTTATTAACTATTACATATTAAAAATGCAGATATATAGAGCATTCAAATAGTATTATATTATTCCCTTTACTAGCTAGTTTATATAGAGTGGTCAGAATAATGGGTAGCAAATTGCTAGGCAAACACACCTGTCCACTGACAGTCCCCAAACTAATTAAGAAAATGACAATTACCTGGAAAGCATGCAGCTGAATTAGATTTAACAACGAAGCTAAGAGGACGACTGACATCTGTGAAGGATGAACAAGATTGGCATTTGGGGAAGCCGATGCAACAGGCAAGTCGTTGGTCCGTGTATGCATCCGCTTACCCACTATAGGCAGTCAGTCCTCTCGGCCCGATCAGGGAAACACTAGCCCATTCCACGGGTCCAAGCACAGCCTCCTGAAGGAGGATTAAGGCAGGACTAGCGTAGACGCATACGGACTGAAAAGGGGTTAAAGGAGAGGGTCACAGTGACCCAAATTTTATAACCTCAAGAGGACAGGGTACTGACTGTTGTACGGAGATCATGAATATCTCTCTCGGAGAAATTGATAGACTTTCTTCAAGATGCGCTCGAGAAACAATAATGTGATCCATTCCGCTCTAATAAAGGGACAATCGGCGAAAGCCTTTGTATTATGGCGCTGATATCCTCGAGCATGCCGCGCATTCATGTTCACACATGCCTCACCTGGTCCAGGGTGAGTATAAGAACAGTTCACGTATTGGCCTAGGAATTCCGTAAAGCAATCAGAGCACTAGCTCGTTACAACTTTGCAGAAGATAACGAAAGGACAACGAAAGGTATCATGATAAATAAGTAACTTCGTTCCACTTTAGTAGCCTTAACGCGATCCGTATCCAGCTTCGCAATTTCCTGCTGACTATGCAACCCACATCACTGAATATGTAGAGCAAGTTTGGTTAGAGAGTTTCACCAGCCTGTTTCCTGTCAATATATTTTAGGTGAACTCGTTCACATATGTTTTGATGATCTTTCGTACCACTTTGACAGATAATCGGAGGACAATGGTTTGTTGCCATTTATTCTATCGCAGTCAACACGGAACTGTGCCACTTCTGTTCCAAACGTGGCAGGGTCAGGGGATGGTTGACCTTTAATGTCGTGGAGTCCCTGGATGCTTTTCCAGGCATGGTGATTCCCGGAACAAGCCTACTGCACTGGTTGGGGTTCTAAGTTTAATCCTGATCAATTCTATCGCGTAGACTCCGAAGGTTGTCCACCCCAGCAGCAAGGTCATTAATCCACGCACGTATATGCCGCGCAACAAACTCATTATCGCAATTTCGCACTGCAAGGTCGAAATCTCTTTGACGTTGGCTCTTGTGAAAAACCTCCACCCATCCCGGTTCCAAGCTTTCCATTTTATGAATAAACACATCACGAAGGAGAGTGACCTCATACTCCCATAGGTGTTCCCAGTAGAGATCTGCGGCTTCTCCGTTCGCATCGAGTTTATATCGTCCCAGATCAGGCTCACGACATCGTGGTGGCCCTTGTAAGAATGCAGGGTAATAGCACGCCTTCCATAAAGGGAGTGCTGAAACACATTCCCAATCTAAAATAGCTGCTAGCTCTCCATTATCATGGACGAGAATATTTCGGCCAGAGAGGTCGTCATGAACTAGGACTGAGGGCTCCGGAGCGCTCCCATACGGTGGAAAGATAGATGGAAGCAGGGCCTTCAATTTCCCAATGATTCCCAATGTTCTTATTGCATCACCTGCATCTTCTTCATCATCGCTCTCAAGATCGCTAGATGGCAAATTGTCTAGCGTCGACTGACAGTCTCTCTCGCTGAGAGAAAGATGTGATGTAATCCAGTCGCTACTAGACTTAAATGGCCCTCGATGAACATCCTGAAGGATATGCGACCCCCAAAAAAAGTGCATAGAAACAATTCTGCCCACATCTGGTAATCCTGCAGGCATATGTCCCTTTCCAGGTAGATGTGATATATTAGAATATGCTGAGTTTACAGCAGGCCAGGTCGCTTCCGGTAGTCCGGAAACATTGAGAATAGATTCTCTCTCATAGAGATTTCCAATTCCCTGGAATTGCTTCCGAAAAAGGCAGCTAGAGAAGGCCGCAAACTCTCCAACCAAACTTGCTTTGGCAGAAAATGATAAAGAGCGCCACAGCTCTTCCAAGGGCCTTCCAGGCATTTTGGTCATAATGATCCATTCAAAGCCGATGGGATTTTCTCGGGAAGGTTGATAAGTGATGATTCGAGGAATAGGGATATATGTGGTTCGCGATATCCAGTCCACGGTCGACACTTCACTCATAGTTTTATAGTACGGATCGACAGGCAACGTGACTCGCATAACAAAGACCTCATTATCTATTTTAACGTCATAGAGTTTGTTCAAGGCGCCCTCGGCGAGGAAGGTCACCTTGACCGTGCTTGATGGTAGTAGTGACTGTATTGTCTGCTCGATGACCTGAGGATTGGGCTCCACCGTCCACTGGGGCACAAGATTGAAGACTGTTTGAACCCAGGCAAGGCCCGGGGTCTGTACCTCCAGCGATTTCATTTCTACCGTGATATAAGGGAGTTGTCCTTCGTGAGCTTCCATGTTGAAATTCTGTGGTTTGAGCCTGAATTTGAGGGGCAAAAGAGAATATCCCTAAAGGTCGAAAGAAACGTGTTAAAAGGACATGTGAACCGGGGTCATATCGGGCCGGGATAACAGTGACCCAGCGCAGAAGAGAAACATGGAACACACTTTACCAAAGGATTGAGAAAGAAAATAGAAGAGTGCCCCTTCAATGAGAAAGAGGGTGGGGGAAGTCTGGTATTTGGAAGTGTTGTTACTCAGAATACATGTCTCGCAGAAGGGTTAGCGGTTCACGTGGCCCTCAGTGCCCTAAGCTGGAAAACAATGCCATGCCCGGACAGATTTGAAGCTATCAAGATTTTAATGAGGTAGCAAGGTATCTCCCGAGCCTGAAGGCGGCTATATGGCAGAAGTCTAATCTTATCCAACCCAAACACTCGTATTTTCGGTCTATAGCCCCCACCCCATGCACGTGCCAAGACCCGCAAGCCAACGAAGGATGCATACAGGTTAGTGACATCAGGAATTGACACGAATCAGAGCTGCTTGACTAGGACTAAAACCGACTAATCGGCACCAGCCCCTCCTTTTATGTTTACCAGGGAAAAAGCAAATAGTCTAATCCCGGGTGAAGAAAGGACGCGTTCCCACTTCATTCTTCAATTTTGTGGTTTTTCTTGTGTGCTTTGCACTTAATCACATGAGTATTGGACTTTGCCAATATAATATTGTGCATTTGTTAGATCTATGAACTGTACTACCTACTGTATTCTGCCAGTTGAATTGTCTACGACAAGATGGGAATTCGAAGGAGCCTCTCCAGTATGGTCCTCCCATGTTATCCTGTGCGGGGTTCAGCTGACAATTCGTGTTCACAGGATTTGTTCCCTTCATCGCGTACCACCACGTTCTAATGGGTGTCTGCACAGTTGCGATTATCCTTTTATGTATGATATTTTAGACTTTATACTGCGTCTTTCCCTTATCATACCATACATTTCCTCATATTTGTGGCACACAATGGGCTAATGAATCCACCAGCTGTTCTCCTCGCTGGATGTACATCCTCCAATGGCATGAACAATATCTATCTTGTTTCGCTCAAGTACAGAAATGCCAGTACCTCAGCCCCTAGTGACCCCTCATTCATAAACCCCAGCATTGCACAAAAGGTCTACAACATATCGCAGCCCCGTAATACTACGATTCAAGAAGTGCGGGCGGGATACATGGGACTCTGCTTGACTCGGAGTGACGGCGCGCAATTGTGCTCCAGCAGTGCTGCAGCATTAGCTAGCATGGTCAAAGATCAAGGAATGCAAGGTAGTAATGACACCGCTGATCCGCTGAACCTTATTTGGATTGCGAACAAATTTAAAGAAACAATTGTTTTTGATGGCTTGATGTGAGTTATTTCCCGATTTCGTTTTCCTCTTTGGTATTATTCTGTCACCCTCCCCGTAGAGATATGTAAGGGCGCTTTATAATGCGAATTCGTACATTATGAACCGTGAATAGTTCTGACATGAAAGACTAGATTCATTGCTGTCGCCGTCACCTTTATTTGTTTCCTCGCGTTAGCAACATTCCCTGGATGGCATGAGGAAGTTGATGAGGACGGCTCAGAACGCGAAGTCAAGCCCTTCCCCTCACGGCCGGTGTCACAAGTAGCATTAGGCTTGAGTTCATTAGGGTTCATATTCGCCTTAATCTCAATCCTTTGGCAGCACATCAATAGCAGTGCTGCGGGAACCATGTCGGAGAGTCTCACGTATGGAGCCATCGAGAGCCATGTTGGGACTGCGGCGATGATACTAGGGTGGGCTGCTGTAGTCTGCCTCGGTGTTGTTGCTCTCGCCTTGCTGGTTATGATTATGAGTATTAGTCTCCTCCGTAAATTGACGGACGAGGACTAGTTATGTTTATGTTCCACCTTTGGTGGTAGAGGCTCTGTTGTTCCATATGAAAAGACTTAACTCAAGAGGACAATATACTATGCGATATATACTGGTTGCCAATTGACCATAGGTGCTAAATCACAAAGACTGGGCAGCCGGCTCTGTAGAGGTAGATTCCCTATACGAAGAGGCATACGAGGCATACGAGGTGCTAAGCCTACTCCCGCGCGATATGTTGAGAACCCTAGAATACAAAAGCTGCACCACAAGGAATCCGACACCAGTGAGTAAAATCACCAGAATGGCCGCGGTCAAGCCAGCTTTAATGCCTGACGCCAATGGACGCGTCCATATCAATGCGAGAGGAATTGCAACGAAGCCCATGATCCCAAGCGCCCAGACAAGTAACAAGCGGGTCGTTGGCGGAATCCGGTCGAGCAGGCGCATGACGATCCTGGGCAATGCATAGCGAAAGTCTGGATCGGAATTGCGCCAATACGGTACGCCAACCAGGCCTAGAATAGCAAGCATGATCGCAACTGTAACAGTACTCTGCACGCCTTCGTCCATATTTCGAGTCCAGAGTACGGCTATGGGTGCAGCAGCAACAAGAGCGGTCATTAGAATGAGGCCGACCGGGAATCCGACTACCTGCCATAACTCGGTCCCAGCCTTGCGACTATTCCTGTCGATCCATGCCCACGTTGCCTTGCCACTCCGGTTGAGTACGCTTCCGAACCATCGTAAGAGCAACAACATTGATAGAGACCTGACCTGCACGGGAAGGCTGTGTTGTTCTGCGTAACGTCTAACATCCTGCTTCACGTTCTGCTTCAGACTTGCTAGCCATTGGCTGCGCATTGTCAGCCGCATCAGGTATGCGAACGTCGTTACCGTACTTGCGACAACGAAAAATTTCCACACGGGCGCTGAGTCTTTGAAGGGCTCGATTTGCATACCAAAAACGGATGTTGAGAACGAGAGTGGAATGAAGATGAACGCCAGCTCAGTGAGTCGTGTTACGGCGTGTGCCTCATCAATGGAACGTCGGCTGTCCAGGAGACCCATGTTGGATGTCAAGGACGAAGATGCACGTCTGAGCCGGGCGAGCATCTGGCTGATTTGGTCGAAGAGATCTGATACGCTTTGTATGATATCTGAGCTGTCGTCGGCTGCTGCTAGAGACGCATTGGCTGGGTGTTTGATACCAAAGAACGCTAGAAAGCCTCTAATAGAAGCAATGAGGTCCAATAACTCTCGCTCGGCTTTACTTATGAGTTGACGCCACAATGCCAGTCGATCCTCCATCTTCGTGTCGTCCAGGATATCGAATTCCATGTCGCTCAAGATCTCGTTGAGCACCCGAAGCAAGATCAAAGTATCTTGGCGGATGATCTCGAACAATGTATCAAGCAGACTTACTGGCGTGGTCTTTCTGTCTACCATATGATGAATATCCTGCCGGGTAGACCTAGTCTCATTGAGCTCATCCTGGAGAGTCGCCAAGAGGTTGCCTGTCACAATAGCCTCCTCTAGATCGATAGTAACTGGCTTTCGTGAAGCCATTTGCTTGACCAAAACCTGGGTGGTCCTTTCCAGATTAACTTTTGTTCTATGGACTTCTTGCCTCGGCCGCCTGAGCAGCCAGTCCAATACCCGTCGTCCGGCTGTCTCCCGCCGTGGGTTCTCAATTGGGATCGCAAGCGCCTGAACGCCATCATCGCCCTCGATTATTAAGATCGGTCGAGTTCCTGCTTCGTCACCATCACCAGCGTCATAATCATCGTAATCACTATCAGAGTTTTGATCGAGCTTTGGGATCACCTGCGTCTGATCATGGCTATAACTAATGGCTGGCAGAGGATCAAGCAGCACGATAACTGGATTTTCGCTTAGCTTTTTATGCTCAGAACCGAGAAGAAAGGCAATTACCCACCGATCTCATAGTCTTTGTCCTCAGCTTCCTTCTTCCAAATTGATGCCCGTTCGACCAAGCCAAACTCCCTTGTCTCCTTTGCCGTCCGGCGTGGATCAACGCGTAGGTCCCATTCGGGACGAAAAATATTTGTCTCGGCTTTGAGACTAAAAATTGAGTTTCCGGATATATAATCCAGCCCATCACGATCCAAATCAAGTAGATCTTCTCGGTCGCGGTTCGAGAATAGCGGTTGGCGACGATACATGGGCCGAACCCACTGGATTGACACGTATGACTTGTTCAACCCGGCAGTCTTCCATGATCGCACTGGCGAATCATCATACTGCGCACCGCCGTACCCAGAGTTCAACAGATGCTCCTCGAAGAATTCTGGCGTGATTCCGAATGTCTCCCCTAAGGCGTGGATAGTACGCTTTGATAGGTCTTCAACTATGAACACACGCCCGCTCAACCCCTCAGGCGCGTCGCGATAGTAGGAAATGGACTCGGGGTCATCAATTTCCACACTTGAGGCCGTGTTATCGCTGTAGTATTCATACAGCGTGATGGAGGTTTTCTCCACTCGTGGAGCCTTCCGGATATTGCCATTTTTGATGTGGTCGAATACACCCGCTGCGCGGTCCAGAATTTGAGCATAGGTTTGGCGCGTCGGCGGCTTATCTGTCGCCTGTAGTACTAGTGGAGGTAGTTTCGGTGACGGCGGCAGTGATGGTGGTAATGGAATGGAAGAAGGCAATATGAAGGTGTCATCACGATCAATCACCTCCAGAGAGGATCTCCCTGCATCTCGACCTCGTTCTCCAGGGTCACTGGTCGTCGCCGACCCATCGCGAGAACTGGGCAGTGGAAGTTGTTGCGGGATTTGGCCAGATGCGGCTGGATCATTTTGCAGGACATCCTCTAGCGAGTTTCGAGGTCTTGCCTTTATCTTACGCGTCCTACGTGAAGTGTCCCCCGCTTCGGCATGTTGTTGCTTGATCCATTCCAGGACGCGCCGGGATGGTTGCTGCTGCGCCATGGGGTTTGATGGGATGATTCAGTGCTGAATATTTCCTCTCTCCCAATTTGAATCTTCGGTATGTACATTATCCCTGCTTTGAAACTACTGTTTTGCAAATAAAATGGCTCGGTAAGCGCTGACAATTCGCGTGCCAAGTGGAGGGACACGACTAGTGTGAAAGGCGAGGCTTAGTTGCAGACTCGAAGTGTTGGATAGTGGCCCAGACCCGCTAATTACGGAAAGAAAAATGTCGATCTCCACTGGGACGTCTTTTTCTTCTTTTCTTTTCCTATCTTTCATTAGTTAGTTTCTTTTTTTGCAATTTCCCTGTTTTCGTTTGCCTTTTTCAAAAACTTTGCTTGAAACCCTGTGTATGGATACAGCAGCAGCGTAACCTTAGTATCGACTTGAATCCAATCAGCCCTTTCTCTGTAACAAATATCTTGAGATCTTACTGACTCTAGAATGACCTCTTATATCTCTGCAGCTCATGGTCTGCTGTCATCCTTCTGAGAGGTTGCCCCCATTCTCAACTGCATTCAGGACATTTGCTACTTTCGGGAACAATGACAAGGCCTTGAAAAGCTCCATCTGGCTAGCTGGATTGTTCACGAATATGATGCCATATCTTGTAGGCGTCCAACCCTGTGGTCCGTAGAATTCCAGTAAAATTCTCCTGCTGTCTCTGGTTCCACAACTCCGACCACTAGAAATCCGAATTTAGAGTATAACTCAATCCTGTCGGGCGAGGACATGATGGGGATATCAAGATCATTCTCGTCCACATAATCACAGACTATCTTCAAGAACGTAGGACCGACACCCTGTTGTTGGTGATCTGGAACCATAGTCATGAGCATGATCCCTAGGGAAGATGAGCCACAAAGTCTGAGGAAATCTCACTTAGCTTATAGCTTACTATGTATTCTATTTCCTTGCTAGCTTTGCAAAACTATTTGCATCTTTGTTCTGGGTACTAATTCAGACATACGATGCTATTGTATTAATGATTATGGGGATGGACTGAGCCATGAAGCAGTATATACCTGAACCTACTCCTACCCTTATTTAACTTTCCCTGGTTCAAATTCATTCCCTGAATATGTGTAGAAAAACCGTAGTTAATATTCTATGTGGACCTATATACCTCTCAAGGATCAATCACACCTTTTAGACATGGTCTAGGCCCATAAGAGTGCCGTTAAGTGCTAGACTTTTCTCTCATTATATGTCAGCAAGTGCAGAGCTACACCGGTCCCGAATGACATCCCCTCGGCTCGTTGATATTAACTTCTCGGCTACCAGTCTAATGCAAGAACAATTCTATGTGGATCATCCTGTTCCAACAGCTTTTCCGATTCCCATACTATGCATCTATTCAGTGGTGCTCAGGAGGTTGAAATCAATTGGCTTATGCAATGCGCGCAGAGTCAAACCAACCTCTCGGTCCGTGTTTAATAATGTTCACGCCATAAATGCGCTACAATAGAAGCTTAATTGACAGGCCGGAATGATCCGCAGCGAGAACGAAAGTCTAGCCATACAAATTACTTGGTGATGGCTTCGTGGAGTCGCTTGAGGGTATAGTGTAGAGCCTATGGCCAGCACAGAGGTGAGAGATGGCTGGGCCTAGACAAGGCCACCTAATACGAAGTCACACCACTCATACGGAATCCAAAAAATATGCTTATGTCATGACGATATTATAAACTAACGATGCGGCTGAATTACGCTATCTGATTGATACTGGGACTTAATCGATGTATCCAGAACAAGCAGAACCAAGGTTCCTGGTAAGCCTTCACTTTTTTAGTGGACAAAACTAGGAAGAAGTGGGGCGGTATATAGAGATGTACCATTCCACAACCTCTAACTCATGGGTATCAGCTTATTAACTCCGCGGAAGAAGAACGGCATACAACTAACTTCCCTCTAAAATCCGTACTCCCATTCTCTCTTCTCTTTAGCTGTGAATTTGATTTGGTATTCAAGAGCTTTTTATCAAGCGGCTGCACTGGATTGACAGCCTCCTTCACGTTGGCAGAAGCGTTGGCAAGTTTGGGTTAAGTGAACCGCGATTCTTCATCTCTTAATGTAGTCAGAGCCAGAAAGTTTTGAAATTAACAGATAGTCTCCCATTTCTATCCCTATTGTATGTATTTCGGTGCCCTTCTTGTGCTGCCATTCCTCCCCACTGGACATCAAAATGGACTTCAGATCCGTCAATCCCTGGCTTTTTCTTTGGGCGGTCCTTTCCGTGGCACTCGTCTCCTTCGTCGGAGCAATCAACGAGCAGGACTTTGCACCTGATGATATCGTCGTCCGAGATGTCTGTATCCTTGGCGGCGGGTCCACAGGCACATACGCAGCCATCAGTTTGAAGGACAAAGCGAAGAGCGTGGTAGTTGTCGAGCGAAATAACGTCTTAGGCGGTCACACTGAGACGCTCTACCTACACAACAATCAGTACATTGACTACGGTGTGGAGGGGGTGTTCAACGATGAGCTAAGTCGAAATTACCTGAAGCGTTTAGGAGTAGACCACAAACCACTTCTGCCAAGCACACAGACCACCGAATATATCGATTTCAGAACCGGGAAGAAAGTACCTCTACCGCCTAGGACTTTATCCATTCTTCAGGCTGCAGAAACGTACCGTGTAGCTATTGAAAAGTTTAGCTATTTAAAGGACGGACTGTACAACCTGCCGGACCCCGTTCCCGAGGAGCTTTTGCAGCCGTTTGGTGAATTTGTGGAGAAGACTGGCATTGAGGGTGCGCTCCAATTCGTCATGACATTCGCCCATGGTACCGGAGACCTCCTCCAAGCCCCACTCCTTCGTGTCCTCCAGCTCTGTGGTCTTCCCCAGATTGACTCGCTCTTGCATGGCGGATATATTACGCCCAGGGATGGCATGTATGAGGTATACAAGAGGGCCTCGGAAATCCTCGGGTCCGATGTCCTCTACAAGTCTAGTGTGATCGAAACTGAACGATCAAGCTCTGGTATCAAGGTCGTGGTCCAAGATGCAAGTGGCGCCCAGAAGCTTATCAAAGCCAAACAGCTTCTCATCACGTTCGTCCCCGTCATAGAATCTTTAAAGAAATTCGACCTTACCACCAAAGAATCCTCTTTATTCCAGAAATGGGACTGGATCAACTACTATGTTGCTGTGGTGAACAACACAGGAATCCCAAACGCCATAACGCTCGTCAACGCTGACCCCGACAACAGACCTGGCAGTCTCCCGCTCCCGCCTTTCGAGTTAGAACTGCAATACGCCGGTGCAGACGGATACCTTGTTAGTAAAATCGTCGGTGACAGGACTTTGACCGCGCAGAAAGCGAAGGACCTTGTCCTGTCTGATATTCGCCGGATGGGAACAGCAGGGACGTTTCCTGGTGATGATCCCAAGATTGTTGTGTTTGGTGACCATACGCCCACGACAGTGTCGGTTTCGAATGTTGACATTCGAGATGGGTTCTATAGGAAGTTGTATGCGCTCCAGGGCACTAAGAATACGTTCTATACTGGGCTGGCCTTTTGCTCGGATTATTCGTCTTTGTTATGGGCATATACTGAGACTGCTATCCAGGAGATGATGTCTTCGTGACGAAGTACATCTTCTCTATTTCCAACCGTAAGCTTCATTCGTTGTGAGAATCAGGGTGGTGTTTACGGTCATATTTGTCTCGGGGTTCGTCTTGTGTGAAACGCACGGTTAAGAGCAACGGGCCGATTGAACGTTAAAGGGTTAAAATATCCGTCCAAAGGACTGCACATGGGTCCTTTAAAAGCTTGATAGGAGCATCCAATAACACTTTTTCAAAAGACAAGTACCCATAAACGTTGAAATAAATTAGGTTTACAGATATATGGTTGGCGAAGTAGCAAGGCGATAACTCGGGCAAGTTATTTCTAAATATATATCTCACGGGAGAGTTTTAAACATGGAGGCTGTTGCTACAGATCCACTACGAATTGTAAATATGGTCATAAGGTATATACTTTTGTAGTACTCCGTATATGAGCCTTAACTAAGATAACGATGTACATACGAGGTTCGACTTTACGGGATGCGATTGTCGGGATACTTTCCGTGGTAGACTGAGGAGACGATCTCCACTGATAAGAATCGCGAGTCATGAGGAAGGCTCGGGAGGAACTGAAACATGGATCTTGAATAGAGTTTTATCTGTTATTTAAAATACTTTCCTGCATGCAAAGGCGTACATCCCTCACTGACTATAATGTTGCTAAGAGTGCCCCTTGCGTAGAGGTTATCCTTCGCCGTGCTAGTGGATTCTTTTAAACCGTTTGAGCCGTGCTATATTCGTTGATGAAAACTGACGCGCCTTCGCGTCTAAAGTAATTCAATCTGATTGGTCGCTATATTGCACACCACAAGGACATATTCCTCGTTACCGATGCATTCAATCCTGAGTCTTGCCCGAGTAATGACCGTTAACAGTAGATGCTTTTTCCGCCATATCAAACAGCCCAAAGCTTCCCATACATATCATCAAAATATGCCTCGTTCTGACATGATCACCCCAGCCCAATAGACCCAAAAACATAACCCTGGACAGAGCACACATAACCCCCGCGCGTTAGACCTAGCTCTAACCTCGAACTCATAGGAGCGGTGACGGGAGTGAAAGTAGCGGACCCGCCAGGAGCGGGGAGTCGCCAGTAAGAGGACCAACAGTCACATTGGCCTTCTCCAAGACGCTGCCCAAGCTTGGCCTCTTGCTGTTATCTTCATTGTAGCTATCTTTGATATCGGTAGAGGGAGAGTGATCATCGTAGGACACTGTGGCGCTGTTACGTGACTTGTCGACATTATTGTCGCCGACCGTGGTCTTGTGGATGTCTGCTTCACCATTTTTGGTGCCATTGACAAAGGGACCCCATGTTGGGAAGGCGATGGCCGTTGCGGAGAGGGTTGCGAGGATTGTGAAGAAATGCATGGTTTTGTGAGGTTATGGACTGGATGTGAATAGATTAAAATAGGAAATTGAAGGAATGGATCTCAAGTTGGATTAGTATGGTTGTGGGCGCGCCAGGCGCAGAAGTCGTTACGGAGAGAAATTATTTTCTCGAAGCGATTCGTTACACAGAGGATGCTCTTATATGATCGGGTCTCTAGAAGATTGGCTTAGCTTGAATACTTGGCTATCCTTGGAATGTGCTTGTGGCTGCCGTCTTCGACATCCATAAAGCTTCCCAGGTACCAAGCAATATGGGGAAAGTTAAACTTGGCCTTATAGAATATTAGACGTTTACGGTTGATTCGAGTTGATTCTCGTTTTATTCTGAGTTGGCTATATTGTTGAATTTGGGGGCAATACGGAGTGAGGGAAGGCGGATCTGATTCAACAAGCCCCGATCGATCAGAATAAGAGATTTTTCTGTCTTGGATCCGTCCAAGATAATAACAGGGTGCCAATCCTGGGAGATCCTACTAGGGGTCGTGGGGGAACGTGACATGGGGATGAGATGCAAGGGATACTGCGGAATGGCTGTTGCAGATCATCCGCCAATTACTCTTGTTTCCTAAGAATGTTAACCGGTGTAAAAGCATGCAGAGAACGGACGGAAGTGGAAAAGGTCTGAACGAGAAAATTCCAGGTGTCTGACGAGCAAGACATATGCCACTCCTCGTGGAACAGTCTAGCAATATGATTTGATTTGAGTTGATTACTGATTCATGCACTATCCATCCCTTGGACTGCCTCAGTTGCTGTATGACCGAACTATTGCAGAAGGGCAATTGGATGGCTCTCTCGTACAGAGTACAAATAATAATTATTTCTTTCAGCCAGGTATGAGCTAGTATTGATCGACACCGTCTACATCTTTCATCCGAATAGAGTACCGCTGGGAAGAATGACACTAAGAGCATTATCGCTGGGGTTTACATAGCATACAGCTCTTTTCGATGCGTGTACAGGAGACGCGTCAAGGCGCGCTTTGCTCTGTGGGGCTACTATGAAAGATAGATAAGCAATATGCCGGTCAGCCCCTTTGCTAGATGATCGTGAATGTGAATAGGCAAAGCTCAGTAGCCATTAAGGTGTATTAACTATTTTCAATTAGCATTGAACCGAAATTCGCTCAATAAACATATGCTTTAGTCTGCCCGCTCCTCCGTTGCTTTGTATTCAAAAACACATAATAGATGTGCAACACAACGCATGAAACACAGACAAACAGAAGTAAAGCAGCGTTAGTCCAATGGCCCGTGGGGTATCCCCTCGTAGCCTCGTTAGCCTTGTAAATCCACACCCCGACAATTTGGCCCGGTGCGCCGAAAGAGATATTGAGCGCTATCGCTAGTCCAGCCCCAGCGGTGGAATGAAGGTTGGAAGATAACCACCCAAGTAGGGGAGGAATGCACGAAAATGCGCCACTAGCCGCCACTATTAAGCATCCATACCGACTCTGCGGTACTGTTAGAGGCTTAGCCTTTCTCGGCATAGAATTAGTCTTACCTGATATGCATCTGCAGGTAGGACAGCAGAGGCTAGGAAGCCTACAGCACCAATACATGAGAATATCGCTGCGTGAATTCCGCGCCTATTCCAGTATCAACATTCACTTAGTGTATATTTTGAATTTCGGCTGGATGATTAACATACGCGTTGAAGTGGTCGGCGGACCAAGAAACTGCGACCGTTACTACATATGCAACAGCATAAGGCGGCACAGTCATCAGTTGGGCTTCTAGATTCTCGTACCCCAATCCGGCAGTAATGGATGGGGTGAAGAGTGAAAGACTCGAGAACGGGGTTGAAATGCCGAAATAAATCTATAACATATGAGTGGGTCGTTAGGAAATGAGGCAGATAACAAATACCGCGTAATGGCCGTACAATCGCCAATCGGTCAGGACAGTCTTTGCTTCTGCCAAGCTCATCGTTTTCGCACTGCTCTTAGAGCCTTCCAATCGGAGTCTGTGTCTTGCCAAATTGAGCTCCGCAGCATTCAACCAGCCTGCTGTTTCTGGATAGTCTGGTAAAAAAAACCAAACCAAGATCGCTGACGCGCACGACGGAGCTCCTTCGATTATGAAAAGCCAGCGCCAGGCCGATAGGCCATAGGATCCGTTCAAATATCCAACTCCATAAGCTATAGCACCGCCGAATGCGCCAGCTAGAGTAGCGGAGGCGAGAATAAGTGCCACACGTATAGAACGCTCCGAAACACGATACCAAAACGTGAGATAATATACAAGTCCAGGGAATAGCCCGGCCTCAATGACTCCGAGCAGGAATCGAATACCTGTAACGTCTCCGAAGTTGCGAGAGCCACCCAGACCCATTGTTATGCCACCCCAGGCAAACATGAGGAACGCAATCCACCGCTAGATCATATTAGTGACTTATAGAAAGAAACACATCAAGTGATAGATACATACGCTGGGCCTCAACTTCTTCAGCAAATAGTTGGAGGGTACCTCAAACAGACCATATGCCACGAGAAAGACCATCAACGCAATCCTAGATAAGGCACGGGTTACAAATGATCTACTAAGCCAAGAATTTGATACATACGTATATTGATAGTTGCTCATATGTGTTTCGGAGAGAAGATCGTTGCCCGTATCCTTGTTCAAGACCTTGGCATTTCCTGGAGTCTCTTAGCTTTGTCATTTCAGGGGGCGTAGTTCTTGATTCGCATCTCACCAATGTTGGAGCGATCAAGGTAGCATAGTAAATAAATAAATGCCGATAAAGGCACGATGCGTAGGTCTTGCTTCCATACCAGAGCCTTTTCAGCCGCGGTGTCATAAGTGGGCGTGCCTTCTAGGCTATTCGAACTATCCTGAACCGCAATCAACACCATCTACTATTCTGTATTAGCAAAGAAGCCCTGTTACCTACATGAATACCATTCTCAACGTCCTCCAGTTTATGCTCGTGTGGCTTTTCATCTTGTGCTGTCATGTCTCCCAGATTAGAACGAGAGTCCGATGGGTCTGGTGTTCTCATTGTTTTACGGGGCGGGCTCGTATGGAGAGAGGCCCCAAGAAGCTCGGTAAAATTTGGTGATAAGTATGGTGTACCAGGATATCAAGCCTTATGAAGTATTCCAAAAGCAATGGTCCTGTCTTAGTTCCTGATGTCGTCGGCGTCGGCGGCCGTCACCGACGGACAATGTCCGAGGCCACATAACTAGGGCTTCGCTTCACTGTCCCCGCCCATTTAGCCTGGAGAAAACGCGGGGTAAACGCGACTAGCGAAGAGCCGGGCCCTCGGCATTGGTCTATAGCATCCCCCCACACCGAGTATTTATTGTATCCGGCTTCTCGGACTAAAGCCCGCCGGCTGACTTGTCCGAAAACAACGGAGTCCCAGCACACTTGCACACTCTGGTCGGACCGTAGGCGATATTGAAACATGCATGCATGCGATAGGTGTCATCGGCGCAAGTCCAAGTGCGACAAAGTGCTACCGGCATGTGGGCCATGCCAGAAAGCCGGGGTTGCCTGCAAGTATGTTGATCGGACTAGAAGCCATCAGCAACTTCTGGAAAAATTGCAGCGTCGCTTGAAACAAGTCGAAGCTACGAACCGCACCTTAGCGGCAAGGCTAGCTAGCCATGCTTCTCCAGCTGCACAAAGTGAGCCCGAGGAAGATAGTAATGAGGTGGGATCAGAGATGCCCATACTGGATAATGCCCGTGGAGAAGCTACCACTAGACGGCATGAAAGGGAAGAAGACGAGAATGAAATCATAGAAGAAGTCACCTTTCTATCTAGTGGGGCAGGGGGTGAGCAGCACTTCCTGGGCTCCGCTAGCGGTGTGTTCCTTGCGAGCTTGGTCAGCGCGACGATGGTCAGCTCTCGGCCCCAGGGTTCGCACGAGAAAAGTTCACGAAGAAGATCAAGTAGGTTTCCACCACTATCGCCTGGAACTAATGCCTCTTCTGAGGCTTCCGCTTTACCCACAGAGCAGGTCGCGCGTAATCTACATCGTGCCTACTTTGAACACGATCATCTCTGTTATCCTTTCCTCCACCGCGAGACCACGCTACGCGCACTGGACCAAGCCTACCAAGACCCCAACTTCTTAGAGCAAGACGCCTTTGCATCTTTTGTATTTGAGATGATCCTCGCTATAGCTACGGCTAGCGTGCACAAGTTCAACATAGAGGCACTTCCTGATGCGGAAGCATATCAGGTACGAGCAACGCAGAGGCTAAACGAGGTAATTCGTGATGGTGGTGTGCAAGCACTTCAAGCGCTCCTATTACTATGTCAATACAGGATGACAAATTCGATCCAGGACACATCAACAAGTAAGTAACGGAATTCATAGATTTAGTTGACTAATCTGACTTTCCCCAGGTTTATGGCACATCGTTGGTGTTGCTTCCCGGATGTGCTTCGAGCTGGGACTGCATCGGGAGCAGACTTATCGGCCAGTCGAGACCATAGACACGAGTGACAAAACTTCATATGCAAATATAGAGTGCGATATTCGTCGCCAATGTTTTTGGTGTGTTGTTGCGATGGATAGGTACAGCCGACTCCGTTTATGTTGGTTAAGAAAGCTAACTCTATCCAACCAGGATCGTGAGCATTACATTGGGGAGGCCGCTTGCCATACACCTGCAGGACGTAGAAGTCAGCCTGCCTGACTCTAGGCTTGACACTGCTTGGGATCTGGATAATATTGACTTAAGACACCAGTCTTCCTCGTCCTTTTCCCGCACAGCGTTATTTGTTCACATTGTCCGCTACCGAGTCATCTGTGGCGATATATTGTCTGCACTACACAACACATCTAGTCGAACACAAGGCGATGCAACATCTGCCTTGGAGGCTCGAGATAAGCTTGCAACTGATCTTGTTCAATGGCATCATGAGACTGCGGCGTTGTCGCTTCCAGAAATTAACCTATCTAACCCCCTTCTAGGGGATCAGTCCAGCTATCGTGCTCGGGAGTGGTATGAGCTGTTATATTATAATGCCCTCCTTATGCTATATAGGCCGTCACCAGCGCTGTCATCGGCACCTCCTCAGGATGCGGGAGTCCTGCAGACTATTTTCGTCGCCGCAAAACAGTCCATCACATTATACTCCCACCTCCACCGCTCTCGGCGCATCAACTACACTTGGATAACTCTCCATTCTGTTTTCATGGCCGGCCTGTCCTACGTCTATGCCGTGGGTAGACATTTCCGAGCTCGCAAGCGTGAGACACTTGGCAGGACATCCTCCCTCCTTCAGAGCGATCCTACTATAATGGAAATAGTGCATGACTCAAGAGCATGTTCGAATGTCTTGGTCGGTATCTCTGAGCGCTGGAATGTGACGAAGCATTGCCATGATGTCTTCAACCGGCTTACCGACGCCATGCTCACGGACGCCATCGAATACCATTCTCGGAGCACCGAGCGGGCATCAACCCAACCAACGTCTACAGCCCTTCGACCTGATGAACCATTATTACCGGCAGAACATGCAGCAGTCAGTGCCACACCGAACATTGCACCACCTGGACCCTGGGACATAAGCGATCCGTCTCCGATCTCCCTGGGCATCGACTCCGTTGTTCGGGAATGCTTCGATGACTTGCGGCGCTTCCAGATGCTAGAAGGACAGGGAGATGACCCCGTCGGACGGCTGTTTCATGACTGGTTAGGAGAAATCAGCGATATAGACATGAATCTAACCCCTATGTGGTGAGGATCGAGTTCGCATTACTCCATTAAAGTATGGATCTATCCCAATCTATGTATTTTCCTATGCCTCGCCATATGTGGAGTCTTAATCAAATCCAACCTCGTTCTAAAAACTTCTTCGGGACTTCTACCACTCGACTTCGCAAATATTCCCCTATCCCTTTACCCAACCCATCAATCCGACTAGAGCTAGCGATGCCGCCATCTAAGAAGTCTAGGACCCTGAAGTGAACAGCCAATAAATTTGTAAACTCACATCGTTCCACTGGAGGTTCATTATCTCTTTTTGGCCAATCATCCCCAAGCAGGTCTTTGAATCGATCCACCGTTAAGAATGATTGCAACCATGGATACTCGTCCAAGTTTCGGACGAAGAAGCCCACATTGAAATTATCCCCTTTATCTCCTGAACGGGCGTGAACAATACTGCCCAACGGGGCGGCCTCCGTGACGCCGAACTGGGTTAAAGGTACAAGAGTCTTGGTCTCATAGGAAGGTCTTTGAATCGGGTATGTTCTCGTTTTAGGCGCAGATGGTGCATTCTGTTGCATGCCATTGGAGAGGATGATCCGATGATGTATGAGGTCAAGGGGAATAAGTGCTGGAAAGATCTCCATGAAGGGCTTTGCGTCCATCATCCGAAAGTCAAGGTTCATGTGATATCCTTTTCTCTGTCAGAATAATCATTTCCTACAATTATGTAAAGGGAGAGCATACCAGGATAACTTTGCATCCGCAGAGCATATATCAATGTCTTAAACCTTTCCGCCGAGATATCCGCTATATTCCGTGCTTGCGCAAACACTCGTAGAAATACTGTTCCCGCCTGTTGACTAGCCGGATTAATGGCAGGTGAGCCGTAGAGCTCAATAGACAATTTGCAGAAGTTGTTACCACGAAGAGCATGGTCGAGCTGATTGCGAAACATCTTTGCCTTCTCGTTCACATCCAGACCATTGATATAGAATATTGCTTCGGCTTGATAGCCTCCTGGGGCTGCTATCATCGCTTTTGTCGTTGGTGGTGGCGGCTGTCCTATTGTACCATAGACTCTGACACGATCGGGGCCGACTTCGTCTACGGACACATTTCGCAGGTCGGCTGCGACGTCCGGGTTGAGATATAACTCCCCTTGGAGCTCGTAGAGCAACTGAGCAATAGTGTTAAACTTAGTGACTGCACCACCATAGGCCTCGCATTTAGTGATTATGCAACTGCCATCAGGACTGATTTCAGCAATAGGGAAGGAGAGGTCGACAAGGCTAGGAAGCAAGGGTTTAAAGCCGGAGAAGTTGGCGCCGGTCACATACGGGCCACACTCAATCAGGTCTATGACAATTTCGATAAGTAATATGTCAATTGCATCTAGCATAGAATCACACATACGTCCAGCGACCAGTGCACCGGCAAGCTCATCCCAGGCGTCTCGCTGCCACCTATACCACCACGCCGCGGCACCAATAACTGGCGAAGCATCCGTGACACGACCGCATATGACAATGTCAGCGCCTGCATTTAGAGCTTCCACGATGCCCCAAGCCCCGATGTACGCCACGGCGCAGTGTGGCTTCAAGGGCCAATCTTTCAACTTCCACTCCACATGGTCCAAATGATGTAAGTCCTGGAAGCCAGGCTCTTTCTTCTGGATGGGCGCCGAGATATCATCTCCTAGTACCGAAGCCACTATGACTTGGCTCTGTCCTTTCTCTTTACATAGTGTGCAAACCTGCCGCATCAGGGATGATATGTTCAACGCCCCAGCATTTGCAACAACTTTGATAGCTTTTGTTACAATAATATCTAGACAGTCGCTCAACTGGGCGAGAAACCCGAGCTCATATCCCAGATCAGGATCTTGAGATTTGGTTATGGCATTCCATGCAATGTTCATTTCCGATAGCCAGTCACCAACGATGACATCGACATTGCCATGCTGTGCCATCCGAAACATTGCCTGGGGGTGGTCGCCTGTTGCACCGGAGACATTGCCAATGCGGAGGGGACGCTTGTGGAGCATTTTGATGTTTTGCTGGTTGTTTTCTGAGTAGACCAAGTTTCGATGGCAAGATATATGTAGGGTATAGAACACCTGGGTTTGAACCGACCTGTGTATGGGCCCAGAGCGTCTGACGTAAATGAAATCCCCAATGTTGAGATCAAACAGTGAACAGAGAACCCACAGTTGGTCGGGTCAAAATATACCGACGGCCTATATGTAATTGATATTGTTCACCTTGAGTGTCCCACTATAGACAACGTTCCGTGGTTTCCGTTCCGCATAATGTCATCGGCCGACGGCGCCGAAGGCCGATATATCGGCGATCCGGTCCTAGACCATGGATGATCCCACTTAAGGTTCCACGCAACAGTCTGTACAATATTCAGCCGGTAAATATTACCGGGCCATAAATCATGACTCGTGAAACTCTGTCGATCATCCCAGGAGGGGAAGTTATTGCGCTGAGAACTTCATGTCCCTCGATTCCCTCAAAACCTAAAGAACCCCGTGTCGTCGGAAACCATGAATGCAAGCCAGTGCATCTAAATCCCATCTTCTCTCAGAATGAGAATCCTTCCTATATTCTACGCGTTTAAGGTCCTAGAAGTCGTCAAGGGCATCCCGCTGGAGCGGCAACAGAATGTCGATTGTGCAGGTCTCGCTGGAGTCCAGGTTGACAATGCCGCACGAATCCATCTCGCACAGAATGTGGCTATAGGCGGTCTCACACTATCTAGTAATGGAAACTCGATCCAGAACGAACTTTCTCTCTGCCATGTCCAAGGAACTATGAACTACATGGCGGGCGGGGATGCTACGCCAGACCTAAATGGGAATAACATACTTACCTGGGAATTATTCCTTCCGGACCAGACTCATTACAATGGACGCTTTCTTGCCGTAGGTGAGAGTGAACAAACTATGTACATGTAGCTGCTCACTAATTGAGGCTCTAGGGAATGGGGGCTTCGCAGGAAACATAGACAATTTCACCATGCTCACAAACCTCAATTCTGGCTTCGCAGTCGCGGGCTGCGATAGTGGGCACCCACTGTCAGAAGCTGGACCTAGTGGGGCTAATGACTCCGTACCATTCCTAGATGATATCGCGAAAGTGAAAGCCTGGATCCACAATTCAATAGCCATGACCACCAATATCACTCGGGCCATCACTGCCAAGTATTACGCTGAGCAACCGACCTACAGCTATTTTTGGGGTTGCTCGACTGGAGGTGCTCAGGGTTATGCACTTGCGCAGTATCACCCTATCTTGTTTGATGGCATCTATGCTGGAAGTCCGGGAAACTGGTACAGCCATTTAATACTGAGCTTTCTCTGGAATGGGCTCCGTGCGACAGGGGACGGATTGATCGGTCAAGGTGCTTTGAATTTCATTACGAATCGAACAGTTGCTGCCTGTGATGAACTGGATGGCGTCAAAGATGGTATAATTGAGAACCCGCTGAGGTGTAACTTTGACATAAAGACGCTGGAGTGCCAGCCTGGTCAGACTGCTATCACCAACAATAAGACTATATGCCTTACTCCAGCCCAGGTCCAATCTGCACTCCAAATTTATGCCGGACCGAAGGATCAACGTACCGGAAAGCAGATCTATCCCGGCTTTGACCTGGGCTCTGAAAACGGTTGGTTAGGCCAAGAGACATCTTTGTATTCCTCGTACGCGGCTCCTATCCTTCGACAGCTAGTCTTCAAAGACAAAACATATAACGTCACTTCTTTCAACTGGGGCTCTGATGTCGATTATTTAGACATCACCGCATCACCGGCCATTGACGAAATTTCTCCCGATCTCTCAGCATTCAGTCAGCGAGGAGGCAAGTTAATCACGCTTCAAGGATGGGCAGATCAGTACAATGCCGCCACGTGGCCAATCAAGCACCTGAAACAGATCCAGTCGACTGTACAAGGGCAAGACGCCTCTGAGTTCATCAGATTGTTCATGGTTCCTGGGGGTGGACACTGTGGGGCCAATTCAGCGTACAGTCACGTACCGGCCACTTACCACGCTCTTGATGCTTTGTTGCCGTGGGTGGAGGATGGAATTTACCCCGAGGAAATCATGAGCGATGCGCCTCCTGACGGGTCGAATACAACTAGGAAGCTGTGTGTATGGCCAAAGGAGGCGAGATTTCTGAAGGGTAGTCTAAGTGATTGGAACAGTTACACATGTATTTAAGTACCATGATCCCAGCTATACCGCTTAGTGAGCATTATCCCTGTTTTATTTGTGTCTTTAATATCAGTTCCATGGTTGACATGAAACGCAGGTGGCACAATTTCATTCCCTCGATGCTCCCCTTACCAAGTATCTCACAGTATCGCTCATCTATAAGGGCATATTTACAAGGCTAATTATCACTACCAGCAACCTGGTAGAGCTTCTACTCCCTGAGAGCTGTTCTAAATAATACTAATATACCGACGATATCCCAGGTGGGAGTCAGATAGTGAGGAAAAGCGAGAAGAGTTGCTTGACAAAGAAATAAACTGTGTTACCTTCGGCATCAAGTCCAGCATTATCAACGAGCTCTTAGCCAAGCGCAGTCCACCGGCCTTTTTTTGTTGGTACTTCTTGATGTTGTCGCCGATAAAGTTTCGTTGCCCGGTTGCCCAGTCTTTGATAATTTCCTTGCCAGAAAAGAGCCTTTGCCCACTATATAACCAAGATTCTGGTAAGATTTTCGAAGATCATTACCAATGGAAAGTACTCCGTACTCTGAGCAGAATCTAGACTACATATCTCCTACTTTGAAATTGACCGCCATTCCCGAGCCGCACGATACAAAGAGCAAAGTTTCTTCCCATGCGATCAGATAATGGAGACGTTTGGCCTTATAACCAGTGGCCCTGGCAAGAAAACGTACCCAGCTCCCTAAGTCATCCCTGTTCTCATCTTTCCACAGTAAAGTCAGCCAACGATTGTCAGCACCGCAGAGATGTTTCGAACTTGTATTCTCATTACTTTCTATCTCTCAGCTTTAGTTGTCAGTATAAGATTTTGCCCCGGAAGCCAAGCTGGAAGTAGTGGAACGGGTGGAGCTGGCGCAAATACGATCCAGGACCCACGTTCGTCCACCCGACAGATCCACGACCAGTGCGTGGGTGTCAAGATACTCCCGGCGAGAAACATAAACGCAGCACCGCCGGAGCCAAACAGAGGCGGAGCCAGCAGAGCTGCTCAACCTGCATCAAATGCCATAGTTCCAGAGCCAATATATGAACATCTTGAACCGAACACGGGCGACCCACCCGTACCTCCAAACACCCCCACGAAGCGCGAGCCTGTACCGCCACCGAATGGTGCTCCACCCCCTGCCAGTAACGGTAATCAGCCAGCTGGAAACCCAAATGCACCACCCCAGCTGCCTGCAGCGAAGCTATTTGGTAATTGTAAATCCGGTGGCAGGGATGCACGTCCTACAGAAGTGGTCCTGGACAGTTGTTTTGGTTGGGATACTGTTAGTGAGGCATTGGTCGCTCTACCGAAGTATGTATACTCCAATGCTCTCGTCACTCATGTTTATAGTCAGTCCTGGTTTCATACGTCATGGATGCTGAATGATACATATAGTGGACAAGGGCTCGCGAGAGGCGGTTGCTGGGGCTGCGAATATGTCAGGATCTCTCAGGACAGGTACCGAATCGATTGTTGGTGCGATAATGTGGCCCGGCGCCCCTTGGAATATGTCGCTCGAGGATCCCAGCGAATGGCAGCTAAGGTATCATTTAACGAGGGTGAGTGTTGAGCCAATATCAAGCTAGATTCGGGCTGACATGTTATAGATGGGGTGTTTCAATTAGTCAATGGTCAGCTCACCTGTCCTGAACAGCGGTCTTGAAACCGAACTTCTTTATTTCGCGAAGAATGATGACTATGATCATATCATTTAGGGCTAGGATGAAATAGTAAGGCAAAAGTAGAAGTTGAACATTTTCGACGACCCCAACCAGCTTTAGATTGCTATTATACGTATTAATCTTGTCATCCACCTATTTCCCATTAGCCCTAATATGAGTCTACACGACTAGATCTCACTATTCGCCCAGAAGCTTATAGACTTTATGAAGCTTCATGCAGCTACCGAGGCTGAAGACACAATTGATTCGCTTATAGGTCAAGATCAATTTGTCCATCGCCTCGTCGCTCCGTTGCCCTATCCAACGCGCGTATATATAGCCGGTTAAGGGACTTGCCGATCAGAAGAGCAAGCACAGACCTAGGCATATCCTCAAGCTTCGACCCGTACCGTTAGCCTACTAGCGGGCTAGATTACTTGGCAAGTCTTGTCCGAATGGCCCCCAATGTCGAACGATTCGCTTCTAGGAAACGATCAGCGTGCTTTAGCACTCTTTCATCTCTGCTAATTAAATTAAACTCGGCAAGGCAGTCACTGCTTCGATCCAATTCAGGGACCAATGTTGATCCTGCCAAATGTCAACTTTGACCGGCAAGGCGCATGTCACTTCTGAACTTCATTTTGTCAACTCTGATATGGTGAATCAACCCCGGATGCTACGTATTCACCTTCTCAATCGCAAATCATGACTCAAAAAGCATACGACCGTGCGGAAACGGTCGAACTGCTTGCAATTCCACGAGATGAAGAACCACTGGGGACAAACTCGTCTAGCGAAGACGGAAAAGAACTCAGCGACCGGACGAAACTTCAATCAACGCGAAAGCACCACAAGAAACGCAAAACAGAAAACTGGAAACGGTCGCTATATCTAGGCGCACTATCGAGCGTTATAGTACTTCTATTTAATGTTTCTTTTGTTGCCTGGGCCGTGTCGCATCATGATCTCAAAGACGATCGCGGGGTTCTCTACACCGGCGATTGTACCAAGACCAAGAGAATGAGTACTGGGATTCACTTGGTCATCAACATTCTAAGCACTGCTCTGCTCTGCGCCAGTTCCTATACTATGGTAGAGAACTGCTTCCTTTACCTGCAGGCATGGTGCTTGAATCCTGACTTTAAGACAGCAATGCCTCTGCGCCCCTACACGAACGGAGATTGACCGCGCACATAAAATTAATAAATGGCTGGACATTGGTGTGCCTAGTATGCGAAATCTGTTTCGGATCTCGAAGATAAAACTCATTCTATGGCTGATTCTAGCGCTATCGTCCCTTCCGCTTCACCTGTTGTAGGTTGATATTTGTTACTCGCCACTCTACTTTTAAGCAATACTCTTATCAGCAAGTATTAACCCTAACAACAGTTACAACTCGACGATCTTCTCGACAATTACAAACCTCCAGTACGAAATCTTTGCAGGAAACAAGCCGTTCTCCGATTTCCACGCAACGGACGTCCGACCACCTAAAGATGTTATAGAAATGAGTAACACCAGGTATATGAACCCCTACTTCTCATTCTCAAGAATGCTTGAGGAAGGACTCCACCATGAGCTCTACCGCCTGGAAAATACCGACTGCATGTCCGCCTACGCCACGAACTTCCAATCTACATACGGCAGCGTACTTTTACTCACCGACGACTTTCACCCGAACGACACCGACTTCGACTTTCTGTCGTTCCAGGGACCCTCTACCACCGATAAGGGAGATAATCCATACGCCTGGATGTGTTGCGATCACACCGTGTATTCCTGCGAGATGCAGACTTTATGCCGCGACCAACTTCCGGAGATCCGTGCCCATGCCGACAATTGGATAGTGGGTGGCTACCGCGTGAAATATTGCCTAGCAGAGAAAGTTCCGGGGAAATGCAAGCTGGAGTACAGTCTTCCTCTGGCTATTATTGTCATCGTTTTCAACATTCTCAAAGCAATCGTCATTTCTGCTGTGGCTCTCACCATGACCGACCTGCCCATTCTCACAACCGGCGACGCGGTGGCTTCATTTCTCAAGACCCCTGAGACAAGCGATAGAGTCCATTGTCTCATGTCCAAAACCCTAGCCAAGAATCCAACCTCCAGACCCCTCCCATACAAAGCAAAACCCCAAAGATGGGCCACCGCAGTTTCCGTACTCCGATGGACGGTCTGCATAACATGGTACGTACGCACATATATTCCCCCCCCAACAAACAAACCAACCCTACCAAGCCCCCCACTAACAAAACCCAACACTATCAGCTACACTATCGCCATCGCAATCTGCATCGGCCTCCTCTGTTTCGGGCTCAGCCAAATCAGCAACAAAGGCAAGATCTGGTCCGGTCTCGGCATCACAAACACAGAAACCCTCATCAGCGGAAACACCTGGCCCCCGTCCCTAATCACTAACACCATCATCGCCAACACCCCCCAAGTCATCTTCTCCATCCTCTACTTCGCCTCCAACAGCGTCCTCACAGCTATGACCCTCGCTGCAGAATGGAGCAACTACGCCCTTCACCGAAAGGGTCTCCGCGTCTCCTCCACTCCGCACGGCTCCCAACGCACCACCTACTTCCTCTCTCTACCCTATACCTACGCCATCCCGCTGCTGGTCTTCTCAACCGTGCTTCACTGGCTCATATCCCAGAGTCTATTCCTCGTCAACGTGGAGTCGTATAATATGCAACTAGAACGCTTCGGGTTGTTCGATTTCGCCACGTGTGGATATTCCCCCGTGGCTATTGTCAGTGCCATCGCTGTTGGGGGGTTCATGCTGTTCTGTCTTGTTGGGTTGGGGTTGCGGCCGTTTGCGTCCGGCATGCCCGTCGCGGGGAGTTGTAGTCGGGCTATTGCTGCTGCGTGCTATCGTGGGTTTTCCGCGGTAGAGGGGGATGACGTGGAGACTATGCCTCTGCAATGGGGGGTTGTGTATGAGGGGACGGGGGATGGGGTGGGGGTTGGATGTTGTGCTTTCTCTGGTGGAGAGGTTGGGATGCCGACAGATGGGGTACTTTATCGGTAATTCGGTTGTTTCGACTATTATTATGGTTTGATATGATAATATCTACCCATTTTGTGGTTATATACCTTTTCATATACTGAGGCATGGTTATGGAAATTAGGATAATTGTGTAAAGTTTTATGGCAATTTGGAACCAGTGCCAGCACATGCATGCATTGGTTTCTCTCCAAGTGAAAATGTTCAGATTCAGTGGTTGTAATAAAGAATAGACGCATAATACCACGATATATCCATACCAATATCCGTATATGCAAAGACAAATCCGAAGATCATGAGGTATAGAAAGTGAAAATGTTCAAGAGAGAAGGAAAGGTAGAAAGAAAGTACACACTGTACATCCAATAAATGCACAAGTGTTGGTTAAGACGACAAGGCCTCCAAAGCAGTTGAAGTAGCCAAACAAACTGGTATCCAAGGGAAAAAATCCAACATAAAATCAGAACTCATACATATACAATCAAAACCATCATAAACTGCGCAAGGTATTAGAAACAGATGATACACACCGTTCACATATATACACCGTGTATCCCAGCACATTAGCATATTAATATATACAGGACCTCGACAGAGTAGACCTCGTTCCACGTGGTCCCAAAAAGCCGATCAAACAGGCTCCTCCTTAATGGAATCAGAGGATCTGCGACTCTTAACAAACTTGGGCCATGTATTAGTGAGAACGAGATACTTGATACTCTTCTCGGCGTCGTTAAAGACAGTCGGCCCGAATGCCTCGGGGACTTCACCCCAGAATTGCACGCGGTCGTCTGAGGACACCGGGTGGAGCTCTACCTGGGAGCCGTTTCCAAGGCTGGGTGAGGAAAGAGATTTCAGGGGGAAACTGGGGGTATCAAAAGGAGTGACAGGATCGACGACAGTGCGCTTCTCGCCGTACAGGGCACGAGCAGGAGCTTCGAAGATGTGTTCGAGCTTCCTGAGATCTTGGGAGGAGATGTTCACCGGAAACTCGGCGTGACTAACACTGATGAACTTGATGTAGATGTTTAATGCGCGATTGAAACGTTCGTGGAGCAACTCTTTCATGTTGTCGTCCATGGAAACGGTGTTGTCTCGGAGTGCCTTGGGAAGCGAGTTCTTCCATTCGGCGACGCTGGTGAGGAAGGCGACATTCTCGCCGGAAAAGTCGTTGAGGGCAGAGAATTTCTGAAGAGGAGCGGGGTTGCGTTCCAGGACATGTTCCAATGCGCCCATGGTTAGAACACTGTCGCGGGAGCCGGTGGTATCGACGGAGCCGTTGGTGGATTTCCATCCGGACATCATGGAATCGACCATGGTCGGGACGGAGCTGAGAGATCTGGCTTCTGAACCAGATTTCTTCATTTTTGATTCCCACTGCTCGATCGCGTTGAATGTCTCCTGGCGAAGGGCGTGGTGGCGCATTACTTCCCAGCAGGGGAGAAAGACAGTGAAAATTTCCATGATCCAAATGGACAGGCAAATCCTATATCAGGTGAGAAAATTGTTTTGCGAATATATAGACGAAGGGCTTACCACTGCGGAGGAATCCAGTACTGGTTGACCACTTCCATGGCAGGAACGTAGAGAGCGATGAGCCACATCGGGGTGCCGTGGAGGCTGCGTAAGATGTTAATGAAGAAACCCTCTCGTGTACATTATTCATACTCACTTAGCGAGAGCGCAGCCAATCGTCTGGACTCGCCAGCCTTGGGTATCATGGATATGGCGAGACTTCCAGAGCACGATGGGAGCAACAATCCAGGCCCAAAAGAACTGCCCAAACACGGTGGCCCACCTAATCTAAGTTAGTATCAACAGACCTCGGGCGACCGCTTCACATCGGCATCCATGGTATTCTTACCATTCCCAACCTCGGCCCTGTTCCGTCGCTTGCTCCATCGGAGTACCGGTAACCTCGGTGCCGGGAATTCCCCAAGAGCTGTGCCACTTGCGAGAAATCACCCACATCAGGACAGTGAGGAATATTTGAAAGACCATTGCAATAGAAACGAGGATGACAATCCTTTTCGTATACTCGAGTTGACGGAAGCGGGCAAACAAACCGCCTTTGGGCTTCGCCTCGGGCACAGACTCAGTGATACGGCTATCATGGTGGGCATATTTCCGCTGATGCTTTGCGACGTGCAGGAAACGACTGTTAGAAGCGTGAAAAAGGGCAATTCCGCAGGGCAAATAAGTGCCCATGATCCAGTACTGGGCGTCTCCCGGCATGATGGGACCAATCATAACTCCGAATTGGACGGATGCCCAATACAAATGAAGCAGTACAATTGCTGATAGCGACAGACCAAGGCCTCGAATTCGGAGAGTCGGCATGTTGCGATTGGCGATGAGATAGAGCATACCGAGCACGACGGCGGTCGTCCACACGCCGGCCCAGCATGCCCACCATATGCTCACCGGTGTGTATACAGCCTGCGGTTTGCTCTCTGGGGTGATTCCGAGTTCCGACCCCATGGCGACGGTGTTTCGCTGAAAGAATGGCTAAAAGAGCGTGGTGTAGTTGGGTAGCACTGGTCAGCGATCGCCAGTCAAGGTGGACAGGTTCGCGAGGATATCGAAGCCATGAAGGAAAGAAGAAGTCAATGCGTCTGCAAGGCAGCAGTTGGGCCCGTGGCCAACTTAATGAGTTTGCAGAATCTTAGATTGGCGATATCACTTGCAGATCGGTTCCAGGACGTGCATCCAGAGTGACTCTATAGGGCCATCTCATTGGAGGTGAACTAGCCTAGATTGGAAGTCACAAAGACCCACCTATTGGGAAGATTCCTTGGTTTTTCCTCTCGACCCCTCCGGAACTAACGATCTGTGATTTGGAATTCCCTGGCCCACATCCCACGCTAAAAATGCTACCGTTCCTTTATCACACGTTCAATCCCCGAAACAAAGCTCAAAATCGAGCTTCTCAGGTGGAGACGTAAGACCAGAGGGATTATCAATAACTCAAACTCTCAGTTCAGATCATCAGATAACCAACTAGGCCATATCATGCCAACATGGATGATTATGATGTGGTGTTTTCTTGAACCAGGTAGGGGGTGGGATGGCGACGGGATCACTCGGCGATACCGTCGGGTGGAACCCAAACTAAAAAAGCTAATCCGCGGTCTGGGTTGGAGTATGAGCCCAATTTCCACGTGAACTAAACCGATCTCGCACGCTTGCACGATATCCTCTTGCACGATGTCTTCATGCACGAATCATACAGTGTGGATAATGCTTTGGACCTGCCCACCTAGGCAGGAGTAGATCTTAACCGAGATGGTGTAATCTGCCGCTGAACCAATGTTAACCCTGCTTAAGGTTTTCAACTTAGTCAGTTAGATGAACCTTTGTAGCATCGCAATCTCGCGATTTGGGACCTTTTTTCCTTTGCTAATGCATCTTTGCTGGAGTCGTCCCAAAAACATGGCTCTTTCCGCTTTTTTTGTCCTTTAGAACTTTCGTTGCTTGGTGGAAAACATCCTCACCAATCTCGGCTACAGACCAGCTCACTCATTTGTTACATCATTTCGCTCTCTAGCGAGTCGCGACGCATAATCGTATCCTCGGCAATAACCCGGCGCTCTCCGAAATCTCTCAGATTTATGACCGGGATTACACAGTATAATTAATTAATCTACCCACTAGATTCCCAGCCGATCGGGGATGAGCAGGAGGGATTCAAGATCGGTGCATGCGTCCCATCTCTGGTGTAAACAATGAACATGGGCCACACGGCAGCACGTGGATATTACCCTGTAAGGTACGGACCGTGAAATTGGATATAAAATCCTTCTGTCCAGCTCAGGACAAAAGAGTGAACGAGCCATTAATCTGAGCGCACACCCCTAGCGTCTCTTGGCATTAGGGCTTGAAAGTTTTAAGGAATGGCTTACCTGAGCGGTGTGATGAAGTGGAGTACGTGGAACGGTTTAATAACTCAGTGGAGCTGCTAGCCGGTAAACAAAAAGAGGAGCTTTGAATTTAAGTAACTATCGCTCCCTGTCTCACCTCAAGCTCCCGCATTTTGAGGTTCTTGAATCTTGGAACTCGAGGCAATTGCCGATCCTTACGGCATTTAGCACGTGTCACGTGATAGGACGGGGCGTTGGTGTCTCTACAGTCAAAATTAATTCACCTAAATGGAGTCAGAGGTCTTTCTGAATCATGTGCGTATACCAGCTTGACAGTTTTAGTCTTGTCTTGATCGTTAGTCACTACAGACATAAGAAACATTTCTTGATTCTACGATGGGAGAGCTTGAAACGATCGTTAGTGGGTTTGCGGGTCGTTTATTGACGAAAATTCTGCTAGTCCCGCCTAATAATGGTTATTGATATAATTTAGGAATATACCACGAGAATAAGCTACTCCTACGTGATACTCCGTACTCAAAGGGGTTATGATAGTCAAAGAATGCAACGTTAAATAACCTCATATCACTACCGAAGTAGGCAGCGGGGCTTGAAGCTGAAATCGCCACAGTGGCTCTGTTCGTCCCGCCAACGTTCTCCTTACAGCACGGCATGACGACATCTGGTGGAGTGGAAGGATCAGCAAGCTCAACTAGGAAGAACATTCCTCAGGGGCTAAAAATGATCACTGTCTGCAACTTGAAAAGCAGGAACCCGTCATCCTTTACTCCGGAGTTTCTTCTGGAAAAACTACGGTTGAGTCTACTTGAACGCGCCAAGCTTCAACTTCCGCGAGCTTTTTCCGCCGGACTCCAGCAGCAAATTCCGGTCTCTGGAAGATTTTCTCATGTCCGCGAGAGTAGCAGACAATCCTCGCACTTGTGCTAGACACTTCCACTTTCTGTATTGGTGATTGTTGCCTATCTGATCACCTCGTTATCACTCTTGTGCTCCAGTCGATTAAAGTTGTGATATTAGATTTTAGCTCCAATATCCGCGTCTAGGCCCAGTCCGTAGCTACTGAACCCGTGCAGAAGAGGAACCTAGACTTTCCAAGAATGCACTAGCTGCGAGACATTCCGTCGGATATAGACCGAGGATATATTGATTATTGAGCCATGTGGCAAGGATAAATGGGGTAAGCCGGTGGGCAGCCGCGCGAAAAGAGAAGGAGACGCAATTAGGGGTTCCTTCAGTCACGGGCATGGAGCCAGTACTGATTTCCGGGTGAGTGCAGGGGTTGTGGCAGGGTTGGTGATAAGTAACGCGGGATATTATGATTCAGAGGGAATAGCATCCCTGCCGCACTATAGGCAAGGCTTAGCCTATAAGGGGTAACAGCAAGAGCCATCAGTTGGCCTGAGAAATTGTTGGCTATTCCCAGCGGCATTACAACACATGCCTTTGTATGATCTAAAGCCGATCTATCATGGCAGGGAGAATACTTCCGACTATAACAGGGATGGCAGATTAAGTCCACCCATCAAGGGGACCAAGACTCGTTCTGGTCTTGTGTCTACTGAGTGCCATCAGCGTTATAGCTCTTAAATACTGACTACCATCAGGCCTTTTGGCAGATGCTCATTCACTAAGAAGCTGTTTCAGCGAGTTAATCAACCAAACAAGCACACAATCAACAATCTTTTAATCTATTGCGGCCAAAACAGTTACCTCTCCGGTGAGAATCAATACAGTTCCGAATCGCCATAACACCTCCCGAACCCAATACATCGGAGACAGATAACATAAACAAAAAAAGAAAAGAAAGAAAGAAAGAAAGAAAGACAAGAAAATAGCAAAATAAACCCGCCCGCCACGATACCTATTCTCTGTAGGTAAACCATTCGGTCTGCACTCGTGGCTCTTTCTTTGTGTCCCCATATTTCTTTCTGTGCGTCATTCCTAATAATGAAGTCTCTTCACTCAAAACATAATTCCAGCAATCTAAGGTTCCTGACCTAACCTCCCAATAGTATAAGCACAGAAATTCTACCAGTCAATAACAAGTCAACTTTATCGGATATACTGCTTATTTTATGTCAGAGATTAAGATGTTTAGTTTGAGACATGTATGTCGTCTTTAATCTTCCGTAAACTTTGGTAAGTATACAACTGGATGCAATACCGGCGCCAATGTTTATACTCGTGTATACTTTCAGGTACCCTCAGATGAAACACGCTAAAGCCACGTATGTAAGAGGTTCCGAAAGCCCCTGTTACTGGTTCTTGTATTGCATGGTACTGGGCGTTCCAGGACGCAAAATACTTTACATAACCTGTATCGCCACGTACAAGGTGCCCGTCAGGCCTCGTGGCTACGGCCCGTGAAAGAAGACCAGAATTGCCTAGGTTAGACGTGTGGCCCTGTGGGTACGTCAATGCCCAGAGATGCTGTAATTAAAGGCCAAGCTTACTTGACCACCTTTCGAGCCAGAGAAACCTATCAGAAGAGTGCTTGCCGTGCATGTTGATGCCGTTACCGTCTCGGTCCTCAAGCAGATCAGAATACCAAAGCGGCAGATCATATTATATACCGAACTCGGCTTCAGGTCATAATCAGTTTACCAACGACTGTTATTTATAAACCAAGCCTGTCCGATATTATCTTCATAAAATCCTCCATATCTACTAGAAAGTCCTCAGGCCGCTCCATCGCTGCGAAGTGCCCACCCTGTTTAGTATGTCAGCCCGAAAACGAACCAGATACGATGGTATGCAGGACATACATGATCGTGTTGTCGATAAAACACAAGTTGACCCTTTTTTTCCACGAGCTTCTTGGGCGCCGACATGAGCTCTTTCCTAAACCATGAATAACCGAAAGGCTTGTCAAAGAATGACGGAAACCCGGGAGTGGGCCCACACATAAACGTATGACGATAAGTGTAGGCGCAACGCGGCAAAGATCCGGTGAGCCAGTACAGGGTAACATTTGCTAGGATGTGATCAACGGCACAGGGATGTTCGGGCCATTCAAGGAACTTTTCCCCGATCCTTTACATCGCGTTGTTAGCGTCCTGCTCGTAGAAACGTCAAGCATACTTGCCAGGCGAGATATGCCAAAGGATTCGATGACACGATGGCTGCAATTGTGGATGGCCGCGTACTATTCATGATGGCGGCACCTGATGTGGGCGCTGCAAAGCGATGTAAGCTTTCCTCGATCGCTTTTTGTTCCCAGTCAGTCAGATCCGGGTTGGTCGGCTCGACTTGATCTACGGTGGGCAGAAGGTTCACTCGACAAAGTCAGCGTACATGGCAGCATGGTCAAGCACCTTGGCGCTTACAATGGACCCCGACTGCGGAGGCATATTTGTCTGCGAGGATGGAAGCGATGAGGCACCCAACATCCCCACCCTGCACAACGTACCGAGGGAAGTTCAGCATCTGTAACCCGTTGTGTATGATTCGGGCAGCATCTTCGCCGACCCAAGCATGATCTTGCGGAGGGCCAGAGCTGAGGGTGTAGCCTGGCAGAGAGGGAACGATGACATGAAAAGGAAGCGTAGCTGCAGTGTACTTGTCTCGTATAAGCTGGAGCATTGGCAGAAACTCGAGAAAGCTCCCGGGCCAGCCGTGCAGCAAGACGAGTGGAATTGCCTCCTCCTTGGCGGATAGCAGCGCAATAAAATGTAAGTCTACATCGCCTGTCTGGTCCTTGACCCTGACTTTGAAATTAGAGAATGAGTTGATGCGCTGTTCCTGTGCACGCCAGTCGAATTTAGTCAACCAGTAATGTTTCACCCAGGTGAGCCAGTCATGAGGAATGCCATAGCGGCCATCTGTATGCAGGCTCTCCCAGGTCGCAGGTCCAATGCGGGAAGTACGAAGAAGCTGTTGAAGTTGTGAGTAATCTTCATCCGGAAAGTTGATCTTGAACGGAACCGCCACGTCAGGTAGTGAATAAACCATCTTGTTCTGGAGGTTGTTAAAAGTCACACATGGGAGAGTTTATATCCTACCATATCGTAGGAAGGCTATGACAAGTAACTAGTGGCTGCATGCTTATATAACTTTGTATAAATAGTAAGTATTCCCTTACGTCAACATGCCACTGGCATAGCCAAGCGGAAAATGGCCTTATTGGCGGGCTTGCAGATCTCGATGGGCGGAAAAGAGGTAGTCAATGAATCAAGGTTTGTTCCGCTGTCTAGTGTGAGTCAGACTGACCCAGTCAAATGATATCTACCCTTGCTTGCCACACAGTGCGCAACCCTTTTCGCCAGCGTCACAGCCAAGGATAAAGGTATCCCTGGCTTCGGCCAAATTTTAGTTCGCTACGAAAGCCAATCTATTCCATGTGGCCACCACAGTTAACTGAGACATGATTTACATCACAGCCTATCGACTTGAGTACGCGGGGATACAATTTTTCTGACTCATACTAGTCATCTTCGGGGAGATCTGTAGGTGGAAAGGAGCGTTTCATGCCCATCCGTTCCGTTACGGAAGTGCTAAAGTGATTAGCCGGAGCAGTGGGCACTTCGATAGAGGCAGTTAATTCTTAACTTCCCTCTGTTCTGGTAGTGGCTGATGAAGTCTGTAGGGTGGGTGAGCAAGGAACAAGACATGTTGGTCATGAAGCATCTCTCTCAGCCCCTATAACAGGATCAATATCACCACTTTCAACCCCCACTACTCGATGATAACATCCTGTCAGGAGGCCAAATTGACTCATTTTGCCAGCGTAGACCCGGTCTTCAATATTAAATTTGACCTCGCCACAATCTGATAGGTCCATGTCATGTACCCTTGAGTGTGTACGTCACTCACGACCTTAAATTACGATGACTCACATCGGTCGACTCCGAATTCTGGTCACCGTTTGCAGATTGAAATATCCACCTCGTCTACTACAGGTTTTGGAGTGCCTAGAATCTTGAATGTTACTTGTTATCTGGAACGTTGCCAGAGGTGCTTCCTCCTTGATCATGTGGAGGGCGGAACTTCTCTGAGCTGTCCCGGAGTGACTCCTCAAATTTTGTGGGCCACACATGGACAGTTACTATCCAGTAGCCTCTCTAACTTAGCATGCTCGAGACCCATAGTAGCAGTATTTCGGACAAACCTCGGTAGTAGGCATTCCCGACAGCCCGATTGTGTCCAATAGATTTCGCGCATCTTTACCCCTCGTAGACGGAGTCCGGAGACTCAACGCGCTTCACCTATCTCCTCGGGCATGCTTGCGACATTCGCTACAAGTGGCACCCCGTGAGACTATTGTCGTATTAATGGATATTTGAGTCTTCTTCGTCAGATCATGAACACGGGCCATCCATAAGACAGAAGCTGACCACAGGGTTAAAAGGCACGATACAGGTCTACCTTGTTATTAGCGATTCGACACACATCATCTTGTTCGGTACTTATCAAGTGAAGCGAGCTCCATCTCTTGTTAATCCTTGACAATATGGCCCGACAAACAAACACAGAGCCTCTGGCGCAGAATGTGGTTGTGGAATTACCAACATTTACCACCCCTCGGTATACCCAGAAAGTGACTGGCAAAAGGTCACCTTTATCAGATGACTTGGAAGAATTCCGTGGAATCCCATATGGTGAAGTTACTAAGAGATGGGAGCATGCAAGAATCCGTACTTGTCTTCCCCATAATGATTTTGATGCAACCGAAAATGGGTACGTGAAGCAGTAATGATCGAAGTGTAGGGACTCTACACTGTGTTTTCCCACACTGACCACAGGTCTTTTTTATAGACCTATATGTCCCCAACCAAGTGCGGCTCGAAATAGCGAGTACTATCAAGCGTACCTCGCCTTTCCCGACGTCAAAGAATGCGAATTCGAGTGTCTGAATCTACTTATTATCCGTCCTAGTACAGAGGCGTTATCTCGGGTAGGGACTGACAGACCATCCAAATTACCTGTTCTGGTTTATATCCACGGCGGAGCTGGTACTGGTGCGGGAAGCGATCCTATCTATGGTAAGCGAGAAACAAACTTCAGTTCATCCGCGTGTTAACCAAGGTAACTTTGCTGACGACTATTCGTCTGAGATCAGACCCTTCACGCTTGGTGCTCAGGTCTCTGCAAATCGGCTCTCCTATAATCGCTGTCAACTTAACTTACAGAACCGGCATATTTGGGTCTCTTGGCTCAACTGATATCCTTAAGGCTCAAGATCAGTCACAAGTCAGGGGCCTTAATTTTGGCCTGTTTGATCAGAAAGTTGGGATAACTTGGGTGGCGCGTAATATCGCCCAGTTTGGAGGCGATCCAGAGCAGATTACCCTTTGCGGCAGCTCAGCGGGAGGGAGTTGTGTATATGCTCACCTGCTTGATGCCGATGCCCACATGAAGAAGCCTCTTTTTAGGAGAGCTTATATACAGTCTGCACCCATGTTAACCATCCTACCAATGTCACTCGCTGAGGCTGAGGCTAATTGGGACAAGATTTGCCAGCACTGGGGTATCAGGCCAGAGAGCAAGAGTCAGCAGAAACTAGAATCATTGCGCTGTATATCAATGGCGGACATGCTCAAGTCTTCCGTGGAGATAAATCTCTTTATGCTGCCACCCATTGCTGATAATGTTACAATGACGCAAGACACTGTATCATTTCCATGCGTGGATTCACATCAAGGGCCTAAATCCTCTGACTACAAGCCAATTGAAGTCATGATAGGCACCACCGATGTCGAGGTCAGTTACTTCCAATCTATGACCTCGGCTGTCAAACTACACAGCCACCAGCTCTTGCTGACGAAAGGTTCATTAGTCGGCCGGGTATGCCCATAGCGGTGTTAATCTTCAGAACCTGCAACAGGGCTTTACGAAGGCTCTCCCAACGGCTGAGGCAGGCGCTCATATCTTGGCAGCTTACGACCTCATCGAAGGCTTGGAACAAAATTCATTGGTTGCAGCTTTGGAGCGGTTTCACTCAGATGCAGTTTTTGATTTAGGGATCTACCGCGCACGGAACCTGTTGACCGCCCAGCGCCGAGCCCAATATGGAAACGCCACCAGCATCCAACCCTACCATGTTGAGTTTGGAAGTCCTTTCCCAGGACCGAAGAGAGGATGTGCACATCATGGCGTCGACGTCATATACATGTTTGACGCGTTCCATGACGCCCTCGCCGATGCCGATAACCGCATCTTCACATCGTACGCTGAGGGCAAGGCAGAGGCAGAACACTCCGCCACCCTAGGAGAAAAAGCTATAGTTCAAAAGCCAATCATAACCTCGCAGTCATCCATGGGGAATAATCTCGACCTCACAAGGAGATTCCAGGACCATGTGATTGGGTTCATTGCTGGAGAATCTGTCCCCACTGTCGCGGAGGGCGAGATCTTGGTCTGGGGGGAGGACGGGTTCTTGAGGGTTGAAAAATTGGCGGAGACTCCAAGATGGTTGGAAAGGATCGGTCGCTTGGAGCAGCTAGAAAACTATACCTCGTCAATTCTCAAGGTTCTCAGTGCTATTTGATAGATTCTATAGCAGATAGGGACGCCTGGTCTTAATGACGAAAGACACATCTGTCATGCTCTGAAGGCATTGCTATTACATGACCTGCTACCTACTGGCTTCAGACAGAAGCTCATAGGTGGACACAGTGTCATACAAAGCTATTGCAACAAACAACTAGACATTGAAAATGGAGCTTTGGCAACTGGTCGTCCGGGTCTGCAACAAGATGAATCGCTCGCTATTTAATTCTAAAGAAGCCCTAGCCCATGACCTTGCAGTTTTGTTGCGTGGATCGAGGACGTAGTTCTTAAGACTCTTGCTAATGGTCGAATCCCAAGCAAAGACGGATTTGACTGGGTTGATTCGGTTGTTGAAGACTTGCATGCATACCAGCGCATAAACGTTCTTGAGAAGCCGTACAGCAAAGTTAGGAGCGCTTGCCGTCGACCACAGCCCGCAAGGCAAGACTGGTAACTTGACTAATGATAGTAAATCTTTCCTGAATAATCAGGGGATACGGGGTTGGGTGTCTCAACAGATAATTTCTTTTTACATAAGTCCATGGACCTTGAATCTGAGAGTGTCGAGTAGAGCTTCTCTGGTGCCTTTAACGATTTCCAACTTGATGCCATAGGCGCCGTGTTAAATGCTGTTGATCGTGCAATATTTGGTACTAGTATGGTGTTGGAAAGCAACTCATGTTTCCGTAACATAGATATGGTTTGAGATGCGAAAAATGGGAAGAAGCTAAAAAGCTGCCAGGAGGCGAGGAGGGAAGGAAGATACGAACATGGAAGAATTGGAAGAGCATGTAGGGATGGCAGGATACGAATAGTAAAGTGACTTGATAGTTTGCCAGATCCGCCAGGCACCGCAGCTGGCAGTTGCCAGCCGCTCATGGATCGCCCGTACGGAATAAATACGAATACCGTATGTAAACACCTCATATTACGGAGTACGGTTTTCTACATTCTCGTTAAATTACACGGGAAATAGATATTCCGGGGCTTACTATTTACGGTTTAGTTCCAGAGAAAAGCCGAGAACTATAAACGTTTGCACTGGTATTGCATCCAGCTGTATCTGGGATGCAGATGCTTCAATCTAGGTTCTTTTATGCAATTCGTCTGTTGGACGAACTATATTGCGTAAAACACGACGATCAGTAGAGGTTTCTTATGATAGAATTCACAGAGGACACAATCTACTAATATTGCGGCTATGGCTGGTTGTATGATGTATCCAGGGTCCAAGTTCGTGTCAGCCTCGCGTCCTCGCGTTGCCAAGCAAGCAAATCATAACGGAGTACAAACAAGCAGTTTCCACATGAACATTTAAACCCTCGTCCTTTCTTACCTCCATGTCGGGGTTTACGGATATATCTATGATAGCAAAAAGACAACCCCAATATACTTCACGCTGACCCGTACACTATGCGTAGCACCTCGAGTACCACGAAACTAACAATTAATACCTTTCAAACACACCATGGCCCATGAAACCAACAAGATCGGACGGGTACACCAAATTCTCCACCCACGTTCTATTCTGGCAATATATACGATCTGTACTTACTAGTTGCCATGGATATATATCACTATTGGTATGGATCATATAGAACATAGAATAAAGCTCATCGTGGATAGAGAGCTAGGTGGCCCAGGAAAGTAAATGCAAGGTGGTGGGCGGAACCGTGCAAACTTTGTTATCATTTTACGATCAACATTTGAAGTCCTGCTTCAGGCACTACATTTCGAACCTATGGAGGGAAAGTTATACTTGCCATCTGTTCTCGGTGAGGCTTGTCATGATTGTGAGTTGTGACTCGTTGAGGGAGCTACGGATGTAATGGAAATAATGGAAGTAGTGGAAATAATGGAAATAAAGGAAATAGAAAAAGGCTGTGTTGTTTAGTCACTATCAGCTTTCCTTGTTGTTGCCTGAAAAATTCGGCAGCCCCCCACGCAGCTTGTATTATCGCCCTGCGATGACATATAAACCATCAAGTATTCCCATCCCTAGTGTTATTATGCGCACTTCTTGCAAGCCTCTCGATGACAAACACGTTGCTCCTTTTTTACTGCCTTCCTTCCTTACTTGAGTTTCTACTCAGATCAACATCGTAACTCCTGATGATGTGCCCTACATGCAGTTTCCCATTAGATAATAGATCCATGTCCTCTATGAGAGCTTGCTGGTGTACAGGCTCATCTGAGCCTTCTTGGGTTGGTTTTGAACATCAACGGCCCTTCCTCGCCACACCGGATCCAACCGCTTTCGCATACCCGCCTCTTGCTGCGTTGTCTGAGTCGGAGGTTACGGCTCCCAGCTTGCCAACTCAATCAATTCTCGGTGCCACGATAACCTCCGTCGACCATTCCACCGAGCATAGTAATGGCTCAGGCGGAGCAAACATTCCGCCCCATGCTCAAATCATGAGCTGTGGTGACTTAACATCCAGCAGCCCTAGAGCCAGCCTCTTCGAACAGGACTCCGCCATAGGAGAACCAACGAGGCGAGCAAGCGACATGAATAAATGTGGTAAAAGCCATGTAGCCCGTATCCATCGTGGAACATTTAAGTCTAGGTACGCTCCTTGGCTTATCCAGTCGCTCGTCTGACCATTAATTTCTAATACGTATGCTTCGTCCTAGAGTATATCGGACCGGTCTGTATAGATGTGAGTGGAGGGCTTGTAAATACCCCGGCGAATTTTCGCGTGAGGCAGAATTGATGAGGCATATTCGGTCCAAGCATGTCTGTCCTGGTTTGTACGAGTGCCCAGAAGAAAACTGCAGAAGGATGTTCAACCGAAAGGACAACATGATGGAACATTTTCGACGGATGCATTAGAGCGGCAATCCTCAAGATCAAGACTTCCTGTTTCTCACTTTTTCCTTCCAAAGCACACCTTCGATAGTTGAGCATATCTCGGGCCTTTGCTTGACATTGCATCTCCAGCTTCTCTCTTTTTGTTCTTTAATCCATCGTCGCTAATGTTTTGAGCTTCCGTTTGTTCGGTGTCAAAACCTGGCTGCAAACTATGTCTACTGAATCTGGTGATGCGCACAGATATGTATCTTTGACATCAGATACCGAAGCACTTTCTAGAATTTTCATCAACAGTTGTAAATTGCGATAAAGGATATACGCATGTATAACGGGAAATCTTACAACGGCATGGTTGAATAACAATGGGGGAGACCATCGATATTCAAGGGGCTAAATGGGAAACAGCCTTGGGATTTAGCATTTTACAAATCATTTTGACTTGCACAACCATTCCCTGTTCTCTAATTTTATCGTTTCGCATTTGCGGCTGTTTATGTGGCTTGAGAAGCCATATCCTCCTATCAATAGAATGTTGATACTCAATCCAACCGATTTTTGTTTATCATCCTGACCCGCTCCGGTTAGCTACCCAGAATATATATTTGCAAGGAAGCAGCAAGGAAAAGGCCGCTAACTGAAAACCCCACCACAGATAATTAAAATTGCTCTGGGTTCAAGTAATGCAATGACTCTCATATTAAGAAATGCTCTTACTATTTGAACTGGTAATCACTAGCTTTGGGGAATGTGTATATATATCCTGCTCTGCCCCCATGTGAAACGTCTTAGATTCCCTTTGTAAAGAGTTCTATTATCAAAATAGAAAGCACCTTCAACAACAGCTGGTTGTGTAGTGTAATGGTTAGCACCCAGGATTCTGATTCCTGTAATCCCGGTTCGATCCCGGGCACGACCTTTCCTTTTTTATGTTTTTTTTTTTTTTTTTTTTCCCTCTTTACCCCACTGGGACCCACTGTTTACCCGTGCCCATAGCTTTGTTGCTTTCTGAGAGCTGAATCACCTTTGCTGCGTTCTAGCTTGCCCAAGGAGCTAGGGCAAGTTTCCAAGCCGTCGAAGTTGTATGAAATTGATTTGCGATTTCTCAGTTCCATTTCTTTTGCCAGATTCAGCTCCACAGTAAAGGCAAAGCCAAATGTTTCTCCAAAGCACAAAACCTTTAGCAGAATTATTGTTCGCCATAATATATAATATATACATACCCCAATCACAAGTCGGATGAAGTGCTACGTATAACCGCCTGCTGTTACTCAACTGTGGTCCGTGCCGGTCGTAACTTGTTCATCGACAACAGTCCATGGCAGACCACATTATTAATCATCAATTGCCTCACGCAAAACACTAACTGCAAAGAGGAGAAAGGAAATACTAGCAGTACATCTCCCATCAACATCCGAAAGCCGAGGGACAAGCCCATTAACAGTTGACTCTCTGGTCCTGTGGCCGCAAGTTGACGGAAAATTGACTGTACTTGTCGTTAGGTGTAAAGCCACCCCTATCAAAAAGTAGAAACTGGTGTCATGAACGAAGTTATCGGTTACAAAAAGCTCTGCTATGGTAGATGAGTGGAGGATGTAGCGAATAGTTCATAACCTGCCTTATACCTCCATTGCTAGCTAGGTCACAGCGAGGATGAACTACGCCGAGTCAAAAAGAAATAGTAGGTACCCTTGGTACCGAACAGCTTAGGTGTATCCATGGCTCCTGCAACCATATTATCGGTCACATAACGAAAGTGGTCAAAAATAGGCTTCTGGTCATAGATCATGGCGGTCGAGGTTACTCCTCGATAGACCATCTCCCGTAGCTATCCAGAGATAAAATGTCAGCATGTGGTTAAGGAATGGCTTCAATTACGAGCATGCGTACCGAGCAATGTCCCCAATCTTCCCTCCATACCCGGTTGCCCTGTGCATCATAAACCATGATCGGATCACCGTCGTCTACCGACCGAAAGTCTTTCCCAGCCCATTTCATATCCTTTAAAAGCTTGTGCCCAATATGTCCCGTATCGATATCACCGCCGTCCCACTTGCCTATCAGAAAGGATGGAGAAACCGGCTTCAATTGGTTGTATACATTCTCAACCGTTGATTCTGGCACGAGGTCGGTGGTCTTGGTGAGCTGGATAAACTGTTTTTCAGGTCTGTCATAGATCGTGAGTTCTTTTACTGCATCTGGCTGTTACCGAATGACGTATCGTGGAAAAGACTTACCCTGACATGTTTCCTAAAGTGTTTTGCAAATTCTGTCAAAATCGTCCGTGTAATGCGTGATAAATATAGGACAAGATTCGTTGGTTTGCAAAATGAGTTCCGAATGAATGGCGCTTTATATACACATCTACTTCGGCGGGTGTTCCCCATGGGCACCGGATGATTGAAAAGCCTAGGTCCGCGGGGAGATCGACCCGCGGGGGTTCAGCAAACGGCCGTGGGGAAAAAAAGCTCTCCGTGTCTGTGATACAATGTCGGATATAGTTCTGTGCATGCCCTATAAATATCCTTTAAGAGGCTCTACGCTTCCTCTAACTTGGACAATGGCGAGGAAGCTTTATCGAACGAAGTCTCAGATTATCTGCTGTGGCCCTGTTCAGTAGACAAAGTATTATCGCGGATAGTTGGCAGTGGGTGTTTAGATCCGGTTTATCGGCGGCCGATAACGTTCACCATCGATCGCCATACACGTCACTATATTGATATTGTCCCAGGTATCTCCTTCCGGGATCTGGTAGCAGGTTTCGGTTACCAGGTTAATATACTCTAGAGAGCGATCTTCCTGCTTCAGCTGGGATAGCGCCATTACAGCATTCTCGATTTTGTCTGCCGGCTCAACAGCCGGGAACCGACAAGTAAGTTCCTCCCCCAACCTCTCATAGTTATCCTTAGTGGCCTGAGATAAAGACTGCACAAACCTAGCGGCAATACCGCGAAGACCTGATCGGATTGTAGTAGCGATCGCCTTGTTTCTCTACACTTCATCGAGAGTAACTCCTACCCACGCAAATTAATAGTAATTAAGGTATAGGTCCAATTCCTCGTTCGTCTTTCCCAAAAACATCGGTTAAGAACTGAAAGATATCATATTGCCAATAATCGGCACCGACTTCTCGGGACTATATATTAATAGAAGTCGAGTGGATATCAGGAACTCAGTAAAATATCAGTTATAAAATCAGATTATTAACTGATATAAGTCTGATAAATCCAGGATATTGTGCCTAGCTCTGGATTCGAAAGGAATCCCTCTCTGTAATACCTCTGAAGCGATTCAGCAGAGGGGTTGGTAGGTCTAGAGAGTAATAGAATAGAAGAACTGGTTCCTGATTGCAGTCAGGAGAGGTGAAAGAGGAAGACTGATCAGTTGAGTTCCAACGTCACTCGCAAGCTTCAGGACTACTGATCTACCAGTCCTTTTCCTCCCGGACGATTGAAGCTAACAGCCTTAAGGAAGGAAAGGCAAAATTACAACAGGTGAAATCAAGGAAACATAGGCTCCTCAGCTAGAAAGAAAGGTCCTAACAACTCAGACACCCCAGCCTGGTCACCAGGTGTAATACAGATGGATGAAATCAGGTCAACGAGGTCAATTCAGACGATCTGGTGGGTCAAGGTCATAGAACGGAGATGGTTGTAGTTGTCCTAAACTAGGTTACCGGAGACTAACAAGTAAGAACGCGGCAATATCCTATGCTCTGCTGTGTCTAAAACGTAGGCACGTCCTAAGTTGGCCTTCTTAGTGTTTTCAAGGTTCTTTGTCGATTGGTTGGTCAAATATCCGGCTAGCTGGCGCTATGAATACCTTCCGCCATGGGAAGGTGGAGAGTAAATCCGTTTCCGAATACACTTGACTATTTGGAAACTGATTCTTTTTCACTAAAGCAATTCACTTTGCTATGGTTGAGGTGCCACGGAGGATTATATTTGTGCTCGTGACGCTTTTTGCCACGTTGAGAATAAATGCCAACAGCAGGTTTGGGGTGGGCTAATAACAGTTCCCAGCATGTCTGACCTAGTTGGAGGAGCCAAAGTGTCATTTTATGTGCATGAAAATAAAGAACAAACTTCTGTGACTTTGAATAACCATGACGGTGTAAAAAGTCAAGCCGTGCACGTCAGCTGTGGGAATAACGGTGATTTGAAGCCGGAATTACGGGACAAATTGAGCAGGAGAAACCCTTGGCGAAAACAGAGTTAACATGTATGTACTAACATTTGTTAGACTCGTCCGACCGGTATGATGATGGTAAGGACTGGATTTCGGAATCTGAAATGCGTCCATTGTTGAACGATATTTCTAGATATCCTTGGCTCACTAGCACTTCCTGAGATGATTGATCGAGAATGTAACTTGCAGCAGCCTGTCTCTCGTCCTTGTATCTTTTTTTAAGCCTCTTTGTATAGAAATGTCAATAACGTCAACTTCCCTTCGCCAGGCTTACCCTAGATCCAAAGAAGACCGCGGGTGTTCCTCTCAATTTTTGTATTTAAGTCTAGTATCTATTCGCAAGTGTTGGCAGAGGGCATCAATCTCGAGTTCTTTTTCAATAGCCGAGGGGCAGAGTCACAGCGGACACCACTTGGAATGCTGCGCTCGTTATTAGATCAGCTCTTTCGGCAGGACGAGGTCGTACGCCCTGTGGTAAGGGACGAATACCGTGAGAAGTGCTGTGCTTTTGGAGGGAGCGGATATGGCTGGCGTTAGCAACGGCAGGAGTTGGAGCAATTGCTTCAAGATTCCATCGTCTTGTCGGCTCAACAACAGCAACTTACAATATTTGTCGACGAACTGGATGGAGCAGGCGCAAAATTTGCGTCGGAGATTGTCGCATAATTCCTCCGGGTAAGTGGCTCAGTTGCTGCCAAGATGGCATCGGCCAAAATATGTATTTCATGTCGAAATTATCCTGTCCCCACTATTAAGCCGGGGGTCGAAATATGTATGGAACAGCATAATCAAAGCGACATAACGACATACGTTGAGTGTCACCTAGGTACTCCTTACCTAGGGACTTCCGACAATTCAGAGAGGAGGGCATGGTCTCGTCTGAAAGCAGATATCATTGCACAGAGCAGTGGGAATTTCCACTGGGTGCGTCTTATTGTAGCCTTGGTTGAAGCAAAATCGCCGACGGTGGATCAATGGGTCGGGTTTGCCACGGGTTGCAACATGTCCCTAATGAACTGAGCGATGTTTACCAGGACATCCTGCAGAATGTCATCAGGAGAGATTATCGTAGCCAGTCGTTTCTTCTTTTTCAATGGGTCTGCCATGCTGGGCGATCACCCTCGATGACGGAGATGCGATATATTTTTGCTGCAACGGACGCTGCACAAAAGCCGTATTCCATCCAATGCCAAGGGACAAGCGACTTCACTGAAACCGACGACGCGGTGAAAAGGCGGATCTGTGACTTATCTGGCGGGTTGGCCGAAGTTGTGAATGTGTCCAAGGTTGGTGGGAAGGAAACCGTGCGAGTTATCCACCGATCGGTAACTGAATTCCTGCGCGCACGAGGATTAGGTTATCAAAATGCGCTCGAGGAGGACATCATCTATAGCTATCAGGTGTCATCCGACGGCTTATGTCTGAATTATCTGGTTATAAAGTATGTGAAAAGTGTCGTAATTGCTATTCTTTTAACGATGATATCCTCAACGTTCCCGACAAGGCTAGCTTCAGGCCAGGGATATCTGGGAAACAGTTATGGATTGACAATTTCGCAATGTCATGGCCTTCGAGTTGGTGTACATATGTTACCTATATGTGCATACAAACTTGCTCGCGCGAAAAAATAGTCTAGGCTTGTCTATAGATAACAAGTGATGCATTTGCGAGGGCATATAGACAGATAGCTATGATATATATGCTTTTTAAAACGTTATCATAAGGCTGATCAGATTCATGTCTACCGTGGCGAGTATAACACGCGCAATTCAACTGGAGCAAATAATAAGACTCTAGATGTGATAGAAGTATTGTGTCTTTTCTGTAGTCTAACATATTCCTGGCCAGCTGAATCGAAACTCTAATTTCAATAGTTGTCTCCACTTTGTCGGCAGATTGGAATGTACAGAGTACTCTGTATGTACTTTGCCTACAGGATGCGTGTTTCATACTCTCAGGTTAAGAGTGTCGGCGTCCCACGAACAGTGCATGATTGGCCAGGGAAGTGCAAGATTCAATTGGCACATATGGTCAACCTTCACGCTAAAAGGAACGAGATCAGTGGAACTGGTACCCATCATGTCCACGACTTAGACATATCCAAAGTAAATCCCTAGCGCGGCAGAAAGCGCAGATCGGCAGTGGGGACGAACAGTTCAGCTCGCTTTTTGCCCTTCCTTTTTAGGTCTAGATAATCAACTTTTCAGCTCAGCCCAGGTGTAGAAAATTAATTCAAAAAAGGCCCCTTGTCGCGTAACAGCGTACAGAAGAATAATCTTTTTGCTCAACCACGGAGTATAAGCTGGACAGAGTCTTCTATTGAGTTTACAAGATAGACTGGCTCAATGTCGCGTCTCGCATATCCTGTGAATGCTGCCAAGATATGGCTTCGCTCGACTAAAGTACGCGTAGTGTCAACGCTCACAGGGCTGCCATTTCGGCAGCTCGGGCTATTGGGTGAGTGTCGGTGCAACACAGTGACCATATTTTGTCTACTAATCAGTTTCTCTAGCAATATGTCACTTTGCTGAGGCGGGTATGTATTGCTCCGGAAAATAGTTCCGAATATGTGACCAACGACGCGTCGGGTTGAACTGACGTTCTATCAACATAGTCGTACTCACCTCCATCGTCCCGTATATGGTACGCTAGCTCAGCTTATATCTCGTTTGAAGTCATCTGCGCTTCACAAAGATTAGACTAATCACTTCTCATGCAGCCCGCCATGCTCGAACATGCCGGTGTACCAAAGAACGATGTGCCTAAGTGGGTTGGCTTCACAACGACGATAACCGCTAGCTGTGCCGGCTTAATGGGCGTGATATGGGGTATGGCTTCTGATTCCATGGGTCGGAAACATGTCATCCTGCTTGAACTGAACCTCATGTTGGTATTTATCCTACTGTTCGGCTTCTCACAGCACCTCGCCCTCCTGGTGATGTTCCGGGCCTTGCTGGGTCTCGTGAGTGGTAGCGTCGGGATTATGCGCACCATGATCGCAGAGATGGTCCCTGAGAAGCTATTACAGCCATATGCATTCAGCATCCTGCCAACAGTCGAGACAATTGGGTCGGGGTTCGGTCCCGCCCTAGGAGGATTGTTGGCCCAGCCAGCAGAGCATTATCCTGGCATTTTCGGCAAGATTGGCCTCCTTAAGATGTTTCCCTTCGCCTTGTCTAGTATCGCTTCCAGCTGCGTTGTAGCTGTCGCTATTACTCTGGCATCTTCTTCCCTTCGTGTACGATTTATCTTTCCTTGAGGAAGCTCCGATTGCTCTAACAGTTTGTATAGGAAACGCAACCTGGGCGGAAGGACTCTCCTGATGACTCTGGATTGATGATCGGAAAGATTCTGAGTAGCGTGTGGGCGCTGCGTAAGAGAAAGGCCGATATCCGACCGGAGGTCGTTGATGAGACAACAGCTCTGCTCGGTGACACAATAGAAGATGTAGAAGAGGTTTTGGAGCAGAGAGCAGCTGCTCTCGCGAGCCGTTGGAAAAGTGTTATCTCTCCACAGCCTCTACTCCTAGTGCTGATATCAGGTGTGATGAGCATGCATACTGTGGCTTTCGACTCACTGTTCCCGGTACTCTTGCATCTTCCTAAGCAACAATTGAAGGGGAATCCAGATGTGCACCTGCCATTCAAATTCAGCAGCGGACTCGGGCTAGGTAAGCTAAACACATCTGACGCTATTACACTTTTACTAATGACCGTTTGATGCTATTTAGAAGCAAATGAGATGGGGCTCTTCTACTCGATAGTCGGCGTATTCAGCATGGTAGTCCAGCTCGTCATCTTCCCATGGGCGGCCAGAAAGTATGGAATCCTCCGATGTCTGAAACTGGCTTCTATCGTTTTCCCCATTCTGTACCTTGTGGTCCCATTTGTCCCTCTTCTCCCGCAGCCCCTGTCCAGTGTGGCAGTATGTGCACTGTTGATTTCGAAGATGACGGGGTCAGCCTTTGTTTTCACGTCCTGCACAATTCTAATCAGTGAGGTAGCGGGAGCCATTGGCATGTTAGCCACGGTGAACGGAATCGCTACCAGTATTATCGCTTTTGGACAAGCTCTTGGACCGGGAGTTATGGGGCCTGCGTTCTCACTTGGTGTGAAAATCGGCTACACGATTATGCCTTGGTGGTTGCTGGCTGGATTCGCGTTTCTGAGTTCGATTCCAATAGCGTGGATTACGGAAATGGATATCCAACTGCCCCAGGAGGATTTCCTTCCTAGTGAAGAAGAGCAGCACACTGGTGATGGCGAGGATTATATGGGAAGCCGTGGCAGACAGCCTTTTCCGGCTTAGTGCATCTTTTGGGATAGAAATCTACGGCATCTGCTATACACATCTTGAAGCGCCGTTTGCATGTTTAGTGGACTCGTTTCATCTTGACCTGAAAATTCGCTGGAACACTAGGCTTCTATTTACTGCAACCAAAATGCCATCAGTTTCTGGGGACTTTCAAAGAGCGTACATTTTTGATTATTTTTTAGCCATTACTTTCAAACCGTGACTCCTTCCAGTATTAACTAAGAAACAAGACCATCTCCAAGCTCATCTCCTTAACCCCCACTGGACCAGTGAGACAGAAACAGGACACTCATTCACGCCTACCAAAACATGTCAAGCTTGTTGGCCACCGAGCCATCATCTTCCTCGCTCCTACAGCAAGTGTGGCATTCCTTTTATGTCGTGTTAACAAATGTATGGGAGCCCGGCATTGGTTAGAACTTAGATATTACTCACCCCGAATTTCTTGGCATGCTGTAGTCCTAGAGTTAGCAGTATTCCAAAGAGTAATAAGATGTCCGATGCGCTTACCCATCCCTCGGGACAATGTGGTTTCTCTCCAAAGCAGGCCCTCCAGCAAAGTTCGGTGCTTTGGACCTCCATAAGACGTGGCACGGCGTTGACACCAGTCAGGAGGGCGGTGGTTGCGGTAAGGATGGTGGAGAACTTCATTTCGCAGAGTTACTTTAATTTTAAGTAAGAAAAGGAATCTGATTTGTTGTTGTTCAAGTTGACGCGATGTGTCTGAAGAATGGTGCAATTTCGAGAGATAATGGCGCTCTATTTATCTTTGATTTGGGTGATTCTAGACCTTTGTTTAGTTCAAGTTGTTTTCTTCTATACATGTCGACATCGTGACGTTCATAAAGGATAATGTACGGTTTTGGTAACACCCTTATGCTATTCGGGCAGGATATGATTCAATTGCTCCGTTCGTGATTGTAGGGCATTCCATTTTGGTGAACGTACTTCACTAACTTCCATGATGTGTGCGGGTAATGTATCCATTTTCAAGGTTATCTTTCAATGTAACCTAACTGGTCCAACAAGGGAACCAACGACAATCTTGCGGTTAAGCTTTCCGACAATAACCTGATTCGACTAGACTAGTAGTGAAAGGTTCCAATTGCCCAGGTCATTGTGGTGTAATAAGGTTCTCGCCGGGCTGTCACAAACCTCTGTTGACTGGTTGACATAAAGTTAATAGATATATTGGCTGAAAACGTCGGTGACAGCATCAAAAATCTGATTTCATGACGTCAACCATGTCTATTTGATATAGCTTCCGTTTGCAGCTGTCGTAACCTCTCTAGGCAGACCCTGTATCTCGCTTTACGAGTTTCTGTGATGTTCCTTGATGTAGTCAGCTATCGTAGGTTCTGAATACTAGGGATCAATCATTGGATGGAGATAAGTCACGGCAGGTTGAAATGACTTTCAGATCCAGCACAGCTAGCATTAGCATGAGGCCTTACTATTGATATTGAAGTAAATGCAGTAGGCATAATGACACCATTTTTAAATAGTTTATACCGGTATATGACGGGCGATCGGGAGCGCTCTTCCGTACCAAGGTAGTGGTTATGACTGGAAGCCAAGAGAGCGGGGGCTCATCACGGTCCGATGGCAGTCCCGCTCACGGAAGGTTCCAACCCATGCCAATGCGGTAGATCGAAGAGTAGCCTCTTAAATTCATGAGCAAAGTAGGCTTGACCCTTCAGTGGACCTGTCGGGCTGGCAAATATGTATTGGAGGCCATAGTCCTCCTGTGAGCCTTACGACTTGTAAATATATACAGAATCAATGTATAATATAGGGAACCCTCACGGAAGTGGTAGGTAGGAAATTCATATATACATACGCCCTCAAACCGAACTTGTTTTATCGCGTGGCAAGCTTTGTGCGTGGGGTTTCGGGGGTTGCTCTGGGCCTACTCAGAAGCTTCCCTAGTGACAACCCTAACATATTGATCTGGTAGGAACACTGTTTTAACTACGATGGAGTCGTGGGCCATTTATGTGGTCTTGCCCAATCGGTAAAAAGCTCCACATTTCAGCTCCAGCGCTCAGCATCTTCATCAATGGAATACATACTCCACCTGGACAGTTTACGGCTGACTCGCCACAAACCTACCCTCCGTGAGGCATGGACAAAAGTTAAATGGGGTTAATATCTGCCCCTGACATGAATTGGTCCGACATGGTAGACTATTTCCCAATATCCTGCGTCTGCGAGTCGGCAAAAGAAGGTACTCATACTCTGTCTGGTCCAACATTGATATTCAGAATTAGAATCATTCCTGGACTTCGCTTAGCCCAAATGCTCTTGGGAACTACCCACATGCAGTCGTTGCCGGCGCCTGCGATCAGAAATCGAGAGAGCACGACAACGGTGTCCGATCGGCTCGACCCGGATACCCATGCAGAAATCTTCCACACTATTCAAACCGCGGCGCTTGCGACCACAAATCCAGTTGAGCAACCGATGGCGATCCTCTTGGGCGGTCAACCGGGCGCCGGAAAATCGCGTTTGGCCAGAGATGCAATGAATGATCTCGGCGGCAATGCTGTGAATGTTGATGCTGACGAGCTGCGGCAATTTCACCCACGCTATATCGATATGATGCGCGAAAATGACCTCACGGCGAGCGATCGAATCCATGCCGACGCAGGCCCTTGGGCTCTAGCGCTCACGCGCGCTGCCATAACTGCGCGCCGGAATCTTGTCATTGACGGCACAATGCGAAACGCGGACGATTTAGTCGCACTTTGCCGCAGTTTCCGTGAGGCTGGTTATCACATCGAGGCTCGAGTCATGGCCGTCAGCAGGCTTGTCAGTCTTCTGAGTATACACGAACGCTACAAGCACCAGCGCCAGGTCATGGGGTTCGGTCGCTGGGTAAGCTGCAGCCACCATGATGCCGCTTTTGCGGGCGTACCACTCACTGTAGAGAGGCTTGAGGCGTATAGGTTGGTTGACCGGATGGCGATCTACGCGCGTGACAGCGATGCGCCTGTGTACGAAAATCGACTCGAGCACGGCATATGGCAACAACCACCAGCAGGCCGGACCCACCTTGACGCCGAGCGCATGCAACTGGAAGAGAATAGCGCCGGCTTAAGGAGGTTGACCGGGGGCACATCGGACTATGCCGCAAAGCGGGATTGAAGACGTCCTCTCCTCCTTGCGTACCATAATTGAGAGATGTAGCACGTCCGGTCGCTTATTGCAGATCTTCGCCCACTTACCGACAAAACTAATGCGCTCACGCTGGGACCAGGCGAATGGGCTATAGCCTCCCAGATGAGGTTATCGAAACCTTCCTATAATCCGTCCTGAACAAACCGTTCACTCCACTGTCTTATACACGTTACCTCCTCCAGCATCCAAAGGCAACATCTAGGCTCAGTGAGACAGGCTAAGGCTTATTCAACATTGGACATCTCGCGTTCACTCACGCGTTTTTTTTGTGTGAACACCTTGAGCTTGCAAGCAGCCTGCTGGGCGGAAACCGCATTCGCCCACTTTGGTCTTGGCGGCACGCTCTTGAACAAGCGTGTGAGGACATTGCTGGGACGATTAGCAGCCAGCCGAGTGTTGGCCTGTCGGGACTAGGGCGAGAGGATAGCGGCGTACCGATTCTTCGACAACGACGAGGTGGGTATGGTTCTCTTATCATGTTATTTGTGTCGTAAGTATGAGGGACTTGGTCGTTTGAGTAAGTCGGATTATAAAGATGACCAGCGGACCCTGTTACTCTGTTATGGTGGGATACTTGCGAGGATCAATCGCAAAGGCAAACCAGGAATCTTCATGATACTGTATCCTGATTAGTTAACGGTAGAGACCCGGTGTTAAAACTATTAGTAGCTTATCAAGTAGGCCAACGTAGAAAAATTGCACTGGTAGGTCAGTCGTTATAAAATTTATCCTCAGTTATCAAGGAGATACAATTATATTACATCCGGTGAAGAATCAACTAAAAGAAACTGTTATAGCGCGAGTATATAAAACACGCTACCCACAATCTAATGTCCTTGCAACGTCGTCAGAAAGACAATCTCAAGTAAAGAGGATTCTACAAGGCTGACTGAATTCATTGGCAGTTCGTCGAGAATCTCTCGTGAGCTTACTTCCGAACCTGGGACCCCAGCCATCAAAAGTACTTACCACGAGATCGCGGATGACAGTGCGATATTGACTAAGCTTGAAGAGGCAAGGTGCGACGGTCCACTCCATGCCTAGTTAAGCTTCCCAATAAAGTATAGCGAACACGGGACCTCCAAGCTTATTTGTCGGATTCTCCGTAAGCGTTGAACGTCACATCGTATTGGAGGAGGATTGCAGAGTCGACAGGCGGGGTCAAAAGACCTCGTTGAACAAGACTTTGAAAATTGCCGACATTTCTGGTATTGGCTTGGGTTCACCCTTGATTGGAAGACTGTCGCGTGGCCATGACCAGATGGAGGTTAGAGGTTAGGGTTGTATCCCCGGGAGATTGGGATTGTCGTGATGGCTGGATCCCTCGGTGGAGAAAGAATGCTGGAGGCGCCAATGATCGACCCTGGCCCCCACCCTCCATCTTTGATCGGGTTGACTCGCTTTGGCAATGGATCGTCATTAAGTATTACGAGAAAAAAAATAAAAAAGAAACCAGGAAAGTGTCCCCTGGCTGCAGAAAACATGACTCAAACGGTCGGGAAGTCGGAGCACTTTCAAGACAGTCGTTCGATTCATCCACCATCTTGTTTTGTCCGGTTTGATCCTGAGATGTCGTGGGTGAAGGTACTTTATAAACGAGCGGAGATTTCTCCATAAAATATTCAGTTAACGGTTGCAGCGGTCGAAAGGCTCCATCTGCGACTATACCGTCAACGTGATGATTGCAAGACCCAGGGCAGCTTAGTCGCGGTTCGTTGGCAATTCGTGAACGGGTTGGTCCATCTGGCTTTCTAGCTCATATTGTCTTTTCGGAGCTTCCAGTTCAGTCGGGGGTTTGAGGGGGGGTTGAGGACTGCTGGTCACTAGGATGGCCCCTTCTCCAGGGGGCGGTTGCTGAGATCGCTTTCGGCCACGGATAACAAAGTACCAAAGAAGCGCAACGATCAATGCAACGCCTGCAACACCACCAACAACCCCTCCTGCAATGGCTCCGGCATGATTACTAGAGGAGGAGCTGTTTGATGACTCGGAGGATGACGTGGTGGTTGTTGCGGCGGGTGTCAAGCTTGTTGATGTAGATCCGGTAGAGGTTGACGTGGTTGCGGCAGCCGTTGAAGAAGTCGACTCGAAACCTACGGATCGAAAATTCCCGGTCAGAATGGAAGCTCAAATTGATTCATATAGCAGAAGGTCACCACTGACTCTGAGTCTTGGTAACTAAGATTGTTTCCCCGCGGGCGGTGGGTGCTTCGTCGGAACAGCCCACAGCATTGTTGGGGTTATCCGTCCAGAACCCTGTTTGCCCAGGCAAACAGCAGAAGTAGCCCGTGTGATTATACATTATCCCAGTCTCATTGGCGCAGTGCGGAGTCGCTTTCAGTGGTGCCGTACAGTCGGATTCCGTCGGACAGCAAACATTGTTTTGGATTGATTGGGTAGCCCCGGGGCAAACCGAATCGCCTGGGCAGCAGGCATAGAAGTTCCCCCATGTTTTACCACAGCTGGTTTCACTGGCAAGGCAGGTGCCATTTCTGCGAAGAGGAAACCCGTACGGTGGATCGTAAGAAACCATATTGTGAGATCCCAGGAATTGACGGATATCCGCGCGCGCGATGTAGAAGAGGAGGGAAAGAGGATCAAATGGGTGACAGCTCGTAATAAAAAGAGGGAGAGGCCTGAGCGAGATTCAAGCCTCCACGCTATGATGGAGCTAAAGTCTTAGCTTCCAGGGGGCCGAAAAAAAAAAAAAAAACCGGGGACTGACTCCACTTAATTCGCAAAGGTGGCAGGACGACGGATGAATGTTATTGCTGCGGACGCGCCTCTACTAGTAGGTTGGTGTTCTAATTGTTGGATATTTCGACCGAGAAGATACTGGTAAGCGCATTATTGTTCTGTAATCGAATAAGACTTGGACGTACCTTGCGAAGTGGTCAGATACTCAGCCGAAGAATAGGTGTGCTGTGAGCAATTTCGCAATAAGCAAACAACTTTGTAGCAGGTCTTAAGAGATCATTTCTTGTTATTATCGTCCGATGAATATAAATTCTGGAGCTTGGATGAACAACCGTCTATGCGTCGTTCGTAACTTGTCTAGTAGAATACCCGGGGCTAAGGCTACATGAATTGTGAGTAGTTCTTGGAACATACTTTGAAAGTGGTAGTGGTGAATATTAGCCACTTTGCATCCTACTCACTCCCATCATCGTTTCTCTATACAAATTTGTATTGAATTTCGAACATATGACGATAGACAGGTCGCCTCCAGTTTCAATTCAAACCCAAACAGTGGAGTATCTTGTCAATGCCAGTAAGCCTCTTGTATTCAATTCAAGTTCTGTATAAATTCAATACCATGACCGTAGAAATTCCCTTATAACTGTTTTAAGTGCAGTTGTCAAGGAATCACCTCTATCTAGTAAATCCTTTAATCATACTCTTTTCTTCTCTCCAAAACACTCCCTACTATGGCCAGAAGCAAGACCAAACGCGGTGGAAATGGTCATCTCTTTGGTGAGGCAGTCATCCTATACATTAGGCGAGGAAAGCCACTACGACGTGGAAAGACCTATGGCAAAATGATAATGCACACATACTCGACTGGCAGAGGGCGGCTTTTGAGGGGTTCGGCATCTACACAGAAAAGGGCACAGAGATAATCGAGCAGTTGGTGAGTGACTCTGCCTTCCTAATCGACATCTCTCTAACAGTCGATATATGACTGGACTCCAAAGGCGTATGAGAAAACATACGAGTGTGCTCCGTGGAATGAAACCCTGGCTAGGACATGCCTTGGCACACTTCTTCACACAACTACCTTTATACCTACGGCCAAACGGCCAGAAACAGTCAGAGTTAATCTCCAGTCCAAGATATTGCTTATATGCACGACAAAGAAGAAGCGGGTACATACTCATGCAGATATACACTCTTTATGATGACCCGTCGAAAGATGTAAGCAATCTGCGTGTAATCGAGGCAAAAAAGACGTGATGAACTCAACTGTGGGCAGGCTGAGCTCCTTGCTTATGTGGGTGAGTCATATCTACCTCTAACCTCGCTATACACTGTTTGAATAACTGATAGTTAGCAATGGCCGTCAATGCTGTAAGTCTAGTTGTCAAAATAAGACGTACTGTTGGGGACGGAGAAAGCTCGGGACTGTTCGGTCTCATGACGGTTACACCTTCCATTTCTATCAGCTCTCCTATAAGATGAAGGTAAATGAAATCCATTTATTGGAGGCAATGGCGGTTGACTTCCGAGTGGTATCAAGAGCCTCCTCTCATATATCATCCTGGAGGCTTTTAGAATGACCACAGAGTCAAGAAAGAAGGTCCGCCAACCTTCTGACTTGTCAGTGTCCCCAGTGGGGTCGATGGAGGTCGATTAGTCTTTTCTTTAAACATTTCTCCTCTCTCCTTTTATTCCGAGAAGATTTCATTGTTTGCTACTCTTCTTTGCTCTTATATTGCAAATAGACCATCCTAATTGGAATTCATGCATCGAACCCTACGGTGGTTTTCAATCCCCAAATCTACCGTTTTAATAAAACCGGCAAATAAAACAAATCACGCGTTTGTCCTTTCGTCAAAAGATCCTCGCTTTCTCTGAGGAACAAATCCGTCTACTTGTGGATATAAGTATGGTAGTTTGCTCTGCAGTATGATGGTTAGCTATAGTGTCTCATTTCAATGTTATTTAACTATCATCTTCCCTCCCACAAGATCTTAAACTATCGTAAAATCTATCAAACGTGCTGAACTGTTCCATGACAATTTATATCCTGTTAAGGCTACAAGAGCAATTATCAATCAAGTCCAACTTCTATTTTCTCACAGTTAATCGAAGACACTGCGCCCACCATTACTATTCTTCATATTCCACCCCGGTTTATCTCTACTCTGGAACCTTTCTTTTCCAGATCTATAAAGACCCCAGACAGGTCGACATCACACAGAAGGCTACGAGCCGCCCAGTCAGGTTATTGAACCCTTTCTCCTTGCCCTATACCTTACAGACCCATTATTTATTATCAAAAGAGTTAATATCAAGACAGACTACAATATTATTCACATGTTTCTAATCTTCATCCAGTCGATATTGCATCATGGAAATCTTGAAGATTTACAAAATTAATTGAGCAGGAGCAGAGTGTTTCCTACAAAGTCGTTGTCCATCTGCACTCCTATGACCACAATTTCCAGTTCTGGGTCGACGGATAATATACTACAGAGCACCCTGGGCTAGGCCAGTAGGTCAGTATTCGCACATGAGACGGCCCCTCCATTCAACCTTTCTTTAAATCTGTTCATATGATTGGTATATAGTCTCTTGCAGGGAAGTGGTATTAGTACCACTTCCGGATCTATGGAAGAGGTAGCTGATCAAGTTTCCATACACATAATGTCGATTCCAAACTAAGAAACATCACAATTAGAAATCCCGTTGATTGAATAAGATCGAAATACACCAAAGGTTGGCGGCGCATTTTACAACAAACTCAACTCCCCGAATGCTCACGTAACCATTGAGCAATCTCAAAATGGCCTTCCCTTTCCGCATAATCCGCCGCCTGACGACGTATCGGCTCCAGATCTGCATCATCCCCATAGGCGTTCAAAAGCAATTGGACCATATCAAAATGACCACGCTCTGCAGCGCCGTCAATTGCTGTCCTGCCGTTCTTCGGTGCAGCTGGCGCGGAGACATCTGCTCCACGCTCAAGAAGCCGTACAGCCAGCTCAAACATTCCATTGATGGAAGCCGCCTGGAGCGCAGTAACCCCTCTATCCTCTGCTGGGAGGGCATTGATATCTGCCCCATGGTCTAGTAAAACATTGGCTATGTTGACATGAGTCCACTTGATTGCCTCCTGAAGAGGTGTTCCCCAAGATTCGTTTGAGTGCATGTTAACGGCGGCGCCACGGTTGATAAGAAAAGAGCAAGATTTGTCATAACCTCTGCAGGCTGTACGCTGAACAAGAGTGCTTCCATCCTTGGCGCGGGAGTCTAGAGATACTCCAGACTCTATGAGAAGCTCAATAGTCTCTACCAGAGTTTCTTTTTCACAACGAAAATGACCGTAACTGAGAGGCAGTGCATCCCATGCCTTCTGAGTTGCTTGGTGACGAAGCAACGGCGGGAGTGAGTTTACTTTCTCAAGTATTCGCTGACGGACGATAGTGTCAACTTCGATGGAGAGTACTAGAGCAACCTCAAGCGCGTTTTCCCATCCAGGATGTTTTTGCAAGTCGGGGACTTTTGCTAGAAGCAAGTCAATAACCCCCAAACTTGATCCTTGGTCTAATGCATGCATCAGTGCGCTTTGAGGGGGAGGCCCATCGAATATAGCAGGTGCAAGAACGTCGGCATCATGTTGCAGCAATAAATCTACCATCGTCTCGGATCTGTTCATGATAGCCCACCCCAGAGGGCTTAATAGCTGCTCTGGAGCATGTTCCTCACTTTCATCCAACATTGCTAGGCCAAACGGAGTGTTATTAACATTCGCACCATGGTCCAGAAGGAAATGCACCCCTTCGAGCCAATCTCGACTGGCCGCCCCTCCAAGAGGAGACAGGAAGCCATATACCCCGGTTGCGTTAATATCCGCGCCATGCTGCACTAGCAATTCGAGAAGTGGCAAAGATTCGTGCTCGATAGCAGCTAGAAGAGCGGTCTTACCTCCCTCGGCTGCCGGGGCATTAACCTCTGCTCCAAGGGTAATCAGCTCTTCTACAAGCCGTATGTCGCCGTGCGTGGCTGCTGCCTGGAGAGGTGTTAACCCTTGCACGGACGATGGACCTATGTTTAAATACGCCCCATCGGCGAGCAAAACCCCAGCCATCAGAGAGTGGCCATTCAAACAGGCGGCCTGCAATGCAGTCATGCCTTGTTTTGCTCCTGCTGGTGCATTTATCTGCACGCCAGCGTGCCGAAGCATCAACAGGATCTTCCAGTTTCCGCTTTCTGCTGCCCCTTGCATTGCAGTGCGGCCATTGCAAGTCGCAGGGGGGGCATTTAAATCAGCACCCCAGCTCCAGAATAGTCGAAACATTTCGAAATTTCCTAACCTTGCGGACATTTGCAAGGGCGTGTCACCTACATAAGGTGCAACTCGGGAGTCTGGAGCAACTCCTGTGGATAGCAAAAGCGTGATTATCTCCAAATTTTGGTTTAGAGCGGCGTATTGCAAGGCAGTGCACACCACTTGCTCGCTGCCATACTCAGGTTTAAATCTCCATGGGTCACTCCAGCTTGGCTTAGCTTGATACGAAAGACAACGTTTGAAATCAGGATGTGCGGAGACCGGGCAAGCCATCGCAGATGCTCCTTGTTGGAGCAGCACTTGAAGAAGACCCACATTGTTCATCTTTGCAGCAATTTGAACAGGGGTTAGAAGGGGGATAAGATCTGCGGTTGAATCGGAGGGTAGAATAGGGATCTCTTCACTACCGAAGTTCACAAAAAGCTGGATTTGCGGGACACAGGGAACGTTGATCTCTGCTCCATGTTGAATGAGGTATTTGGCCACCTCCAAGTGACCTTGAGAAGCTGCAGCTTGCAACGCTGTTCCATAATAGTGAGCAAGGTAAATATTGACTCGAGCTCCTCTATGTAGAAGCAGTTGCACAGCCCTGAGGCTACCATTGAGTGCTGCATCAATCAAAGGGAACCCGGCCTTTTCTCCTGTGATGAATCTTTCCGGATCGGCACCAAAGTCGAGCAATTTATGTAAACTCAGAAGCCACAAGTCCCAGTCACTTGGCCATGGCCGCCTACTGTTGACCTCAGGGCGTACCCCTGCCTTGCAAAGTAGCTCAACCACAGCCTCGTGCCCATCGTAAACCGCTTCGGAGAGGCACTCAGTCCAACGTTGACGTTGAGAGGGGTCATCAGTCTGCAGCCGAACCCCACACTGTAAAAGTTTGCCAACAAGAGATATATTTCCGGACACTAGAGCACTCCAGAAGACCTTTCTTGCGAAGGCCTTCATTAACGGGGAGCGAAGCCGACAGAGAATTACAAGAATATCAGCGCCACCTTTCTCCACGATCCAGCGGAAGGCCTCATTGAACTGGTATTGGTTGAGTAGATTGTTGGCCGACAAAAACGCAAAGCGTTGTACGAAGACCTTGACGATCGATATAGGGGACTTGTCCCGCAGCGCCCTTGCACTTTCAATCGAAAAATTTCCAATGTCCAGGACTTCAGGTGGAAGATACGCATTGAGGTCGTTATTGCCCTCAAAGCGGGAACCAAGAACCACATGCAGCTGTAGTAGATCGCCATCGGATTGAGGAACAAGCTGTCTCATGGAGGTCTCAAGAGAGGTGCCAGGGGTTGATGCGACGATACGCCTTCGGAGTACTCCTGAGACTAAGCATCTCGTCAGTTTTGGTTGATTTTGTCATTGTCTCAGAGTCAAGACCAGGAAGACCGTAGTGGAAATGAAAGGAATAGATAGCAAATGAGTGAGGGTATTAGGGGAAAGGGATAAAGAAGGAAGCCAAGGCTGGCCACCAAACACTTACCAAGGTTGTTTATCTCTTGGGCGCATTGATACCAAGGAAGGTCACGAAGAAGGACGTCACGAAACATACCCGGCGTACCAGTTGGCTCTGCCGGGGGGGTACAGACTATGATATAATCTGGGAGTATATCCTCCGAGCTGCACCAATCGCGTCCCAGAGGAACGTGTCGTGCGATTTCTTTTTCGATTTCTTGTCTCGTGTACTTGCGGCCACGGACATAAACATCGCTATCTTTCCCCATTTGGCTTCGTTTCCGCTTCCTGGATCCGATAATCGCCCAGTCGCTTCCGGGGTGATATTTCCCTACGCCCCAAAATTTCAGCTTTCCGGTATATTGGTTTTTACTAGAAGTAGCCGTGTGTCAGCGGCAGAATATGGGTTTATCGCAAGGCTCCGCCCGAAGCAAGTGGACTTTGTACCTCGCTTGAAAGCCATATTGCTCAACCATATATTTAATCGTTCGGTCGAGTGAATTCCCAGCATAAAAAGCGATAATCGCTTCTTTGTGTCGGTCCCATATCTCGTCCGGAATTCGGGGAGCTTTCTTTGGCATTGTAAATGGCAGTATAAAGACAGGTTAGAAAAGGGGAAGAAATGTTTTGTCCGAGAGTTGGCGCCTTATCACTACTAGTAGGTACTTGTAGGTACAGAAGTACGAAGTACTAAGAGATACCCTGGTTGGCTGGGGTGTCAGCTGCCGCCGAAACAGCAGATCTGATTCGACGAGACCCAAATTTGGTTTCCAGGGAGCACTGCCTCAGGAGACCGACGCTATCATTGGCTGACACCTAAATTTTAGACTACAGGTACCTTTCCAGAATCTGGTTTCTTTGGCTTTTATTGCATAATTCACTACTACTTCCAAATTCTGATTTTGGTTACAAAAGTACGGTTGAGGCCACAGACTACCACCACAATTTGGTCTCTACCAAGGGTTTTCCATTCGACATCCAGAATCTGGTTTGACCCCGGAAATATATAAGAATCCAAGAACATGAAGACACACAATTCTTCAAAAAAGCAGCGGAAATGCCTTGGTCGATAGACACATCAATATCGTTCATCACCCTTCTTCTCACTGGAATCTCGTCCCTTCTTGGGATATGGCAATTTGTCATCAATACTTACAGGGGGACTTTACCCCAAGGTCTGCCGTCCCAGTGATAATAACAACAACAGTAACTAATGGGCGTTGTAACAGGCGAAACTAGTCCCGAAGCCTCGATCGTAAGAGCGCAAGACCGACCGAACAATATCGATCCGGAAATTCTACTCGAGTCAGGGCTTCATAATGGAATGTATCGAACACAGTTCGTTGGCCAGGTTTGTGAAGTGACACCACTCAGGACTTCGAGCCAAGATTGACCGGCAGAAGATAGTCGTTGTAAATACCGGGACATTTGTGCGTTTATGACTGGAATGCGTTGGTTCCAGCTTCATTCTTAACATATATTCTGTTGTATACAGACCTGAGGTCGCTTTGAGAGAGATTAGGGCCGGTCTTGATATCTTGTTTTGACGGTCGGATTTGTGAAACCGAAATCCAGCCTTGCGAAGCATCGTATTAGGCGGGCCTCGATACAGTACTAGTATGGACTTCCTCTGGTCATGTGATAAATAGATCCATCTAGTTACAGTGTAGAATAGAAGAAGGTGTGCTCAGGTAGCTTAGGACCTCGTCTCTCTGCTGGTTAGAATGAGGCTCCGCTACAGATATGCCCTAGTTCTTCAGTGAATTCTTCCCGTCAAGTAGTCAATACAGTTGAGCAGAGCATCCAGCTCGTGGCGGACATGCATGGTGATCTCAGTGGTACAGATGTATCGGATAAATGATCCAGGACAGCCTTTTCCAGGTAGCGATATTCTCGCGTGGGTTTTGTGGCTATGTCATGCAACCAAGCGCACCAGTGTTGGAAGGGATGGATTCAATATCCAATCCAGCTAATTACGGCTAATCGCGCGGGGGGGAAATATTTACAGCTGGATGCTTAAACGACCACTTCAGATGAGGCAAATGTGCCTGCAAGAAGTTGGTCATCCTGTCTCAAATGACTCGCCCTAAACTCACCTGAAGCAGCCTCACCGCTAGATTCCCCAGCCACCTGACATATGGTCGCGTCTAAGCCACACGCCGGGAGATGACCACCAGTGAACTCCTCTTGGTGCCTATGTTTGGGGTAGAGGATATTATTTTTGCTGAGATGGGCTATTCTGAAAGTCGCCTTGCGGGGCGCAGTTACTTGATTGGACCATTCTCTGCAGGAGCGGAAAGCAGGTGAGGCACCCATATATATAACAGTAGTACGAGAAGGCTGTCTACCCTAGTAAAGTGTTCTGTCTGGAACCTTCCTTGCTCCATAGATGTACGGGGGTCAACCATCACAATACTCGATCCCTGTCTTCTCTCTTCCGAAATTAACCAACAGCCCATCGTTGTTTAGGATATCGTACAGTCATTTAAGATATATATCAGGTAACAAGTAGACTGTATACTCTATTGATGAAACATGTATTATTAGTTCTGGTTCCCTAAAGAAAAATCCTGGAGCTGTCTCTTATTTGGAAAAGATACTATAATTCTCCTTTTCAAATTAGAGAAATATCTGATATAGCTCTTCAGGGAGAAAGGGCAGCTGTTGAGATACTAAGTATATTAGCTTTTTTAGTATATGTGATTCGGATTAGAACACATATAGACATATATATGGAGATATTATCTTTATAACCAAATAATATTTGCTAAATATAAATATATTCTTATCTGGAGTCTACTAAGTGCTATAGATGATCGTAGAAATCAGTCATTATAGCCGAACACCAATGACGTCCAACTATAGCCCTATCTGTGTGTAGGTAGTGATCGCATCCAAACAATGTAGGCTTCATCAGTGCACGAATTAGTGTTGAAGGTGCACAGAAATTTAGAGTGATCGGGTTGGGGATTTGATAGGCAAACCCGCACACGCCCCAAACATTATTGGCGTTATCCCTCGCGGACGTCCATCCTTAATTGAAGGTGCTTTGCTGCTACGGAAAAACCGAAGATGGGAGCGAATCCTAGGAATCGCACATATGCTACACTTGGCAGCTTTGGCTACCTAACCATTAGTGAGTGATGAATCACATTTGATCGTATGATTAATCATTTGATGTTTCGAAGGGTTAATACTGTTAGCTACAAAGCGGAGGCAGACCTTGATAAATCAGAAATAGAGAAGAATGAGATTACTGGGCCTTGGGAATATTCTTGAAAATTTAGAATTGAAGATGATAGCCTTATGAATGACTGAGTGGCTACAGGCATAGATTTGAATTGTGGTCATCTTCATGTCCTGATGTACTTTGTATCGGCTAATATCAGACTCGTGTACCGAAGGCTTCATCGGAAGACCCCAGAGCCTAACGGGCCACTAAGCGGATCTCAAAAAGAATTGCTGATGTTGAGTACCATTCTTGGTGTAGGTGAGGGCTTCAGTCCTATCGTCGGTCTTCGCCCCGGAAATGTCGATCACCTTGCTGGGGAATGCAACACTGACAATGCTATTTTGGAACAAAGATATCAGCATGAGCACAGCAAATATCTCAGATCTGTGACAGTAAACTTACAAGTAGGCTCCACTGCGATCCTTGACGGGCTCAATCTTCCAGCGCACACGTTTCTCGAGGGGAGAGATGAGATTCGCAGTGATTTGTTTACTATCATCGGCTAAAAGCATTCACATTATCAACATCACTGCTCACACAAAGGATGAGGGTATCCAGTCGTACAAGCCGTGAGATACGTGCCAGACCTGACATTGATGATGAGGTACTCGTCATTGCCAGCATGAGCGAAGACAAATCGTTGATTTGGACCGTATTGGTCATTGTCAAGTGGCTTACTGTTGAGGGTGTTAGTTACTCCTTATGTAGTACGATCAAAGGGTGTGGAGTGGTATACTAGAGCTGCAGCTTGGTGCCATCTTCCTTCTTGCCGCTGTCGAGATCAAGTCGCTTGTCAACATGGCGGGCGACTATGGTGTATACATTGGGCCCAGTGAAGTCACTCATGGTTATGGTGTTTGGACGATGGACTGAATGGCACTTGTGGTTGTTTTGATTGTGAATTGAGAGTGTCAACTGAGGGCTTTTTGAGAAGGTGATTTCGTAGAACGGATACCCACGCTTTATAGCTTGGTTGCGAAGACTGATCATGGGTTTTGGCTGGCAGGGTATTAATCTCATCTGTTTCCATTTCTAAGAGAAACTGAACCATGCATACGTGCTTTCGTCGTCCCTCCTGCCAAACCAATCATTAACTATGGATGTTGCGTCAGTCTGCAGGCATGATGTGCTATTGCGCGACTTTTCACCCCGTCTTGAATCTTGATCCTATTTTCGACCAATTTATATATGTGAGAAATGCTATTTATTAATGCCATTCCTATAGTAGTTGTCTATCATACTCACCAAAGGGCTGAGCATGAAAGTAGCAACTTGTGGTATCTTATGATGCTCCCGTCGGAGACACGTCCAGAGAGCATCACTCCCTTTGCGATAGAGATTCACTTTACATCGCTCAAGTAGATATTTACATTGACCATCGAGGAAGATACGTGGCTCCCTCGCAGCCGCAGCTTGAATCTGCAGATGTTTGCCTAGAAGTGTCAGTGGTGTATGCAGATGCAGGCCATCGGGATCGATTGGCCAGGAAGCCTCCACTTTGTCCACCCTGATGCATAGTACTAGTATTTTACCTATGTTTCCATCGCATCTAATTTGGCTAAAGATCCTCTGATTACTACCTTCCCCGCTCGCTCTCGCACCGTCCGACGCAAGCCACAACGAATACTCTACAGATATTAGGCCCAGGCATGCATTGAGCTGTCCACCTCAGCTACGCCTGTTAGTTGTTTCAACCCACCATCAAGAGGCGTACGCCAATTGCATCGCCATGCTTCATAGCTCCTCATTCACAAGGAATTCGGTTAGTCCCATATCAGGGTACATCTTCTCAGCGACGTGGCCCTTCCCCGCAGCGTTGCAACCAGACACTTGCCGATTAACCCAGGGACCCTGTCCAACAACGTTTACACAGCGTAGTAGTTACTCTTGCGACAGCTGTAGGTAAGGTCGACATGTCACACCTGGTAAGCAATGTTGGATTTACGCCTTTGCCTCGAGCGCCAGATTCTCGACGGGTCGTTTCCTTGAGAATAGCTAGCTTCGGTAGGATGGAGAGCATTCGCATGATTGTGGAGCCGAGCTCCCATCATCTATGTTAAATTTTCCTCTGCTGGTATCTCGCAGAACTGTCCAATAATATCGCGAACATAGTTCTCTACACGGAATTGTTCATAGCTCTCCAGCTTTTGTTTACTGCTAATTCGTATGGATTGTTGCCTCCAACTCCTCCAGCGCAAGCCATGGCGAAAAGTCGCTGCACCGCAGCCCCACGCACCTGGTGGTTCTAGATAGGAATTTTTATCGTTCAAAATCTACGGGGACAGTTTTCTTTCCTCTTACGGCTACTGTCGCTTTAAGAGATTCACCCGGGCAAGCCAAATAATTTACTCACCCATTTAAAATCCTTTATTTTATCTCTTTACCACCAATACTTACCCTTAACCCGTATCCTCCCTTCATACCTATACCAGTTTTCTAGCTACTTAAACATCCATTCTTTTCTCGCAATTCATGACCACCTCCATACTCGACGCTATCCTCACGTTGTAGCTACCATAGAAAGACAGTGGTTAGGGAGTAGAAGATTTAAATACCATAGATTACTATATACTAGCTTAATAGGCAAGAAAATCACCCTTGTCGTGGCTCACGGCCTCGAGCTCTGGCTATAACGGCTTCCAGGCCTCTTTCACCAATGAAAGCTCCACAGGCCATTTCTCCTGTTCCACAATGCGCGGCAGGATGTCTGGGTCCGACTCATTGTCACACGGATCACTTGACATTCCTTGGGCGTCAGGGAAGGCGATAATTCTTTGGGATTTGAGAGTCGACGCTAGAACTGTCTGGAAAACTAGAGATGCAATTTGAAGGGTTCCACACGTAGGTGCAGATATGATAAGTGAAACTTTCGACTGGTCAAAGAAGGCGCCTTTACGAAGCGATTCACATTGACTCTCACCAGTTGGTGTCAAACGTGGTTCAGGAATGGCATAGCAATCGTCACCAACATCATGAAAGCCTTCCCTATGACGAACGCAATGGATAATTGGTGGTATTTCCTGTAATTCTAAGGTCAGTAGACCAACAGTAGAATTTGCAAGACGGAATCTCAACCTTGACAGCTAGAAAAAGCCTCTACCGCGATGCTGGGGACGGGCGTTTTTTGGAGCCAGAATCTGTCGCTAGCAGATGGTAGATGCTCGCTTAGTGAACGTAAACTGCACTCTTTGTCAGGGATAAAGGATAATATTTAACTAATCAACTAACTATACGCCGTGCTTATAAAGCATACAGTTGCCTTGGAGCTATATGGAACAACAACTGAGCTCACTACGTTAGCTCGTCGAACGTGAGTAAGCTAACCTCAACTCTATCTCGAGGTGACTAGTATCTTGGCAGCCTCATTTAAAAATCTATAGTGGATATGTCTTTCGAGAGCTAATCGAATCAGAACGGTCCTTTGGCCAAACATTGTCAGGGTTTTGATCAAACTATACTTTGTACCAAGAAACGGACCAAGGTTTAGTTATTTTCGACACAAAACCTCTTTCTATTCTGCATTTACTTTTAAAGGATGTATATTGTCGAAGAGCTAGCGATTCTCAAGCTCTCGGGGGTTTGAATCGTTGCGACTGTCACATACCGTCGGGCGGCTCTAAATCTCCATCAGTCTTGGTTTTTTTTATGGCGCTGAAGACTTCCGTGGCAGTCAATATCATCGGCACACCCGGTGCCTTGTTTACTAAACTAATGGGCGTATTTGGAGACTTTCAACCTACGAAGTCAATGAAAGCTCACAACATGGCTGTCAAGGATATACGGGGACCGTTCAAAAAACGCCGTCGAAAAGCACCTCTCGGTCAAACATGCCGGAAGTTCCTCAGGCTGAATCACCATCTGCTCGGATTGAGCGTCTTGAACATGAACGTCCACCGGCATTTGCCAATCTATGGACTGAACTATGATTTTTGTTTGGCATAGTTATGTCACAGTTCTTGACCGAGTTCTTCGTCTCAGGCTTCACGGTCATCTTGCCACCACTGGCCCAAGAGCTGAAGATTCCCCAGGCTTCGCGGGTATGGCCTCCGACTACCTTTTTGCTTGTAATTTCGAGTACTTTGCTCATATTTGGTCGCCTGGGTGATATTTGCGGAGGATACCCTCTCTTTTTCGCTGGCCTTGGATGGTTTCTTATATGGAGTCTCAACACAAGCTACTACTTCTGCATAACTAGCTTCTGGCTGCTTTTTCCTCTTCACGAGCTATGGAATTGCCCTTCGCCTTTTCGATGGCGTGTCGAACTGCGTCAGCGAGACTGACACTAACGGTGACGTTGACTTGCGTCTAAAGCATGCTCATGGTAGATATGTGGCACTGGAGGAAGAAGGAGTATATGTCTCTCCATGAGGCGTAAGAAGACGTTGTGTGTAGCCGGTGTATCTATCTCGACAGTAGACGTGGTGTGAGGCATGTATGGAGATGAGGGAAGGGCAGCAGAAACTGAAAGAAAGGTGGTTTTGTGCCCACGACGCGTTCTGATGCGATCTTGAAGAATTAAAAATTGAGGACACACTTCATTGCTAGACCATGTTACTGTCACAAAGGGAAAGCCGAGAGACAGAGTCCCAGTTGGTTAAGTATCAAGCGTCGAATCGATGTGGGTCTGAAGGATCGAGACCATGAACTATATGTTAGAGTAAGTGCATAATGGCAGGAGATTGACGTATTCTATTGACAATCTTGTATATTGGATGTTGAGCTCATCCATATTGTCCTATCAAGCCCGCAAGATAATCAAGGAATAGAATAACTGTATGAACGTCCGATCTTCACCCCACTCATAGACATATTCGATCCAACGTCGAGATGACCCTTCCGTAGCTCGACGAGCCCAAATCTTCTCAAGCACCATAAAGGCATCTACTACACTGGCAAGTTGCGCAGCTTAGGCGGATCCCACGGTTTGACAGCATGTTATGGACTTGGACATTATACATCCCAGGTAATATTTGTTCAGAATCGGGAGTGAACAAGACGGGGTGGGAAAGTGGATTTTCTTACGCGGAGTCATGCTGGAAGGCATTGACTGCCTCTTGGTTTGAATACCTTGCAAACCGCAATAGGAAAATAAAATCACTAAGCCAGGAAGTAACGAATGTAGAGTCTTGCATATAATCGATGGAGAGAGCTACTAGTAGCTCGTTCCAATAGTCGTCTTCCCCTCCCACCTGCTATTCCAGTCACTCCACTAGCTAGTTTGTATACGAAACATTAGTACCGACGCGTGATTCTGCTGAATATGCCAGCATCCAAAAGTGCAAACCCTGATATTCCATTCCCTGCAAGCATATCATATCGTAACATACCAAAGTCAAAGTTGCTCGACAGGTGACTCTTGCTATCATTCAAAACTCACTGACCTTCAAGCTTGTGTACGCTCTGTTCCACTGCAACACTTTACTCGCTTTATTGCTTTATTGTGAATGGCCAAATTATTATATCAGGCTTGTTAGCTTTTTGGCCGATCCCGTATCCATCCATATTTGCCTGTTGTCGAATACCGCCGAGCATTCTCGTCCTACTTTCGTGTACGTGTCTCTCTGATGTCTAGTGACGAACATGACTTGTAATCTTCGGTTGCAAGAGCAATAAGACGTTGTACAACCACGATAAGAAGAACCAACTTTTGCTGTTAATTGGGGTTAAGTCAAAGCCACTTGGTGAGAAACACCAAGGGAAAATGGACGGGACCGTTTTGAACAACATAACTATAGAACATTAGCGGTAAGGCAAGCTTTGCTGCGACTCAAATACTATTATTTAATGTCATACATGTTTGATAGCACCAAGCCATTTTTGATTAGCTGTACCACCATGTTAAAATGCACTGAACTGGTGATCCTTACGTGGTAGTTGTAGGTCAAGTCGACTAATTGAACTTTCTTAATCGAACTACTTAGGCTCTTGGTAGAGTCCTAATACACAGGATCTTTGAAAGGGAAGCAATCCCGATCTATGGCGATCATAAACTCAAGGGCGAAGATGACCAGTATAGTTAGTTTGTAGAAGTCATATATCGGAATACAGAAGATTTACACGTTTTTATATGACGTCATATATCTATGTTCACTTTAGCCGAGGGTGCTTCTTGTATTTAGACTCGGATCTGACAGGCAGACTAAATGTGGTACGGCCGAGCCGGAGATAAACATTGGCCGTTTTCGGCCACATGGCATGCGCTGTCAAATGGAAGTGTAATTGTGTAATATGACATTCCCTAATTGGGATGTATAGGAATCATAAGTAATTTAGATTTTCGTGTTACATCAGTACATTTATAGTAGACGGGTTCCATCGCTGAAAACAGTAGGACTACTGACCAATGTTAGAAGCTAGAATAGGTCAGCCATTAGTGACCGCTGGAACTGATTCCCGAAAGTCTCGGAGTTAGAGCTACATTGACTGTTACCCACCCGTCTGGCAAACCCTGGACTATTGTTTATCAGCGAGCAAAGCTTGTATTCTAGGGCCTTATCTACTGTAGCCGATGGGCTATATAATGATATCATAATCTTATGGAAGTCATCGTATTCACAGGATCTAGACACAGCAAGTCCCCGGAAACAGCTAGGGTACATCGAGGTGTTTGCATGAAGTATTTCAGCAATAAGAATACTACAATCACTGTGAACGTCACCACCTTGATATCACCGTGGAACAGCTCCAAATATCGAGCAAAGCCTTTATAATATGGCCACAAATGGCAGTAGATGATAGACTAATGACGATAAGACTGGATGCTGTACTACTGAAAACGACACTGTAGCTTAAACACCGCGCAGATAGTGTGCTTCTTGTCGCCGCAGCTAACTATATAAACATGGCGTTCACCACAATGTGGTTGCTTGTATGAATGTCTATCATCCATTATCTTTTAATGACCACTTTCTATCAACCTACCTGTTATCAATACATCTCTTGCTATCAGTGACTGCCAGAATGCTTTATTCTAAGATTACTGCCGTGGTGGTAGCCATCTTGCCTCTCTCCGTTACTGCCAGGTTTTACTATCCTACAGCTACTAATGTGAGTGCTTCCTCACAAACCCAAATGATACGATTAATCAAGGATATGCTGCTGATGAACATAGGTACGGCTATACAGTGAGCCTAGTTTTGATGGAGAGGTCCAAGACCCATATATTCGTCGCTGCACTGATTTAGACCCACCCTTGTAAGTATAGATTGATTTAACATATAGAAGATTGTACTAAGCGATGTTAGGAGACATAACCTTGGATCTGCAGAAGTCAAGCGGGGCCATTACTGTCGCCTCTATCGGTATGGAGTCAACTCCTTATCCATAAACATAAGCTAACTCTGTCTAGGCACCAGGGTTGTGCGGGTTACGAAGGTTTCGTTGACGAAGGCAGTTGGCCGGATCTTTTGCAATATGATACACAGTCGGTATTTTGTGATATTAAGCAATATGATTAACTGTGGTGCATGTTCTGTTTTTATAAGGTCCTGGTATGGTTTTTGCCCCAGTCAGGTTGGGTTTTCCCATACCCTTGGTGCAAATGCAGGGGCCTTAGAATCGTATCTCAATATTAATTTTTAATGAACCTCGTCAACTATCAACTCCCAAAGTATCAATTTCTATCGACAAGAGCATATACGAGGCAAAGTTCCGCTGTGTAGATGAAGGCTCGCCTTGTTTGATTTTGTAGTCAACACGTTTACCCTGTTGAGTTGGATGACTCAAGCATCTTCGGTCAGTTATCGCATTGTAGCACTTAATATTTGTTTTTGGCAAAAGACCGGCTACTAGTCCAGACGCCGGTAAGAATGCGTCAATATAATTTAGGGCACTATGTGCAACGGCCAATTAATGATGATACTGGTGCTGTTCAGCTAGAATCCAATCGTGAGGTGGAAAAGAAATAGTTCTTAACTTTCCAATCTCCACCCCGCTTCCCATTCCCAGGATTTATTTATTTACGTTGATATTTATCAACACGGGATCATGAAGGTCACTTTGCGCAAGTTTGAGTCGTGGGTGTCTTTGACATAGCGCCTGAGCAGAAGGGGAACCTGGGTCGCGTGTGATGGCGAGGATTGGGAAATCTGTGTTGGCTTCCAACACCTCATGACGGCCCCTCCTTGTTCAGCAGTTGCGCCAGTGACGAGATCAGCCTTAGACATTGTGCTAAGAGTTTTCAAAGATTGGAAAAAAACTCGATAGGTTGTGTCTAGGGCATGTATTTTGTTGCACAGAACCTGATGCGGCTGTTTATTACTACTTTTCTTTATACCCCTCGGGAAACCTAATTGAGAGGTTGTCATTTCGTGTCTTGTGAACCGCCACGAAAGCCACCAGGCTGCTGGTGTGTGGCTTCAATTCAGCTGAGCGGGTAAATCTGAACAGGCGGAGCTACGAACGAAAATCTGGAACATGTATTGTAATTCTACCTATCACCGTCATGGAGCCATTCAGATATCTGCCACCCTCCACACAGCTGGGCAGCATTCGATTTCTCTTGCTAGTATCACTCGAGGGTACCAGGATTACGTCCAGAATTTTATGCTTGATACCTAATCTATGACCACTACGGGCTCGTGACTTGCGGTACCCGAGCAATATTCTTCGTTGCTAAGAGACAAGTATCTAATTTTCTATGTAATGTGGAACAAGCGAATAGCTTAGTAAGTTTAAACCAGTAAGAGGAAAATAGTGACTCTTTATTATAATTAACGAATAGTTTGCCACAATATCCCAATACACTGGAAACTAGAACTAGGCGGTTAGGTGGTATGGCAGAAATTATGGCCAATATACGTAGGCTGGATGAAGTTGAAAAAAGGATCAAGTACAAAAAAGCTGCCAAGAAATAATGCTGTTCAATTTGGTAAGTCTTGGTTCAGAGTATGGGGATACCCGGTGGGGTGTATTTCAGTCTTGGGGCTATCTATATGCACTAAGGCTCTTTTGGTATGCCCAGGGCTTTTATTAGTATAGTCAAGAATACATTTTGGAGGAAATTCAACAGGGCACTCCGATTATGGATAACCAAATCGTACGATATATCTATTTATTTGGCTCCAAGATATTGTTATTTCTCATCAATCAAAGAGTATTGGCAGAGAAAGTAGTTAGGTACTGGAACTATATAGATTATATAATAAATATTGTTCTGATCAAAGCCAGAATAATATATAAATTAGATATATTTCCTCAAGATAAAGCGATTATTCAAGAAGCTCTAAGACAATATTGGGTCTATGGACAGATGCCGGGGGTAAGCTGGAGTATTTAATAGGGATATATCTGAATTAGTCTGATAGACCTACTGTAAATATATATTCAAAGCTATAAAACAGATGAAAACTAAGGATGAAGTGTTTTTGTGTAGATAGTTGGGCACTTTCTTATCGGGGCGGAGTATTGCTTGTTAGGATCAGTTTCCGCGCGGGTTGCGGGAGAAGCGCCTAAAGAGGTAACCTCGTGGGGTTTAATATCATGCATGGATGGTATACCTACATCGACCAACGGCCCGCAGTTCATAAATAGCCCGAACCTGGAAGACTGTTAAACTTGACTAAATATTCTCTGTATTGCAGTTGCTTCATAGACCAACGGGTCATCCTCAGCAGTACCAGATCCTGTGTTCTATCGTCCAAAAATAGATAACATACCACCGACCAACTTTGTCAAAGGTATCGCCAGTCGCGCCCCCATTAATTCCAGTTATGGCGGTGATAACGCCTACCAAGCCCACAAAGGCGACAGGAAACATTGGAGATTCTTTTGCCTCCCTATCTGGGGCGCAAGGTTCCCCATTACCGGATAGATTTCGCCAGTTGAAATGTGACCTGGTCAAGGACAAAGAGAAAGACATAGTGGATAGCTGGTTCAGGCTCTTGAGGCAGATCGCAGTCGAGAATAATGTGATTGTTAATATGAGAAGTGACGTTATTCCCTCCATCGAATTCTCACAATTTGAGAGTGACTGTGAAGAAATGAGAGATGAAATTAAGAAGAGAGGTGTCGTTGTCGTGCGAGGTGTGATACCTGAGCACGAGGCCAGAGCGTATAAGGAAGAGATCGAAGAATACGTTCGAAAGAATCCACATACCAGAGGTTGGTGTATTGTCCAAAGCTATATAGTAAAGAAGAAGAAGAAAGAAAGAAAGAAAGAAAGAAAGAGAAGAAATATGCTCACGAAACACCTAGGTTTTCCTCAGAATGATCCCCAAGTCTACGAGCTGTACTGGTCTGCGCCGCAACTCAAAGCCCGCTCACACCCTTCTTTACTAAAAGTTCAACGCCTTCTTATGTCGTTTATATGGGATACGCATCCAGACAGTCGCATATCCTTGAATCACCCCCTCACCTATGCTGACAGAGTACGTATCCGTCAACCTGGAGACCAGCATTTTGCGCTCGGTCCCCATATGGATGGTGGAAGCGTTGAGCGCTGGGAAACGGAGGGATATGGCAAGGGTGGTGTGTATGACAAGGTCTTTGAGGGTAAGTGGGAAGAATATGACCCGTGGGATGCAAGTGGCAGAGTCCATGCGCAAGTGAATTTATACGATGGATTGGGTGCATGCTCGATGTTCAGGATGTGGCAAGGCTGGATGAGCATGAGCAACTCTGGCCCTCTGGAGGGAACTCTGCTTGTAAACCCACTTGTACAACTGTCCACTGCATATCTGCTTCTTCGGCCGTTCTTCAATCCAGTTAATAAATGTACGGGGCCAGAGTTTCTGGACGAAAGCAATTGGGAGTTTACGGGACTGCCGAATATGACCAGCGAGCTGCAGGGTGCTACCTGTGATCATCGTCAGGAGCTTAATGATGCACTCCACCCTCATCTTCAACTGAACCAGACTATGGTTCACATTCCAAAGATCAGGCCTGGCGATTTTGTCGCATGGCATTGCGATTGTATGTTTCTACAGATTTACCTGCCCGCTGTCCTAATACGCATGCTAATATCGGCCTCTTCCCAGCTATCCACGCCGTGGATAATTTGCATGTTGGTAGCTCAGATTCCAGTGTTCTATACATCCCCGTCTGTCCCATCACAGATAGCAACGTTGAGTATCTGAAAGGCCAACGTACAGCATTTCGGAAGGGTATCCCACCAGCTGACTTCCCTGGGGGTGAGGGTGAAGCCCATCATGTCGACCGCCCATCCGAGGAGATGCTCCGGGGGTGGATGAACTCCGAGGGAAGACAAGCCCTTGGTTTAGAAAGGCTCATAGCCTCAAAAAATGCGTTGCCAGGTGAGAAGGATGTAATTCAGACGGCAAATGAGATTTTGGGGTTTGAGGGTATCGTGTCAACGAACTAAGCAGGAGGTAACTACTATATCAAACCAGAGAGCAACTGGTACCCGCTCTGATGGTGACATTGGGCTTATTGCTGTGCCAGTTAAATGATAAGCAGGGAATGTCGACTGCGATACGTGAACAGTCATTGTGTAGTACGCAGAAGCTATGCGTTTTGCCCAGGCACACCAGTGCCGCTTAATTAAGCCGGTTGCTTTGGCTCCATGGAACTGATACAAGTCCATCTACAACTTATTCTTCTACTGTAAAATTACTTCCTCGAGAAAATATGTGTTGTTGGACGCTGAAGTACCGGCTCTACCACTTGAGAATAGATCCATCACAGGTTTGAGTAGCCTTTGCATGTCGATCCGGAGTCATTAATGCCTTGGACTAAAGTACACTGCGCCGATATATTTGTCGGGAGGTAATGATTTACGTCCGCTACTCTGTTTTGGCTGTTGTGTACACTCCTGTTGGTCCCATGGTTGTCACTCCTAGAAATGGCGGTTAATAAAAGGCCATAATGACGACAGAAAAGGTCCTGGAACTTTCATAACCTGGCATTTCCTACCCAGTAACATTGTTTAATTCATTCAGGATATATTTGAACCCGCAGATAGGTCCCACTCCGAGCACCTGGCGCATGGCCTCCATTTACAGGGTATTGCGTACCATGAGAGGGGTTCCCTAGTGGCTATTGCGAGAATTCCTAAATAACAATTGCGCATGCTATAAGCTTATCAGCTTAATAGCACCACCGACACCCATGCAATACTCATTTTCATGGACGTTTACTACTTGTTGGAAATATCAAAAGTCAAATTCTCAGCGGTCCTCGGACCTTCCCTTTTTGGCGTACCGCAGCGGAAGCGGTCTCCAAAAATAGCAGAAAAGACCGCCTATTGAAGATATATTGCTGCACCCGACAGACGGTTTTCTCAATGCCAACACAACTACAATTCCATAATCGACACCATGATATTCACAGAGGTAGCTCGAGGTGCAACCCGACCACTCCGAAAGGTCCAGTCACATCGGATAGTCGTCCGAACGATGCGAACGGTTATGACTTGGGCGGAACAAGACCACTGGGAGGACCCTCGCGGCCCTTTGGGCATTGACAGACCAAGTCCAAAGCTTGCCCCTCTCACTTCTAAGAGTCCGCAGTGGCTTCACGACCTTCATCAGCATGGTGTAAGTGGCCCCTCTAATGTCGGCCGGCCTTTTAGAGAATTGACCGATTCCTAGTGGGCTCTAGTGAAGGGGGCAGTTCCCAAGGAAAGGGCTCTCAAATACGCCGACAAGGGCGAGGATTGGCTCGAGGGATTCAAGATGGGATACAAGCGCGACGACCCTTCAACATGGAAGTCAAAGAACATCCCACGACATCGCCATGGAGGACTCTTTGATCAGTGAGTTTTATGACATCCTTCATAGACGCCGAGACTAAACATGTTTAGTTTCTCGTTTGCTCACGCTCAATTCGTCTGGGATTGTAAATCGGAGCCTGGTGTTCGGGATATTTTTGCGAAAGTTTGGGGTACCGATAAGCTAACGGTCTCGTTTGGTATAAACATTACATACAGTCGCAATTAGAACATTGTTGCTGACCTTGGCAGACGGAGGCACGCTAGCTATTCCCACTCCTGAGGAAGCTGACCACGGCAAAGCGCCCTGGCCGCATGTGAGTGTGGCCGAATAGACTTGTATTTCACCCCGTACTGATTTGGCTATAGTCAGATCAGAGTGCCTACCGACCTTGGCCTCATTGTATTCAAGGTCTGCTGAACCTCGTACGTAACCTGCTGCTCTTCTTTTCTTTCTTTCTTCTATATTATTGAGTTTTGCTAAGTGACAACATTAGCTCCCAAATGGCCCCAAAGATGGGGGCCTGGCAGTTATGTCAGGTACCGCTCCTCTATTTAAGCAATACTTTAAGGAGCATCGACCAGTGAGTGCAGCGTCTTCCACCAACTTCAAAAGAGATGATGCTAAGAGACGTAGCCTGACGGTGGGTGGATCAAGAAAGACCTTTTCAATTGGACGGATGAGGAGCTTCAGTGGTTTAAGGACCGTGGCTGCGAGTGGGTGAAGCCCAGCATGGATCCCGGTGACTTTGTTCTCTGGGATTCACGCGCTGTGCATTACGGAGCCGCGCCCCTCGGTAACGACAAGCGCATGGCGGTTTGTAAGTGTTCCTCCATCGACTATTGTGATTAAAATGCTAACATTGGACAGATACGTGCTACAAGCCCATCGAATTCCTAACTGAAGAGCAAAGAGAGCGCAAAGTCGAGGCCTTCAAGCGAGGTTATATGACTGTAAGATTACGCACCGGGTCTCTGTTGAAAGGAAACTTACTAATATAAGTGCAGTCGCATGATCCTACTGACTTTGTGCTGAAGGAAGAACAAATGGCGGACTGGAACCTCCTCCATCCTTACAGGCCACCGACTATCAATAAGGAGACTCAGCAAGCTATCGGTATAATCCCGTATGATTGATCCATACCCAGCACGAGCTCCTACTTCTCTCTCGAGGATTTTTGGTTCCTTGTTGCCTCTTCCGAGGCTAATCTGATTATGGTGTTCATATGCATGACCTGTACATCATAGACTGCCTGCGTGGCAGTTTGTTTCTTGGGTATTTATGTTGATATTGTTCATCAATGCATGTTGTTCTAAGAAGGTGACCATTGTACACAAATTATAGTAATATTTGAATTTATCTAACAGAATAGAGCCACGATAAATATATTCACTAAATGAATGATGTCTGCTGGGATGTGACCATCATAACTGAATTCCACTTTCTCAAGCAATGTGCACTGATATAAGTCGACTAAGAGATAGTCTGAAATCTCAAATCATATGTATATCCTTTCAATACGTTGGTTTATGACAGTCTAAAAAAACATCAAGAGATTTCTACCATCAGAGACGCTAGGTAGTGTCTGAGGGACAAGGATATATATAGATATGTGTGTATTCTGTTGCATAATGTTCTACCTTCTAGTGCACTACTTAGTTGGAGCTTCAGTATAGCCCTGCAGCTTTAAGGTACTAATTTATTTTAAGTATACTATCAATGTAATAATGTACATCCTTATATTTGGGTGTTGAAGAGAGCGGAATGCCTTCCCGTATGGTTCACTTCCTAAACTGGAATTGCCGCACGCAACGTACTAGCGGAGAACTTTCCGAAAGTAGATTTTGGCCCGCAGGTCCACTTTTTGCTCCCTACTGAACGAGCGAGGGATGAATGTAAAGGGAATTCTCTAATATAAGAGAGTATTCGGTTGACTTATATTCTATAATCAATAGAAGTCAATTATATTTTAGGTGAAATGATGTACAGAGAGGCATATATTCGGCGTAAATGAATTGATGGATCAAGGGGTGGTTTAAAAGACGTAGAATAAGTTAATGCAGTTCGATGATGCTAAATCATTTCCCATGGTTCCCTTTTTTATTTTTTATTTTCTTTCTTTCCTTCCTTCCTTCTTTCTTTCTTGATTACGTCTCGTATTGCACCCTATCTTCCCCACGTTCTCCGCGAGGGGTGAGTGGGTCACCTGGATTCAATCCCGAAGTCTCCCTCGCCGTTCATTTCGTATTCAGAGCCCCTGCCGCAGCCTCCGTTGTGCAGCGACAGAGACACACTAAAATGTCAGGTAATCTCACATTTGTGTCATACCATGATATGAGTGATCGGTCGCGGCGTATCCGATTGCGGAGAGCCTGCAATGAGTGTCGGCGCAGAAAGGTTGGTGCCCTCGCAACTTTCTCGGCAATGTCTAATTTGCCCTATTTAGAGGCGATGCAATCACCAGCTGCGAACGTCTTCTGGAGGCTCTTCTTCCCCTTCACATAACTTGGTGTGGACGGAGTCGCAAACAGTCTCTCAAACTAATGATTCGGGTGCAGGGTCCCGGATACAGTGGACAAACGCCCAAGAGCTATCCCCATCACCGAGCTCTCGGCCAGTTCAAGGTGAACAAGACCAGCCGTCTCCACATCGGCCGGAAGAGCCAGAACAACAACGACAACGACAACAAAACCAAACACAAGAATCATTAAGACTCGATGCTCATGCTAGTCCGCACACAACACGCTTCGTTGGTGATTTGAACCCAGAGGCTAGACTCTTGGGTGAAACCACCACCCCCGAAGATGCGCAGGAAATGGCACCGGGAGAAGTTGGCGTTTGGGTTCAGCCACGACGCTCCAGCAAATGTGCCCCAGGCGGCGAGGGATTGCCCCAAGCAGGAGCAGCAGTTATATCTCCTTCGAGAAACTCTAAGCGATCTCATCCACCGGTCTCGGACATTTTGCCCCATAGAACTATTAAAGCACTATCCGATATTTACTTTGCGAACATCCATCCGATGATTCCCCTTCTCGATGAAGCGGAGTACTGGCAACAAATGTCCCGGGGCACGATTCCTTCGCCTTTGGTACATGTTGTGTGTCTTCTGGCGGCCAAAGATAACACGGCTGGGCAACATCTGAAGCTTATACAGTCCAGGGACGCTGTAGTACCGGTCCGTGAATTCTGTTGTCAGCTATATGTATCTCTCTCGACTGTCCTCTCGCGGCGCACCACATTAGAGAAGACCACTCTCATCCGCATCCTTGGCCTGTTGTCTCTGCACCAGGAAGGAAATGAGGGCATGGATGAATCATCCAGCTGTATTGCTCAAGCCATGCATTCGGCTCAGTCTCTGGCTCTACATTTGCCGCGACCCAACGACGTTAGGAATGAGTTAAGGAGGATCTTTTGGTGTCTTTGGATCCTGGACCGGCTGAATGCCGCGACGAACTCACGACCTTGCGTCATGGCCGACATCGATATAGCAGTCCCCGACCTGACACCGGAGGAGTCTGGCTCTGTCGCGTTTGATGTCTGCTTTCGAATTGCTAAAATCCTCAATCAAGTTATTGCTCTTTATCGACCCACGGCGAAGGACCCTGCATCAGGGTGGGATACAGACTTTCCGGGGTTTGAACAGGTCATGGATGAAATGCATGCCTGGCAACTTTCTTCCTCCACAATCGGTTAGTTCACTGGATGGGACTGAATCTATCTTCTGACTAACAACGTCCCTTTTGATAAAGCCACATTGCATATCTTCTACCTCGCCACTGCAATCCTCGCACACCGCCTCAAGACCATCACTACATTACCCTCACCCACACCAGCCAGGCTGCGACAACAGCTTTCTGCAATCCAAGTGATCCGGTACATGCAGGACTCCGATCGACTAGATGCGTTGCATCCATTTCCGGTTGTGGTGTATGCCGCCTCTCTTGCCCTATCTGTCTCTTATCAGCAGCTGCGATATAGTCGTTTGCCCGGCGAGCAGGAAGACGCCCGGCATGACTTTAACACCGGCTGCGATATCTTGCAGGAGCTACGACTCAAATGGGTCTCTGCCGATGCAATGGCATCCTTGGCGCATCGAATATCCGCCGCACTCGACCAGCTCCCAAGCCTCGACGTACTGCGAATCAACCGTTCCGATATCGCCGAGAGAGATAACACTCTTACCGACAGGCAAGGGATGACTGGAGATGTAGTTGAGGGAGCGGATTCTCAATCGTCGGCAGATGTGCCAATGGCTAACCGCCCAACTGATTTCCAAGCTACCCAACCTCACCTGGAAACTATGGACTTGTTTTCTGGTATGGATGATGTTTCTTGGATGTATCTGGATGCGGAGAATCCTGTTAGCTTTGATGTTTTCCCTTTAATGAATTTCGAGGCGCCATATACTTCCTGGTAGAGGCTATCCTACCATCTTAGGCCCATGAATAACCATAACTGCCATGCATGATATGACTAGATGACGCCTATACAGGCAGGTTGGCTGTGCTCCTCGATTCAAATCGGATCCATGGGCGTTGTTGACTGTATGTCAAAAAGGTGTGTTATACCGTCGTATCCAGACATAAGATGTGGATTGAAGTAGATTCTTTATTTATTATTGACGAACGGCAGCGGAACACGCATAGGGGTGCTGTAGGGCCGAGTTCCATTTGTGGCTTCAGCGGTCCAGCAATAATGCAGGAACGGGGTTGGACTATCTTGGGTGGCCGTTTCCGCCTTAGACTTCAGCGGTCGATAACCGTCTCTGGCGCGGAGGAGATACCATTTAAGAACACGGTTTCTTTACCCCCGCAACCCCGGATGAGGTGAAACCCCGACCCCAGACAGAACGGAAACTATACCCGGCAATGTCAGTCAGATATATAACTATCCCTGGGGCTCCGGATGCTTCCCGCGTATATTCTACAAATAATTCCCTACGGCTTCGTTTCCATGATGTTCGAAAAAGCTAGAAAAATCTTTAAAAACCATGGGCTGGCCTTGCTTTACTGTGGAGTCTCATCCATTGGCGCACTTGTGTATGGCTACGACAACACTTATTACAATGGCGTACTTGCCATGCAGCAATTCAAAAATGATTACGGGACTGAGATAGACGCCAATGGCGATCGGGCTCTCTCCTCGAGTTTCCAGTCTGTGACTGCATCTTCCATCTACATCGGCGATTTATTAGGAGCGATGCTGGCTGCTCCAGTTAACGATCGATGGGGCCGGAAAGCAACCTTCTGGCTTGCTTCCGTTTGTATCCTGTGCGGAGGGATTGCCCAAGTGGCAGATACTCATTTTGAAGCTGTTATTATTGTCGGACGCATTCTGATGGGGCTTGGCGTCGGCCAGTTTACCGTTACCTCGCTTCTGTATATCGGCGAAGTTGCACCCACCGAAATCCGAGGCCCGGCCCTTAGTTCTTATCAATTCCTACAATCTTGCTCGCAGCTCGTGGCTTCCGGTCTCAGCCAAGGAACGGAAAGCATTAGTAGCTCCCTAGCGTACAAGCTACCGATGGGAGGCCTAATTGTGCTTCCTCTGTTTATGTTCGCGGCTCTTCCCATTATCCCTGAAAGTCCCCTCTGGTATGCAGCAAAGGGAAGGCTCTCTGAAGCCGAATCAGTCCTGCGCCGGCTGAATCGCAGCAATCCCACTTATGACCCGACCACCGATCTAGCAACCTTGGAAAGTCTCCAGCACGCCAATGAAGAGAACGAGAAAGAATCCAACTGGGGCGCCTTGCTCTTCGACCCGATCGAGCGAACCAAGGTCATCTGGTCCGCGGGAGCGATGTACTCGCAACAGATTTGTGGGATCCTCTTCTTCTACGTCTACGGTGTAGTCTTTGTTCAAGCCATCGGAATCGACGAGCCGTTTCTCGTGCAACTGATTCAGAACATCCTCCAGATATGCGCGGTCACCGTATCCATGGCCACAGCTAATCATGTCCCCCGAAGAATAAATCTGCTTGTTACCACCAGCATCATGTTTCTCGCGTTTGTTGTTATCGGAGGTATCGGCGTTCAGGACCCCCTGAGTACCGCCGCACAATGGGTCATCGTGATCCTTTCATTTGTCATCGTGTGCGTGATCAACTACGGGCTCTCAACCGTCGCGTACACCGTGGCCCGCGAGATGGCCGTCGGTCCGAACCAAAATAAGATCATGTCTGTCTCCATTATGACATTTTACTTCACGGCGTGGGTTATCTCTTTTACGGCACCGTATCTCTACTATAATGCCGGGCTGGGTCCAATGGTCGGGTTTGTCTACGCCGGAACCACGCTTACGTCTCTGATTTGGATCTGGATCTGCGTTGCGGAGACTACAGGCCGCTCGAATTGGGAGATTGCACGGTTATTTGAGATGCGCGTGCCAGCTAGGAAGTGGGCTGCATTTCCCATCGGCAATATGGGGGATCTTGATTCTGGTCCTTCGAAGGAGGACCCCAGAGATGTCTCTCATTTGGAAAGCGTTCCATAATCCTCTTTTTCTTTTTTACGAAACCTCTGACACAACTCTTTGGGGAGAAAGGGCGGCCACTGGAATACTGAGTACATTGACCTTTGAAGCATGTTCGACTTAGATTAGAATGTATACAATAAATATATGCATATGGATATCTTCTCCACGGACATAGCTCGTTTTTGAATATATGTCTTTATCTGCAAGTACATTAAAGGCCATAGATCATCTTAGAAATAGGTCAATGTATCTGAAAACCATGACGGCCGACTGTAGCTCTACATACTTGTGGATATTCGGTCACCGTCGGCATCCATCTGAGCATCGTGCACTGGCACGAAGGATATAAATAGTGTGGGGTCGAACATGCTTGTATTGTTTAGCACTCCGAGCCTTCTTGCTATGATTCCTGAGAGCAAGTTGAGATACTAGTACTTCTAATGAGAGAATAAAGTGGGTTCCGTTAATTCGATATGGCTGTTTTCTATTGCTTTGAAATACTGAACCAGGACATACGACCATAGGGTGTGGAGAACAGGGCTTCCCGTCCGCTCAGCCGTACTTAAGCCACACGCCGGGAGGTTAGTAGTTGGGTGGGTGACCACCAGCGAATCCCTCCTGTTGTATGTCATTTCTCCTCTTTTTTGTTTTGGTTTAATCATCTTTACCCAAGCTCTAGGGACTCCTAGAGTATTAGAAATTTTATACTCGGCAGAGTCATACTTTGCATGATTATGCCCACCACATACGGACGACAATATCTATCATTGGGCGCAGGATCAGCACCAGCATTAATACCCTGGGTAGTCTATGCTCCGTATGGATATGTTCGATATCCTACGTATTGCAGCAGCGGCATCCCCGGGTTACCAACGTACTGGGCAATATTGGTGTCACTAAGAAAGGGAAGAAGAAGGGGAAGGTGGTGATATGCTTCGGCTACAATTTGGCAGCGGTGGCCACATCTTGCATAGATTCATGGTCCGAATGGCTATGTTACATACGTCCATACTGTAGTAAAATATTTACAAAGCAGGAAAAATACTGAAACCAACAATAGCGCATCTAAGAAAAAGGCGAAAAGGGGGAAAATAGTAATTATATCCTTCGGTGCACCAGGTATGTGGATTCTCTACTAATTTCAGTCATATGAACAGCTGTACCAGATGTTTCGACCCATGCCCCTCGATTCGCCTTACCAGAGCACTTTCTTGTCGTATCTTTATCCATCTGGAAAACCCTATTTAATGTTTGCCACTGCGCAGAGAGCCTTGCTCAAATCAACTGAAGTTGGCATCGACTTCGGTACAGAAGCCTCCTGATACGTTGGATGAAGAATATATTGATGAAGTGCAAAGGGCCTTCTGACACATAGGCTGCTGCCGAGGAAACCGGTAGCAATTGAATATCTATTGTTCCAGAGATTCAAGTGAAATCGACGACAAGTCAATCTAGAGCATAGTGACCAAGGTGGTCCCCAAGAGCAGGCTTCGGCCCCATAACGAACTGCGAAAACATGGCTCAATACACCTCTTTCTAGAATTACTTTTATAGTGGCGGCTTATAGTAAGCTAGAATCTGTCGGGGATGGTTCTCAGTTTGCGACATCCCTTGTCTAGAAGACGAAAACAATGGGAAAAGCGAGGCTATGCAAAGGCACACTCGTCTATGATGACCCGTCGAAGAACGCGAGCAATCTCCTTATTATCGAAGCGAAAAGACATGATGAATTCAGTCGTGGCCCAGCCGAGCTATTTTCTTATATGGGCGCGTTATATAAGTAAACGTTTGAGGAATGAGCAAATGCATTCCGTCATAAGACAGAAAAGTATCAAGAGCATTTTGCTTTGTTGGTTGGTACGTCCTATATATGGCCAAAGATGACGGTACACTGTACAATTGGTTGAAAGAGGAGGGCTTTGGGGAGGATATTCAGAGCCCTCGAAAGGTAGATCCTGGCGCTATGGACTTTGTATTCTGTAATATAGAAGCTATTAGAGTTCTTCTCCATCGATCAATCCCTTCTGTCAAATGTTAGTTATTACTGTACATCTCCGGAGCTGTGAATTTACAAGTCTTCATGTTACTCGATTTGACACCCTAACAATTCGTGCGATTGATATTACGGTTACTAGATACGATCCATTGCATATACAGGAAGAGCATTAGCTACTATCGGTACACTACAATGCCAGCCTGAGCTATTCTTCCGGTCAAGCCAAGTACTCTGTACAAGAAACGATATCTCTATCAAGATAATATAGATATATTTTAGACCCTGGTGGCTTCATCTGTTGCGAATAGCGAAAGTCAAAGGAGCAATATAGTTGAAACCTTCCTCACAATTAGATCCACCAATGTATTCACTATTGCGGGTCGCCTATGGCACCATCAAATGACGTCTGTTCCACGCAGCATAAAAATCCTCCCAAAACAGAGCGCTAGTACCAAATGTTTTGGCATTGTACATAATGATGGCACCAGTAATGTTATGGGATTCCTCACGAGCGATCCTGTGCCACACTGGGTCTAGATCTTCATACCAAAGAGGCTTGCCCATATTTCGTAATCCCTGGACAACAACATACAAAGCTTCCTCTTCACAGCTAGCCACCCACGCACTAGTCTCGCACGACCTACATGCAACTCGTGGCCAGAAAGATGAGTTACATATGAACCGGAGGAGATCAACGTGCGGGCAGAGGAATAAGTGCTCAGTAGGATGGCCCTGCCAGTTGAGATAATCCACCCGCCAATGGGTAGGTCTGTAGCTGTTCATACGAACATGATATCCTGTTTGTGCTTCCAGTCGCATACTCTCGTTGAAACTGACTGTGATCATAATGTCGACCAATACTCCCGGGATGTTTGGTATTGAGCATTTGTGTACAAGAGATGCCTGTCCGGCCGTGGTCAGCAGCTGGAAGGACTCTCGGATACGCTTGGAGAGGGTGTCTGTAAGTCCTGTATGCAACCACCGTTCTAACCGGATTCGGTCGAAAAAGGTCAACGAGAGGCAAGGACATAGGTCTATAACTCTCGCCGTGTATATGCATTCCAGGGATAGCGGCGGGAAAGATTCGATGCCTGGCCAGAACAACGCGCGTGGCTGCAATTTCAAGCATGCCGCACAGTAAACCCAGTAGTCATCTTGGAGCTGAAGCAAAAGCTGAGTTCTTAGAGCAACTGGTGAGATCTCATCACTCGATCCACACTTGCTTAATGTGAATGTTTTACAGGCCAACAGACCTGGCCAAGCTAGCCTCTCATCCTGCAAGGTGGAGCTGAAAAGGCGGAACAAAGACTTGCAGCTGAGTGCGAGACAAACCTGCGAAGGGAGCGGCAGGAGGGGGAATATTTCGAAGAGGATATCAACTGGGAGACCCAAAAGAGGGGGAGTAATTACGTTTTGCAACTCCTGTTGGGGTAGTAGAAGGACAGGCTTCGACTTGCCTTTGAAGATTCGAATGAAAGACCGTATCCTTCCAGCGAGGAGAGGGGTTATGATAGTAGAAAGCATTGCTGGGTTCAGTGAGAATGAAATATGGAGTCCCTAGAAAAATGGATAAAGAGAACTCTGACAGGCTCGTAATAATGATCGATTTACGGAGTACGTCAACAGCAAGGAACTGGCACTATACCCAGTTTGACTGCGTCACCGTGAAGTCATCCGTGCAGATGCATAGACTCGACTACTTCTGATATCAAGGGATCTGAAAGCATCCATAATGGATATGTAAGGCCTTTACTGAGGTGTGTAGACGAATGATGCAGCCTTTACGCATGAAATTGGTTGGCCTTCCGCTAAAAACATATGATCTATTGAGAACATGACCGCCCGGCTCTCAACCTTTATCAAAGGATTACTAGAAAGAATATAGCAAATAGTATCAAGTAATGAAACTCATTGTTTGGATAATAAACTGACATAGCCACGTAGTAGATACCACGGAAGTACCAGCCACACCTTCCCAATGTCAAGCACGGTATCTACTTCCCTCTCTATCTGCAACATGTTTGTCTACCCATTCCGCTAACAAGGTACTTTTAAGAACGTTCGGGATTATCTTGGTAGGGAGGAGAACTGCGAACTCGTCTTGGCTTCACCCGAAGGCTACTGGTAATCAGCACTACGGAGAAGTGCGAGTCTTTTGCTGATGGACCCTCCCCTGGTTAGTGTCGCCGCACTAACGAGGATCATCGGGCTGTGAGTAACGTTTGTTGTCAGCCCTGCCCCATACTACCGAGCTCGACTTGACCTAACGGCAATCTCCAGGCAGCTAAAGCAACCCTTCGATATCAGAGAACAAGCCATAGAGCGTCCTTTCAAGAGCACTCAACCCGTCCTCAACATCGCGGATTGCTTCATCCCGCGCCCGCAGATCCTTCTCCCGCGCGCCCAAGCGATCGGCCAACATGACCAAGCGGTCTTGCCGGTCGTCTAGGCGGTCTTCTCGGTCGTTCAGCCGCTCTGCCCGCCTTTCCAACCGACCTTCCCACTGGATCATGTCGGCTTCCCTAACTCGGGATTGTGAGTGAAGGCTACGGGCTGTGGTCAGCATATCCCGCACAAGTTCGGGGTTCAGGTCCATCCTCAAGGCGGCCTCTGATTCACGATTGGGCTTGGTCTTATCCTTGGGCCAGAGGACAGGGACCAGGTGCTTGACCCAATCCTTAGCGGGACTGACGCCTCCGAGAACATTGGAGGTTACAAACGCTACCCACCCACGAACGTTAGCCCAATCTACCATAGTAAATAAGGGTTAGTGTTTCTGTGGGTGGGTGGATGTGGCTTTGTGTATGTGTGTGCTTTCAAAGAAAAGTGTTCACTTAGCTCTGGTTAACGTTGGTAGAGAGAAGAGTGGCTTGGAAGCTGAAGTTGGAACATAATAGCACAGACTCAATCTCCTTCAAACAGGAAGGAACGGCCATCACCATAGATCCTTGATACAGCAGGTATGCTGAACTGAGAACTATCTACAAGGCAGGAGCGGGTAGGCTGCAAGCTTAGGTTTATCCTTGAGGGCCTCCTGTATATGGTTTCATGTATATTTTAACAGTAGAATAGAAATCTGACTGCTGTAGTGTATGCCAGTTTTGACCACATTCATCGTAGTGAGCCCCTCTAGAACTATACCCTACTATTCCATCGTCTACGCCGTAGGCCTTCGTAGATGTCAGGGGAGAGTCATCCGCGCGTATAGCCTAGATTGGGAAAAGTATAAACTGACAGGTCTACTAATAATACACATTGAACAGGCTTGGAAATACGCACGAATGTACTCTCAGAGAAGCTGCAATGAAAATTGTTTTGATTTAACCATAAATTATCACGTAGGTGAAAATAAGAATGCTACCGTCCTGGAGCTAGTACAGACAACGCATTGGCCAAAGGGGCTTTTGGTAGCTTGGTGGGTGTGCGGTATTGATTCGGGACGGTGAAACGATCTTCGCAAGAGGTCTGACTAAATCTGTGATCCCCACGCCTGTGCCAACGATATCTTAGCTATACCCAGACCCCTGTATATATCAATGTGCCAGAAATACCTAAATCGGCGGATCTGTTCCGGACATGTAATGTAGCCATACGTAGTCGGGAGTGGTTGAAAGAGGAACGGGTAGAGAACGGTTATTTTAACAGGTAAATAGATATGATGCTGAATGTTAATGTATTGATTATTTGGATTCAATACCATATTCTGCAAAATCACCGGAGACCAGATATATATAGCAGTAAGTATGGAGAGATTTGCCATTCATTACAACTATTTTGTAAGCCTGTGAAAGAGGCTTTTAAGAAATAGCCGCCGAGATTCTTGTATACCGTTCTGCAGTGACGACAAACATTGGATTAAAAACCTAACATCACCGCAATACATAAGGGTGGGACCATGTGACTTATGCATATCACAAGTGGTCTTTAGGTTGAGGCTGAGCATTGCTGGAGCCCTAATTCTTGAGGCTTAGCTATACAACGGTTAGTTATTGGCCAGTGCTCGAATGTAAGCAGAACACCTATAAAATCATCTAATGTCCCGACTTTCTCATTATAATCCTACTTTCAAAACCAAGAGTCACATTATGTCACTCAAAGCACCATTCTCCTTCCTGCACTTGCCATCCGAACTGCGGTTCGAAGTCTACCGGCACTTGTTTGGTATCGCCCCACACACGCGACTCCGAGTCGGCGAGGCATGTCTGGACAGCGACTTGCCACACAACACCGAGACCTCGACGCGTCTCTCCACGGCGTTCGAGGTCTACGTACACACACCCTGGCCCCCAAATGCAAGCGATTATGCACGAATACATACTAAGCACTACTCAACGAAGGAACAATCCCGACACCATATATATCGCCAACACCGACATCTGTTTCTCGCTATTCTGGCCACCTGCAAAACAATATATGAGGAAGCAATGCCATTCTTCTACTCGTCGACATTTTTCGCTATATCAGGAAACATCGCAAAGGCTACCAACTGGTTAGTTGGAATGAGCGCCCAACGAAGAAGGCATATTCGGAGACTCAGTTTTCACTTCAGCAGTAAAGCTTTATCGGAATGTTTCTCGAACCAGAACAACATGCAATTCCTCGCTGAGGAACTGATGTATATGGATCAGGTTGATGTTGTGGAATTGCTGATCACAAATACAAGGCTGGAGGAAGAGTTGTTGGATTTCGCGGAGGCAGAGAGTCTGGGTATCCCGCAGTATGCTGTGTCTCGACGACCATGCGAGCCCTTGGTGCTATTTGGTGTGGAGCAGTTGGAGGCAGTGCCGAGGCTGGGGTGTTTACGGATTGTGGGCCGTATGGATAGGTTATTGCAATACACTGAGGATAAGGAGTATTTAAAGGCCATGGCAGAAGGAAGGAAGCCCGCTGGGCTTGGAAAGGAAAATGGCCATCGACCAGTGGTGGAGCTTGTGCAGCTATAAGGGCTATGCTTGACTCCAACTATTCACGAGTTAGTACAAATTCAAGGGATTGAAGCGCTGGTCGCAAGAATATTATTTCGATCATGAGAATCTGGGCACATTTGGTAAAATACTTCCTCTTTGGAAATTCGCGATAAAGGTAGAATATCTCTCTTGTACACCGTACAAAGAATATAGTCAACTCCCTACTACCTTAGTACTTACTTCGGAGGTTCCTCCACTCAAGGCTCGGGCTCCAGCCAAGGGCTTTCTGTTGAAGCTGCCTAAATAGGCCTAGCGCTCTTAGTCCAGAGCGACCCATTTCTTCTCCCACCTGTGAGTAGATTCAACCATTTCTGAAAGGAATCAACGAGCTTCTCCCCACCAAAGACATTATTCGGGGTTGGTTTAAGACATTATCCTGGAAAATGCGAAACCTTACAATATGTGGTCATTTATTTTGGAGTTCTTGATGAAGACCATGATAATAGTCGGGGAGTCGCCAAGCGCTGTGAGCAAGGATTGTTCCTCAAAGGAAATATTAGCAAGCACAAGGTATTCTCTTTTTGTTACTATTTAGTAGCACTTTCTAATTTATTTCGCTAACCTCATTCACGAGTCATTTTGGTTCGCACCATTAAGGGAAAGCTGACTCAGCTTGAGACTACAAGTACAGAGTACAGGGGTCGCATACTCTAAGTCTAGGTAGCCTTATCACCGGCATTGCCAAGAGAACGAACAGTATTCTCTTCGATATGCTTTCTTGGTTTCTGTCGCCTTTGCCCCATGCGATGGTGCCATTGATTCCACTCAGGGCAAGCGGGGGACTTAACGATAGGGTGACAGTGACGGCCGTGATGATATCCAAGCCCTTGGCATGGGGCCCAAGGCCCGGGATTCTTTGATATAATAGATTTGCCAAGCAGCTTGGCCCGGTGCCGAGCATCCCCTATGACCCGTTTGGTAGGCACCAAGATCAGATGAAAAGAATATTTCGCCTGCTCTCCAATTTTTCATTGCCATACAAAATCCGATTACGCCCGGGCGGGACGGGAGTATATACCCTCCCCAGACATCCCTCTACATGTGCAATCCTCACATTATGCTTATGTGAGCCTCAGGATTGAAACTGCATCTTACACCCTGCCACTCGAACCGTGGCGACCATGGTTCTTGTGCCGTATCTGAAAAAGATTGCGGGATGGCTGGCGCCGCCGCCCCCAAAGTCGGAAGATGGGCGCGATCAATGGCCCTCACGCGCGGCGTTTCTTCTAGCAGCCATGGGCGGTTGTGCAGGACAAGGAAACCTACTACGGTACCCGTCGGTCGTCTATAACAATTATGGCTTGCAGTGGTTCATTCCATACTTGTTGGCCGTGTTTCTTATCGCCATCCCTGCCCTCATTCTCGAAATCTCGATCGGTCAGGCCTACCGTGGAGGCAGCGTGATCGCTTTCAACAATATCAACCGACGGCTGAAGGGCGTGGGATTAGGCCCCATCCTGGTCAGCTTTATCGTCACCCAGTACTTCACTGTCAACCTAGCTTGGATCATGAACTATTTTCGCAATTCATTCTACAGTCCCTTGCCATGGGAGGGACGAATTGAAGAGTTCTATATGGGAGATGTCATTCATAATGTTGACCCTGTGCAGGGGAGCTTGAGCGAAGGAAACAAAGGCGTTGTCGCATTTACCAAATATCTCGGGCTTGGTGTGATCGGAGAGACGGTGGGCTGGAGCGCTTTCATTTGGTTCCTGATCTGGGTATCGATCTTTCGCGGTGTGGGCCTGACGGGGCGCGTAGTCTACTGGACGATGGGTTTGCCAATTGTCACTACGATTATTTTCGTCGGTCGATCGCTGAGTCTAGAGAACGCCAGCGAAGGTGTTCGCCTGCTCTGGGCGACTTGGCGAAGCTCAGAGCTAGCATCCGGGACGGTCTGGCAGACAGCTGTCGGGCAAGTCTTCTTCTCTACGGGGATTGGGTTCGGATATTTCACCTCCTATGCCTCGTACAATGCGAAGCACTCTAACGCGGTGATGGATGCCATTCTCATATGTGGCAGTAACATCTTATTTGAGAACTTTGCGGCGTTCGCCGTGTTCGGTGTGGTGGGCTACCTGCGACGGTGGCCCCAGGAGGGGGAACGGCTGGGTGCCTTCGTGGTCGGCTTTTTGACGTTGCCTGAAGCAGTCCTTCACATGCCCGGGTCAAATTTCTGGGCACTTCTGCTCTTCTTTACTCTTGTGGTGCTCGGGTTTAGTTCGGCGTTTGTGATGCTGGACGCGGTGACAACTCTCGCTGTCGATTCAGGGCTCAAGGTTTCGCGCCCGATAATTGTAACGACATTGACTCTGATCTCCTTCTTACTGTGCCTTCCGTATTGCACCGAGTTTGGATTCTATCTGCTGGACGGTATCGACCGGTGGGTCAACAATATTGCTTTGATATTCGTCGTATGGTCTGAGCTGGTCGGCGCGACCACGGTCTACAGGTGGACCGATGTCGTTGGCCAAACAGGACTACCAGCGTTTGTCGTCTATAATTTTGGCTATTTTGGCGGACAGATTGCCGGTATTGCGGTGGCTCATGGAACCGAAAATCCAGCCGCCGGGGCGGGCGCAGGCTTTGGACTGTATGTTGTCTGTCTTGCTGTCGCGGTCTGTATCGCAACAACTCCACAGGCGGAGGCAGCCAGGTTCTGGAATAGAAGCCCAGTCCTCCGTCGATTCTGGTTTTTAGTGTTCTATTCGGTAAGTTGACCCAAGATATATTCACTATTCCGCGGTCCACACACTAAACGTCCCCCTTGAATATAGGGCAACCAACTACGACGCGACCTCAACCAAATTATCGGCGGTGGGCGAAATTGGAAGATACCTGTCTTCTGGCCAGTGCTACTACGGTATATCAGTGCCCCCGTTCTGGCTATCATCTTCAGTTTTGCCTACCCGGAGTTCCACACTTTGCGGTATGATCCCATGATGATCGCTGGGTTTATCCTTGCTCATCTCTGTCTGTTGGCCATGCTGTTGGGTCTCATCCTACCACGCTATTATGATTGCTTCATTCCACCAAGCCGCCAAGGCGAGAGCACGCAGGGGACTATTCCCAACGAGCCCCGGCCGCAAGATGTCGGGCAACCAGGCATGACTTCCTTTCATGGCACGGAGATTGATGCCATCCCGGCAGGATCTACCCTGGGCGACATACAATCTCTCGAGTTCAAGTCACATACTAACCCTGCAGGGACGAAGTTATGAATATCGCATGATTGCTTCCTTTGTAATTATAGTTTATAGTGGAGTTGCTTCAATTGTATTGTCTGGAGTTTGTTGTTCCCGTGAGTTTATATATACATAATGTAGACTTCGTGTCTATAATGAGCATCCCACCATGAACAGTTTGTATTCTTCGAACATAATTACAGATATAACATAAATTATCTGTGATTATACACCAATTAAAATACTCCTACCTACTTTCTATTCATTTGCTTCAGTCTGCTCTACACTGTCTTATATGGAGGCCTCGGGCATAGGCTTATGTAATAAATCTCGGAGATCCTCGGGAGTTCGGAGATAAGCATCATTTCTCGACGCTCGCCAATTCAAGTCTTTCGCTATCTCGAAAACCAGTGACCGGAAACATAGAATAAATGGACACCCCTTTGCAGCCGACCCGGAAGCGCCGACGGCCCGCGTACTCTTGCACCGAGTGTCGTCGTCGTAAAGTCCGATGCGACCGGGCCCAACCTTGCAACCAGTGCACTAAGCAAGATGTGGCCGTGTTATGTACGTATGAGGAGCATCCCCGTACAGCTCCCAAGCGCCAGGAGACAATGAGACGGCAGAGCACTCCGCAAGAGCCACCCTCCGTTGATGGCTCGCCACACACCTCAACCACCTCGAGAGGGATCCGAGGCACCATATCGAAGACACGGGTGTTTGGCCATGGGCATTGGATGAATACCGTCTCTATGGTAAAAGTCCTTTCACCTGTGTCATCAAAGTGCGTATCGTTCCATTAACAATTCTCCAAGGTTGAAGAACTCTCAGCTCTCCAGCCACTCGGGGAATTCTATGATACAATGTTTCAGACGGAAAATCAGAGCCATCACGATAAGATCGCAGAGAAAGTCCTCGAATGCAAACAGCTCGCCCGCGATGTTAAGAGGAAACGTCCGAGTCGAGGTTGTCTCCCGGCTGATCTCTATCGATCCTTTCCCGACCGGCGCGTGATGGATGAACTGATTGCCATCTACTTTGCTACCTTCGAATGCTGCTACCGAATTCTTCACGCCCCCTGGTTCCGAGAGGATTACAAGAGCTATATACACCATTCAGAATCAGCGAGGGGCCCCTTTCTATTACAGGTTGCTCTTCTCATGGCCCTCGCGGGCACATTGCATGCAGATGTGAATATCCGCAGCCAGATGATGAGTAAAGGCTCCACATGGATCCATATTGCTCAAACATGGCTTTCTGCACCGTTGGAAAAAGATCGCTTGACATTGGAAGGCATTCAAATCCATTGCTTATTGCTTCTTGCCCGTCAGGTAACTCGAATAGGCGCCGATTTAGTTTGGATCTCGGCAGGCTCGCTTGTAAGAATAGCCATGCAGATGGGTTTACATCAAGATCCAGACTGTCTCGAGGAGATGAACATAGAACAGAAGGAGATTCGACGGAGGCTGTGGTCCACCATTCTAGAAATCAATGTGCAGTCGGCACTGGACGCGGGCATGGTACCGATGATTACGCATACAGACTACAATACACAGCCGCCATCTATTGCGATCAACGCAGAGCCACAAGACAATACACAAATGGGCACTTCAGCTGGGATCTCCTTTCAGGCTCTGTTGGCGGAATCATTACCTCTAAGATTGCGTGCGACCAGAGTCATAAATAGTTTACAGGACGAACCCTCATACGACGAGGTTGTAGCCCTTGGAGACGAACTAGCCTTGGTATGTGGCAAGGCTGCCGTTGCTATTGAGCAGGCTGCCTCCGACACCGACGCACATTCTGTAGGGTTTGCTTCCAGCTTCTGCAATCATCTCCTTCGTCGTTTTCTTCTCTGCCTTCATTATCCATATGCGGTTAAGGCCAAGAAGAATCCGATGTACTGCTACTCCCAAAAGGTTTGTCTTTCAGCCGCTCAGGACCTAGTATTACTTCTTGAAGACGATACCTATCACCGCCTTCTCCTTACCGGTGGTGGCATGTTTCGTGACCTCATCACGTGGGGGGCATTGCTTATTTTTCTCGAACTATGCCCGGAACCCGATGCAGACATGTCGATGTTCGCCAGGAAGAGTCACCGCGCTCGCAATCAACCATTACTACAAGATGCTCGTCGTGTGGTGCAGTATGCAAGAGACAGAATGTGGAACGGGGAAACGAATGTTAAAGTCTACGTATGCCTTAGCATGATGATGGCCCAGGTCGAGGCTCGGCTTGACGGCTTGCCTGTAAAAGAGGCTATTTCGAAGGCTCTGCACGGGAGTCTGGGTGTATGCCATAATCTTCTAAAGGCTATGGCTGCTGATTCTTCTATCAACACAACGGATCCGGTTCTGGATTCATGGGCGTCGAGTGGCCTAATGATGCCTTTATTCGCTGATTTGGATACCGACTTTGACTTTTTAGGTGACGGAATCCTTGACATGAGCTTCCTAGACAATTGCTTTGACCCGCAGTAAATGGCCGTTCGACTATAAACAACTATCAGAAGTTCGAAACATTATTGAGAAGTAGTAGCAGTGTCCTATTCACTAATAAACTAATATACAACCGAGGATAGTGCAGTGGTCTCTATCCTATATAGAGTACGAGCGAAAAAGCTTCGTTCTTTTGGTTAGATTCACAACATATTGATAAGCCATAATAATACATCGAGCGGAGAATATTCACAGACTTTTACGGCTAGATACAATCTCAAACAGAGACACAATTTAACATCTGCTTGTAGTCCGGAAGCTTCCAACCCTTCGTATCTTCGCGCAGTAACCATTTAGCGAGAAAGTCGAGCCTCAGCAAGGATGCAACCCAAAAGAGAACATAAACCATCTGAACGCCAAGAGGAGACGATGGGAACTTATCCATGTAACATTCACTGTCCGTTAACCCTTGCTGGACTGTATCGATGAACGGCCTGAGCTTTTCCTCGTACTCGGTCAGAGCAGTCTCGATGCTATCTTTGGGAACTGGCATTTCTCCTTTGAAGCCCTTGCCACAGTGCTTCCCAATTTCTCCAGCGAGGATATAGGCACCGGCCATAGCACAAGTTGTCCCCATGCCCGTCATAGCGGTCGGGCAATACGCTGCATCACCAACCAGCACAATGCGACCCTGAGACCAATAGTCCATCGTCACAACACCCATCCGCTCACAGTAGAAGTCACCGGCATCGACCAGGCCTTTGAGAATCTCATTAGTCTTCCACCCAATCCCACGGAAGGCCTCTGCCAACCCCTTCTTCTCGTCTTCGATATCGCCTTTGCTCGCGTTTTTCAGTCGCTCAGAGGAATTCGGGTCGCAGAGCATATATGCCTGGTACCTATGGGGATCGGCGCGACGAGTCATAATCCCTTTGTTACCTGTAGCAATAAACGCAGTCGCATTGTACCCCTCGCCTGGTTGGATCGACTCCTGGATCGTAAAATACCCAGCATACACCCCGAGCGGATGAACCGGGTCTTTAGCACCAGAACCCAGTATCATCTTCCGAGTATGAGACCCGGATCCATCTGCCCCTACAATAAGATCAAACCGCTCTCTGCTCTCGTCAGAGAAAAGGACGTCAACGTAATCCTCCGTCTGTGCGAGCTCCTTGACACACACCCCGAAGCGATATTCGACACGATCCTTGGTAACATCATACAGAAGTTGACATAAATCTCCCCTCATGATCTCAAAGTCGGTCGTGAAGCTTTGCAGCCCTTTCCCAGAACGGTTTGCAGGGAAGTACCCCCAGCTTTTCCCTTTGTGATCGACTAGCTGGAGACCTTGCTCCGACACGGACCGAGCACGGAAGGCTTCTTCTAGGCCCATTCGTCGCATCACCTGAATGCCTGGTCCGCGGAGGTCTACCTGGAGTCCACTCGCGCGTATCTTTGGGAACCGTTCAATGACGGTGGTCTCATGGCCGAGCTTTGAGAGCCAGAATGCAAGGGCGTTGCCTGCGATGCCTGCGCCGCAGATTAGGACTTTGAGTTGCGGCATGTTGCGTATTGTTTTAGTTGGATGGAGAGAGGAATATAATGTTTGATAATGGTATCGCAAGCTGAACAGAGTGGGAAAAGGCGTCTATTATAAAATGATGTCGGTATTCAAACAGGCTTCGGCCAACGCGATACATGTATACTTGCAACCACCGATATGGCCGATATGGCCGTTACAGCCGACATACCCGAAATTCAATATTCTATGGGTGAAAGCAGTTAGTACTGGTGGCGTGGGCTGGCTTATGCTGTCACATAGCGTTCCTTCAGGTCCTCTGAGAGGTGGAAATGCATAAGATGTCTGTCTAACCACTCAGCATAGAAACAGAGCGGCTCGCGTGTCGATGGTTGCACGGTTCTTCTTTCTGAAGAGTTGGACACAACTACCAAAACACTGATCTCAAGATGAGGACAAAGATTGTATATTCCTGAGTACGGCTGACCGAGGATGGGTACAATGGTATCTCAGCCACTGGCCTGACTTTTGCTAGCCATGTACGAGGGGCATCGCGGCCAGGTCACATATATAGACCTCCTCGTCCGACACATGAGCCAGTCTTTGAAGCCGTAGGTTGTCCACTCCAAACCTGACCCAGAGAATCTTTATTCTCCATTGCGAAAGGTTCCGGGTTTCAATTTATTGACACACTATGTCTCCTACCAAGAATCCCTATACCCGACCAACCGACGCGCCAATTCATCAGGTCGTTATAAGGCCGATATTCGACGCACTCGAGCCGCCACAGAAGCCCTACACACACTATATTGCAAAGGCAGCCTGGCATGGAAGCCGAATGATCATGCGACAGGTCTCACCAGAAAGTAGAGACATTTTCGAATTCATCATGGATCTCTACCATGTCAACGGGACGTCTTGATAACGCGATGGGGGATCACATCTGAAGAGCTCGCATCGTTTTAGCAGTATCCAGCCATGTTTCTCTGTAACTTAGGCAACTACTATATACGTTTATTCTGAGCTAGTTTTAGTTTCAGGCCTGACGGGTAATCGGGCCAAGGTGGTACGAAGTTCGTGCCTAATTTGACTATCGAGACCTTGCGAAAGATCGCCAGTATTCGCCCATCGATAAATTCTAGGCTTGAGAAAGTCATCGGTCCGATGATGGCTGCCCCGCCGTTCAGCCTTGGGTATCCTGGTAAGCACGCACAGTCGGGATAGTATCCTAGCGGGGAACTTATCTCTCTCAATGGGATGGCGAAGGTATCGGGGACAATGAATGGATATTGCATTGGGCTTGAGGACACCTGAGTTCGGGAGCTAATTGAGGACAACAAGCCTGTCTACCGGATATTGCAAGCTTCTGCCGACTTTGAAGCTTTTCCGAGCAGTGAGCACAAACTCGTAGATGACATATTTTGTATCAGGGGTGACCACCCCAAAGAATTGTTGGGGGTATGCTCTAATTTCATACATGCAAAGGCATACGTGATCACGACTGAGCAAATCCAGACCTCGGAACATTATATTCAGCACTTTCGCACTGGCAACTTAAAAGCTTACTAGGAGTCGCAGAAGGCATGGGTCTCTGGTGGGTCTGCAGGGGTGGAGCACTTGATCTGGTTCATAGAGCCCTACCGTGATCCAGCTGGAATTTGGTCGGAGTGAGAAGCCATGGTAGGAATCGTCGACCCTAATGAGGCGGCCAGGTTGAAGCGCTTTGTCCAAAGTTCAACTGCTATCATTCGGCAACTCCCATGGGCAGTCGAGGGCGTAGATGATGGGAAAGGACACTTCGAGAAGAGTCTATTCCAAGCTCCTGACTTCACCGTTCTTCACGAATAGCTACTCCTCGACCCTACTGTAATCATGGTAATATGCTAAGTCTTTCAGCGCTCGATGTGTGTGGTGGCATTGTCTTCAAAGCTACCATCCCCCCCAACGCAAGATTCGAAAGTGGATATTCGCAATGGAAAGATATTGACAAGTCATCTAGCGTGAATGGATCCGAGAAACCTGCGGATTCAAGAACATCATCCTCGCCAATCACCTCGATGCCAACCATAACCCTAATCTACTATGTCCCTGAGTCCATCACTTCAAGGCAACTGCACACATCGTCAGATCCATCACTCCAGCCATGGCCGAGTTATTTGATCATGGGATTCTTCAGTCGTGGGCTGATAGAGGGATTTAAGGCTTCAAATGAATAGAAAAGCTACCTTACATTCTCATTGTGATCCAAATAAGCTGATATCGGCAATCAAGGTATGGAGACGAACACTAATGGAACCCACCCTCAACAGGAATAATCTGCCCATTAATGTACGAAGCATCATCGCTGAGCAAGAAGGCGACCGTATTCGCAATCTCCTCCGGCCTAGCCAGTCTCCTCAGCGGCACATTCTTGACGTAATGATCGACAAAGCCCGGAGGCACACGCTCAAGCAAGGGGGTATCCGTTCCCCCAGGCGCAACACAATTGACCCTGACCCCTTTGTCGCCGAAATCTTTTGCCCATGTCCTCGTGAGCCCCAGAACAGCATGCTTGCTTGCACAATAGGATGCAATTCCCGGGCCTCCAAACAAAGACGCCGTAGATCCGATATTCACCAAACTTCCAATTCCCTCCGGAACGGACCCTTCTTCTCTATTGCGCATGGTTTCTGGATGTCGTTCCAACACGTACCGCAAGTAAGCTGTCCCTACATTCCATGTCCCGCCGACGTTGACTGCCATCACTTTGTTGAAGTTCTCCACCGGCTCGAGGATGTTGGTGGGGAGGATAATGCCTGCGCAGTTGACCAACCCGTTGATCACGGGAGAGACTTTTATGATGGATTCGAACGTCTGCGTTACTTTCTCGTTCGAGCTCACGTCGATGTTGGGGTGGAAGTGAAGTCGGTCGGGATTGGCAGAGGAGATGGTTGGCATCTCTGCGGCTTTGTCAATGGCGTGGACTGTGGCAGATACGCCGAGGAGCTTTTTCACAACAGCCAAGCCCATCCCTGATGACCCGCCGGTCACTATATAAGCCCTGCCGGCATGCATGTTGCTGGTTTTGTGTTCCTGGATGGGATCTCGGGGGGTAATAGTATATGAACTCCGTAGCAATGAAGTAATATAAGTAAGCACCTGTTTGAGTTTACCAGCGGGGAAACCGCAAAGTTTCCTTATAAGCTTATTTTCATGAAATGCTTGTCAGTTGAACGATGGCTCTCACATAAAAATATCAGGTTGGGAACAACGATGGATTTATGCGGTGTGATAGTAAGGCTCCTTGCAGTATTTAGCGTGTCTTCTGTCCTTGGCACATTCTTTTGATTCTTTGAGAAATGGCAATTTTTTAACAGTATAACTCAGCTCATCTTCATATATCACTTGCAAATTGAAAATGCTGGAAACTCCTATGGCAACCATATTATTTCCAAGTTTACAATGGATCTTTTTAAGCTGATTTCGATTCATTAAAAATTAAGCAACTTCTAGTTTAGATGGTATTAATTTTAGAACTTCGTCTTCTAATATTCTAAATAGTAACCCGAATGGCTACTATATACATACCGCCTTCCGTCATGATATATATATCACGAGTCCAGAAGAGCACAGAGATGTCAACTTGAAGTATGACGTGGGGGCCAGTCAAAACAACGCTTGCCGCAATTGGCTCTAGTCCCTGCATGATGAATATCATGTGACGTGGTCTCTGTCGGGGCTGGAAGTTCCAACAGCCGGACAACCTCATCCCAGTGTTATCCGTATGTATTATTAACACCTGGAAGTCTGTTCGGTTCCTTAACAGGTTAATGTATCCTTCCATCGGGTCAGCTCTATCAGCTGTCGCTTGATATGATACTTTCTTTTCAGTATAACCCCTCATGGATGAGTTTCCTCCTCCAAACTCTGTGCTCGCGTGTCGAATCGCACGCTAGTCACGTGGTATAGCCCTCTAGAGCGAGAGTCAACGAGCTTATATAAATTGAGAATTGTCTAGCTCCAGGTGATGCCGGCTCAAGAAGCGGTCTAGTAAAGCAGCACTTATTCTCATATAGAGCCGCGGCAACTCAAAATGGTTCGCGAGGATAAAATATCTTCTCGTTTCAATTCGGACGAATTCAATAGGCCAGGCCAGACCTCGCCAGATGTCTCAAACATTTCTGGTGAACAAACAGGAGCTTTAACAACATATGTAACAGAACAGGGTATGTTGTACTTCGACCCCTCAAGACAGCAGCTTTCGTCTTTAGAGCAATTTACGTTGGATGCAGGTACACAAATAAGCCACAACGTTTCCACTGACCCTGTGAGCCTTTATAACCCCCCAGGGGGTTCCGGCCTCCCCGGCTCCGAGTCGGTATCAACTTTCTTGGACTCTTTCGACAACATGGGTCCTTATTCATCCGGTAACCAATGCCTTCAAGACGACTTCGATGATAAATCGAACGATAAGGAGCTACCCTCCACGTTTATGGGCGACCTGGTACAATATGAATCCATAGGTCCACTAGAGCTAGATGATATCGAGAATTCCAGATTTGAGTGTGATTCATTCCCGTCATGGAAGGATATTGCCACAAGTCCCCCGCTTACACCTATAAACGACTCGAAGCCCTTGGTAAGGCGACTGTACCATTCTATGACGCCTCCATCCATAGGCACTGCTGAGCTACATGCACTATTCGACGAGGGCACTGATGAGTTACCTGGACTATTTGACGAAGATATTGTTCTGCTATTCCCAGAAGACTTCGGCCAAGAGGATTACGAAGCTTTGTTTTCCCAGACGTTTACCGCACAATTAGACCAAAATGCGATACCCCCATCCAGATCCACTCCACTTGATGGATCGCCGCCACCTCGCTCACCTGATGATCGAGATCAATTGCCTTCTGTTCAAATGGCCCTGCATGGAGCCCTTAGACTGGAAGTGTCTACGATTGCTTCTGATGGCCCATCCAGAACTGCTAATCCACCGCCACCCATAAATTCGAGTTCAGGAAAGGACGGCGTACACTCTCCTGCTGCAATCGGTGATTTTGAATATCGGTCGAGCGTCGGAGTATGTCAACAGTTGGAGGCTGATGCTACCCCATTCCACGGACGTGAAACCGGGGCTAAATTGGACGAGGTTGCACCGCCCAGTACCACAGACCCTTCTATGGAACATGGCTACATTACAAGCTTAAATTCCTATGACAGAAGCGGGTTCAAGAAAGAGGCCTACGTGTTAGCATTTGCAGAAGAGCTTTTCTCGTCTATGCACTCCTATAACCTAGATGCAGGGGTCCTCGAGCATATGTACCAAGCTCTTCCGGGCTTTCTGGAGGTGTTTGCTCTGAGTTTTGCCCACAACCGCCAAACGCATGTTCATCGAGAGATAATGGCTTTCGTTTACCAACATAGATGGTTAGTCAGCTAAGATAGGGCGGAAAGGACAGGTTCTAATTGGACCGCTTCAACAGTGATATCGCCGTAGCATTACGGGAGAAACTCTCTGAAGGCCTGCTCGCCCAGCGTCCGTCCCGCCATGATGATGGAATGCCCCTACCCGAGCTCATTGATTGGTGGAAATCTACAAAAGATGAAGGAAATGATGATGTGTTGGATGTAATTCTAACGGATAGTTCATCTGAAGCAGTGATCAAAGAGAGTGACGATGTCACCGCTCTAACCACTTCCGCCCAGGAACCGCAATGTGCATCCGATATTGATTCCAACGCGGAAAGTGAAAATCGAGACCAATGTGCAGATGAAGCAGCAAACATATTTCCCGAGATTCTACCTTATATATCGTTGATTTGTGAATCGGGCGCATATTCTGACCTAGTGGCAAATATTCAAAAAGCATGTTTCCTCTCTTCGCCGCAGCCCAACACCATAAAGGGAGTCCGCGATGTGGTTCTCGAAGTCTTACATGTCACAAGTTTCATAAGTAGAAGGACGATACCCGAGAGCTATTCCATGGTATATACCATGAGTTGGGATTTACCTGCCTTTGTAAGCGAACAGGAATACCATTCCGCCGCTCATATTGCAATGGAAGGCTCTATTACACTAACTGGCTCTGAAAATGAGCTACAAGCGCTGGCATGTGGTGAATACATAGTCCAAACTTGGCCGTCGATGGGACCATCTGTCTTAGTATTAGTTAAAGAGGCAGCTAGGTGGCCGAGACAGAAGCATGAAGGTATGAGAAGTGCCATATTGGCCTTTTCGCAGTACTAACTCCGCCAATTAGTTGTCCTACCAGATGGCTCCATAATAAGGGCTTTCCCATGTAACACTTACGACACATATGAAGTTATGGTCAGTGGCCCGTCATACACCATCGCTGAAGTTGGTGAAATGCTAGCTTGGCTGGGATCTACCTTTCGCACATCCCCTTGCTCTGAAGGGGTTATCTATCGACAGCCATTTGCTTTGAAATCTGAGAGTCCTTCCTCGTACCCCGGTGCATTTGGATGCCGTCTAGACTACGTGGAGCGCAAAGGCGATGCGTCGGCTAGCAAGAACGGGAATTGCTGGCACGACCTTTTCAGGAATCCGGTGGTGGTGGAGGGTTATCCTATTAAACGCAGGCGGGCTACCGCACTAGGAGTTGAAATTCCCCTACGGATGATCGCCGAACTGATGCAAACTAAACGTATGAACCCCTTTGCTGGGAATATTGTCCTCAAAGGATATTCAACGATTTTGGTCCCAACTGCTTACGAAGACGGCATAATCTCTTGGCATTTACTATGCAACAGGACGGGGGATCGTATCTCATACCTCAGTGGAATGGCCATCCCTCAGGTAGGGATAAGTATCACGCAGTTGGAGAGGTCTCGTCATGTTATAGGATGGTGCAGAGATATGAAGTTCCATGCAGGTATAGTTGTACAACTCTAGTTTATTGGCTGTGGCTAAACCGAATAGGTGGACCAGATGCGTGCTATGACGTGAAAGGGTCCAGGCTTCCGAGGACACAGGAAAGAAACCTACTTGCTAATGTTTCCATCTCAATGGGGCAGCTACTTATAGGGGACTCGAGTTTCATCCTTGGGAGAAAGGATACCCCAGTACACATCTCCCGTAATGGCTACATACGGAAACTAAAATGGATTTCGAAGAAATACGTGCTCCTGTGGGACGAAGCAGATAAACGCGGCTGGGTAGTTAACGGCACGAGTGCTTTATTGCATCTTGTTTATGCAACCCTAGAACAAGACAAAAGGGATGGCTTTCAGGGCGTCTCTTTGTTTGAGATGAACAAAGTTCAATGGGCGAAGCAGCCATATCAAGCTAAGTCGGCCCTCCAGGTACTCCTCAATCAGAGCAATCTACAATTGAGGGTCTATCCCGAAAAGGACGGTTACACGAGGTTGCAAGATCATGTAGAAAGCCTTTTCGACACATTAGAAAAGATTATTGACCATCAACATGGTATTATGGGAGAACCTCCAGGCCTGGACATATCGAGGGCAAGTCTAGAGGGATGGGACTTTAATGACCTGATTTCTGAACGAGATCCAATATATCCACGAGTGTCGGTAATGGACACCAACGGGAAGTCGTGGATAGACTTTACGCGATCAATCCATGCCATTACTCTCTTCGGACGCGGCTTTCAGGACATCATTCAACCTATGAATGTCTGTCCCTGTTGGGCAACAGTCCCTAAAGACATGTCATATATAGCTGTTTGCCAGGACGATTTGGAGGATATTATGGAAGCTGCGGGGGATCCATCTTCAAAGCCAGTGAGACTTACCGACAGACTCATATGGCATACCCCCGAAGTTCCCTCTGGGACATGCCATTGCCCAGGTTCGGATGGAACTACCCACCTAGACCTCGCACAAGTCATCCTACCATCTAGCATGTGCCAGGAGCTATCCTCACAATGTACCAGGCCGTACAGAGAGGGAAAGGGCGCTTTCATCTTTGGTTTCAATTCAACTTACAGGTGGTTTTGGGGAGACACTGGTGACCCCTCACGGGAGGCAGCAGACGTGGATTTCCCTCAAATAGAAAGGCTATTCAAATTTCCCTCCCAAGATAGTGGAATAGGTTCAAGCCTATCATCAACTACATTCCGAGAGAGTGAAAGCACAGTCGACTCAAGCATTCATCAATCTCCTAATGTCGAACCGTTTGTTAGCTCAACACCCTTTGTCAACTCGATGGACAACAACCAGACGTCTCGAAAGAGGCCATGCCAAAGGTCAATATTACCTCACATTTCCTCTAAGAGGTACACCGTGGGCATTGTATGTGCACTACATACAGAGCTATTGGCGGTCCGTGCTTTGTTTGACTCCACTCACCAGCCGATATCTATCCCTGATGACGATCCTAATTACTACGCACTCGGCTGTATCAGTAATCATAATGTGGTTGCCACTTGCCTGCCGGATGGTGAGTACGGCACCAACCCCGCTGCAAATGTTGCATCCAATATGAGGCGAAGCTTCCCTAATACGAAGTTCTGCCTGCTGGTTGGGATTGGTGGTGGCGTTCCCTCGTCAAAACATGATATCCGGCTTGGCGATATTGTGGTAAGCACACCGTCTGGAGCAAACACAGGCATTATACCATATGACCTAAAGAAGGCGTTAAAATGTGGGACATCCGTGTTGAATGGCTACCTTCACCCGCCACCACAGCACCTACGATGTGCGCTCAGTGAAATCAAATCAGACCCTTCGCTATCTAGAGCACCCCCACTGCAGGGATATCTACAACAGATTCAAGAGTGTACCAAAGACTATCATCACCCGGGCCACGAAAATGATAGGCTTTACGCGCCAGGCTACATTCACGCACACGCCACAAAAGCCTGTGATTCTTGTGATTCTCAGCAACAACTACCGCGGACGCCGCGGGTATCCCTTGATCCTGTGATCCACTACGGCACAATAGCTTCCGGTAACCAGGTGATCAAGGACGCAGCGCAAAGGGACAAGCTGGCCAAACAGTATGACATCCTTTGCTTCGAAATGGAAGCAGCCGGCATAGTCAACACGTTTCCTTCATTGGTAATCCGTGGGATATGTGATTATGCTGACTCCCATAAGAACAAAATGTGGCAGAAATATGCCGCTGCTACTGCTGCATCATTCGCTAAGTTTCTTTTGTCTCGTGTGAGAACCCCTCAGGATTCCGATATAAATTCTTGATGGAAGTCTTTCTGCAATGGAAGATAATGCGAACTATTTTGGTTCTTCAGCACTATCGATTAAATCGATATCGAACTCCAAATATTCACTGCATCATTCCGCTATCGATCCAAATTCAGTGGATCACCTCCATGTTCGGAATCGCAGCGCGAATGCGTTCTTCTCCACATTAAGTTACCCAATGCTAGCTCATATACCGAGGGTGCCTCGCTGAGCTTAGCAGCAGTCGCCTTTCTGTGGTTATTCCGCTCCATCACGCACGTTTCGCTGCCTATCAGTTATATACCTGCCTTGGTTCGAACGTTGGTACAATCATCACGGCAGCTGTTGCGACCATATCTTGCATGGTGCCCTCTGTGTTTCTGGGATTCGGTGGACGACCCAGAACCAACCGATTTGCGAACCTGAGTGATCAGGCTCATGGCCAGCAAATGCCTGGCTGAATCTAAAATGAAGCAGAGCCTATGCTTCCAGGCTAGGGATCAAGTTCCAACTCGGTATAACTTGGGGGTAGTTTCCAATATCTGCGTGTATATCTAAGCGAAATACGTACTCTAATAGGTATCTTTGAAATGTTATACAGGATATACTGAAAACATGAGCATCTTAAAAATTACGAAGTTCATTAATTTTTAGACTATTTCTCGAAAAGTTCTTTCCAACATCAAGCCACAGATCGATCTATCGAACTTTATGCTCTGGATTAAGTGTGCTGGGCTAACTCTACCCCAGAATGAGCCCGTGTATATAAGGATCTGGGCCGCCATTGTCGGATCTGCTATTCCTTAACATACTATTTCTCTCCTCTTTTACCGGCCTTTTAACAACATTCCTGACATCACTCCCACAGATATCTTTCTCCCTTGGGAATCACTTTGATCTTCTTAGTTGACATCGTCCGACAATATCCAAACATGAGAATCCAAATACGGTTGTCGCTTGCCGCTGTGGGTCTTGCCTTCGCTGAACCGATTCAACACCAACGACGTTGCGACGTGGAAAGTCTCAGCACGTGTATAAAAGAAGAAGTCGTCGGTGAAACTCAGGACCTTCAAGACGATGTTAACGGTATGAAAGACGATGCACTAAAAGCCCCTGGCTTCTGTGTTGATCAAACTATCCAAGCAATCACTGGTGCAGACCATGAAAAACCGAGCGATGACGATTGGGCTGGCTTTGAGCATCGATGCGTAAGTGAAAGGAGTGGTGTAGACTTGGAAGACCTGTCCGCTAATCTGTTTATTTACAGCCCCAAAGGCTTCTAGAGTTCTTACAAGGCGCTGCTTTGAGGGAGACTCTACCGATGACGTTACAAGAACTTCCCTCCAAACTCCGAACAGCTTTGGAAAAATGTGTGGCGGTGGGGAGCAACTGACAGTATTCGGGTTTGAATCTTCTGCTTACATGTATCACCATATTCAATATTCCCTTTATTTTCTATCTGGTCGTCCACTCATCCACGTACCCGAAAAATCTACTTTTCTTTGAAGTTCATCCTTAATATGTAGGGCATGGATCAGGATATGCCTTCTGCTGGGGTACTAATAGAACTTGGTAGGAAATGTACAAGTTGTTTTTCGTACGATATAAAATGTTTGATTTTTATATTCACAAAGGTTTGGCCTGGTGTGTAGTACAAGACTCACAGACCAGTTAGTACAGTAAAATACTCATATATGCAGATAAATAGACTGACTAGGTACAACGAGGAGGCTACCATACTACCACACTACCCCCATGGCCGCCCCCCCTCCGCACAAGCTTGCCCAACAGCAACAACAGCAGGATGTTGAGTAACGTGGGGTTTCCAACCCTACGTTTTATACCAATCTCCACTCCCGACGGGGGATGTTCTAGGGTCCGTTCTCCGTTCCGACGGGGAAGTGGTCACCCCCACCCCGGAACCATATTACTCTTTGGCATGATATGCTGATGGTGGCCGCCACATTTTATGTACACGATATCGTCGTAGTGGATGCTAGAGCTGTTGCCCGGCAAAGCTTGAGCGGGGCCGAGACGGACAAATCTGCCCCGTTGATGGGGCCGATGGGGCCGATGGGGCCGATGGGGCCGATGGGGCCGATGGGGGAAGGACAAACAAGTATAGACGAACAGCTTGCATCGCGGAGAGCGACTTTATTTAAACTAGAAGCGGCGCCCCTTGACCCGTCGCAGTTCTGTTTGTTAGATTCATGCCACATACTGTGACCCCTGCAATCCACAGGAATCATGGCCCTCGTAAAGCAACTGGTTGCGCTGCGCCGAAAGGCTGGTCTGACGAAAGAGGAATACTGTGATTATCATTATCAAAAGCACGGTGCTGTAAGTACTGCGCCAACTGCCGCCGAAACCCCTAGGTAGACAAATCTGCTCCTTTCTCTGTGATTTTATCGCTGAATATAGACTAGCAAATACTTCCAAACGCATTTCATTGATGCAGCATATCATGCGGACCCAACGCAGAAGGCTCCCAATGCCCACCCACCGTGGGCATTCAGTGATGGTGTGACGGAGCTGTATTTCGACTCACCAGAGCACCTCAAGCACGTCTTCAAGTCGGAGTGGGTAGCCCAGAAAGTGGGACCCGATGGCGCCAACTTTTCAGACTTCAGCGCAGTTCTTCCGATGTTTGTGAGAGAGGACACGGTTCCCTTACCCATTGCCGGTGCCTCTGCCTCCCAGACACACCAGCTGGGAGAGAATGCCTTCGTCGCCATGTATTTTGTTGCACTGTCCAATGTGGAGATAGCGTCAGAAACAGTAATCTCGGAGCTGGTATCGTGTGTAGATGACCATGCATCACAAGAAGTGCTAGCAATGCTTGTTAACACACCTGATGATACTGATTTTAATTTGGGTGCTTACTTTGGAGGGGAGCCTCCGGTGCACTTTCATTTTATTTTCACGATTACATTGCGGGGTAAACAATCGATCATTGCTATCCGCAAAGCCCAGAAAGACTTTGAAGAAAGGGTCCAGTCTCTCGATCTGCCCGCTACATGGATTGGCTTTGGAGAGCGCGCCGTGGTGCTAGACCAGACCGAGAATATCACAGTAAGCCGGACCCTCTTCCTCTCTGATCCCACAGGACTACAACTAATCACTTAAGTTGCAGTTTGATCCAAGACGCCAACCTTTCAAGAGCTCTACATAAGCCTTGCCTTATCAAGGATTTGGCTCGCACTTCTATTACATCCATATAGGATACTTCAAGAGACTCATTGAATTATTACCAATCATGTTCCTTGCGACATTGACTGATTCATCTATACGTTAAACCAGCGCCATCCTCTTGATATCTCTCTATTATTTTTAGTTTAGTTTTGTATTTAGTTATTTTTATTTTGATTTATTCTTTTCCGGTTCTTACTCAAATGCCATACTGTGGTTTCAGGGTTGACGTTGGATAGCCTATCATGTAGTCGTGATAAAAGGTGACTAAGATAATATGTCGCACGGGGTTCCAGCCGGTAGCCCTCATAGTCATGGTTGGTACGGAGTAGGGCACTGATATTTCTCAAAGGTGCTATATGTTGTGTTGAAATTATCACATTAAAGGGGTTGGCCTAAGGCAGCCTGTAGGGATTGGGTGGCATCCCATTAACATGCTTCCTCTCAGCCATCACTTACTATAATATGAATTCGTGCTATTCCTATATATCTGGATGGATAGCCAAATAAATCCAACGAAAAGTACATGATTCTTCGTCACATGTCAATCAGACTGATCCAAATCATCTTCACCATATCTCTCGACCTTGAAATACCAAAATTATGTCCTATATGTTCGCTCATACCATACGTGACTTAGTCATCAGATAAAGCCTTCAGCTTCTCCTGCAAGGCAATATTGGCTTTACCGTTATCCTTCGATATCTCGATACCAACAAGTGTAGTAGCAGCTGTCCATACAGCGTAGCTAAAGAATATCACAACTGTGGATATCTTCGTCACAACGCAAAGGGAGCCGTCACATTCAGATGCCCCTGCTAGGAACTTTGCGAGGCAGATGAACGCCACCAAGGATACGAAAGATACAAGCCAATAGATGGCAAATATGAATGGCTTGCTGAGGCCTAGGCGGTTTTTAGCACAGTCCTAGTGAGCGAGGATGTCGAGCGTACCTTGTGAAGGGGAAAGCGATATGTAAGCCATATAAGTGACGGCTACGAGTGAGAGGCACGAGGAAGACATCGCAACGGATACCTCCCACGGGACATGGTCAAATGCGGTAAAGTAGGAATGGGCGGCTTTTAGGAAATGGTTAGGTTAGCTATGTTCAATCATGAACCTTCGAGCATAGCCTTCACTTACCGGCGCACAAGAGTGCGAATGTAGCAACAGCGTATATCGCTTGCGAGACTCTCAAGGAGAAGAATACACCAGGCGGGGCCATTGTCGGAGAGGAACCGGAGCTATAATCGATAATAGCTATAGGAAATATGAAAGACACATTCAGACCTTGCCATACTGGAAAGGGGAGCATTAACCGTCATATATAAGACGGGACGATGGTGGCAAAGCTGGACTGAACGTTGTGGGCCCTCGCAATCCTTCTTACCCACCTAGTGACAAAACAGTCAAGCTTTTTAGTCTCGCGTCTATATAAAGCTTACCTAGGCTGTGTGGAGATCATCTAAGCTATAATTGTATTAGCTTAGGTTGCAGCTATATTGCATTTAGGGTCTAAGTACGGAGGAAGTTTCCTGGAGTTTATTCGGTGAAACACCATTCCTTCGAGCTCTGCAACTCGCCATAATTTTTATCACTGGAAGCATGTCATTCAATGACATAATTATTAGTCCGTGCCGATTTCCGGATCCTTCCCACTTCTACCGTGTTCGCTAGCTCTCGTTTGACGTCTGATCTGCTGGCCAAGAAGCTCTTGGACTGTCGGGCGTACTTGGCTCGACATCAGTTCATCCCTTCTCCACCATTTGACAGCTTGGCGACGATCACTCTATTGGCCTTAGGGATATGTCACTCCTTTTTTGGAAGTCGGTGTTTGCGTGTCCATAAACGTATGAGGCCTCTTACCTCCCTGTGCCCCGAAACTTGTCTCATATTCGGCTTCGGGATTAATCGTCTTTCTCCCACCAGTTATATCAAGGCAAAGTCCACCGGCTAATACAAATGTCTCATCCTCTAAGCAAAGAGCAATGTTAAATGGTCATTCTGGATTGCCACGTGCGTGCTCCTGAGCTAGGAAATATTCTCACTGGACCCACATACACAGATCAACGGCTGTACATTGCCACTATTGGAGCCCGGTGTTTGAAGAAACATTCGAATTACCCGGTTGTCTCACATTCCTCCACAGCGGTCCGTAGCGTAACATAAAGCAACGAATTCGGTGTTCTCCCCGTCTTGGCTCAACGGTTAGCCCACCGGCGATGTTCGATACTTATACATAGGGAACACTGCATTGCTAGGGGATCATTTCGTAGCTGCAGTAAACTGAAATTCTCATATCAGTTCCGCTCCTCCATTGACCTGCATACTCGCTGACTATACCCGGTGCTAATATGGTCATATGACAATGCAATTCAAGAGACATGGACATTCCCCTCAGCATTGTGAGTGTGGCTAAGCTTTACCCAAAAACTAAGCTTCACTAAGAGTCTTAGCTTCTGCATGATGATCATTGATGCAATTATAAATGTTATAGTTAAATTGCCACCTGCACGAGTATCCGTATATGGTTAGAGGCTGTAGGAAACGGCTCGTAGTATAATCAGTGGATACAGCCAGTCCACAAGGCTACTCGAATCGGGGCAATGCTTGAACGTGGCTTTCTACGACTGCCTATTCATTCGTATCTGCTGGGTTTACTGAATGAAACCAGAGTTTCGGCTATGGATAGAAAATAGTCCTTTTTATTTCTCCAGAATGTTGTGTTCGGTTGAAGGGAATAGCGTATCATTGAATGTTTAGTCACATCTGCCTTCCGTGGCCGTTCGAGATTCGTAAAGCGCCTGATGTGTGTTATCTTTGTTAGAGTCATATATGTAATCAGTTAATCTCCGCTCCTCTATCAAGTCTAACGTTTCGATATGCATCATGTAGATAATTCTCAACAACGATTGTCTTGGCGTATCGACTATATGGATGAAGGTCATTTGAAGTCTGTCATATCGAGGAAATTTAACGCTGTCTTTAGATATTTTGTTTGTCTTAGTCTCCTGCTGTATCTGTCTTGCACTCAGGAGACGCTTCTAACCCGTTATTAGACATGATAGACTGTATTCAGCCAGGATCGACTGCGCCCTTTGCCTAAAGGAAGCATAGTGTGAGGCCTGCCACATGGGGTTATTCAAGCGTCTGGGTCTAGGGGTGTCCGGCGTGGACGGGCTAATAATGATACTCAAGTTGTCGACGGATGGAAACTCTACTGTACAAGTATACTAATCCGTCGTATGAGCCAGTCAAACTCTACCCCCACTCCATTTTTAACGTTACTGTAGTACTACAACTCTGACCTGCTATAGCAGTGTGAGCATACCAGAAAATCAACATATTCCCCCACGATGGTAGTCAACAGTGGCTGTCCTTCTAGGCTTTTGTCTAGGTGACTGAAAGCCATCTTTGGATATTCAGTCGTAAAATGCCCTCCCTCTGCTCAATCCTCTAGACGACAGAATAATGCATCCCACTAGCGGCCCTTCGTTCTATCTAAGACATCTTCGGGATAACGAGAAGCGCATTAATGCTGCCGAAAGCGTGCGCGATTTAGTATCCTGAGATATTCCCAGCTCCACAAGGTGAGGGAATCATCTCCGAGGTATTACGGAGAAACGAAAGGCCCTGATAGCAAATATTAGGGGAACGTTATGGACACGAAAAGGTATATAAAGGCCTGTTTACTCTCCCCTCTGCTGAAGAAAGTCAACCAGCACAGTTCCTCCGCTTCCAGACAATCCTTATCACTTGCAAGCTCCAGCTTCCTCATCAACCCCATCGAACTTTCAAGATGCAGTTCAAGCTTTTCGTTGCCCCTCTCCTTGTTGCCCTGGCCATGGCTGCCCCTTCGTTCGAGGACGGTCATCTCGCCAAGCGTACCTGCGGCACCCTTACCGGCGAGAAGCTGAAGATCTGCCAGGAAGCTTGCAAGGCCATCTGTGTACGTTGATAGTAGACAAAATCGATGGCCATTTAACCAACCGCTGACTGTGTAACAGAAGGCTGGAACTGCGGGCATTGCCTCGGGCCTTTGCGAGAAGGCCTGTGACCTTGGCGTAAGTCTTCCCGTCCACTATTTCATCTTTATTGTACTAATCAATCCTGAATACAGCCCATGAAGCGAGAGGCCGCTCCTGAGCCTGAGCCCTCTTTCGGCCAGAAGGCTTGTGATGTTGCCGTAAGTTATACACAGGCTAATCCTAAGTCCCTTGACCTTGATTGCTGATGCTCTACTCAGTGTGACGTTGCATGCAACTCTACCGTCCTGGCTTTGGAGCAGCGGAAGTGCCTTGAGAAATGTGTAAGTGTTATGAATTTTCCTTTGTTACTTTCCGCGGTGTTGACATGATTCGATCTCTACAGAAGGCCAAGTGTGACAACTAGACTTTGGGGTACAAATATGCTGGCTTAGGGCTCTGGACCACCTCTGTACTTTAGAACTTGTTACATTAGACAGGAATAAGGGGCATGGGGAGGAATTGATACTTACTTGGCCAATTTACATCCAATTGGCGTTAACTGGAAGTACTCTTCCAAGACTGTGTAGTAAGGGTATACTTTTATGTATTTTTCAAGGAGCTTCATCTAATTTCACCTCTTGGAATACAAGGCCCGAGGAAGATAAATCCATCTCACTTGCTGTTAGTAGAATTGATTCAAGGAACTCCGTAAGGGCAATGTGAGAGGAAGGATAATTGATTACTATCTAGAAATAATCAGTAGGGGGAAGAAAGGGGTATATTAATGCCTGATACAAAGCATCCCGAAACCAGAAAATGCAGGTAATTCGGTCACGCGCATTTTTTTAGATGAAACAACCACATTGCGTGTAATCTAAGGCAATGGTCCATGTAGATGTTGTATTCCACTAATACGGGAGGATACAACTTTACAAGGATGAAGACCTCCACAGGCGAGGTTGTGGTGTCGCCTATGCATATTTACCTCATGGTCGCGGAGTGTTGAATATATATATAGGGGTACTGATAAAAGGCAAATGAGATCATTCAGCCCAACTATAGGCGTTAGAACTGAACCACTCATCACTGGCCCCGAAAGGGTACAAAATATCCCAAAGAAAATCGCAATGAGTCGTCCTGAATTAATTAAGTTTACTTGATCTGGAGAGAAGAAAGAGAAGAGCAGACGGAAAAGATGATTATAAGATGACAGTCTTTCCGCCTCGTTATGTTCAGGAACTAAGGCAGCCGCGACACCAATGAGAAAAGGATCAGTCCCACCGCTGTACTCCACTTTAATGATTGTGCCGGCAGAATCGACGCCAACGTGGAGTTTTCTCTACTATTTTTCTCGGGAATATTTCCCCTCATTCATTCCCAAGCCGCCAAAATGCCCCTCATCACCGACTTCACTCTACCCACATCGCCAAAGCACCTCGAATTGCCCGAGAGCAATGATGCAAAAGCCTTCATTGTGTTTGTGACTTCCGATGACCCTTTGACCGGTCAATCCTGGTGCCCGGATGTCCGTGCCGCGTGGCCAGTTCTGGAAGCCACGTTCTCCGGGGCGAACGCACCGGCACTGAGAGTGGTTGAGGTTGGACAGAAGCCAGAGTACATTGATTTCTAGATATTTAGATTGGCTATTCAGACTACTGACTTTGTCGTAGGTGGAAGGATCTCCAGAATGTCTACCGCACAAACTGGAAGGTCCCTTGTATCCCGGCGTTAGTGCGATACGAACACGTCAACGGTGAGACAGTCGAGACGGGGAAGTTGGTCGAAGGAGAGATTCTAGATAAGAAGAAGCTAGGGGACTTTATTGGTGCGACGCTTTAATCGTTGCTATTGATGTGTATACGAACCTTTTCCGACTGAGATAGAAAGGCACAAATCCCAATTAAACGACTTTCCATGTTTAGACCTGGAAAGAATTTGGCCAAGGAAACACAGCATCGGTAACCGGGCCGGAGCTATCAAAAAAGAACAGCCCATTAATTTACCGTTTGATAACCAACCGCTTGGGGCCCCTTGGATGAGCCAAGTAACTCAACCTCTTAAAGAGACATGCTTTTCGATACTATCGTCTATAGTCTTGTCGTCCAGCCAGGCTGCGGTAAAACCATACGTTTCTTGTTTTGTCCACCGATGACCGGCCTCTCTGATAAAAATTCCACTGTACGGATTAGTACCTCCGTCCTCATCGTGAGGGATTAATGGGCCAAGCCGAAGCCGACACGAATGTCGATCATCCATTGCCTTGACAATCTCTTCTGCCATGAGATTCTTGTAGAATTTGGAGAATGTGATGTCCTCACCCTCCCACCTTTCGTCTTCGTCGAGATATGTATCGATATCCTGTGCAATACATTCGTACCGACTTCCACATCCCCCTGAACCCAAATGTCTAAACGCATTATTTGGTAGGCGTTCAATTTGTGATTGCGGCCTTGGTCTGGTGGTTTCGTTTTTCTGGCATCCTCCACTATTTTGCCCAACCGCCAGAGGTGACCCGACGTTAGAACTCCTTCTTCCGACAACTTCACGTTAACGAATCGACCACGTTTGATGAATGTAAGTTTTCGATCAATATCAGGTGTCTGAAACGTGCGAAGAGATTGGTTCCTCAGATACTCGAATATATTGCTTCTAAGAGCGGCTCGAGAGTAGTTAGGGCCATTCATGAGAATTTCTCCATTTAGTACGAACAGAGCCAGCATTGCAATGCTCAAAGTGCATCGTTTTCGTTCGATTTCTTGGGTATCAAGTCGGATATAGTAGTCTAAACAGTTGGCGATCACTGCCAGACGATCCGACTCCACCGTGATTCCTCGCTTTCCAATATTAGAGAATATTATTGGAGACATGGACTGCCTGATCGTGGGCATTCCCTCGAGATCGAACTCTAATAGCTGAACATTGTATTTGAAGCTCGGTCTAGAACTCTCGCACACATATCCTTGAATTCTGGGTCCCTTCGATAATATATGCAGAATTTAGTAGTTTGAGAGCGAGAGTCCGTGGGTTTGATGCAAAGTTCGCCCTGCAGCCTGCCAAGGATGCGGTGGTTCTTCTCTTTGAGCTCCTTCACAAAGGAAGAGTGAGGGATCAAAAGGCACATTTTTGCTGACGCGCAATAGTCTTCCTGAAATGTCCAACCCCTTCTCTACCAGTGATCAGACGTGATATAATCTAGAAGCTTGAGAATGCCGCGGACCCAGCCCCTTTCATGATTCCCTGGTGAATGCTCCCTCTTAAGGATGAATATAATTTTTTTCAATTGATCCTGTGATTCGATCCGCACCCATAGAAATGCCACTCGGAAGGCACTGTGGCTATACACACGCTCAATGGATTGTATAGCACGCTGCTTCTCGGCTTCATTTCTTGGTCAATGCATTCCACATCAAGCCGGAAGCCCTGAACAGGGCCCTTCCTGGCTTCGCAGTAATTTGCATATCTGATGACCCGATCAAGCACCTGAGCCCTGGCTTTGCTTGATTGCGCATCAGCTCGGTTCCTGCATTGTACTTTATACGCATCCCAAGAGCTGACCTTTCGAACCCGCTAGATGAAGAGGAATAATCTTTTTACTCATGCGATAACCAAGACGAAGATGAATGCCTTCGTAAACTACGTAGATAAAGGAAAGAAGCAGTATTTTTCCTTTTGAACACTTCCATGTATATTAGCATATCTTGATAATACAACTGTCTGATCGGTTAATCCACACCTCGTATTGGTTAGTACAATTCAAGACTAGGTTGAATGTAGTGTTCGCATTAGGAAGCTCATCAGTATTAATATAATGAACATATGCTACTATGGAATGTAAAGCTGACACTGTAACATGTCGATGACTATATATGTTGGCAGGAAACTCGATTTGCTTACAATCCATATATCATAGGAAATGAGGCTCACGTGAACGATTCTCTATTGATTCAACCTTTGCCACGACACTCAAAGCTCTCGGGGTGACTATGGATTTATTTCTGAACCTTGTCAGCTGACTTGTTTTCTGACATATAGATTATCGGGGAGAACCATGGTTCCGAGCGAAAAGATGACAATTGATATCCAATCCTATGCATTGACCATACGAAGCTGCCATTCTTAGTAATACGATGTAAGCGTCATGATTATTTAAACACAATGAATTGTTGATAGGTCATTAGTGAACACACCCACCCTGGATAATGCATATATCAGATGAGGGGTGAACCATTAAGTCATAGCTCCTTCATCCTTCTAAAACTACGAGCTACTCTATGTGACCCTTACGGTGTAAGTCCTCCGTCCCTGTCTCTCATTGCAGTGGGAATAAATAGTTGCTTTATGCATACTAATATTCGGTTATTTGGATCAGTTCAGAGCCACAAAAGAACCACCTCCGTACAAGGAGCCCCACATATCCGGGAATAAGCATCTGGTCTACTTATCCTCATCCTCTCTGGCCAACCTTTAAACGATCGAAAAACCACTTCAATCAACCAAAGATGGACGCAAAGAAAAACTTACTGTGCGCTCAGCTGGCCGGTCGTGAATCCCCCGCCCCTGAAAGCCAGACCGCTGAACAGCAAGAACCTTACTGCTGGGGTAGAATGCCTGCCAGTTTGCAACAGCCAAAAGAGCCCAAAGCGGAGGAGATTCTTAAGCCTTTTGTGTTGGAAAGTAACCCTGTTCATCCCCTTGAGGGACCTCTGATGGCACAATATGCGCGTGATAAACTGAGGCGTATGTCGGACTGACGGTATTACGAGGTTGCCCTCGAGTCTTTCTTTCACTCCGTGAAGGGCCCTCATTACTGTGTATCTTGTGGCAGGACGATTACTTGAAAAAGCCAATCTGTGGGGAACTCTCACTACGTTTTATGACAAAAAGCATGAGTGCATATGTTGGACTAAATGTTAAATTAATTCAACTTCGCGAGAAATCATCAACTCGAATTACCAAATGAACGAATTAATTTCTGTTGCACTAGAGCTTTCCAAAGACGGGCTTCTCTTTGGACAAAATGGATGAAATAGCAACAGGAACATCTTTAGTTTGAACCGCTGCGACGTTATAGGCTAGTTGGTATTGCAGCCCTGAATTGAGAATTAGCACCATGTCCCATTCTAAAACCCGAACGCAGATATGGGACGTACCTTCAGCAACAGTGCGATCTCGGCTGTAATCCAGGAAGTGTTTGATTGTCTGTACCGCAACCGGGCTTTTCCCACTCAGATTCCTTGCAACTCTGAATGCTTCCTCCATCACTTCATTCTTTGTTGGCAGGACAGTGCTCACGAAACCAACTCGAAGTGCCTCATCCGCATTGAAATTCCTGCCGGACATGGCTACATCCTTGACCCATGTGTATGACCCAACGACCTTTGGTAGCCTGGCGAGAATTCCAATGTCAGAGGCTATACCGATATCAACCTCTTTAACACAGAAAACCGTGTCTTTGGAGCAGATTCGCATGTCTGCCGAAGAGCAAACATCCATCGCCATCCCTAAGGCGTAGCCATGCATAGCACAGATCACAGCTAAATATTGTTGTCAGCGCTTAGAGACTAGAATATCGTTTTCAAGATCCACCCTTCGAATCTGTCTTGCTGGGGATGAATTGAACTGGATATGTTGAACAGACAAGGCGAAACTTACGCTTCTCACACTTCTCTATACTGGAAATACACTCCTGGAATTCCTCCCCAAATCTTCGAAGAGTGGTGACTGCACGTCGGCCTGGATCGACATTCTCCCCTGGTGGGACCATAAACGGTGAGTCCTTGTTCGAGACCCATTTCAGATCGATGCCAACCGAGAAACCCTTCTCTCCAGATCCGGAGAAGACCACCGCACGAACGGATGGGTCCGTGGAGAGACTATCGAAGACGGTTCGCATTTCGCGCCACGCACTAAGGTGTTTAAGCTTGATTTCTTTGGATATCATTCATATCTGGGGCTTACTCTTCCAAGAAGGCATTCACATGGCCTGGCCGATTGATCTCGACGTGAGCGATCCATGGCTCCGGTACCGTGACCTTGAAATATTTATAACCCTTATCCGACATGTTGATATTGGCGTTGATAAATTGATATCCCTAGGAGTTCGAGGGTATTATAGGAGACCGTGTGATGATCTGGATTCTTTATTTATTAATGTTTTCAGAATTGGCCAAGCAGGCAAGTCAGGACATCTCTCCTCGGCTCGGTGTCTAGAACGGTTGATAACTTCTCGATTGATCAGACCAGATAATCAATTGGCAGGAGTAGTGGGGATTGCCCCGAAGACCTTCGCGATTGCCGACTCAGGTATCAGTGATCGGAGGAGATGATCCGCCGACTGCTGCGGGATTCCCCCACAAATCGCAACTCCACTATAATAAGGGGCAACTTAAGGACGGATGTTCTATTCCTCTTTTGTCATCAAATACTGTGGTTCCCATCGTGGGCCACGGACCTCGGCTACTACGCAAATACTGCCCGGGTTAATCTGAGCGTTGTTGACTCATCAGAAACATCCAACCTAAAACAATTGGCAGGTCGTACTAATGTTGTATTTTTATCGCCGAGGCTGTTCCGTCCTTGCTTCCCAGAATTGGACCCAGGTCTCTCAGATCAAGCTCCTATGCTAACTCATATGATGGAGACTAAGCCATTTCCCGGTTGTCATGGTGTAATATAAATACGGTAGAAGAAAGCTCTTCCCATCTTCCTTTGTTAAGCTGGAAGGCAGTTCATACAGTCGAATAACACACTCTACATTGCTTCACTGAGATATATGATCTAAGACTGTTGTCTTTGATTAAATACTATAAGAAACACTAAGCATCTTATACTTTGCTCAGATAGAAAAAAAGGAAGAATGCCTTTCAATACAGCTCTCACCAGAACACTGGGGATTGAAAGTAAGTCATTGAAGATCATTGTCCTGTACGATCAGAAGCTGACATCCCTAGTCCCCGTGGTGCAAGGAGGGATGCACTGGGTAGGGTACGCCGAACTGGCCGCTGCTGTGAGTAACGCAGGAGGGCTCGGCCTAGTTAGTAAAACCTTTAACCGCGAGTACCGGCATCGACAAGCTAACATATCTGTTACATGTTACTGCTCTGACTCAGCCGACGCCGGATGATCTCCGCAAGGAGATCCGGAAATGTCGGTCAATGACGAACAAACCATTCGGTGTGAACATCACTCTCCTCCCCTCACTTATGCCACCAGACTACGGCGCCTACGTCCAGGCCATCATTGACGAAGGGGTCAAAGTCGTCGAGACGGCAGGCAATAACCCCGGGACGGTTATCAAACCCCTCAAGGAGGCTAATATCATCGTCATACACAAATGTACGACTATTCGCCATGCCAAATCTGCCGTAAAGCTGGGCGCAGACTTTTTGTCTATTGATGGGTTTGAATGCGGTGGTCATGTCGGAGAGGACGACCTCACTAATTTGATCCTCTTAAACCGGGCAAGACAGGTGCTGAGTGTCCCGTTTATCGCTTCCGGAGGCTTCGCAGACGGGCATGGTCTAGCTGCTGCGTTGGCGCTAGGAGCGGAGGGTATCAATATGGGGACACGGTTTATGTGTACAGTGGAGGCACCTATTCATATCAAGGTGAAAGAGGCAATAGTGGCAGCTCAGGAAACGGATACAGCATTGGTGATGAGGCGATGGAAGAACACGACTCGGTTATATGGGAACAAAGTGGCAAAGGAGGCTCTGAAAGTGGAAACAGAGAGTAAGAACGGGAAGTTTGAGGAAATTGCGCCGTTTGTGAATGGCAAGCGGGGACAGCAAGTGTTCTTGAATGGGGATGTGGATTCCGGCGTAAGTTTTCATTGCCCTAGCTACGGTATAATCGAGCTAACTGTTGCATAGGTTTGGACTGCCGGTCAGGTTATTGGACTGATTCATGACATCCCTACGTGCGCTGATCTGTTGGAACGAATCGAGCAGGAGGCTTTACATTCCATGAAGCGGACAAGATCGTTGTGGACGAATGAAGGAAATCAAAGCAGACTTTAGAGTCCTTCTTTCGTGCCTGATAGCCTCTTAGGTATTCTTGCAATTACAAACAGGTTTGCTGCAGCTAAAGCATGATGGAGTACCCCTGGTCAATACGGCCAATATATGATACTTTAATTTTGAATACCATATAAAGGTTCCTGCTATTCCATGGATAACCTCAATTTGACACGATACCGAGATCGTAGCGTTGTATCTCCGAATCCTAAATTAATGTTAATTGGACCACTTCGCTTGTCGAGATACACTGGGATAGCGATAGGGGAAGTACCTAGATCTCAAAGCCACGAAATATCAAGCACATGGCCACGATAAAGTGATATTCTATGATATGTCGACCATGTTTCCCGAAAAAGGTAGTTCAGGTGAAAACATCAGCCTGGCTCTGCAGTGCTAAGAAAGTTTGTTTATCATGCCCAGGAATAACCTGTCCCTTAGTAATCCGTTCGAGATGCTTGAGACGCTGCGTACTCCTGAACCACGATGGGTGGTCTCGAGCCAACCAGCCCTGGGGGATCCCATCCCGCCACTATTCTAAAGTCAATAAATTGTCCGTGTCCCAAAGAAGCGTCACTTACATTCTCAATCACATGACAATGATCACTAATGAAAAAGAACGTGCCCGTGTTGAGCATGTTAATCTGCATGCCAATGAGACCATCCGTATGTCCCGGCAAATGATGCAGCGTGATGCCCTGACAAAAGTCCAGTGTCTGATCATTGAACGTTTTCCAGTTCCTATATCTCATTAGCCCTACTCCATAACATATCAACCAAGATTGAAACAAAACACCATACAAAGACAACTTGAGATAGTGTTCCAAATAAACTCCAACATCCGCCCCCGTAGCAACAGACCAAAACGCATTGGTCAATTCTTTCTCATGCACCCAGACCTCGACATCCGTGCGATGCAAAAACTCATCTAGACCACCGGCATGGTCCAGGTGCAAATGTCCAATAATAATCTTCTTGATATCATCAAGCTTATGGCCCGTTGCCTCAACAGCGGCCCGAAGCTCATGTCTAGGCTCGTACTTCACCCGCGCAAAGATATCAGCAATAGCCGGACCCCACACTGTAGGGTAATCCTTTCCGCTGCCGGTTTCCCAGAGGATCAGACCCTCGTGCGGGTGATCGATTAAAATGCAGTACATGGGCATTTCACAACGCTCGTTGACGAAGGAGCCGTTTTCTGTGGACTTGATGCTAGTGTTGCCGCCCCTGATTACGAAGCCTTTGTCGCATTCCAGCCAACCAACTTCGAGGACATGGAATTTCGTGCCTGGTGGACAGACATTGGAAATGGCATTGGGGACGGCGCCTTGGTCTAACTGGGCCTGGATTCTGGACATTTTGTCGTGAGTGCTTGGCAACAATGCTTATCACTGCTATAGCCGGGGTTGTTTCATTGGGGACGAAAGAGAATTTGTGTGTAGCATTCAAGCAAGGGAGGATGTTTATATGGAACCTATGCTATCGCTACGTCTACAGCAAAGTGAGACAACCCCGCAGGTATGTGTGATGTGTAAGACCAAGACTGAGGCCCAAACTGCGGGGAAATATGTGGAGTAACGCATACGATACACAGGAGTCATAGCTTCGAGCCCTGTATTTGGGAATGAATATAGTATAACCCTTGTTGGTAATTCCGCTAGTCCGATTGGTCCTGCCCGACAAAAAGACCCAGATAGGTGAAATAGTTCGTATTCTTCAAACGCCTCACTACATAATTATTGCCATTAATTGGCTATAATGTACCAGCTCCCACCTGTTTAGTTCTGGAAGAGCCGCTAAGAAGTGACAGGTTACCTCGATACACGTGTTATGCAACCAAATAAGACGTTTGTTGGCTAAGGACCTCTTAGTGGGGGATCCCTGGTGGAGCTATTTGGTGATACGCCCAACAGCGCCGGGGCAGCAATCTCGACATCCGTTCCAAGAATTTCTGTCACCAGACTTTTGTCATTGGCTGCCACCTAGCTAAAGTGATATCAGCGGCCCGGGCCAGGATGCGCCATGGGCGGGCAGATTCTTGGCAGGTTAACACTTTAAGGGTCCATGCTCTTACCTATTCATACCCATTCCAGGGTTTGACAGGCTTAATTATATGATATAGGAACAGGTGGACAGTGTCCCTAGCTAAATATGTGCCTTGACTGAGTCGGGATTGTACATTGCTTAGGTATAACGGGTTCATTGGGCATATAATTAATTCGGGGAATCACCACGGCTTCGGCGGGGCTGCTTTTACCCCAAATTGGGGTCTCCAGATCTCCAATTTCCTTTTTCTTCGATATCCTTTGGCCTGGTCACGCTTCCACGTTAACCTTCTACATGGGTGTGAAATAGGAGATCTCGATATATATATATTGACGCTGCCTATTTAGGCCTAGCGCTGTTGTTCGTCACAATCGATTTCTTCCCACAGTCATGTTGATAGAACCAAAGCAACACAATCAATCTAATCGAGGAATTCAACGTAGGGGACCTTTTGTCCATATACTAGTCCACTTCTTCGATTCCGCAATCCCGGGTCACAAAGCCATACTATTGGAGTTGCAGTACTCGGCTCGCTTCCATGGACACGATTTGGAGTAGGCCACATAGAGTTCATCCTAATCTTTCTCTCTGTATGAACCTCATTGAAGTTTAGGTCAACATGGGGGCACAAATCGCGCCATGGTCGGAGTGCCCTCGTACCGTAGTTGTGGCTTTCTGACTTCAATCGCTCACTTAGATGCAAACCCAAGAATGGAGACCGGACGAGCTAGCTTTCAAGGAGTTTTTATGAAATAGTCTAACGAACTTACATTCAAGATTGCTCGGTAGTTGTTACGGCTTCATCCAATTTGATTCTCTCAAAATACGCGTATCAGACCACTTATATCTGAAATGTCTCCCTGCCGTCAACCAAATCATACCAAAGAAGCCCCACCTCCGCGGCCATTTTATAACCAGGCAGTCATTGCCAATGGCTTTGTTTTCTGCTCCGCCCAACTTCCCAAGGATTCTACAGGAAGGATTGTCGAGGGCACCGTCCAGGACCGTGCGGTATGTGATCTAATCCTGCTTTCCACTTTGTCCTACAACTCAACATTGTTTCCAAGAAGTCTGAAGCTGACAGAAATCCACAGCATCAATGCATTAGAAACTTGAAGCCCGTGCTGGGATCAATTGGATCCAATCTCGAGAAAATGGTCGAAGTAAATGTTGTCCTGTTGGATATGGAGGACTTTGAGAAAATGAACGAGGTTTACTTGGAATGGTTTGGTGACATCAAGCCCGTTAAAATATAAGTCACTACCAGTCACCCGACTACAAATGCTGTTTCTACAGATTTTTCGCATCATGGCAAGAGCTAAACCATGTTTCCAACGAAGTAGTTGTGTGGCACTCAAATCGATCCCAGAATACAGCGACGTTGAAATAATGTGTGTTGCGCTCTTGTAATTCGAGAAAGCTAAAGGGAAGCGAGCCAGAGATTCCGTATCCCCTCTGATAGCGTGAATCACCGGAATGCAGATGTTCCTTTGCTCAGAAATAAGCTGGGAAGCCACAACGGCTCGAAAGCATAACCCTCTCATCAGATGGAATGAAAAGTGACGTTCAACGGCCGTCTTATTATATAGACTGGTTGCTGAACCAAGGTCAGCAATTAGACCAGATAAATTCTTAATACTATTTTCTAAACGGTGAGATACTCTGTAGATCATTCGCTGAACCGTAAAGCCACCCAGAGCGAAAGCATGACCTCTCCAACATCACACTGCTGGTGTCATCCTTGAGCTTAGTTGCCAACAACAGAGGTGTAAGGCCCCGACTATTCCCAAAATGCGGGCAGCAGCCATTCTCCAGCAGAAGCTTAAGAGCGGGATAGTTCCTCTTCCAAACTGCCCGCAACAGCGGAGTGAAAAATAGGTCATCTAACAGCCACCCTGTGCTCGGATACCCTACATTTCGTGGGACGTCTGAGTCACCATCCTTATACGGCTGCCCGAGGTAATAATCTCGCCATAGAAATTGCAAACCGTCATTCAGAAGGGGCTCGTCTTGCGTTATGATTTCAAACCCTAATGGTAGGAATATCCGCCGTTCCACTTGATATGGACTTATTATCTTGGATGAAGGGAAGCCGTGCCGCTCATGTAGGTTAGGTGTTATATTCAATCCCCTTCTAATCTTCCCCTTCGGGCGGCCCATAACTTCGAGATATTCTGGCAAGTCTTCATATGAAAACTTATATCGTTCCTTGGATGCCGGTATTTGCCTCCAAGGCCGGAGTAGACTCTGAAGCTGTACTGGAAGATCTTCATCTGCAAATTGAGCGAAAGGCGAGTATACAAACTCCATCCTCGGCTTTTCCCTCAGGATAATTTTGAGGGTAGTTTCGGATTTTCCGTCAATAGCCCGAGTCAATGGCGTGCCCCAGCCGGAATCCCGGATGTTAACGTCTGCCCCCTTCCTTAATAATAAGGCGACTATAGCGTCATGGCCTTTCCAGGCTGCATAATGCAGCGCCGTACCGCCATTTCTATCTCTAGAGTTGACTTTGGCACCGTTGTCGACAAGCTGGCTTACGGCCAATGCATGACCGCGTTCTGCAGCGTACGAGAGTGGTGTCCGACCATAACAGTCTACGATATCTACGGGAAGCTTTTCCAATAACTGAATCAAGAGATGATGTAAACCAAAATATGCCACCAGATGCATCCCAGTAAATTCAATCGGGATCTTCCGACTGTAAGACGCATGACGAAATTCTGGAGTGAACAAGCATTGACTGGCGGCGAAAGCATTTTTTTCCTCCATGAGGAATGCTATAGCAACATCTTTCACACTCTCTTCCACGCCTCGAGAATGGTCGGCCCAGTATCGGGAGGCATAGTCGAGCAGAGGGTACTGTTGGAGTCTCGTTTCGAATGCCTTGTCATTTGGACACGCGCCGGACTTGAAAGCATCGTAACCAAGGTATGTGAGACAGCTGACAGCGATGTTCGTGTGGGCGTACGGGAAGTACTCGTGAATCTTTTGCTGAAAATAATCTTTCGCGGTATTATGGACCAATCGAACATTTTTACTTACCGGATCGAGTACCACCAAGCCTGCACAGCTAGAGACTATTTCCTGAAGGTCACAAAAATTGGTGGTGTCCAAACTACGTGTACCAGGTTCAACTGCCAGGGCATGCAGTAACTCATCTCCTGTGAGCAATTTCCTGGCGCAAACAACCCAGGACAGCAACGCCTTGGCCAGGTCGCCGCGGATCCTTTGGAAGGCACCGTTATATGCCTGGTCCAAACCTTGGTGCCCCGTCACCATTTTATCCAATTGACGGTAAATGGCCTTCTTTGTATTTTTATCTTCAAGGGAGGTAATGTAAAGTTGAGCTAGCAGAAACATGCCATTGGCTGATTCTAAGATTCGTGCTTGAATCTCATGTTGCAATGTCTCATCGCCCTCCACTACTCTCGACAGGTGATTCATCTGGCGTCTGAGGTATTGTTGAATGTCTTTCTCATCCGCATGAATGTCTAACACGCTATGGTGTTCTGGTGAGATGTTAGGTCTGGAAGTCAGCATCAATCGAATATCCGTTATCTGTTGCAGCTGGAACAATTCAGACAAGAGGATTTTACGAGTTGTATTGTCTCGGCATTCATCAAGAGCATCAATCACTATAAACACTGTGGAGTATTTGGCTATAGTGGAATAAAGCTCATTCGATATTTCACGCAGTGAAGGTCGTGCTCGTCCTTGATGGTGTCGATTATAGAGTTTAGAAATGGACAGTGGAATGGGACTTTCTTCCAATGCCAGCTGTGACAACAGTGATGCGAACAGGTCGTCAGATTTCTGCTCGCTCTGTCTCTCGTAGCTGCAGTAGATAAAGGCTATGCCTATCCTGTCGTGCTGAGAACAAGAATTGTGTAGGAACTTTGACCGTAAATGGTTCACTACCATAGATGCCATCATCGTTTTGCCGGCACCTGGAATTCCCGGACAGAAGAGTGTTTGTGACGGGCTGGCCACCCACCTTTGGAATTTGGGATGATCCAGGAACCACTTCCCGGTTCCCTCTTGGTAGTTGCGATAGGTGTCGTTTTGAATTGTCTCATAGTCGATTGGACTCAGCCAACAACGCAGGGTTTTGCGGTATTGGTCTGTGCAAACGTTAGAAATGAAAATCCACGAGCCATACAGCGGCAACTTACCCTCTTGAGAAGACTGAAGTAAATAGACATCATGGCGTATCGTGTCAGCATATTTTCCAATCTTATGTACTGTGTCCGACATGGCTTTCATCACCTCTGCTGCTGCAGGTGTTTCGGTCACCTGAGTCGGCGGAATAACCGATAAAAATTCCTTTGCAAAGGCGGCAGCAACCCCAGCCGCATGTTCTTGCCAATCTTTGTTCTTATGTGAGTCGCAATAATCGCAGATCCCCCTAATAATGGCACATGGAAAGCTGTTCATCAGTCCAGCTGCCTCCATTTCAAAGCAGAGGACGTCGCCCCCGAGCCTGGCATTAATCCTGTCGCGAAAAACCGCATCTTTGATGACCTGGTTACCAGAAGCAATCAGGCCGTAGTGGACAAGCATGTCCTGGGGCTGCCTCTTCAATGTCCTGCGTCGGTCACAAAATCGGCAATCAGTGGCCTCTTGTTTAATCATCTGGCCATCGTGGTTCCGCTTTTTACCTAGACCCTTGTCAGAGTGCGTGGTAATCGCTGTGACATGATCATAGTCTGCTTCAAAGCAAACATCCTCAAGCTTTTCCGACTTTGAATATCTTGGCGCGAGTTTTGGCCATTTGATCATCAAATCGTCCAAGTACTGCGGGATTGAAGACCCTTCCATGTCGTGTTTTGACTCGAGCTTCGTAAGCGCTGTAAGTAATGCGCTCGGTGGATTATTTAGTACACCCGTTTGTCTAAACGTCTGTCTTTGTTCTGCTTTCCCCATGTCCCACTGTACCACTCCCGGGAAGCCACCCGCTGGCGTACTGACCACGACATCGCCCAACCTCACTTTCGGAGGAACACCACCACCGATTCCCACCATCAGACCGAACCGGATCGATGGGAATGTAGATATCATCCGAGTTGCCACGGTCGCTGCTGAGTTCGTCCCCACCTCACCTTTAGGCAGGCATGCGATCACCACATTGTGGTTGCTCATAGATCCCAGCGTGTATGCGTTGTGATCGTGAGCCGGATTGAGCAGGTCCTCATGGCGCTCATCCAGCATAGCGATCGCGGCCGTCTGTTCTTTAGCTAGCGCGCAGACCAATCCAACAGTGTAATCATTATGTGTCCGAGATCTTGATGTCATTGCGTGAAATTCCAACGCAATTCGCGATGGCGAGCTTCATTCGTTCAGCGTTTATTAAATTAGGGTGATAATTGAATGGGGAAAACCGTTGATGATGAGGCTATCTACTGTGTAGACTTAGACTAGTACTTACTATCTCAGCGGAAAAAGTGGGTGAGCGGGGCGACCCGCTACGGTGGACCAAATCGACCACCGTATCTTTTTCCCCTCCTAGTATGCTAAGAAATAAGTAGCGGCAGTGTGGGCGGTGGCAGAACCGGGACGGCCGTGACACGGATTAAGCTACCAGTCAGCTACTGTACGGAGTTTATACCCTGACCCACATGCCATTGGCTCTTTTGGATGCTGTGATATACAGACTCTTGGTTGCCTCGTCATGCACAAGGGCATGGGCAACCGCAGTGCTGCTCGACGACAGTACGCCCCAGGGAAATACATGATTATCATCTGACACCCACGGCGACAACAGCATCCTGGTCATGGGCGTCGGTCAATTGGTTAATAGAGACGATAAAGTCACAGTCTACAGCTACATCTACAGGACAGCTGCGACCGACAGTCCGTACGGAAATGGTGACATTGAAGCAACTCAGCTTAATTAGTGCGTTCAGGATCTATGGTCCAGTATTTCCCGAAGCCTATGCCTAGTCAGCCATACCTTCTAGACCATCGGCCAGGCCAGCCGACACTTAGCCCGGCAAGGGTGGCGTTCTTGATCGTGCGTGTCATTGGCTTGGATGACAGTCTAAAGGTAAAATAGCACGTAAATTGATTTTGACGGATTGCGGCTACCCAGTTTCGTTGTATGCAATGTACGGGGCGGGAAATGTTGAGTTTTGAAGGTCTGTAGTTTACGTACAGCAAGCCAAGTGTGGCCCACCCTGGGCTTGGGAATGCCCTTTTTTCTTTTTTTTTTTTTTTTCTACTCATAGCGATATATGAGGCTGTATACATATGATATATTTTACTGGGCCTTTTTCCTACTTGTTAGGATCTAGGGAATGAAGGAGAGAAGTGAGAGGGATGATAAGGCCAAGTTCTCTGGAGGCGAAGGATTTATCTAACCTATGGATCCTATCTGGGCAATATCATTTCATGGGAACAAATCTATCAAAATACTTCTAGTTATGGATTGAGGTAATATAGGCTTTGGCGTTCAACTGATATCCGGAAATACCAAGCCGAGGAACAATCTTTGTCTCAATTTGCCTAATGCAGTGTCATAACCCGCCAAGACATTCGACGTTGGAGAGACCAAGATACAAAGTGTTATATCATTGGCTTTGTCCGTACACCAATAGGTGTGGAAGTGGACCCGGGAGCAGGATTTAGGATATTCCGAGAGGTAGATAGTACTACTTATCCTACTTATCCACGGTAAACTGCCCAATGAAAACATTTCAACCCACTCAGAACTGATATTGATCCCATTGGTGCGCCCTAATGGTCCACTTTCCTCTTCGTCTGATCGTGTGCTGGCTCTGAGTTATCTTTGAGCTCTCAGTGCGGAGAAGTCGGCCAAGGCACAGTCAGTCGGTCTTTGATCGATTGTTCTCCAAACGCGTGAAATCAAGCACAAAACCCCCAAATACCAGCTCTTACTCTGCCAATCAGGAAAAGTGAATCATCCCACATTTGAACTACAAATGTTAAGAACAGGGTATCGGACAATCAGGCTTGGAGTTTCTGGGGCCTTCTGTTGGAGCAGACCCTTTCACCGGCCTGTCATAGCTGCCAACCCCAACGAATTGTAGCTTGCTCTGAAAAAAAACAGTTCCGTACTCATGGGACCCAGGTCTTAAATTGGCGGGAGACCCCAGATTGACTTACCCTATGCAGTTGTATCGAATGCGTGCTTTGTTCGATAGACTCATTGGAATGGCCTTAGTGCTGCTTCCCATATTTGGCTGATAGAGCGTCCGTTTGCCATAAACAGATCGTTCAATCGAGTCAATGAGTGAAGGTTTGGAGGAAGAAAGATTCTACCCCAAACTCTTGTATCGAAATACACTAAGAGCTCCAACGCCGTCAAATGTTTCAAGGCATAATTACTGTTGGGGTAGGTCGCTACCTGGAAAGTCTTTTTGATGAACCCCACTATCTGTCCGAAATTCCGTGCAGGTTCCCGAAAGTTGCCCCAAATATTTACTCGGAAACTCATAAATATGTCGTGCTCTGCCTACCCTTGTTCCCTCCTTTTCAAAATAGTTATCCTTTGATAAATTAGTTGGGACATAAGAACAATGCCTACCGTGCCTGCGCGCAGTTTCGCTACTCAGCGGCTACATGTCGGCCAATCGATAAAGGTCATTAATTCATTTGGCTCCCAGGTTGTTGACTTCTGGGCTTTTTCGATCCCATCGACCCCTTCCTTCCCGCACTATATGTCCATGACTCATACTCGTTCAACGTTGCATAAATTCCTCCCCTCGCTGCAGGAGTCCTTCCTCGACAACCGGAGAAATCCTATCCTGACAATCGTGGAAGACATATCTCCAGGAATTCACGATGTTCTTTATGCCGCCTGCTCCCCAGAGCGCTATCTACAACTAGGCGCCTCTGCAGAACACGACAACTGTGCGACCAACCTTTTCAACGCTGCAAAAAGCATAACAGATCCATCGTTCCAGTACCTTGTGGAGTTCCTCGGGCAAGGCTGGATGCCTGATCCACTGAATCTCTTCATGAAAGTAGCTGTCAACAAGAACGAGTTGACGTGTTTAGACCCGGAGAGCAAACCAGGGGATTTCATCACTTTGAAGGCGGAGCAGGATTGTGTCGTCATAATGAGTGCCTGTCCCATGGACTTGAGCGCTTGTAACGGGGGTCAACCTACTAGTGTGGAGTTCCAAGTTCTTTGAATCTGGAACACAAGGCGAATGTGATACTTTTGTGCATTCCAGAAACAATCTTTGGGCGGCACTCTGGAATGTCAACATGGACTGGTTTAGTAAGAGGTCGTGATAGTTTGTTTGTTCTTTTCTTTCTAGAAAAGCCGCAGAGCTCATTGATAAGTACCTCATTCCGGGCCATACACGTTTGAAACACAAGGGCAAGTGAACTGCTACATCTACACCTCCCATTAATACTTGGTATCATTAGTTAGGTTCTGTGTACACTGTTAAGTGGACAGTATTTATGTATCCAAACCAAAAGTTCAACATATTCATGTAGATAGACGTAGATGGTCAGTCTGGTTGGAAAATAACCCTGGCGTATCTGGGTTCTGGTGTTGGCCTCCGGCATTGAATATCTTCTGGCAAAATTCAAAACGCATCCACTGAGGTTCAATGTTCAGGACCTCGTTGGACTTGTCAATATACTGGATGTGAGGACTCTGCACAGGTTTCATTGATATCGAACTCGTTATCTGGGATAACAATCATGTCGTGGTGCCTCTCATTACGAAGACTCCGTCACTCCAAAGCGGCGAAGCTAATGGCATAATCTGTATGAAACTCAAGGACGATATGAATATGATGCAATGTAGGACGTTTGGGTCTCTTCAGAGTCGATTAGCTACTAGTAGACTGCGCCATATCCTTAAAATATCCTTAAACCATGTTATAAGGATACTACTGAGAATATGCCGCAGTCTAGCTACCAGGGCTTTGAAGAACATTAATATTCACGGCTATGCGATTCTGTTGTAGTAGCTCTTGAGACAACCCCCCAGCATCTTTAGCTACTACGCTAGGATATACAAGCCATAAATACCTTCGTTTATCTCAGGAACTATGCTATTATATAGTAGTTTACTGTGGCCAGGATACGTAGGCATATATTGCATAAGATTACTAATCATGAGCTGTAAATTTTATTGTAAGATTTTATATAGCACAGTATTAACATCATAAGCAGCTCTTGGACCTAAAGACGAACGCTGATTCTACAGAGAGTATTATACGAAACTAAGCAGCATAATACTCCATAATGCTTCTTGCAGCTGGTCCTTTAGTCACGTGAGTATATCGCATGCCCCACTTTTTCCCTTCGCTGGCAAGGGCAAGGACGGCTCCAGGTGATCGATCTGCTGAATGACTATGAGTCCAATCTCCATGCTATGTCTTCCAGGAAACAACACGTTTGAATGTTTCTTTCCTACATCTTTTGTTAGGTGTTACCTCTCGAAGCGCGACAATTGTATGAAGACTGGCGATAGTACGCAACATGTCCAGAGGGAGCCAATCGATGCACCCGAAAAGGACTAATGCATTTCAAGAGGGGGGGCGGCCTTGAGAATCGTATGCAGCCATCTGCTGAGCTAGAAATACTTGAATATCTTTATTATTGCAGATGTACATGAGGTTCCCTGTACGTTTTCCTTTTTGGTTACAGTTCCTATCATATCAGGTTTCTTGGGCTTCTTCAGGTGCTGTGAGGCAGCTTGTAGAAGTATAGGATCTGACTGACTCTGTGGCCTGTGGTAAGATTCGCTATGAGTACTTAATACATTATTGGCATCCATAATTCATGGTTAGATAGTTAGCCACACATGGGCCAAGTTGACATAAGTTCCGCCAGGCCTAGAAAGAAAGCACAGAAACACCACTAGTCTGTGTGGTAGATGAGCAAATGATATTTGCAAAATATTGAAACAACAATAATAATAAAATGTGCAAAGACAGGAAAAAGAAGAAGCAAAGCAGATTCAGAAAATATATGACAACCGGTGCTCGTTCAGATCACCGAATTTATTTAGGTAATGATTCTTCATACGGGTTCAACCCTAGTATTTAGAACGAGGATAGTGAGGGTGCATAATATCATCTACACATCGAAAAGAATGGCGAAAACGATACGACCACTATAGGATGGTAGTCTCGGGTAATTATTTGCACTTTGGCCTTTTGTGTTTGTATCTGAATTGTTTATTGGGGCCTTTTCTTTTTTTTTTTTTTTTTTTTTTTTTTCGTCCTCTTACGTGGGAGAAATATATATATATTGAGGAAGCTAACACCGTTAGATCACAAAGTACGCCTAAACTCTGGTCGGTTCCTGCTATCGTTGAAACAAAGTAACAGCCTGTCTCATCCTAATCTTGACCAGTGCATCCTATGTTGTTTGTCCCCGCTTTATTAATATTGTTATTATTTTTTTCTTTTTTTGATGTGCTCGTCAAGGTGATGCAGGCAGATGACGTACCTAAAGTCGCCGAAGCATTTTTCCCTTGGATAAAGTTGAATTGTCAAAATAAGCTTCAAGCAAATGGTATATCGAGCAGTAAGATAAAGAAAAATTGAATCACATGAAGGAAATGACATTTCAGGTGATGATGATGAAGAACGAGTTTTGAGGCTTTACCAATTCGCAAAGCTTACTGAATTCGGTATGCTTCGCACGCTGGCCAATCAAGACAGGGAAGTGGAGACTAGCCAATACTTTGGTTGTTATCCTTTGGCCAAGACTTCAACTTCGCGTACTTTGACGGGTCTCTGGGAGATGATCATCGCTAGGATGAATATCCTCTAAGCCGGACCGCATACCAAAATGGGTGGATCTTGCAGATCTTGCCCTCTATTAACGGCAGCAAAAACATACGATTGATTGAAGGCAGGACTACTAGTCAGTAATGGATGGGAAGCTGATACAACTCGTGGGGAAATGTTGGGGAAAGTATCCACACCTCGGTTGCACTTTTATTTAGTTCACATGTTGCGCTGTTGACTAGCGTACTAGAAAAGAGGGAGTGGCCTCGAGGGCGATCAAAATGATGCCTAAATTCTTTACCCGCAGCTTCACAACACATGCCGCCTCGAGATGGCTACAATCACACGCAATCCGTTGGACTCGATGAAGTCCACTTGGCGTTCGTGGGATCGAACGCAGTGGAGCGCAGCCCACTGGCTTATCGAGACCCTCAATATACACCATATCGATCTTGATAAAGAGGTGCCGGTTCACCAGAAGACCGACAAGGTTCCTTACGCTCCAGAGCTACAATTTCATCGTTGGGTCCTCATCCACGCCAGCATCCCACTCATCATTCATCAACTCTATGTGAACTATGTCGGTCAACCCTCGGCACTGCTGGTGTTCGTCTTTTACAGCCTGTCCCTGGAGTTAATTGCTATTCACGAAATACATGTCCTGCGCCGAGTCGGACATAAGATTGGATTTTTCGATGGCGACAAGCATGCCCGTGATGGTGTGCCCGATGTTGGAGTCCGGAAGACGGCCCAGACACTCCTGTCAGTTATATTCCTTCGCCCCATGGCCACGGTAATCATCTCCTATCGCGCAGACGAAGCCCCATCCTCGATCCGATGGGGATGGCTCATCTTTGAAACCGGCGTGTACGCAGTCGTGCTGGACTTCTGGTATTACTTGTTCCACCGCTCTGCACACGAAACAGAACTCTTGTGGCAGTTCCACCGCCGACACCACCTGACAAAACATCCGAACCCTCTGTTGACGGCGTATGCGGACCTCGTACAGGAGTTCTTCGATCTTGTCGGTACACCTTTGATCACATATGGCACAATGAAGCTGATGGGGTTCCCCATGGGCTTCTACGAGTGGTGGATCTGCCAGCAATATATCATCTTTACCGAGATTTTGGGTCACAGCGGTTTGCGAATGATCGCCACTGCGGTGAATCCCTGGACCTCGTTTTTAAGGCTGTTTGATATGGAACTCTTGCTCGAGGACCATGATCTTCATCATCGCAAGGGCTGGAAGAGCAGTTATAATTATGGGAAGCAGACCCGCGTGTGGGATCGCTTGTTCAACACATGCACCACTCGTATAGAGGGACATCAAGATAATATTGACTATGTGAACACTGCGGAAATTCCATTACACTGATTTGATTCACACAGCACGCCTCGTTGAAAGGAAAAAGAACGGTTATCTTGGCATGGCTTCTCCATCTCTGAGTGATACATGTTATGAGTTCCCTCTAGGACGTGTGATTTAAAATCAATATATTTCCTGTCATGTGATGTCCTTGCGTAACCACAGCCCTTTTTCAAAAGACCTTACCTGGAGGTCATTCCTGAGCTGAACCACATAGGGATATGGATGGTTGAATCGCATCTGAGATGATGGAAGAAATTAGGTTTCAGTGTCTAGCACTCATCGGATTTCGGCGTTTACAAATGTCAGGCATATCCACGGACATTGCAGTCCGTAGTAGGTGCAACGTTAGGGTTAAAGGCGGATGTATACCATGAACTGGAAAGGTATAGATGGTTTATTAGTACGTCAATCTGGGTCTCTCTGCAGTACCGCTTAAGTTATCCAAGCTCTCAGTAAAAAGATGTGGTAACATCTTAGGTGAGCCTCATTCTAAACGCCGAAGTCCGAAATGGGTATTCATGATCTCCCTTGGAACATAAAATCATATAACGAGGATTGTGCCCTTTGTCATACCCCTTCAACTATCGTCAATTTTACTAGAGCTACCTCAATTATCCCACTGAATACCGCTGGTCGAGTGTTTTCTTTTTGCGTTACTCCGAAGAACCATATTCGTTCCACTGTCTATTACAGTTATCAGAAATTTCTTTATTGCTAAATTAGAACTACTGATAGCCTGAATTTATATGGTTTTCAGCATCAGAATGACTGAACTTACCAGTGATACGTCTGTGCTTTCTCCAACCCCTTCTCAAAAGGCCGGGGGTACTCTCGATATTATTCGGCAGGCAATCGACGCTCACGACAACCAGTTACAGTTAATTAATGAACAGGTACTATATACCTTTCTTGGGAATCCCCTCAGTGATAGTACAAATTGTCATTAACGTTTACCCACAGATACACAAGAACCCCGAGCTTGCGTATCAGGAATTTCAGGCACATGACAATATAACAACCCTGCTTGAAGACCTTCGGTTCGTGGTAAAGAGGCATGCATATGGTCTCGAGACTTCTTTTGTAGCAGAATATGGAAGCGGGGGGCGGGTTGTGGCCTTCAACGCCGAATATGATGCCCTCCCGGGAATTGGCCATGCATGTGGTCATAACCTTATTGCGACCTCCTCGATAGGCGCCTTCCTCGGTGTGGTCGCCGCGCTAAAGGCATCTATGCTTGCTGGTAGAGTTCGGCTGATTGGCACACCGGCGGAGGAAGACGGTGGTGGTAAGATCAAGCTCATCAATGCTGGAGCATACGAGGACGTGGATGCGTGTCTTATGGTTCACCCTGCTGCACATAAACGGTTCCCAGAGGGTGTCACAGGTGTTTCATATGTCAAGTCTAATGCAATTGTCAAATTCAGTGCCCGCTTTACTGGCCAACCAGCTCACGCGGCAGGAGCACCGTGGCAAGGTGTCAATGCGCTTGATGCGGTCTGTTTATCATACAATGGTGTTTCAATGCTAAGGCAACAAATACAACCCCATGAGAGAATTCATGGCGTGATTGTCGAGGGTGGAGTGAAGGCTAATGTTATCCCGGCCAGTGGAACTGTGGACTACTTTTGTCGAAGCACCAGTTTGGAAGAAGCCGAAGCTCTGAAGGCGAGAGTTATAAAATGCTTTGATGGGGCTGCCATCGCAACAGGCTGTTCGGTTGAATATGAAACGTGAGTAAAACGTGCAACCCAGTCGTGATTGCCATCTTTAGCACTGGTATCAAAGAAGACCAAAATTGTTAACGGGGTTCCATTTACTGCAGTCGCGAGGCGTACGCGGATCTCAGACCAAACAAGACTCTTTGTGAGAAATACGTTGATGCGATGGAGACTCTTGGCTTCCCAGTTGCAAGCTCTGGAGCCACGCAGCCCGGTTCAACTGACATGGGTACGTGATTGCTTTCTATGATTTGAAATTTTTGATATGACGCTTTACCTTCCGATATGCATTGATTCAATATTCAGTCCTGGCAGAAGGCCCAAGCAAACATACTAATTGTCATATGCACTCCAGGCAACGTAACGTACGTCTGTCCTGGGTTCCATGGCGGGTTCGCTGTTCCGGCCGACCCAGGTGCATTCAACCACACTCCTAGCTTCACCAAGGCAGCCGGAACAAGTAAGGCTTATGAACTCGCCATAAGAACTGCGAAGGGGATGGCTCTTGTGGGGTGGGATGTCCTGTACGATGATAGTGTAGCGGATAGAATCAGAAATGACTTTGAGGAGGATAAGAAGAGTCGGAAGGCGTCTCGTCATATTGGTTAAGGTGTGGTGATAGTGGATAGTAAGGAGCAAAACAGCCTTCGCTTGTCTTCCGCTAGTTTGTAGAGCTGACTTCAATTTATTATACGCCATTTTTTGATCTTGCAGTATTATCCGTATGAAGCCTGATAGTAGAAGTTGGTTATATGCACATATCCAGGTCGCGAATTGATACATCAGTCAGATCTGACAGATAGGTTAGAGCAATTCTGACAGGTGGACCCCTGCAAAGACACTCGTATATGTCTTTGGCTTTTGGGACACGTTAGGTTAGAGTCCTTTAGAGGACAAGGAATACTCATATGTTATTAAATTGTAAATGAAGAGATGAATAGTGACCTGGGAGAAGCCTTCGATAGCTGTTCTCTATTGCTAATCAATCAGTGACAGCTCGCACTATGGCGTTTGATGTGTCTGTCCTACTCGGATCAACTCCAGGCCTGTGCAATATTTGAGTAAAGCGGCAGATCAAACATACCAAAGCCGGGGTTGCCTACAAAGTGACACTGTGACAGGAGTCCAAGCCGCATTCTAATGTGATTGTAAGCTGCAGAGTAGTCATGTTAGTTATGCGTTGAGAGGGGATAACTATTACATAACTGTGTAGCTCACATGGGCTAATCCCGCACTATAAGCTCTAGGTTTCTGTCTTCTCTCCACTCCTATACTCTTACACTACATCTTCATCAGAAGTACTCAACTATAGTACATCATGGCGGAGAATGCGGGAGATTCAGCACCAAGTACTGTGTCTACTGCCAAAAATTCCTTTAACCATCCAAAACGTGTCATCTTACAACTCCGTCGAAACAACTGGCTCCCCAAACTTTGCTTCGAAGATTTAGATGATGCTATTAGAGTATATCTGGTATCTTCAGGGTGTTCAGTCGATGGACCTAGCCAAGATATTCATAGTATACATTGAGGACTGCCATACACGATGGTATTAGGATTCTTCTATATAACTATTGATCTTCACAAGGGTCTGCTTGGGAATCCTGATATAAATCGGGTGCAGCACGAGCTGTATTGTATTCACCGGGCTGAGAACGGTATAATGTATGGGTATACTATATCACACACTTTTATCTTCTGAGAATTTAGCTAATATCTATATAGGTCAGTCCGCAGGTTTCGGAACCCACTTAAAGAGCAGAGTGTGCTACGAAGGATAAGAATCTGCAGTGATATAATGTACCAATTGGAGCATATTGAGTCTTGGCTAGGCCCATTAATGGTGAGAAAGTCAAGTCTTTGCGAGATCTATCAATGGGGAGATGATTGAGTCTGTGCTAGGCATCTGGAAGACAAGCAGTCTTTTGTCAATTTCAGCAAGCTATATGAAGTATAATGCCTTATGTTGGTAGGGGATTCCAGTAGATAAGCGGTCCCACAAACACTTGGTTGTTTACGCTCAGATAGTTTCCGCGGGAGAGGCTATTTTTCCAATATTATGAAGACTTACATTCTTCCATGAAACACGGAGTAATGGTCAAATGAGACTATAACTTAGCATGATAGATTTGTACCTAGCTAGTAGTTCTATAATATCCCCACATCCCGTTACTGAAATAATCGTTTCCTTTGCCTTTCAAGGACGATCAATCGACAATATTCAATTGATGTTTTGTTGAATACATCCAGGATTCACGGATTCTAGTTCTTTTGCAATAGCCTCCCAGGCGTGCCTCTGCCATTTCTTTCCCTCATCATTTGTCACCCATTGAGGTACCACACTCCTAGCGTGCCAAGAACATCAGTATTGACAACAATCCATTTTCAAATCAAGTTCACTTACTCTCCGTTTTCGCAAGAATGAAGAAAGCATCCATGGCTCTCTATACCTGCCACGGCTCCATGAAGGAGTGTACGGCTACCGTCCTCCGCAGTCCGCCCAGACTGTGCAACAAAATTGGCCACGTTCTCCTGTACTTCAGCTGGCGCGTTGCGGCTTATCTCGGTCTTACATAGTCCTGGGCAGACTAGGTTCATAACAACACCTGTGCGTACTACCGGGACTAAGGTTGCCAGATGACGGACAGCCAAGGTCAGCATGAGCTTGGTAAGGGGGTATCTAGTGGTTTGTGTCAGCTGTCAAGCGTTTAGCGATGTTTAGTGAGGGGAAGACTCACAGTCCCATCATATCCATATCTTGGGAATCCATCTTAGCTAGTGGCGCATCATGAATATTCTTCCAAGCTTCCTGACAGTCAAACCCAGTAACACTGGTCACGAACACCAGACGAGGCATGGTTCCGTAATGCTGAGCACTGTCTCTCAGCTTTGGCAGGATGAGCATAGCAAGTAGAACCGTGCTTAGCACATTAACGGTGACGGGTAATGGGTGGCCCTCCGCCTCCATACGCTGCGACAATGCCACTCCCGCATTCTCAATGACGGCATCAATTCGATCAAGCTCTGTTGTTGCCCTCCGTGCAAACGCCTTCACAGAGTCATAGCTGGCAAGATCAAGCAGCCAAACCTCAGCCACACCAGTTTTTCCAGTGGATGTCTCAATGTCGTCTTTGGCCCTGTGACCAGCGCTGAGATTGCGCACCGCGAGGATCACTCTTTTAGCACCAGCACTAACCAGGTGCCTGGCTGCTTCCAAGCCCAGTCCACTGTTGGCACCGGTCACAATGTAGGTCCTCCTTGAACAGGTCTCGGGCGTCACCAGGAGGGGAAGACCGCGACGTTGAGTTGCGACAGTGGCAGACATGACTGTGATGTGCTCTTCAAGGTATGGTAAGTATAAGGCAAAGAGATCGTGTGATGTTGACCTTGACTCTGTACTCGTTCCGCAGCAGGGGGGTATTTATATGACATTATGAATCCTACGTTTTAGGTTTTTACAGAGTTAACGAACCAATGACAAACAGATTTTGTCTCATACTATGCGTAACTAACCTGCAGGGTGAGGTGTTCTCTTCGCAACCTTTCCTTATCTTTCCATTTCTGTACAGCGAAGACCGATATGCCCGGCAACTACGCCACGTACACAGATGTGGAAAAACAATCTCACTCGGGATATACTTTCCCATTGGTTAGGCAATTGCGTATACACGTTCGTTCCATGGTTCCTAAGAATTCAATTTCGCCGGGAAATCTTCAGATCCGAGACGGAATCCGGCAGTCTACAAGGCCGGAGAAAATAAACTAGAAAACCATATTAGATTGCTGTGGTGGGGATCATTGCTCTAGAATTAGCTTATAATAGCTCAAACTCTTATTAGACAGTTTCAGGCTTTCAGCAAGCCCCACCTCGCACTTACAGCCCTTTATGGTTTAGGCGAAGGATCTCCAAGCCGCGTATGAAATTAGGTTAAGAAGGCTATTAACTTATTAATAAGCCCAAAACTTAACTTGTCACCAGTCAGACTAAGGATGAATTGAGCTACCGATATGCTGCCTGAGAGAAACTGTCAATCTCCACCAAAAGTAACCAGGAAATTGTTGTACACTGCCTGAAGATTTTTTTGCTATCGAGAAACATCATTGTGACTTGGAACTTTAAGGAACATATCGAATCACATAGAAAAGCCTTTTTTCCACTATGGTCAACGCTGGTAGGCGATCAAAATGTTGTTTCACGTGTCGCCAACGACGCGTCAAGGTGCGGCAACTCTTCGAAAATGTGCTCTTAACCACCAAGGGTTTCAGGCTGACCGTAGCTACTCTTTGCACTCTAGTGTGATCTGCAAAGACCACATTGTCGGCGTTGTACGGATGGCGGACGTACCTGTCCCGGCTACCCGGAGAGCTGGGATGTCATGCTTCGCAAGCAGAACACTTTCGCTGAGAAAAAGGTCCAGATGCGGGTGGAAAAAGTCATGAGCGTTAGGAGACGCGAACAGCAAGAGAGACGGGTAGTCAGCCGCATCCCATGCGGAGTTCGCTTCCCTGCCGAGCTCTACAGCTGGAGCCATTTCTACAGGGATTATGCAATTGACTCTGGGTTTACATTCTTGAATATTCTCCCGGGTTTCTATACCAACAGCTCGTCAGCGTGCTGCCAGGAAGCACTCCACTCCGTTACCTTGGCTAGCCTAGCTCGCCAACGTCAGCAGTCCGAATTGATGGTAAGGGCAAGGTGGCACTACGGTAAGGCAATTACAGCGCTTAACTTGGCACTGAATGATCCGGTTATGACTGCTGACGATTCGGTTCTCATAACGTTACTTACACTTTCACTCTTTGAGGTAAGCTATCGTATTTATCCAGTTGGTCTTGTCCTGTCGGCTGTTTGATGCTCCCCTTAGTGTACACGTGCGTAGCAAGGAGACTCAATTTGAGGTACTAAGTTGTCCCACTTGCTAATTGTGGCTAGACAATTGTACCAGAGTCTTTGGAGACAATGATGTCTGATGTTGACTACCACTGCCATATCCATTTCCGTGGAACGTTGCTCCTCCTTCGATGGCGGGCTGAGCGGGGCCAAAATTCGGATCTGGACAAGCGCGTTTTTGCATTCTTCTCTTACATTTGTGTACGTATCTAGTCAACCCATCGGAGTCCATTCATGACCAATGAACCACTAACACGGGTATTCAGTTCATGAGTATCTTCGTGAATCACGAGTCAGGCGACTCGAAGTGGTCAGCCCTAGAGAAATTCACGGCTCCGTGGATGGATGGCCCCCTCTTAGAGCCAGTTCTGAGTCGGGCCGTTGAGTTTAGGAGACGGATCCGAGTTCCACTGACCGAAATGGGCCATGGCACATCTAGATTGGAAGTGCTTTCTAAGCTGATCAGGGACGGGGTTAGTATTAGTGACGATCTTGAAGCTGTAGCCACTGGTGTCCAATGCTCCACAGCGACAGAGCAACAGCCAACCGCATTTAATTGCCTTCTCGAGGTCTCTACCAAAACGGCACAGGCGATTGCGAGAAGTCTATATCGAACTATTAGGTACCACATCATAGAGTTAGTCATGGGCTTCATAATGGCGCTTGAAGCGGACGGCGAGGAGCATAAGGGGACTCATACGCCCCATAAACTAGCTGATCATCATCCCTTCTCGCATAATGCGCCTGTAATAATTCTTGAGCAAATATGCGAGGAAATTTGTGCTGTTCTTGGCTTCCACAGCGCGAGCGGTATGGAGGAAGAAAAGACCGGAATGGCTTATCGATCGTTTGGCATGTTTTTCCCTATGGTTGTTCTCTTATTCTCTTCGTTAGTTGGGGCAAGGAAGAAAGTCTGGCTCCAAGAAAAACTTCAGTTCATCGGCGAGACGAGCGGCCTCGGTCTGGCAACCTACGCAGCTGGAAGAGCTGCCTTAATGTCTAGAATATAATTATCAGCTTGGACAATGCTAAAAATGAATATGTCACTGGTCAGCAGCAAAGGCAGTCATATCGAGTTTGGTTCGCACGAAGAACCCGAAATGGTTTGGTGCGCTTTTACTTTGGTCTTGCTTCAGACCCACAGTATGAATCTACACACGGACGTATAGACTATGAAGGTTACCATTAGTTCCTCGCACCAAGGGACAGATTTGGTTTAGTGAACATGTGTGCACCAGCTGACAAGGGTCCTGTCCAGATTCTAAATTTGTGCTAGGAGCCCTGAGTGCCTACACCAACACTATCCCCTTGTTGGGGCGACAGGCATATGAAAGGGCTATAAAAGGGCCAGAGACACTTCTATCTGTGACTTATGCTCACACATTCTCAATTCAAGCATCATTCTACCATATTTTCTACAATCACACATCGGCAACTTTCCCAGCGCTTTTGTGCATAGCCAAATCCATACCAATAGCCATGGCACCCACTTTCAACGAAGAGACAAGGGCCAGTGATCTTGTCCGCCACTATAGCCCTCAGATTTCTGGCAAGACCATTTTGATCACCGGTGTCTCCCCAGGTAGCCTTGGTGAAAGCTTCGTCAAGCAAGTTGCCGTCGCACACCCTGCAACTTTTATCCTCGCCGGTCGCTCAATCCCCAAGATGCAGGGCCTCATAGAGGAACTCAGCAATACGAACCCACGCATCACAGTCAAGCCTCTCGCGCTTAACCTGCTCTCATTCGCCGATGTCCGCAAAGCAGCCGAAACCGTCAATTCCTGGACCGACGTGCCGAACATAGACGTCCTCGTCAACAACGCCGGCATCATGGCCGTGCCCTACAAACTAACCGAGGACGGCTTCGAAAGCCAGTTCCAAACAAACCACCTCAGCCACTTTCTCTTCACCAACCTTATCATGGGGAAGATCCTGGCCTCGGAGACCCCGCGCGTGGTCCTCGTCTCAAGTGGCGTGCACCGCATCGGCCATATCCGCTGGTCAGATTATAACTTCAGCGAAGGCAAGACCTACCAGAGGTGGCTGTCCTACGGCCAATCCAAAACGGCTAATGCCCTGATGGGTCTCGCACTGGCTGAGAGACTCGGCTCCCGAGGCCTCCTAGCCTTTCCACTCTGTCCGGGTACCAGTTTCACGAATCTTTCGGCCCATGGAAAGGATGATTTGGTCGCCTTTGCGGCAGATCTTACGGAGATGGACAATATTTATGGCAATAAGTGGTTCTGCGGCATGCCGAACTTGAAGTTCAAGGATTTGGATCAGGGCGCGGCGACGCATGTTTTTGCTGCTTTCGATACCGGCATTGTGCAGCGTAATGGCGCTTTCCTGAGTGATTGCCACATTGCAGATCCGCATGAGGAGGAGGTTTACCCGTGGGCAACGAGCAAGGTTGACGCAGAGAGACTGTGGAAGTTGAGTGAGAAACTTGTTGGTCAGGAGTTCAACTATTAACCATGACATATGCTGGATGATACTATCTTCCTCCTAGGCTGGGCGCGGCTAGGGTGGCTGATCTCCTTTCTACCTCTCTATGTCATTCCGTTGACTATAGAAATATTGAAATGTCTAGGTTGTGAATTGATGTACGGAGAAATAGCACATCATAGTGACATTCATCTATATATGTTTTTGCCACAGTATTATATTCGTCATACACCGTCAAAAGCCTATGCATTGACGGGACCAGTTACAGTTGAATTTTAAATCTCATTCTCGTAATATTCCTACATCAGATCAATAAGCAAATACAAAAAGGGTGTATATCCGACATTTGTAGGCCTCTATTATATATGGTTCGAACCTGTTTTGTTGGTTGCAGTGAGGTCACGTGGCCGGATAGACATTGGCCTGGCACAATGGCTGAAGCGCAATTTTTGATAAAGTGTCACCGTCATTCAGTTCTGCTGGCTTTATCGAAGCGAATCGCTCGGTGGTCAAGCTCCTAGTTGTTCCGTTTTGTATACCATGTAGTTAGATTCAATCAACTACTATAGTATCATTCATCATCGACCTGATCATCGACCAATCATCGTATTCGGCTCCCTGGAGGACGATTACGTATGGGACCGGGTTTATATAAATCATAGGAACATACTTTTCTTGTATCTTCTTTATCTGACCTGAGAGGGTAGTATGGCAATGGTCAGCATCACCAAGGCCAAATACTTATAATTCCGGTTAGCGATCTGCGCATAACGTAAAGGATCGGATTCTACATCTCGGAGACATATGGTCCTCCTCCGAAAAGGCAGCCTTGTTCAGGTTGGCTGAAGGCTAGGTTGACGGGCCTGGCACATATCTTTATTCCTAGTCACAGGATTACCGAGTCAATCTGTATCAATTCAATAATCTAGGCTTCAAAGTCTCAGGTTCATGCTACAGGGTTCTATAATTCCTGTTTCCTGCACTACTATCACTGGCCTAAGTAAATATAGGGGAGTTCACACATGGGAGACCTTTATACAGAACCATACTCAGCATGAAATGGTTGCAACTAAGAAAGACTTTATATCTCACGCAACTCAGTATGTTGTGACTAGAGCTGGCAAACTTGACAAATGGACCATTGTTGGTAGTACGCTGAGAAATAATTGGTTCTATATCTGTAACTGTACATTTGCATTACATGCATTCCTTCCTCAACATGCTGGGCTGAATAGATTATACATGCGTCTAGTATGCTATCCAAGCATCTATTCTTCTAATCCTTGTGCAGGCATCCAGCTCACAGCAATTGGTTCGTGTTTACCGCTTAGAATCCTCTTATCTTTGGACCATAGCTGGAAAGACAGGTCGGCAGGTCCAACAACAACCTTTACCTCGAACACCGTTCGCCAAAATGCAGGCTTCATGCTGTACCAGTGACGATTCTTTAGCTTCTTATCGACAGCATCCACAGAAATATCGAGGCAGCAGACTTTTTGGACACCCTTTTCTCTCATGTTGTATGGTAGAATGTCAGGGGGTAAGGTTGACATGACGATTTGTACCCTCCAGTGGTCATTCTCCCGGCCGGGGTCTACCTTGAGCTGAAACTCTTTTGTTATACCGGTGTATGGGATTGGGGAGCCCTATATCGTGATCAAGTCTGAGTAAATATGGAGTGTTCGCCTGGCATACAAAAGGATAGTTGCTTACCTGAATTATCAACCAGTCAATCTGATCCACGGCAAACATGTTGTTATCTCGGGGATCCAAACGTACTGGTTCCCCAACATGTTTATTCGGGTCATAGAGCTTGTCGCACATGATCCCGTAACTTACAGGGGCACATCTTGACCCAAATGTGACTACCCCACGTTTTATACGCTGAATTCGATCTAGAACGAGACCATGGACCACTACAAGTTGCCTGTCAAAAGGAAGGATAACATCAGTATGCTAACATGTCTAGGCCAGCCTGATTTACTCACGGTTCATCTGCGAGAAGAACTTGCATGTCTTCCGCATTCGGGTGCTTATACTCGGCTGAACTACCGAACCTGTCTATCAAACATTGCCTTATGTACGGGGAACTTCCGAAACCTCCTGAGAGAACGAGGTACGTCTATTTCGCCGTAAGCTATTTGCAGTTGAATATTAGTAGTGATGAGGCGTACATACTATTTGGTCTCCAGGATACTTAGCGTGCATTCTCTTGATATGTCCGTCCAGCAGAGTACACATTTTATTAACCATCAAATCAAAACAATCCTTGATCTCTTCCCTAAAAATATATTAGCTGCTAATACCAATCACCCGTTGGTAATGAACTAGAGTAGAAGTTACCATGCAATATGCATTTGACCATTGTAGATCTCCGCTTCTGGTAAGTCCAGTATAGTTCCTAAAGTTGGAACGTCGAGCTTCAACCATGGCGTTAATATAGCGTCTGTACCAAAGGCGCATTTCAACCGTTGGAAACGTCCTGAAGTCATGATCCATGCTGCATCACTGGGCGAGAGTTCTAAATGGTCACGGACCTTTTCCAGCCTTTGGCAAATGAGGTGGTGGATTTTTCTATCAATAAAAACAGAGCCAATCGGTTGTCCTATTGGCTTGTTAACTCGAGGTCTTCAAACATTCACGATAGTCTAGGCGTGCCATACCTTCAACGTGGCCCAATTGCTCCAGTCTAGTTGGCTCACCCCGGGTTGAAATAAGCTTTAGCACATTCACGTCCTAAATCATATATTAGAATGCGGCCATGAACTCCTGCTAATGGGCTAACCAACCGTAGTGCCTCCACCTGCGTCACAGACAAGAATGGTATCATCTACCTACAAAAAGACTTTTAAATTTCGATCAATAATACATAATAAGGTCACCCATAGTTACGTACCATATAATGTTCATTCCCGGCATACACGGCCGCTGCCTCTGCTTCGGTGAGACCTATAACAGCGCGGTGGCGCGGCGTCTTTGTGTTAATGACGCGTTCAAGAATAGCCCGTGTTTCTTCAACCATCCGTACATCTTTCCATGTCGTGGGCACACTAAAAAGAAATTCCACTTGGCGCGAGCCAAATTGTGGGACGGTAATATTGAAGTGGGATACTACGTGTTGATATATGGACAGGATGTAGTCCTGAAACCAGCGTTGGGCCTCCTGTCGAGTAGGGCCTCCCCGAGTTTCATCTTGATGCTGAGGCGCAAGGTGTAGCTTGAAGAACTCCTTGATATCTGACCCCTTCACTTCTGGATCGCACTTGAATCCCCAATTTTGAACTTTGCCTGATTCAGTAGAATACTCAATGGAGGTAGGGACTTTATTTGCGAGCTCTCCTGGGAGCCTTCCCGGCCAACGCTGGATTGTCTTTGGGGGTAACCATTCTGGGCCACAGGAATACGCGACCCCTATGTAGTGGACCATCGAGCGAGGGTCAGTTCGAGTATCTGGGTTACATCAGGGCCGTATGTGTGTACCTGTATAGGTCATCCCAAAATCTATTCCTACCACAATATCTGGCGTCCAGCACTCTGGAAAGCCTTCCACAACTTCTTTATCGCCCATTCTTAAAATTCGGAAAGATACCAATTTCTGGCGGTGCTGGTAGTGGTTTAGAAATCATGTTCTCGTGAAGGCCTTAAGTGGGTCGTGCTCTGAATTTGAATGGTTTCCCTACCCCCGACCCGAGAGTGCGCCACTTCTTCCCCTGACAAGGGTATAGGGAATTCCCTCCAAGTCCACTGGCGCCAAATACCCAAGAAGGATCCGTCATAGCGCTATGTTACTAGTGGTAACAACCTTCGCCGTGGCCTTACCCCGACTGTTAGCGCTGGTGCTCTGATTTGGCCCTTCGCCCGACGCTTAAATACACCGAAAGATCCGGTCGCGAACCGGGGCGTGAGCGAGATTCTACTCTGAGAACCCCGACTTGTGATTTCGAGCAGCTTATTCCGCGATGGATGAGATACTATGGGCTCGACAAGTAGCAACCCCAACCACGGCTTCGGCTAGTACAACCTCTTCCCCCCAGGCTGCAAATCTTGAAACCGCTCTTCCTTCCTCACCTGGTGCCAATCCTACGTCGAGCTTAGCAAACACACCCGGAAACTCCGAAGCCGCTCTTCCCTCGTCATCTGTTGTCAATCCTACCTCGAACTCGGAATCCAGCAGCGTCGCAGATGCTACAAGTAGCTTCTTTGCCACGTCAGCCCTGCAGTCGTCCTCGAGTTCTGAGTCTAGTAGTGTTGCAACCGCTTCAAGCACTTCCGATATACAGCATCCGAGCAGTGGACTAAGCGATGGGGGCCTTGCGGGCGCAATTGTAGGGTCTATCTTAGGGACCTTTATCTTCACGCTACTGGGCGCTTTCCTTTTCTTTCGTCGCGGTAGACAGAACAAGTCCCACTCCGAGAGGACCCTAGTGACATCCCCGGACATCACGAAAGGACTGGAACAGACCTACTCTCACCCTATTCAGTCATCACTGCTGTCCACGAACGGGACACAGGCATCTCATTCAGTTCCTGTCGGGGCACAATATCTCAACTTAAGCGCATATATCCCACAACCGGCAGATGACGGTACTGTGTCTTCGCGCATCCAGACTTTATTTGATCAGGCCAGTCTTCATGTCGACAACTATTACTCTACAAGACTTACTAAGCTCGAATTGTCGCAAGACGTCACCCATAGCATCGAACACTATGATTCCACTTTCCTGCCCGCTCCGCTTACCACCATGCTCTCTAACTCAAGGGCGAAAAGGAGCGTGCTCACCCATGTCTTGGTTCGAAAGTTACTGCAAGCCATTCAGCCCGGGAATGAACCAGAGTGCTTGCTTCCGGTGCTTTACGCGTCAGGTCCACGACTGACGCCAGATAACGGTAAGATGTGACCTCGTCCGACTCTACATTTGGATCCCATTTAGCGTAGCTAACTATGTTTCTTAGGTGACGACCGTGCTATATTCGCTTGGCGAATGCTCACGGCATATCTCCATAGGGCAGGAGGTCCGGGCCAGGAAACAATTCCTATTGACCCTCCAGAAGATGCAATAAGGTCTTTTGCCGAGGATTTCACCTCGACGTTTGCACCATACAGTGACTCTCAGTTCCCGGATTCAGACCGGTTTGCACACCTAACCAGGGTGTTTAGAGCAGCGTCTGATCTTGGAGCGTGGCTGTTCTCTCAACCGTGCACCTTTGACTTTCGCTGGGATACAAGTTCAACCCCACCAGGCCAGACTGTCGTACTTCCGGCGGTGGTGAAGGTGTCCGATGAGTTGGGTCAGCGGTTGTTGGCGCCTCAGACGTTGGTGGAGAGAACTGTTGCTCGGATTTAAGAGGAATTTTCCTCACGGATTGGTAGACTCGCTGACGCGTATTGTATTCTGTCTGAAATTTGTATACGTGATATTTCGTGATGAGCTATTTTATCTTGCGACGATTTGTTGGGAATGATTCGAGTAAACTAGGATCGTTAGTTATTCTGTGACGGTGTACAACCCATAATTCGCTGCAAAGAAAGCTGGTTATATACACACACAGAGAAGAAAAAAAAAAAAAAGAAAAAAGAGATGAAGAGAGAAACAGAAATATCGAAGGTCAAATATATAGATTGTACCTTAGACATCACCGTCAAACTGACGCGCTATGTGAACAACAGACCGCTTACTCTCAGCAATGGACCCTCTCGACCGACGCCAAGCCAATAAATCATCTATTTCGCAGTCCACAGTACCAGGGGCTAGTGTACGCTTCTCGGTGGCTTTACTGACCACGGATTCCAGCTTCGTGGCACCGGAAACCATGACCATCTCTTCAATCGGCCTGTGAACACGGTACTCCAATCTGTTTCCACTAGGAGCCAATATCTTGCCCTGAACTGGCTCAGTAGGTATGACCTCCAACTCGCTAACCTCAAGAGAAACACTCGAAGATACCCCAGCATCAAGCTCATATGTCCTCTCAGATGTGGACAACGAAAGATCCACCTGCCGGAGATAACTCAAAACTCCGATCAGGCTACGATGACACGCCAGCAACCGCTGAGTTTTATTGATCGTGCGCTGACCATCCCGATACTTCCAGCGCAATTGTGTCCGCAGACTCAGCCTCCCATTGCCGATCTCTAGCTCTATGCGGATCGGCTCTAAGAGCACGGCTATATCGTGCGCTGCATCCGTGATGTCGGAGATCGTGGAGTTTATCCAGGTCTTCTCGGCGGGATCTAAAAGCGAGGCTTTGAGCTGTCGCAGACGTTGGGCTTCCTGGAGCTGTGTGCGGATATGCTTTGTTATCTTGAGGAGCTCGGCTGCTTGTTCGGTTGCCGAAGATGATTGTTTCGGGGCTTGCAAGGATGTAGTGGGTGATATGGAGGTGAGTACTGGTGATGATGATGCGTCTTCGGGTTGGGCTGTTGATGATTCGGATTGACTTAAGCTTGGGCGTCCTGGGTAGAAGAATCGTGAGCGTTTTGCTGATAGTGCCATTGAGGGTTGAAGGTGGAGGATTAGAACTTAGGGCTGGTTTGAATGTATTGGGTTATGCGGCGGTGGTGGGGATAAGAGAATGGTTTGAAGCACTCATGTGCAAGGTGACATTGTCAATTATTTCTGTTCTTATTTACAAGGTTCCCCTCAGTTTTCCCTTTTCTGGTATTAGAGACTTATTTTTGGGTAAACAGGGATATAACCTCATCTAGACTCGGCCCGGACCTAGAGACGCTCGCTGGTGGGTGGAGATTCCCCTATTACGCTAGGGCACCTAGGTCCGCTTTTGCTATTTATTATTGGTCTTTCAATTACGGGTCCTGGTGGTTGAACCATTCACTTTACTAGGTTCGTGCATGGATATATTCCTGCGTTCCTGTCTGACCTAGATCCCACATAGTGATAACCTGTGTTACTGGTACGTGATACACTAGCTTCGTAAATAGGCCGCGTTTTCCCGAGGCTCGCCATATAATCTCAATGAGACGTATTCTAACCATACTTCCTTGTGTAGCACTTAGTCTATCTGCATCCGCCCTAGAAATTAGTGTAGCTGACCGGTAAAGCAGCGAGCCCCATACGGACCTTCGGTCTTCTGGGCGAGCTCACATATTTGGGTTGACGAGGACTGAGCGCCTGGGAAGCCCTGTTTTCTACACCTTATAGTCGTGTGTGCTGGTATATGGCGCATTGGTGAACTTGTTATCATTCTTCTGATTACTCTGGAGATGGATAATTGAACGAAAAAATTGGTCGGTTGCCTTGGGGCTTCGGACAATATGACAGGGGTGATATTCCTTGTTCGCTCTTTTGTTATACATAGGTCTGCCTGTGCAAAAATTGCACTAGACTCGTAGTATCTTTCTACCGACTGAAAACACAACCTTTCATCGGGTATACCTTAAGCGAAGATAACGCACTATTCGAGAACGGACATCTAACACTTTAGATAAACTGATGCCCTGTGCGGGCGGCATACCTAGTATGATTCCCCGTATATCTATATTGGGCAGAGCACTATTGCATCCGCAGAACCTTATTCATGTCGAGGTCGTTCTGTCTAATGAAGCTCTCCCGTGTCATCGCTTCGCAAGATCGCGCCTCGAGTTGTTTAGTACAGTATCTCACTAAGCCTGGTGAGGTTATGGTGGACCTGGCAGGTTCAATGACCCAAGCCTACCTGGCCACGGGATGGACCAAACCGAAGTTCATACCCGAGCAATATCATGAAGAGGAGGTGCTAGAATACCGAGCAGCACGTCAGTCACTCAAACGAGCCAATGAGGCTCATAGAAAACAGATGCCATTCCGTTGAAGTATTCCCGCGACCCATTGGAGTTTCGACCCGGATTTCGAGAGAGTGGAGGCCGCCCTCTCCCTCGAGCTGAAGGTTGTATACGAACGCGATACCGCTCCCATCAATAAACTCCGCTACGTACTGCTTGGACATATCCCATCAGACGCCCGAATCATCTTGGAACTACGAAGCAATACATCCTAGTCTGTCTTGTTCCAAAATTGTATTACGTATCGACTACCTTGTGACGACACCTTGAATAGCGTAGGTCATCTCTCCTTGGACACTACGTCAAGCCAGGTAGTCTAGGCTTGATGGCAGACTGAGGACCGTTACTTCGTTGATATCTCGACGGACCAGGAACTTCATCCAAATTCGAAGCGATGTGGAAAGAATATTCGAACTCATCTGGGCCCACGCAAAAGCGGGCGAAATGAACCTTTTGAGGGATACCCTTTGCGGCTACTTCCCCGGAATATCGTCGGCCATAAGTTATAACATGATACATAAGACTTGGTGTATGGCATCCTCGCAACCGCCCTGTCATCTTCAATGCTCTATCTTTCAAATTTCGAGTCTTACACTAACACCTGTCAGATCACATGTGTATCGCCTATCGCTGTATTGTCTAGGTCCAGACAGAATCTGATACAGAAATTGTTGCTGTGTGCAGATGGCAAGTTGGCAGTTGACCCTGTAGTTATTGTAAAGATCGCCTATTGCTTATATTTGCAGACGAGGCCGCAGGGAAGTAATAATGTGTCGCTTTTGAGAAGTTCAGTGATCTTTTCAGACTATTCAGCAAGATAGACTGCAAAATGAAGGTATCACTGGGTAGCTTTTTGACGTTCACAGCAGGTCTACTAGCCGCTACTCAGCCCCCATGTTGGATGGCTGTTTAGGTTTAAATACCTTACATAGTGATTAGTTTGAATAATTATCGTTAGGTGCTCTAATGATGGTAATGAGATACTATACAGGAACCATGGATCATGTTAAATAAGTCATATGTATCTCTTGTCCGACGGTGGTTAGCGTGGACAGTCAGGTAGCTCCGGGCACCACTCCGTAGCCTGGCTTCTAGCTAGCTCTTTCAGGGTTGACGGATGTGAGTGCCTCATTGGCGATATTGCCTCAGACTCTGGACGTACTGTTAGTGTTTGACTTTTTTTCAATTGAGACTGGCGATACTTGAGGTAGGTAACGGCACCGAGCAGGAAATCTACTTGTAGTCCAACGCCGACACCAACGCCAAGTGGGATCCTTGCGGCGGAACGAGGCCAGATTCAGATGCCGATACTTTCGAGGTTTCAGTAGGAAGAGATGGCGCGCCACTAGCATACGAGAATGTTGATGAAGTTGCTGACGGCAGTTCGGAACTTGATGTCGCTCTATAAGTCGCCGTTGCCATGGTCCGTTTCTTTTCGGTTATGTTGAGGTAATTCGAAGTAAATCTATCGAGTGTATCGGCGCTGATCCAGAAGTAGATCGGTGAGTCTCAGGACTGAAACTGTATGTTTGCACGGTCTTGATAAAATGCGTCACTCAGATGTTGTGCACCTATGCTTCAACTTTTGTCGTGGTTCTCGGTCCAGTAGGTTCCACGTGGAAAGGAGACGATGAGAACAGGATATCAATGCGTACAGAATATGTTTCTCACATTAGCCACACTCCTTTTAATGACACTCTCTTGCTACATAGGGACATTAAAAGCAGTTAGGGCTGCCACCTATGGGACTCATTGCTGCTCGCCCAGAACCCAGATGGGATTTTCAGTCGAGTCAGCAGGGTATTCCTAGGGTATTGTAGGCTGACGAGTGTAGTTGTCAGCGCGATAGACAAAGACGAGTTGTGTTCATATATATATAGCGCAACGGCATTAGTGGCCTTTCCATAGGTGTTCAGGGCCACGTCAACTTGCTATTTGATTATTACTCGCATGGTGAATGGTTATTTTGATGACGATGAATGCTGATGTAGAGGTTATAGATTGAGGAAAATAAGAGCGCTGCGAGGACGACCAAGCAACAGCCAGGTTGGACGTTGGTTTCTCAACCTAGCCTAGTAAAATGACCGGAAGGGAACTTCCTAGATTGGTCCGAGATCAGGGGATATCATGCATGTGTCAAATACACCACATATAGCTTACCTGATGTATTGGGGTTGTGGAGGTTTATTGTACACTGGGCGAAAAGGAAACAACGACACGGGTGTATAACCCAATATTGACATTCCAGTCTGGAAGAATAGTGCTCATACACTCCCTTTGCTAATCTCATGTATACCAGTATTGTCAAGTGTCTTCAAGACCCCTTCCGGTAACTTCAACTGTGTGGGATCAAGTTCACGAGCTGGTGTGTCCTCCAATACTGCATGTACTGTGCGTTCACCGTTCAACAAGTGACCCGCATTGTACATGGCACTGTATATGGTTCCAACTGGGGTCTCCTTATCGACCCAACCATCGTCATTGTGGATGTCCGACCCCCTTGCCTTTGGACCCGCCGCCTTCCATAGTCCGATTAATGATGGGAAGGGGGCAATACATCTCAACGAGCCGCTTTGACAGAACCGACCCATGGCCACGTCGAACGGAGCTCCATCACCTGTCGGTGTCAAGGAAAGCCCAGAAAGAATTTTTTGGGCTCCACGATAGGTAATTGCATATCCAAGGCTACATACTCCATCATGTAACCTTGCTACCAGGCGAGTGTTATTGTCAGCACCCGCAGGAAACCCGTGCCAGTATCGTGGTAGCTCCGGGAGAGGCACGACTGTGATATCATCTGTTGTCACATGAATGGGACCAGACTTGAACGCTACCCCACAATGTCCTATCCACAGCAGGTCCCAAGAGTCCCCATAGGGTGAATGTGATGGTCTAGTATCACCTTGCAGTAACTGCGAAGCGGAGGCAAATCGTTGAAGTTGTTTCTTTAAGTTCACATCCCAGTCCGCGTCGTCCTCCATGATGAATGCGGTGGAGATCCGGTCCTGTACTATTCTAGAGTACACAAGTCGGTTCAGCGCGAATCAGAGAGGATTTCACCATTCTGCCTATCTTTTCGTACCTTTGCATGACATTCATATGTGCCCGCCAGGCCCCCATCTCCCCTGGTTGCTTGTCATAATCCCAATTCTAAGGCAAATCGCAAGACCTTAGTAGCGACTCTATCGGGCATCCGAGCGAAAGTGGCACTTACTGAAGGGTATGCCTTTTTGTCAATGTCGTCTGCAAATACCCCGTTCACTGGCTCTGGGTGGAACTGTAGGATCGAGGATGCCAGTGTTATATAGTCACGCTTGTCCGGTCTGTTCGGCATGTTGATGAAGAAGACCTTCTCGAACTGGTGCAGGATTATCAGCAATCGACATGATCATATTGCTGCGCGTCAACAGGAGTACCCCAAGAGTCTCATTTTTCACTGCGTCTAGATCGCGGCGGGTGGCCCCGGACGCGCTGGCGCTCGCTCCTGTATAGGATGAGTGCGGCACCGCCAAGAAAATTAAGAGAATTATTACAACCACCACCGCAGCCTGCAATAAAGGACGATTGATTAACTTCATTAATCTAGCGAGGTTGGCCATTTTGTTCGTGATAGGGAAGAAGGGAAAAACGCCCCCCCGTCAGCCTGTGGAAATGGGCGGCAGGCGATCAAAAAAATGGAGTTTGGAAAACATTTAATTATTCGCGGTGCCCATTTGTGAACAGTGGATCCAGCAGGCGGACTTCGACTTAAATATTTATCCTTTGTTTGTTCTCGCCCCACCGACTGTCGTTGGTCTTTGGTTGCCTCTTCGCCTTAGACCAGTCTATCCGGTTCAAGGAATAAGTCGCGTGAGTTTACTAAGCTTATTCCTGTGAAAGTCTTGGCTGGCACTGATCATTGCGCGGTCTGGAATTGGAAAGGGACCAATACAATTAATTGCCTGACTCGTGAGACCGGCTGTCACTCATTCAGGTAATTTCTGATACACTGGGAAAGCATCCCTACTCGAAGTGGACCAATTACACGGAGTATCTGGAAAAAATACCATGAGAGAAGGAGAAATTACAAACCCCACTCCGATGTCTATTGTCCACGTTGTTCCATCCCCCGGCCGGTGTTGGCCAGCGGGCATTAATTATACGCACAGGTTTGAGTGACACATGGGCACCCATCGCAGTACTCAAACAAAGGCCTAGGATGATTCTTGACTCCCTAGTACGGAGTACTAGGATTGGCATTGGCTGGGTACATGAGACCTTCTGAAACCTGGGGACTGAGGGACAAGGGTCTTTCAGGGATCATGATGAAATCGACCAATGTGCTGCGGAGTCCACGTTCCAAGTGCCCACAGTGGGGACCAACGAGACCCTGAGGCTTAGCCCTAAATCGCTGCGATCGTCGGCTCGATACGACTTTGCCTATCTATTTATATCTCAATGATTATTTCTTGTTTTAGTATTCTCCTTCCCACGCCCCGGAGCAACGGGCAGGAAATCCTTGATTTATAGATTCAAAAGTAAAAGTGTTTAATGTTATCGAGCTATTTTTCCCGATATTTAAGCTAGCCGATATAACTCTCACCTGTCCAGTCGGTAATTATGTACATAACTACTATTGTTTAGTTATGGAATATGTATTACTAATCGATGATTGGTAAGCGCTACACCCCTTTGGCAACTTTCAGACAACGCATCCATGTCGCATCCCATGAGTACCTCGCCACCTCCCACTCCGCCATCGAGGGCCTTAAGAGATAATGAATGGAGATTCGAACCTATTACATTGCCATGTGAGTGGGTGGAGGATTACCGCCCAGGTGGTTATCATCCCGTCGTTCTCGGCGACATCTTCAAGAACGGCCAGTACAAGGTCATCCGGAAGCTGGGCGAGGGCTCCTACTCAACCGTGTGGCTGGCCCGTGACCTGAAGTAAGCTCCTCTTTTGCAGTGTGTAGATTATCGTTACTTATTTCCGGTAAGAAACAGTGGATATGTCGCCCTGAAGATTCTTGTGTCGGATATCTCGGGATCGACAACCGAGCTACGAATCTTACGTCACATCACCGAAGTCGCTCCGGTAGTAGGGGCCCGGCATATCACACGACTGCTAGGTGAGTTCGAACACCGCGGCCCCAATGGTGTCCACAGATGCCTAGTATTTGAGCCGATGGGTCCGAGTGTGAATACTATGGTTGAGGAGCTGCCGCAATTTAAACCTCGCATGCAAGGAATGAAGATCCGCTATCCGCTTCGGATTGCAAAGAGCATCCTCAAGCAATCATTGCAGGCTCTTGCATTTCTCCACGAAAACGGTATCGCCCATGGAGACTTCCAACCGTGCAACATACTTTTTACTCTTGACGATATCAACTCAACGCCTGAGGACCTGCTGCGGCAGGAAGAAGATGTACAAGCCGAGTCGATCTCACCCCCGGTACAGAGAGTAGACGGTAAAGAAGATAAATGGGCCCCTCGATATCTTTGCGTTGGGCAACCCCTAGTGCCCTTTACCTACTATGGCGAAGGTTTCAAGGTCAAATTATCCGATATGGGCGGCGGTCAGTCCCTCCTGTTTCGATTATTTGTTTCTTTTTCTTGACCAACATTTTATACTCATATCTGTCTATCCCGAACAGCATATTTCTTCACCGACCCGCCAGCAAAGCCCGTTACTCCACTCGGTCTTCGAGCTCCCGAGTTGATTCTTACCGGAACCGTTGACAATACGCTTGATGTCTGGAGTTTCGGCTGCCTTGTCTTTGAGCTTATCACCGGACAGCCACTATTCTGTATACCGGGGTCAGACTTTGAAGATGACGATCATCTTCTCTCCCTCACCGCCCGGCTCGGCGCCCTCCCCGACGAGCTCTTCAGGCATTGGAATGCCTCATCGCTCTACTTTACGCCCGAGAGGAAGCTCTTTAACTGTCAACTTGGAGGAGTCGCTCCGGGGCAGGAACCTCTTATAATGGAGCAGACGTCCATGGAGGAGTTATTCGATCAGGCTAGCCCAGATCTTGATGAGAAGGAAGCCCACGAAGTCAAGGCGCTCATTCGATGGATTTTGCAATATGATCCCGCGAAGAGACCTTCGCCTGCGGAAATCTTGTCTGATCCATGGTTCTGTGAAATTGACGTCGAGAGCGGCTCGTCCAAGGTATCCCTAGTCTAGTTATACTTCCGTCACGCGTAGCCATCATCCTCCAGACAATGGTACTCTACACCATAGAAGGAGTTAGAGTAACCTCGAAGGTTGTCTTGGACCCAGACAGCAAGTGTCTGAAAGAGTATATAGATTTTACGTAGCAAACACCTCTTGGTATGCCTGTTTTATATATCTTGAATATGGTACAGTACAGACCTTGCCTTAGTGTGAGATGTGTGTAAGATTGCGAAGAATGATCAATGGGAAGTTTCGGATACCAGCTTCGAGCATGCATGCATAGAGAATGATCTACTATTCTCAACCCATCCTATAGGATACCGAGCTTAAAAGTGGTGATGGTTTGGAACACTTGGCAGACGTTGTTTTCCGTTGACTATGTTTACTCTTGATTGGTCATAAATATCCAACGGACTGATTGGCTACTTCAAAGTTCTGGCTTCGGTTTGTTTTATAAGAAGCTGACACTGTGCAGAGACTAGTTGTAAGTCATGAATTCAGGCATTATCCGGGTGATATATATACATACCTTGTCTCATTAATTCACTTCCCACTGTTTGCGAGGGTCAATAACCATGCCCATAATGCTGGAGAATGCAAGGAAATTCCAAGAATCCTTGATGAAACCCTGACTTCCTCCATAACTACCTATACCATGACCCCATTCTGTATTACCAAAGACAGAGACAGTGGAGGATATCCTCGCAACGAATAAATGGCACCGTTGGGAGGTGAGGCAAGCCGTGGCCCAAAACACAAGGAAACCTGTTCACGTCCAAGATGACCTAGTTTAGGCTTAGCAGCTAGAAACTTGGTATGGGGACAATCGCAAGGATACTTGCGACGAAATGAAGCTTGCGATGGGCGCACATGTGTTAGGTACATACAAAGAGAGAGAGAGAAATTTGCATTATACCCGAATACAGCCCCCCTTCCGGGGCTCTTCTTGGGTCGCCAACGGCCGTTTAGTATAGTACTAAGCAGCTCCTATTGACAGTTGTGTCATAAAATATGCTTCATATATAACATGCATACAGTAAGGGGTCTTGGATTAACGGTGACCATAGTAGACTGCTTCCCCCCTTTCCAGGCTCAATTGTCATATGTCTGGTCATATGACATTCTAAGCAGTTTATCATGAGATAGTGGAATGATCCTAGAACAATACATGAAGAATCATCTCATAAGGAAACCAACCATCAAGAACCGCCTCCCAACGGGAGTATGACATCAATACTACCATTTATAGGGTTGACTTAATAGTCTATATAGACCACAAGGTAGAAGGAGTACTGCATACTGGATGTGTTAATATATACTGTATATACACGTGAAATTCAGCAGCGGGAACATATATTTAGAAGGCATCTATATAGGTAGACTTCTAGGGCTCACCGAGCCTACCGCAAGATGACAAGACCGACAGGCGAAGGGGGAAAAATGAGTTATCTTCCGAATGTTACCGATCATCCCTACTAAGTGTGTTATTAGGATCTCCATCCTAGTAGCTAAGAAGTGGATCAGAGTGTGAGATTTTATAATGGGTCTTCGCTACATACGTCCTCACTTTAAATAAGCTTCATACTGTAACTTGCTACCTAGCTTTCACGTCTGCTCACTGGCCCACGTGGTCACCAGAACTTCAATGTAAGGCGCAGAGAGATCAGGCTTCACCTTCACTCTACGGAATTGATTGATGGTCATTTGTCATTATGGTTGTCAAATTATCCTCCGCGCGGATGAAACCTTCACCAGTATAAAGAGTAGCCGGTCAAATGAAGACAAGTATAAGATGTAAAGTCTACTGTATGCAGAGTTCTTCTTGATACCACCTATAGTAGCTGCACTCCAAACTATTCACATCGTGCAGCGGTCATATTATTATTATCCTGGAACCTTTTATTATATTCACAGCGCTACTATACAGACAGTTAATAGGCCCTTGAAAACGCGCATAGGCCTACTCACCCAATCTTTGGCCTCCATCTAGTTCGTAAACAGATCTTGTAGACCCTCGCAATTCACTGCGCGCATTGCTACCTGCTTCTAACTCCCGCCGCGGGTGTTCAGCTGGCAGTTCACCTCCCACGCGGTCCCTCACCACCGGTGCATTGTCGGACCACTTTTCCGCCAGCAGTTGATTCCGATTATCTCGCCGTCGCTTTTTCAGGATGAAGAAGATTATTGCCAAGATGATAGCTACGCCGGCAACGCCCCCTACTACACCACCGACTATCGCCCCGATGTCAGTCGATGAATTACTAGCGCCACTTGATGGGTCGGATTGCGCATCCGTTGAGTTGGTAGAATTGTGGGTTTTCTGCACAAAAAGTGATTCCAGAGCTGCGTCAGCCCATGTTGATGGATAGGGCGTGGATTTGATGTCATTGGCTGTTGCAGAGGGGACTGAATACGCCGACAGTCTAGGCTGTGGATGGGTCAGTTCGTATCGTAGACAGTTGAGAGAAAACGAATAACCATACGTCGAATTGGGTCCGGATGACCTCGGATTGAGCATCATATATAAAGGCCGGCATATCATAGCACCCTCCACCGGAGTCGTCTGCCCACGCGAGTCGGCCTCCTACACCGAATATTTGCCGTCCATATGCTTGACATACATGGGTCATGCGAGGTTTGTTGAGAGGCCCGGCTTGAAACCATTTGAAAGATGGGATCGATAGATAGGATCTAATAAGTGAGTGTTGGCTTGAATTACTCTATATGGCATGATTGCAACATACACGTCTGCGAGCGACTCCTCCGACTTGTAGTCCGCTCCTCCAATCACATAAATCTGGTACGATGACGTCGAGAGATCTTGTTCGACAACTGCGCAGAACTGGGTTCGTGATGCCACGCTGCCGGTAGTAGTTTGATTATACCACCTGTTCCCGGCAATATCATAGACCCATGCATAATTCCATTGGTTCTGGAATTTCTCGTTTTAGCAAGGGTTTTTGAACAATGCGACCAATCCGAACACTCACTGGAGTTAAGGTTGCATTGATCCCATCCTTGATAGACGGAACTTCGCCTCCCACAAACACTAAGACCCCCTTTTCTCCCACTGGAAGATATAGCAGTGTACCCTGCTGCACGGGGGTAAACGGAGCATCCAATTGAGTCAAGGTTCCGGTTGTTGTGTTGCACTGAATCATCCCCGTCGCATAGCTTACCGTGTTATCGGTGATGGCGGGCGTTATGTCGCTGTTTTGAAACCCACTTACCCAATATACAGCTTGGACCTCGGGCGCATTGGCGTACGCTATTCCCTTATGTTACAGCGAAGATCCAGCCACGCATTGATAAAAGTAAGACATACCACCTCCTTGTAGTCGCACTGGCTGGATACTTGTCTGCTGCAATTTCCATGAACCATCGGCGATAGTGTATGTCCACAGACCCTGGTCAACGGATGTGACGTTCAGGGAATTCCCACCTTAGGTAAACAGCGTCGTGTTGTCCTGGTTCGACCACAATGCCTGACCCTTGATTTTCGGGACCTTACTGTCGACTAAGCTCATTTTAATTTTTGAGACATCATCAGTTGAGAAAGACGAGGATAGGTCGAGTTGCACGAGATAATTGTTCGCTGGACGATTAACGGGGACCGCCAGATGTTCGCAGATCGAGAGAAGAATATGTACTCAATGAACTCGTGTCGCCCGGAATGAGGCCTCCGTCCAGATCTACCATGTAAAGGACATCCTTGACAATATTCGCTGTATCTGCTAGTCGCTATGACTTCTGCCCTGCAGAAGTGGACTAAAGGGCGTATGTACCTCCAAACGCGTAACTGCGACAGAATCATTCCGACAAGTCACTCAATACCTTGGCTTCACTTGAAGAAAATAGCGACACCAGGTGGACAAAACCCAGGGACATGAGCCATTATAGGGTAGGATGGTGGTTTGATTTTGTCGAATGTCAAGCGGCCAGATTCCATTATGGAAGGGCGCACGAGCTCGCCTCCGGGGGATTAGCGACATTTTCAATTACAGCCGCCTTGGAGGGGTTAAACTTGACCCCAACTTGAAATGCGTCCAGCTGCATCAAATATCGGATAACCCTTGGACTAGCATTTTTAACGTCTGGTCCCCCTGGTTCGTGATTTGACAACTTTTTCCCGCCGGTGCCTAGCGAGGTCCACCAAATAGCCTTCCATCCCTTGCTGGAGTGGGCCGAGGTCTGATGGTGATAAGCCTTTGATCTTTCGATATTCTTGGATATTACCGTTCATAGAATTTCATAAAACACCAATCATCTATACCTCACGTGATTTACATGCAAGGGTCTGGCGAGATGTAGTATTTCTAATAGCATCATGATATATATCTAATTAAGATTGTTCATGTAGGTCTGGTCGAACCAACACAGACCCGTTGGGCAGCAAGGGTACGATGACATGGTGAGGGTCGTTGTTCTGATTAGGACTGGGTTCTAGTCCTGCCTGAATAACTTCTATGCCATGAATTTGCGTCACCTCTTTCAACGAGTCAGTCATTTTGGGGCTGATGGTGGATGGAAATTGACCCCAAAAAAATTTTTTCGCAAAAAAAGAAGGGAAAAGAAGGGGGGTAAAAAGAGAAAGAGAAAGAAGAAGCTAACAGTAGGTGTGCAGATGCCCTAAGGGCTCTATTCTGCCTTGTATCAAATCGGCGTTTCTCGGATGTTCTGACATCAACCAAAGCTTTATAAAAATTTTGCTATCAAGACAATATATATCCCTAGTTATCTCTGTAAATATAATGCAATCCATTTATATTCCTACAGCATATATATTGGCTCTGTATCCCTAAGAATTCTAGGCTCGCTGACACTAGACAGCTATAACGAAAGCTGATACTAGACAATATTTCAATATAATTATACTTAAGTAGCGATCTTACTATTAATCTACTTAATATCAAAATTGATATTGTCAGCGGTGGCTGCCCTTGGAATATGTGTTGGTGAGGGCTTCCGTCTGGCCTTAGGGCCCAGGAATGTGGGTTCTTCCGGGGCCGGTAAGCGGGGGCCCACAACGCCGAGGAATTGGTAGTAGCTAGCTGAGATAGCCAAGAATGAGATCAAGCAGATGAAAAAAGCTCTCCTTTCCACTCACTAAGAATATATAGATAAACTTAGTCTTCCCCGCCGGAAAAACATTTCCGTCAATGGCGGTGTCACCGTTTTACGAGCGGCGCCGACCTATCTGGGATTTACTTTCAGCAAGAGCTCGCTCAATAACACAAATATCACCATCAATGTGCCCTTTTTGCTGCTAAACCTCACACTAGGGGCGCCCCTCATGGACAAGCCCATCCTATATTTCCCCGGCATGGGCACAGATAGGAACTACGTGCTGGGCCGAGCGTTTATACAGGATGATCTTTTGGGTATCAACTGGGAACCACTGGACCAAGAGCTTGCCAAAAGCGTTGTTGGACTCCTTTGTACAGCCAGTATCTCTCCATTAGTGGAAGTCTGGCGTTGATTTCCAGAAGTGTGGATGCCAACTTCACATGTATATCAACCGTTATTTATTGTATTTTAGCTTTTTATCTAAGGGCCGTCTCTGAAATACTACGATCGTATTCTTTACGGCGTAATATAAGGCAGTGCAGTTTTGCTGCTGAGCTCAGGGACAATAGAGCAGCTGTGGTAGGCCGAATGCACGACCCTGTGCTTTTCAACTGCGGTGAGCTCCCCTAAGCTGTCTTCCCCTAATCCGTTTATTTACTAGCCAGTCACTAGTTCTAGAGCACTAAAGAGGCAAGGCTCATGCAACAGACTTCATAATGGCTCTAGGCTTTTGTGAAGTCAATGTTTACATGTAACAGACTAAGCACAAGCGCCAGAGCATGTTGCTGGGCAAGCTTTTTCCTAACTAGGTCGAAATGTCACAATAATCTGACTATACGGTGAGATCTGCCCGGATCGCACCTATATAGTATACCGGCGTTACAACAGGGGCTTAATTATCCTGGATGTGCTTTTGACTAGATATATATATCCTACGCGTTGCTAGATAAAGTCTCTGGTTCTCCAAAAGAAGAGGGTAATATAAGCACAAAGCATGCTGTGCGGCTGAACATAGCTCTTAGCCATCTAGACACAGATATCTGGACTCGGATGAGCTCTATGCGTTGTGGACTTAACAGTATTGTTTGATATACGTCAACCAGGAGCCTTGTAGCACACTAACCCCAAATTACTCTTGTAGACATGATTGTATCATCCATTGGAGAGTATATGCCAGTTTGGCATCTAAAGAAACGGTTTCCATCCTGTCCACCATCAAGTGTGGATGTCAAATTAGCCGGATAGGTTATGCCTTTGCAATTGTCCTTGTGCGAACCAAGGCAGCTGTTGATGCATATAAAACAGCATTTCTCAATTTACCCTGACGTAGTTGATTGAGAAAGTACATCTCAAATAGTTGAGATTCAAAATGCAAGGGGCGGGCTTTGCAACAAAAGCAATAAGATCCAACCCTTGTTGTGTAGCCTGAACAGCACGGCACCTTTATGGTAACACCTTGTTTGTAGAGGTTGTGCTGGGTAAATCTTAAATTGTATGGTTTGGAACTAGCTCATTCATGGGCGTCGGGGAGAATCACTCGGAGGTGAGCGGCGATAAGAGGACAACATGGTCTACCAGCGCAGCGAACAAGGCGATTATAAGGGGAGTCCAATCGCTCACATCTCAGGCAAATGAGCTGTTCTAGATCGAGACCCTTACTACTAATGAACTGGGATCTCCCCCAATCCGGCGGACCTATTCGCGCAAACCCCTGTTCGGCCATGCACGCTTGTTTGCTGTTGCATTTGCCACCATCATTATCTGTGAAGGTACATGGCTACCCTGCTGGAACAGATGGAATAAAACCCAATATTACCACGAATTTTAGGATAAGGCCATGTAAGACCCCATATTGAAAGGACTCGCAATATGTGAAAGTAAGTTACATAAGCTTATAAATGTAATCGTTTGTGAGGCTCTTGCCTGGGCGGGTCTCCATGGACGCGATATACGTCGACTTAAGTAATTAGGTATCATGGTAGGGCTTCCGCATATGAAATCGCCTAACGACAGGAAGCTCTATAGATCTAATCAGGGCACCTAAATCGTAGATTCAGAATTATGTGATCTTTTACTCTTGTGGGATATCGGGCCCCGGCAATATCTCTTACACCCCCAAATCCATACCTTTTGAGGTCAAGCACAGTAAATATTCTGTTGTACGGAATTTCTGTGGACAGTAAGAGTAAAATCCAATCTTTTGGGTCTTTATTAGATGATTAGTGTCGATTGGACTGTTGATATGATATGTATATGGCTAGCATTCTCTATCAATGAATATCCCAGAGAATAGGAATCGACTTTAGGAATGCTGAGTTAATTATGCCCGCAATTGTTCTAATATCCTCATTGCTCGTCGCAGGAAGCGTTGTTTCTTTTTTACTTCTCACCGTATGCTTGAGAACCTTTTCTCATTTGCAAACACTGCGGTCCACCAGGAGCAATTCGCCCAATATTTTCGCTTTGAACATCATGCTCCTATAAGGGATCACCATTCACCCTTCCCGTTAGGTTGTCGAAAGAATTAACTTTAGCGTAATTACACCAGACCTTGAGAAGAGAGCATCCACCAAGTGAGCCACCTATTATCAAGAAAGTAAACGTATGGAAAATCCACTAGGGGTATCTGCTTGTATAGATAGTTGTCGCAGATACCCCAGCAGATGAAATGTTATTGGTAGAGCCATGTCTATAATTTTCGCAAGCGAGATAAATATCTTCTTGTGTATCAGCTCTTAGGTCATAGTTAACATTCAAGGAGATTCACCAGACTCTCCATCAGCTAGATGAGCTAGATATGCCTTGAACGCATTTGCTAGAGCCCTTTCATTAACTATAGTTTCTGATGCCGACTCATTCTTATTTGGATCCCCCGATTAAAAGCTGTAGAGCTCAGAGCATGTGCTAACAGTTCAAGCGAGCCCCTCCAGCCCTGATCCGCAAAAGGACGGTGTGATTTAGTAGTCGAATTCATCCAGCTTGGAGGCGAGAGTATTCGAGTTTAAAGGCCTCACCACTGGAGTCAGGGCGATGATATATACTGTTGTACGGGCTAGTTGATATATTGTCGCCATCATACTGATTAGTGTAATAACGGAGCTGGTCTAGTCAGGGGTTGAGCCTAAAAAGTAGGAGTACCGTTGTTAGAAGAGAAGTTTTGTTACAAACATACAGGCCAGAACATTCTGCTACCTCCATATAAAAAAATAAAAATAAAAGGTTCAAATAATCATTGTCGGTGGTGGTACTACAGGACTTGCTGAAGCTATGAGTAAGGAGAGACAAAACGACCCAACACTTAGGAAGTCAAGAGGTCGCGCCTACTTGCAAAGTAAAAGAGGTGCCATAATTCAACTTCAACCAATCATATTCATCTTGCTCTGTTATACGGCTTTTATAGACTTTTAATGGGCTATTATGTTGATACGGCATTTTACATCATCAATATTAGACTGTTGTACAGAGTATACTATCTAATATCTTGATATATTGGTTCTAAACTGATAGTTTATTATTAACACGATATCCACCCTATTCAAAATACGTTATTATGTTAATCATAGATCTGGCAGAATGCTAAAAAATTTAGCCCGCTGCGGCAGTGGCTAGTTGTAACAACTTAGAGGCGGGTACAGTTATCATCCAGTTAAGAGAGATATTGGGAACTGATCCTATTGTTCGTGCAGACAGAATTTGGTGTACAATAAGGATATATATACATAGAAAGCCCATGTTATTAACCTATATCAGGCTTTCTATCCATTATCCTGATCGACTTAAGTACACTACTGGAGGTTGGTGGCCAGGGGAGTTGGGGGTGTTTGTGTCGACATGGACATTGAAGAATGAAGTGGAATGGTTTCGGGACTTTCCTTGAGATCGTGCAATCAGAGAAAGGATAATGCTTGGAACTCGCACTCTACACCATCTGTCTTAAAGCCGGCTTCCTTGACGTAGAGCCTTGATAAACTTCGTAGCCATACCGACTTAAGGTGATTCACCTTAAAAATAGCCGTGGTCTATTTGACATGATTGGGATAATATACATACATAGAAACACTCGGATTGAAGAAGCCGTAACGCCTGGCCCACATTAAACAGCATCAAAATTTTTTCCTCCCTTGTTATATACCGCCTTGATTGCAATATTCATAATATCCATGAACCTGTCATTTTCCAGAAAGACATCTTCATTATGCCAGTCATTATTGCTTGCACGAGCAGCGTGGGTGCTGAAGTAAGAATGCCCCATTAAGGAAGCCATGTTACGAAAACCTTTATGATTCAACCCTGCCGGCAGAATCTCAACCATAGATGAGCCTTGTGACAGGAAGATACCATGTGTTAATCCAGCCCCATGTACTCCAACAAGAACGTCCGTCCCTCGGACTATGTCTAACTGCCGCTCGAGGGACATCGTCGCGAAATCAAAGGATTGAAGTCTTGTATGGGGTATGTCCGCTTCAACAGCCTGGAGGTACTCTTCGCTATGCGTAAGTCTCCGTGAGCCAGTACGATTGATAAACGTCACGACAATTTCTGGGCCTTCGGGCACGCGCTCTTTCAGCCCATAGAAATCCAAGACTCGGCTGGAAAAGGTACGTAACAAAGGTGAATCCTTGCAGGAATGTGGTTCCCAATCACCTTGCCATAATGGATTGCTACCACCTGCAAGAGGAATGATTAAGTTTTGCGGTTCAATTGATAAATTCGGGTTCAAATCATGTAGGCGCAGCGCTGGTCTCTTTGCAAAAAGCGACCACAGATCAAAAAACGGTCCATTTTCGTGGTTGTCCATAATCAGTACTTGGGTATTGTCGATATCAGCAGCTGTAAAGAGGGGTCTTTCACTATCGACATCACGACTCATCTGGAGAACATCGATTGTCATAGTCATGGAGAAGATCTCCATAAGCGTATGCCAGGGATTCGTTGCACCTTCACGGTTCACTAGTATTGTGAAGTTCGCACTCCCAAGTGGTGTCCCAGTGCTAGTACTCGAGTCGTTCTGTAGATCGATCAGGTTGTTGAAAACTACGTTCGGGCCAGTGTTATACCAATAGTTCTCAAACCGACCGTATTGAGGAATGTCGAACGGGGAATCCGGCTTTGACGGTTGTTGAAGTTCACAATCCAAAGCGAACTTTTGGCGACTAGAATTGAAACTAGCACCCTGTGCTAAACAGAACGTATCAACGCGCGAACCAGAGGCCTGGTTGTGGAAACACGTTAAGGTCGAAGGGGATTGCGGAGCACAATATTCGGCTGCTACATCACGCGTGTTTTCCAGATAGGCCATGCCAAATAGATTCGCGCAGAGGGGGGCTTCTTGGGGGCTAGCGACGTAATCTGAAGGCGGGGGTGGCATCACGACTTCTTTGTCCCCCACATCTTCCGCAACAGGAGTGGGCGATAGATGTAATGTAGTTTCTCGAGCATGTCTAGGAACGAGCAGGAAAGAAATGAACGATAAGATGATAAGAGCAGATACAACGAAGCGCAGGGCTTTCCGCTGGAGAAATACAGCTCTATAGTCCATCTCTGCCCGAGCGTTGGGTAAGGTAAATGAGCCCAATCTGGAACGCGGTAAGACGCTGTTCAGAGTTAGACGACGGAATGGGAGAACAAATTATAGGTAAAGATGTGAAATTCCCCAAGTGGGGCGAAAGTGGGAGAGGGCAACTTGTGACTACGAGGGCTCCAATGCAATCAACACTCCGTAAACGGGGATTCCACCACATTCGGACCCCACTGCAGGACTGACTAATTTTAGGTAGTCACTAAGTAGCTTTAAGCAAGTCAATCTTGGACCTTTTTAAAATGCACATCATGTGATCTTTCCACCACAAGGTTGTAACTAATGATCGGATAATTTCAGAAATCCTAACTTAAGAAACAAAGGCTGGTTTCAATTTTATGATCAAAGTTTTCTACAACTTGGCAAAAGGGTGCTATTCCCAAGGCGCGGGCGTCAGAAGGTAGGGCGGGCAGACTCAGCTTTGGATGACAACTCGATGAGGCAAAGTCCGAGTAACTCGCTTATCGCAATTTCGGGTCAGCTCGGGAGGACGGGGGCCGTCCACGACGGAGGTTTTAGCGCTGAGGGGTTTGGTTTTAATATATAGACCCACCATGATTGGACAGCCATCATAGGCTAATGCATGCTGGTCAAAGAAGTTGCCAAGGCTGTACCGAGTTATCATCCCGGACCACTAAGAAATGGTGGTGTCAGCCTTTCGGTTGGCAAAAGCAGGCGTTGACCCTTAGCGTCTTAGCGTGAGGCCCTCTTGTATCCACTTGAGAGGGAACAACCTAAATAATGATCAGCATCATGGAACACTGGAACACTGTGGTTACATGATGTTCTATATGGCATACAAGGTTACTTTATTGGTGAGGAAGAAGAAAGTGTCTGACAAGGCAAATGGATGTTGGTTTCACCCCGTACCCTGGCCCAGAAGAAAGGGTGGTCCGAAATCGACACGAGGGAAAACTTGGGCGCTAAGCAGAAGTCTCATTTCCCGATGTTTGGTAGGGGATCGTAGTACGAGCGCTAGGTTAGTTTAGTTCGAATATCCCTGTCACTTTCTCGCTTCGAACAGCACCAGATCGCTAGCCATATATAGGCGTCCTGTGCTGGTAGCCCATTTTGTACAGCCTTTGGGACGCAATACCCAGTGAGGCCGTCATACGGACCAAGCATGTTCAATAAAAGGAGGGTCCCATGTGGCCTCACTATTACTCTTTTGTTCAGTCTACAGAGCGTTTCACTGTCCGCAGCAGGAGACTGTGCTCCTTATCCAGTCAGTGTTAATCTCAATAATGTGACTCTTGGGAATACAACTGCCCGAGGTGTATCCCTATCTGTTGGCAGCCCAAAACAGTCATTTGCATTCTTGCCTCAATGGTAAAACTGCCCGCCTAACGCACATGAGCATCTCTAATTAGAGGACATAGGCCTTTGAACAGCACGTTTGTGTACGGCACTGATGGATATTGCGGCGAATCATGGTCCGAGGCAGGTTGTCGAACATTTCGAGGAGGCGCATACGATTCATCATCGTCGACAACGTATAAGGATGCCCCATCGAACCATATAGAAGCTTCACCATATCCAGATTTCACATGGGGAAAAGACGATCTCATATTCAATTCCAATACTACGCTGTTAGACTTCCCGATAGGAATCGCACGAAGTGATTGGGGCGCGCAAGGATATCATCCCCAGGTGGCATTTGGTCTGGGAAGGAACTCCACCATTCTAAATAGCCTCTATACCGCCGGTCACATTGCATCACGATCATGGGCTATGTTCTGGGGTCGCACAGGTGGCACCGCGGATACACAGCAAGATGGGAATTTCGTCTTTGGGGGCTTCGATAAGTCCAAGGCTTCAGGCGACAACTATACCAGCGATCTAAATTACTCTAACAAGAATTGCGCCAGTGGTATGTTAGTTACTATCACAGATTTGGAACTTAACTTCCCCAACGGTACCACTGCAAGCTTATTCGATGGGATGCAGTCTTCTGCAATACTGGCCTGTATTGTCCCAGACTACCCCGTCTTGATGACTCTGCCTCGTGACCCATATTTTGAGCGATTTGAAAGCCTTACCAACGAATCCTTCAGTTACAGAGGGTTTGGTGTCTACTACTATGGGATGCTCTATCCTAATCCCGACTCCATGTATGCCTACCTACCTCTGCACTTCATGCGAGATGCTTATAATTGAATTAGATATACTGGTGATCTAACTGTTACCTTGAACAATGGGTTCTCAGTTCGAATACCTAATGACCAGCTTGTCGTCCCAAATCTCACTATTGATCCATCTACTGGGTCTCTTCATGCGAATGGGTCTACTCCTGAACTGGTTATAAACTCCATCCAGCAGGTGAACCAAGGCGATCTTCCCCAGTTAGGCCGCCAATTCCTGTCCAGCGCCTACCTTATGTCAAACCAAGACTCCAACACATTCACCTTATGGAATGCCGCGCTTGAGGAAGAAGAGAATCTGGTCGCGATTGATACAAATAACAAGCCAGTGGACATTTACTGCGCTGCAACTCCCACATCGACTTCATCGTCCACCTCATCCCCACATAGTACAGGCAATCATGATAAAAAGCTGTCTACCGGAGCGATTGTTGGAATTGCAATCGGATCTGCAGCAGCATTGGCGATAGTTGCAGCGGGTGTCTTCTTGGTTGTGTCGAAGAAGAAAACAAAGGGGGTAGTACATGTAAACTACTTTCCTACAGCCGCTTATCGTGACCCTCCGTCTGAACTTGGTCCGAGTCATATGGAACCCCACGTTCCTAATGAGCTTCCAGCTAAGCCGCCAAGTCCCTCGCACCGTTTCGCTAATATACAAGAGTTAGCGTAAACTCGTGGGGAAATATGGGAGCTGTATTGTGTCTACCGGAAATGCAATGCTGGAATTACGATTTAATATAGTATTTGCAGATAGGATCTGTCAATGTAATTCATATTTATCAGTGTAACGGCAACACTAGTAAGTGAGGATAGGCTTCAGTGACCCTGCGTAGACCTCATCGTGAGCACTGGAGTTGCAGCCTGACATGGCCAGCCCCTAAACGATCTCTTACAGACGTTTACACGGCCAGGTGCAAGGTGACAGCGAAGGCAGAATTGTCCTCAGGCCTATAAAGCCTAGTAAACAGTGGTACCATAGGCTCGATGTTTACGTCAAGTCACAGCCCACTCCGGTGCAAGGCTGTCCTGAGGTGGACTTTGCGTGGTACAGGCGGTAAGAGGATTCTCCTTGTTGGGTCAAAACAAGACGCTAAAATGCTGACTGCATCAAGCTTTCCGTTTTGAGCTAGTGTGATTGGCCTACATCTGGACCAATTTTCAGGTTGGAGGCCAGCCGCTCGCACCTCAATTTGTCGCCATCTCCGAAGTGACAGTCTGCTCCTTTCATAACGGCGATTTGGCCACTTGATTTGCGACAATATGTTCGCCGGCCGGCAATATCACTATGGCATGGTCCATGGTGATCTACATACAGTACTAGGCTTTTTACAATCTCTACCTAGAAAGATTTATGATTTAGTATAATAAAACAGCTACTTCGTATCCGATATATGGGCCATAAAAGGCGAACAATTATTAATCGTTTCTGTGGCCATATTATAAATATGGCAAAAGAGTATGCATTGCTACATCCACCGTAATACAATTATTTTCCTTTGGGGACATCCATTATTCTGACCCTGTTATCTTCCTCAACCCAAGAAAGTTTTACAGCTGATAGATGTGGTAAAAAGCCTCTGAGAAACTGCATTTTCGTAGTGGGCAGGTGCAGGTACAGATTTCCCAATGAAGCTTGGTTTAATGGGGATACAGCATGGCAGCCCTAAGTCACACTGTGATCCACTGTTGTAGCTAGGATGAAGATCCTAATATAATGCTATAGCAGGGTTAATCGGCAACATTCGGAACGGGCCTCCTCTTCCTCGGCTCGCTTGTTAGTTTTGAGGGCTTGTGATGGGTTCACCCCGGTACTTTAGCCCCACGAACCTACCATCTTTTACTCCATAAGTACTCCCAGTCGTGCACAGCCTTGTGTTTCGGGTCATGACATATACTGCTTGTCCCACTCTCACTAGGCCATCCTTCGTCGCGAGGTTTATGACATAGCTAGTTATGGAGAGGAAGTCCGCTTCTGAAGGATTTTTAAAATATTCTTTCCTTCTCAAGCATGCATATATATATATATATGTGTGTGTGTGTGTGTGTGTGTGTGTGTGTGTGGCTTACCCACACTGGCAGGCATAAATTGTTTATGCACTAAGGTGCTCCGTACTAATCGGACAATGCCGATGTCTACCATTAGTATTAACTTGCTGTTAACTTCTTAGGATAAACTAATGATCGGCAATTAACCGGTACCATCCGTTTGACGATGCTGTACGAGGGATAGTTCGCTATTATCTGGCATCGATTATCCCGTAGCTTACCATATGACATTAGACGAGCCAGATAGCGGGTGTGACGTTGCCGTACAGAACACCGTAACCGCTTAGATGGGAGTAAAAATTGGCCTCAGGTCAACTACTCAAGACTGCCACATTCACTTAATGTCTGGGGACATCGACTTCACCATGATAGCCGTATTAGATGATAGTTTATGTAGTCCTTAGTGGAACGTATGGGCCTGTTAGCACAAATCTATTCTTCCCTTTTGTCCATTAATGTAGTATAGATAGTCGAACCTACCTTTGAAAACGGCTGACTCCATTTTTGATGCGGCTTGGTCATGTATTGCAAATTGCACGAAGGCGGTTCGAGCGTGGACTTTTAAACAGTGGTACTTTCGAAAAGGGGAAGAAAGAATTTACGTTATAGGTACTAGTCAGTGTCACAGCTCCGATATAGAACCGACCCGTCCACTGCACGGAGTTCCCGGCCCCCGAATACCATGGCTCCTCGTACATAATATCCGCTCATTCTTGCAGTTATAAACCAGCCTGGCAAGGCATCGTCTGACTATTCAGTCCTGCTTGCTGAGCCCCGATATCCTACCGAATTAGCGGGTATCCTAAGCTATTCGAGAGCAGTATCCGACATAAGGAGACAGGTAAGAATCAAATCCTTAGTATTTCGTTTAAATATCCAGCCAATGATAAACGTTTCCCTTCTTTCCTGCCTACGTATCCTTACCTGACTGGTAGGCTATCGACCTCACATAGTAGAGACTTCGCTGTACTAAAGAGCTCTAGGTTTATCTATGAAAGTCTGTTTAGTAGAATAAGTAGCTCAGTAGCTGTATTACTATTGTATTTTAAATCAAATCTACACTGAGAATTTAATTTCACTAATCTTAGTTAAATACATGTAATTTTATTATTATCTCTTACACTAATATATAGTATAACTATTGGACTATATAGCTAGTTATAATTAATTCATTAAACTTTTTTCTAAGTAGTTGTACTAGAAAGACTATCTATTAGAATTTATTTCATATCCCTTCCTAATCATTACTAAGCATATAATAATATATGCCATCCTAGTTACTGGCACTGAGCGGCAGTTTGAGTTCCGTGGAATCAGTAACTAGTTTAAATTTGGTGAAAATACTGTCAGTCAATCGATTTTACTATTCGCAGGTGATGTGTGGAAGATATACGTAGGAGTCGGTGTCGTTCACAAAAGCAGGTAACACTGTAGTCAATCGAAAACGTTTCTCGGGAGAGGGAGACCTAATTTATCTATCTATATCTAGGGGGAGCCGCGATTAACAATACTACTTTTAATATCGAGTGGATCAATAGGGAGAAGACTACTGGCATATAATTATATTAAAACATTACCCAGTATTAGCGGGCCCAGAATCCTCGGGAGTGCAGAGCCAATATGTATATCCAGCAATATAAAAGGATAGGATCATACTCACAGAGATAATTTAGGACAAATTTCTTCTCGATAGTACAATTGCCATGTGAGTTAGTTGATGTCAGCACGTCCGAATGAGAGAACTCCCATTTCGACTTGATACGCTCTACCCCCTGCAGCATGAACCTTACTATCTCTCTAAACCCGATTGACTGACCATGGACAGGCGACTTAGCGGATCACATTGAGAACCTTCAACAGGAGATAATGCATGATTTGCAATCCTAGAAAAGGTTGAATGTTTCAAAGTCCACCCCTTTGCCAAGGGGGTGCAGCACTATTGGTGAAATAGAACATATAATCAACGTTCGTCGTGACTACTGAAGTAAGTCACCCTTCTTTCCTGTCGTAAATAGTATGGGCACAGTAAACTTCTCCTGGGTGGCATATTTGACCAATCATTCCGAGAACGCTAGACTAAAATGGAAAACAGGATTATGTGACCGCATATTTAACCGCATTGAAAACATTCTCCATCAATGCCAGGCCATCCAACTTAACATTGAAATGGTCTTGCGTCTGATCCTGAAACCTCTATTTGGAGCTTTTCGTCTATGAGACAAGCGGCAGCGACTAAACATCAAGGGAGATGTATATACACACTGTGCTATGAGGCTTACTTTAATAAGGTGCGGCGGGCAAAATTTGTCTTACGGTCAACCCGCAATTGTATAGTCATGGACTTAAGAGTCATAGATTCTTAATTATCTATATAATACAGTAGTAGGGCCCGAAATAGCTAGTATCTAGACTTACAGGCCACTGTACCTGGAGATAGAATAAGTCCTTTAAACTTAAAGAGTAGTCAAATACTGCAAGATTAAATTATTTAAAATGGTAAGTGACTTTGGAAGCGGACTAGTCGATTTTCCAGATATATGTCTATCATGATATAATTTCTGTGCGTTAGATTCTAACTATTCTGGCGGACTAAATCTAGCTTATAGTCAAACCCATAAATTTTACTAAGTTTATCAACAGCAATGCACTATTATATATCTTACTAGGTTTATCTATTAATTCACATTATATTTTCTTCCATGCGCCAATATGAAAAGGGACTTGTAGAAAGTAAGTATGAGGAGTCTAATACCGGATTTGGTAAACGACCATGCTTTTACTATTTACTGGAACATAAATTATCTGTAGAGCAGCATTGGAATTTGTAAAGCTTCTGTGTACTCATCAGAGACGACTGGCGTCGTTGCGTTTGTCGCTCCTCAATTAGCAGCACATTAAAATTTCATAAAGAGGCGCAGGTGATAAATTGATAGCAGATTTCTGGCGCGTTGAAGATGGACTTCCTTTCCTGAAAAATAATATGCGCCGCAGCTATACTATGCCAGCCCATCCTGAGCACAATGTACTGCAATTTACTATAGAGTAGCCACGTTGCTAAAGTTAACAATAGAAGCCGACCACTAAATCGAAGTTTAGGAACAATGAATGTGTTACGTTACACTTAGTTCTCCCATGAATTATTTTTTCGTGACTAAACCCACAAGGGTCTATACAGAAGATGGACATCATGGTGTCAATAGTCCCTTTTGAGGTTATTATCACTTCCCTAGAGCTACTTCTTTCTAAGAGATCATTGTTAATAACACTGCAAAATCTATTTTATGTACAAATATTGATGGTATATCATTTTCAGCTTCGGCTTCTATTCGCATACATGGTGCCATCTCATCAGAATACCTATAAGCCAGGAGAAACGCCAGAAAGGAGATACCGTTAGTACATAAATACTAGGCTCAAGGACCGTGTTCCCTAAATTCGGCCAGATACCGGCTTGTAAGCGTGGGGCCGGCGCTTGTTAAATGTCCGTTGTACCCTTCCTCTCGGGGCTCATTCCACAGATCTCCTATGCCAAGTTAGTAGGACATCTCTGATTATCCCATTAGACAAGTCAGTTCCATACCCCTCGTCTCCGCCCAAAATCGCTATAGAAGCCGAGCCATAGGTCACGGGAACGACAGTCTTTTACGCCTGAGACCGTATCATTGTGACGTATCGGTTGGTTTTCTTGTATTATGGGCTCTGGAGCACGGAGGCAGGGCTAAAAGTATTTTAGATCAGTTCATCTGTGCATAACCGGAGGGGAAGTTGGTTGGTAGGTATTCCGTTCCGTACCTTGGGCACGGGCCAGTCCGAAAAGTGCAGATATTTTGCCTCCTTAAAGACTTGATCGGGATCCCACATTTCGATATCGTTGCCCAAGTAAGCAGTATGATGATTCAAGCGGAACTCCCCGGTCAAGAGGCCGTATGGCCGGTGGGGTAGGATAAGTGCGCTGTCGCGGTAGAGGTGATTGACGATTTCCATATCGCACTCGGAGTCGCTCGCTTTCTCGATTGCCTGCATGACTCGGTTGAACTCGAACTCAGACGGCTGAATCAGTATTATATAAGAGCCTAATACGCGGTCGTCGAAGTTGCCCCAATATGCACGCGGCATGGCAACGGGACACGGGGGTAGAAGGAATAGCTCATCTATGGACGGCGAATGGGGTCTCTGAATTAGTCTATCTCCTGTGGGTTCATCCGCCGGGGACATATATATACCTGTAGGACGGTTGCGTCTGAATCTAAACTAAGGACGCGATCATATTGGGTCTGGTTGAAGGCAAACAGCTTTGTGTAGCTCTCGGCCCATGTGGCTGGCTATGATCAGTTGCTTGATTTCCGCTTTTCTCGGAGCTGTCGAGCCAGAATCAGGATATACCTTCGTTAGTAGGCTTACTTTGGACGGCGATGGGTACAAGCTGTACACCATATCTGTCCCGGGCCTTGTGGAGCAGTTTGCCTTCCGCAGAACTGTTATCTAGTTTAAATTCCGATGGAAACATCATTAGTCGGTCCGCCTTGCTATTCAGGCAGGACAGCGATTCAAAAAGCATCACTGAATTACAAAGATAGTCAAGCTTCGTAACATATTGTACGTAAGCGTAGCGTGACCAGTCAACAACACTCGCTGGGGAACTCAATGGATGGAAAGAAGAAGAAACTTCAGGTAAGGAGACATCCCACAAGGTGCCATTCGGGAGCATCAGTAGGCTGCTAACGATAAATATCATAAAGAAAATGATCGTCGAGGTGCGACGGGCCCGCAACGTGAATAACTTCATGGCTGTGATCTGAACGACAGAACACATTGATCAAACTAAGTTGCAAACTGCCGATTTGGCAGTTAGGCATCTGAGGCCCTTTTCAATGGGGTTCTGGCGGGACACCAGATTTAATGGAGCAGCATGACAGCTGGACTCAGCAGCCAGTTACGGATGTCTTACCCCATGGCTTAACATTTCCTTTATTTAATCCGCCCAAATCTATAATTAAATATGCATAGTACAGTTTGTTCAGAGGTCCATAGGTTTGTTTAACTTTTGTCCGTCAGCAATTCCGTTTTCCTAGGGACAAAGAATGAAGTCAAAGAACAAAGTTTTCAATCAGCCCCGTCCATACTATCCACAGCCCTTTGAAGTTTGATTTCACCAATCGGAACCATAACTGTAAATATCTCGCTTTGCAGGTGGGGCTCTTGAGAGTCGGTCGTCGTCCAGGACAACAAGTGCCTGCTACTATATGGAGTACTCACTAGGCCTGTCGGTTCATGGAGATAGGGGATGTTTGTGCATAGTTCCAAGGGCTGCGCTGTGGCCAAACCCTAGCAATTGGTCCATTTCTCGCAGGTATAACCGTTCTCTATAGCGTTACTTGGGGTCCCCTGCGAATACAAAACAACTTTAAATGGTGAACAATGGATGAATAGATGTATTGACAGATTATTGTTGATAATGTAGAGTACCCGACTGATCCTACCCTCAACACGAACCATGGAGATGATCGGTGGTAGATAGCAACTCTCCTAGGGTTCGCATTTCCAGCATTGAAGATAGTTCCTACAGTTGAGTTCTGAATCCTCTCCATAGGAAGAATGCTAAATAACTTTGCCTCCACTCATTTGTTTTCAGGGTCACGTCATGGATGCCGTACGACCGCCGTCACCATGTACGTCCCAAGGGCATCTCGCTAGAAGATGGCATGGAAGGGCAAAACCAGGCTTGGCTCCACTCGCTAAATTACTCCTCATCTCACAAAGGAGTCTTACTATGATCTCATCCCAGTGGCCGATTCTCAAACTGATGAGCGCTCCCAGGACACCACCAGGCAACGGAAATCGTGTGTTATTGGCTGGTTAGTGGAACACGATTTGTCAGATATGGCTCAAACGCATTTATCCTCCTTCGGAATATTGATGACACATAGCGGAACATATAGATAGCATTTTATGAACCACCATGTCACTGTGCCCTGTAACAAGTTCTCAGCCATATATAACGAATAATCCCACTCCTCTCCGTATTTATCATCATTTGAAGAACTGTAATCTCCTCGCCATGCTCTACAAGACGACTTGAACCTCCGAAATGCCCATGAATACTTAGAATTCCTTTGTTCTCCGCTGTTGCCCCTTTATTGCACGATGAAACACCATATAATCTACCTCTCTCTTCTTCTTTTAAGAAGGCCTGATTTTATTGCCGCGGGACCCTTGTCCATCCCGTGGTCGGATAAACCGCACGGGCCGGATGGTCCATGGCATGCAGTTACGATCAGTCTAGGTTCGCCCCAGCAAGCAATCGACCTGTATCCAGGGGGGAGTTGGGGTAGTGGAATCCTCCTCTCCACGACCTGTCAGAAAGCTTCCCTCCCTTCCTTGTGATATACAGATCGAGAGGGAGCGCTATTTAACAGTGACCTCTCCAGCACCTGGGACAATACATCCATTCGGCTACCTCTTATGAACAGCGACAAGACAATCCAACCAATGGGCACTGCCAATGAACTACCCCTTTATGGGAAGGCAGTGCGTGCGTTCGATGAGGTCAACATTGCAGGCTATTCAATACCAAATGTCTCGCTGAACGCCTTCTCCGATACCTACCAGGTATACCCGGGAGGTAAGGTGTACCAAGTCGAAATGGGGGTTCTTTCCCTCGGGTGTTCTGACATCAATCAAACATTCACGGGAAATCGCAACATCGAGACAACATTCGTCCCAAGTTATCTCTATGAGCATGATGACATCCCCTCATATTCCTACGGCATGCACATTGGCTCCGTACCCCTGGGGATTCCAGGCTCGCTGGTGCTGGGCGGCTATGACAAAAGCCGGGTGCTGGGTGATGTTTCGACGCAATCATACTCGAATGGCGACCTCCCCATCGATCTACTAGATCTCAAAATCGGTGTCGTGAGTGGTGGCTCCCCCTGGACTTACACGGATAAACCCGGTCTCCTCCACCAGGGAAACACTTCCATCAACTACGGTGTCACTGTTTTCGCAAGCGGCGCCGACCCTTACATATATCTCCCACACAGCACCTGCGAAGCCATCGCGGCCGAGCTCCCCGTTACCCACCATCCCGAATATGGTCTTTACTTCTGGAACACCGAGGACAAGCGCTACTCCGAGATTGTGAGCGCGCCGACCTATCTGGGGTTTACCTTCAGTAAGAACGGGCTCAATAACGCAAATATCACCATCAAGGTTCCATTTTCGCTGTTAAACCTGACGCTGGGGGCGCCCCTCGTGGACAGGCCTACTCTATATTTCCCCTGTATGGGCACGGATGGGAGCTACGTGCTGGGCCGAGCGTTCATGCAGGCTGCTTTTGTTGGCGTCAACTGGGGCCCGCATCAGGGAAGCTGGTTTCTGGCACAGGCTCCTGGTCCCAACATCCCCGGTACTACTACAGCGGTAACGATCAACCCTTCGGATAGTACGGTAAGTAGTAGTTCCAGTGATTGGGAAATCAGCTGGAAGGGGGTTTGGAAGGAGCTACCTACAACATCGGCTTCGAACACGAGCACACCGACACGGCCGGAAGATAAAAGCCAGAGCAGCGGATTTTCTATGGGAGCCAAAGTCGGCATTGCCGTCGGAGTAGCGGCAGCAGCAATTGTCGTGATCTGTTTCATTGCGTGGCGGTGGCTGCGGGGCCGTCGACAGCTTACGCTAGTAGGTGTGCAAAGCCAGAGAAGGGATCAGGAGCAATCTAAGAGGATATATGAGATGGATAACACTGAGAGGAGTCGGGTTTATGAATTGTTATAACTAGACGGCTATGCTTCAGTTTCGTAACTTGCCTATATTGGTTGTTATGATGCGCGGGCGTGTCGAAGGTGGATCCTGTTAATTGTACAATACCTACTAGACAGCATAGACTTTCAAAAGCAGTAGAGTATCCTAGGTATAATAGTCGACATTAGTACCCCACTATTATAATTTTCAGAGGGTTACTGTTCAATAGGATCACTTTTTAACTGCACACTTGAACCGCCTCCATACCCATGGCCAAGTCGCAAAACAAAAGGAGCCAGTCCTTAAAGATAGAATGAACAGTCTATGTATGTCTTACCCTGGTGGACAAAAGGGAAGCACAGGTATCTATAAACAAGTCCAGTAGCTTGACAAAGGGCTACACAAATGATGGTGTAACATAGTTCATCGTGGTGAGGTCAATGTTCTCACACCTTGCAAGAATTATCGTCCAATTGCACATGGCCAGCTGCAGGATAATTGATATCAGATTATGGCAAAGTATCCCTTGTGCAACACAGGCAAACGGATGATGCCAGCTGACTATAGATGACTAGTGTTTCTAAGAGGCTGGGTCTGGGCAGATACTAGTGGTAAGCCTCGGTCTCAGGTATTGTCCAGGCTACATACTTCAATACTCATTAGCTCACTTCCGACTGTTTCATGTCAATAAACCACCCACACAGGCACACATATAGTATATGCATCGTTGCTGCTAACCACACCCATGCCTCAGAAGGAAAGAAATTTCAAATGCTTGAAAAGCCTGAATTTCTCCATACTAACAATGCTGCCATCCCGTATTCTACGGTACAAAGTGAGATGGACGGATGACACTCGTCCCGACCAATGGATGGCACAGTGAGCCATAGTACAAGCTGTAAATGTCGTGACCCGAAAGGCAAGGCTGTGCACACCCAAGCTGATCTAGTTTACGCTAGAGCGCTTGGCACGGGGCAATCCCAAAGGAGATGGTAGCTTCGTGGATTCGTGGGCCTGAAGTATATACAACCACCGCTACTACCATCCCCAAACTTCACGAGACCGAGAAGCGAACCGGGGAGGATGAGACCCGTTCCGAATACTGCAGGTCAACCCTAATAGGGCATTATATTGGGATCTCCATCCTATGATCTAGCTTACTGTCATAGGTCCGATATAGAATCGGCCCGCATATCCTGCAGAGCTCTCGGACCCCTACAATCCTGAACCCGTTTGTATAAGCTCTGGCCTCTTTTGCAGCCAGAATCACTCTGATAAGATATCGCCTGGCCAATTAGTTCCTTACAACGAGATAGACCTAGCCAAAGGGGGAGGATTCCAAGCTGGATTTAGCGAGAACTACACAGTAAGGACATAGGAAAAAGGCGCAAGAATCAGTCTCTGTTGTATTTTTTTACTATTCAGTTAATGATAAACACTTTTGTCTTTAATCGCCTATGTATCTCTACCTTACTTAATACTCAACATTACCTGTTTTAAGCTTATGAATTACTTTCCATTATTTCTGGACAAATTACGTCTTAGGAGTTTACTAGTGTCTCTATAAATATAGCTCTATTTCGTTGAGTTTAATATATTAATTAATAGCTTTTCAAAACTCTGATAATATTAAAAAAAAATCTAATATTATATTATTTGTTAGCCCTTTTCAAAGCTTTATTGAGGGCCACGCGAGATTGGTGCTGGATAAAACTATTACACGACTGTAGCCAATGATGAATATCTTTGGGCCGTAACGTGTCCCACCTTCCACCTCGGCAGTATACGTGGGACATCAAAGTCCACGGCAACTTCATATTTTAGGCAACGCTGGACTGACTACAAGCTGGAAGATGTAGGGTTGTATCAGGTAGTCATGCATGAACCGTATGTGTGCCAACACTGGTTCCCCGGCCTTCGCTTTCCACTTGGCCTAGTACATGTGTCTTGGAGTGCACAGTGCGATTATACTCATTCCCATAAATACTCTGATCATTATTGAGAACAAATGAAGATATTGTACACATCGTGGATTATATCCATCCAAGACAACGACGCAATGGCGATCAATTCCCTGGTCCTGAGCCATGAGGAGAAGCGCATACGTGAATTTTATCAGATAGTCTACTTGTTACAATCACTAGACGTTCGGAGAGGAGATCGTATCAAAGGAAAGTTTCCAGACGAAGAAAATTACTACAGCCTTGCGAAACACAGGCGGAATATTGCCGACGCTCTGGCGTACATGGCCGCATATGACAAAAAGCCAGACCGAGTGACTGCCGTAGCGCTTGGAAAGGAAAACGGCAGATTAGTTGTATGGATAGCAGCCAATAAGACTGTGAGACCCGAGGTTACGGATTTCCTAGCCATAGTACTTAGTCGGCTGGAGGAAATTGTTTATGGTTCGGAGTCAGAAAAGGGAAAACTTCTCGATTTAATTCTCAAGTTCAACAGGAAGGGAGTCCAAAAATACTACGACAAATTTTGTCGTTCTTGGGAGCAGTACTGCGAATCCCGCCAGCCCTCAAGTTTGCAAATCCTTGCCCCTGGCGGATAAAAGATACACATGGCTGATGAGTCGAGGATAGGTCACGATGTACTCCAACAGTTGGACATCTGGGTTCGAAGGACATTCTACAAGGGTGGCAAGAAGTTACAGTTGGAGGACATGATGAGCCTAGCGAGGGAGTGTCACCAGGCTCGCCACCGGGACCGTGATGTGTTCCACATGCTGAGCGAAGCTTCAGGTCAGGGTATTATGCGTTTACATGAGTATGGGCAGCTACATGACCTGCTTTACAAGATAGGGAAGAATGTTACTCTGTGCCGGAAATTGATTCATGCTAGAAGATCGCTCTCGGAAGACTTCAAACAAGGTGCAGTGGTGAAATCAGTTGATGTTCCTCCCCGACCTCTTCATGGAATCAAACCGAGAGATTCCTTTGATAGCATTGCAGCTCATATTTTCCGCAATGATTGTGAAAAGCAAGCATTCTATGATCATGTCAATATCCTTCATGATCGCGACGAGGTATTAGAGAAATTTCAGAATTGCGCCAAGGATCGTCCTCCCCCGGTGCACGCAGAGATTCAGCTGATCAACTACTTCGATAGACAGCAGTGCCAGCTACTCGATGAAAGCAATCCATACATTGGCTGTAGTAAACCTGCTTGTTATCTATGCTATAGGTATATTACCGATCATCCTAGACGATGGCTTCTGCCCCCTTCCCATCAAAAGCTTTACCATCGTTGGAGCCTGCCAGAACCGCGAGGACAAGAGGACCGGGAAAGATTCTTGGCTACTACAGCAGAAGTCCTTCAACACGACCTACGAGATAAAATTGCAAAGAAGCAAGGGCCGAGATCGGTATATGACGATTCGACAGCAGGTGCCACTACTGCGTATTCTAAGAGACAGGAATATGCCAACTCACAACCGACTTATGATAGAGCTCGGGGAAGCAGGATAAGGTAAGGCAAGACCCTCGCTATTCACGAATGGCTCCCATCTAATTGGCTTAAGCTACATTCCGTCTGCGAGGGCGATCGGTGTAGGAGTGGAAGGAACTGAGAAACTCGACGATGATACCGATGGAGGTGTTAGTCTTCTCTAAACTCGGTGGTGTCATGGGCATTGTGTATCGGCGATCTTATGCCAACTATATTCGAGGACGTTCTATCCTTTTGCAGGACATTTTGTATCAATTCAACCACATGCTAAACCCATTTGATATTGATCTGGGATGCACCACCTTCTCTCTACGTGTCATGTTTCGCCATCAAACGTTCTGAACTGAACAGAATAGAAACCCAGATTTAGCCAGTTGAAGTTGTTCCCCTCCTTCCCTTGAAAACTACAGTTTCTTCATCATCTTCATCATCGCTTCCATCACATCTCTTGGAACCAGGGCATTTGTCACCTTCAATGACTGGTGGAAGCCTGTAAGGATTGAGATACTCATTGGCCTCGCCAATTGATAGTTCCTGCAATGTCGTGATGGTGTCAATAGACAGGCTAGATGACTGCGAACTATCATCGTCTGACAAGTCGTTACTCCCGGAGCAACGCTCTAATATAAAATTCTCAACATCTCTGCGAGCACGTTCTGTCATTTTGCGAAGTATCATTTTCTGTTCGTCAAAACGTGCGTTGCTTTCGACAGCTCGGATGTCAGGCAAGCGCCACTGAAGGTCGATGTCGGTTGGATCGCAGTTTTGGATCTGGTGGTTGCGACGATGTGACACATACTGGCTGCAGAGGTAGCAACAGGGCTTGCTAGTCGCAATATATTTGTCACAATCGTCCCAATATTGTAGGCGACTCCTCTTGTCGAAAAAGTCGATAACGCGAAGTTCCGGATGGATTTCAGTATAAACATTTTCTGGATAATATTTAAGCCGTTCAGATAGCTTGCTGGGTGCAGGCACGACCTGCTCCAGCCCTTGACGGAGTAGCTTGTAGTGCTCAGGGTCAGAATCTATCCGGTTCAGAATAGCATCAGGAATTTGCTTCTTTCTGACTAGGGGGATCTTCATGCGCTGTACAGGAGGTACGTGCTCGACCTGAGTTTCCCTCTGAAGATGTTCCCGTATGCAAATGGCTGACCTGAGTAGCAGATCACACATTTTCATAGGCATAGCTAAGTCTAGCAGCTGTTGATGGAATTCCTCAAACGTTTCTACAGACGGTTGGCTTTGGCAAATAAAACGCTTGAATATGTCAAACTTCCCATCACGGGATGCGGCGTAGCACTTCTGCACCAGGGCGGGCATATCAGCTTTGCGCAGCGCCATACCATGACTGTCCACAAAGCTTTGCTTAAACCAAACCGGAAAGTCACAGCTACGACCTGGACTGTTGCCTGCATGACTTTACATTAGCCACATACCCTAAATCACAGGGCAACCATTGTCGTACCTTCTAACTCCTCAGGGCTAGCAGCCATTAGCGGTATGCAAACCGGCGCAATATGGTCAAATATCCTGTGATACACCGCCCAACTATTGTCACCTTGCCAGTCCATCACGTAATTGGAGATTTTCCCAAGCTCTGTCTCCCATGACCTAGCGTTTAAGCCTGCATCGAGAGCTCTGTTGACCATGCCCAGCAACTCTTCCAGAAACGGAACGACCAGGTCACTGACGTCCAGATTTCCCGCGACAACGATAATCACACTCTCCTCATCACAGCCTGCTGTGAGAGCCAAGTGCCATTCCTGCTTCAACGCGGCTAATCGAACAAGCGCATTCAGGAACTTGCGCCGGCGCTGTAAGATTCCACTCACCCCACAAGCATCATCCACTGCGCTGAATTTATGCTCTGGAATTTGTTCCCGCAGCGCGCATAGTAGCGAGAGGGGCTCATAGAGCAGCCGGAGTCCTCCTACTTTATGACTGACATAGTGCGAGGAGGCGAAATGTTGACTCATGTTCGGTCACGGTCTTTAGAGTCTTGAAGTAAATGCGTTCTAGACTCGGCCGATTTCTTTTTGATTTATGGCATAATAAGTGTTTTCCGAAGTCCCAGCGACTAGACCTTCCTGCTAAAGATACTACATTACTTAAATCCCGATACAACCCATAGGCGAGAATTAAATAAAATCAGCTTCCCAAGAATCCTGCCACGTGTTGACACTTCTGTAGCAAGCAGCCCACGAAACAGTCAGTGAGCTACCCAAAGCTAACCTTGTTATGTCGAATTTGTCTAGAATGTATGGCTGACACTGCACCTGATCTTTGCATCTAAAAGGATTAGTTTAATGATGAGAGGTTTTAGGCAGAACACCTAATGGCCAGCCCATACCTCTTACAAAGTTTGATGAAGCTTCAAACTCTGGTTGATTCATATTTAAACCGTGCGAGCCTTGACTTGGAAGTCTTGATTCGTCAGTCCTGGCTATAGATTATATGCTAAGAATGCCCCCGCTGTGCTCTCAGAATCAAAAATGCATACGAATGGGCATGCAAGCGAACACACCTACCCAAGCGCTATTTTACGTATGCCTTTCTCAATCTCTTGCAGTGGATGTGCACCCACTTGCGTTACCTGTGTTTTACACTCGTTCGTGATGGATCATCTGCAACTGATGGACTTGCATAAGTGATCGAGCTATTAGGGCACTGGGAATATCTCATCTCGCTCGCTCTTAGAGTGTGCGTAGGTAATTCATGGTCAGCCAATGCCGATAATGACAACCAAAGGAATTTGTCGGACGTGGCACGAACCAGTGAACCAAGTCGATGGGGTCCTTACACTCCGATATATTGACTGTCTGGTAACTCGCCTGTCGGTGCCTCAAAAGCGTTATAGGTTATAGTCGCTTTCCACATCGGCGCTAGATGACTAGTTCAGATTATGTTGTACTCAGGCAGCAATCCGCATACGATACGCATACCTAAGGCACAGGGCCCTACTCGCGTATCTGTGGTGCGGTACTTGGAAAACATGTGAGTCTGTCTATCCGGAACTACCCTGTCCTGCTCCAAGCCGCTAAATTCACCCTTATCCGTTGGCAAATGTCCTGGCCACGGGAGTCCGAGGGGCTGTGAGATGTCATATACAGTGTGAATTCTGATAATTTAATACGCTGGCTGTGATAACGTACTGTCGATCATTGGAAGTCATGCTCGGGCCTCTTAACGCACATTGGCGCTTGGGCTGCTTTGCATCCGTACCATAATTTGGATATTCTATTGTGAATCGACCTGAGCTCCTTTAGGGTAAATTCCCAATATCTAACTTTTTTCGGTCTTCGAGGACGAGGCTGTCCTGCATTGTAACTGGGAAACTGTAATGGAGGGTTGCGGTGCTTATCTAGCTCAGTTGTACTGTACAGCAGAGCCACGGGGAATAGATGGTTGTCGCCCCGCACCACTAATGAAGGGACAAGTACAGCCAAGTCGAGTAGTAGAGCCTCGCAGGTTATTGTGTCATTTAGCAGCCAACGAGAGACAGTTGAAATTGCTTGCAATATACTACCAACAAGACACATGGTTGTGCTTAAGCAAAAGTGCGCGTTTTTATGCACGAACCAAACCAGTAGCCATGCCTCGTAACAGTGTATGCTTGCGATCAGCGAAGTAGCAAAGCACGATGTCAGTCATATTATGCAACCATTCGGCCAGCTGACTAGCAATCGGCGGTCCGAGCGCTTGCAAGCGGACGCCAGTTCGAAGTTCGTCCTTATGATTGACCATTGGTTGCCCTCGGTAGGCCAGAAACTAGGCTAGCGAGCGGAACAGTTGCGAGTCATGGCCAGTCCACGCATGCTCTTGGCACCACCTCTGTACTGCGAGGCGCCAAAGAAAATAAGCATAAGGCCGACAGGGAGGTATTGTTTCTGGGTTAATTTAGGATGTATTGAGTAATCATGCTCTACATGACGATATTGCTCTCCTGGAGGGTGAGAAATCCTCGCTTATAAAAGGTGTCCTTGTGCTGGTAAGTTTGTTGTCACAACAGAATAGCATAGCAACTTACAACTCTGTCCCACCTGCCATTCCTCAAGATGTCTCCTGCGCGGGATCAGACCAACGACTGCTACAGTATCGCTGGTAGGCTATAGACTATTCTTATTAGAAGGTATAGTGACTGATTGACACCCAGACTTCGAGATTGGCAAGCGGCTCTTCACGACTTATATGGCTATACAGTTAGTCGTGACCTCACCTGAAGGCAGAGAAGGTGCCGATTTGGTGGGTTCTCCCTACTACTACATAGTGACCGATTCAGGCCGCATATGATTAACTGTGCTCTAGTCCCAGTTGGACGCCCTAATCACTGGCTATCCCTTTAAAGAAGCTGTTGCCGGTTTGGTAAAAGCTGGCTTGGATATTCCCCGGACGAAATTGGTCTGCGATGAGACCTATCAGGACATCCTTTATAAAATTATCGGACGAACCAGACTGGGTGACTCGCACTCAAAAGAATCCTTGCCCACATTGTGGAAGGAACTCGCGTCGTTGGACTCATCGACTGGTGGGGTAGACTTCACGGTCGATGACCTTACTCAACGGGTAGAGGATGGGTTTAGCACCAGTCCCCAGGACTCAGAGGCTGACATTTGGAAATATACATCTCGCCTGTGGGAGGATGCACAGTTCAAGGGAGTGGAGGCACCCAAGGTGAGGGAAACTTGCATCAGCAACTTCCCAACCAAATTTCGTGTCACCATTCGACACCGTGGAGTGGAAGCCTCTGGCGAGGGTAGGAACAAGAAAGCAGCGCGTCATATTGCCGCCAAACGTGTTTGCCAGAAACTCAACATTCGGCTAGCCTAGTGAGTTTAGAGTCATAGAAAATGCGTCTTTCTGTTACCCCATTGTTCAAGGAGATGCAGTAGTACTTAGTTGGTATAACCCAAGGCTCAATTACCTGATAAAGTCATTGGTAGACGATTAACTCCAATCTTGTAAGCGTTTGTCAGAACTGCCTTTTTTAAAAGTCTGGAGGTCCAAAGCACACATAGCTCTATCCCGGCTAAGATCCTGTGAGCTGTCAGATGCTTGGGGTTTAAAACTACCTTGGTGAGGCATGCCAGTATATTCTAAGCATTATCTCCCTAGCAATGGCACTTGGGCCTGGGTTTGTATAAGTCAATGGGGTTGGATTACACTTGAAAGCGACACATGCCAACTACTAAATTTACAATCTATATTACATGTCAAGAAATAAAGATAGATCCTTCTCTAATTTCATTCGTGGTACTGGAGCTTTTCTTGGAATAGGCAATGGGTAGTGAATGAACGTTCACATCTGCTAGTTGCACAAATACACTATGGTTTCTTTTGTCCTCAACGATGACTTCAAACAATCAACAGTTACGCTATACTTGGTCAGCACTCGCTGCTTTACCTTCTTGTCTATTCTGCCGAGAATTCTGAGCTTGTGTAGCAGGCGGGCCTTTGGGATGGTCGGTCGCCACATCGTGCGCTATGAAATGCTCAAGAAGTGGCAGAATTCCTAGTTTCTCAGCGAGAGCCTCACATTCCTGCAGGTTCGCGAAAGAGTCGACATATATCGCACCAAAAACACTTTGGACAATGTCAGAGAGTACTTTGAGATCTCGAAAGACACTGAGGTGTGCCCAGGGGTATACTCGTTTTTCCCACAGGTCCCCCTTGACGATGTGTAGGTGACTGGTAAAACTTTTCGTAAGGCCGGATAGCTTGGCAGAGAGTGTGTCGCTTTGTGAGCGTATAAAATTATACAGAGCCACTCGGTGACTACTCCGGATGACACCCGGGATGCCCTTACTATCAACCTCGATAGTATCCTGTTCCTTCTCCCGATAAAATGTGAGACAGACAAAGGCGAGATACATATTGTTGGTCACAGCCGATTTCAAAGATTGCAGTCTTTTAGAGCTCATCCATCTATTGTGTCGATGTAAATATGTGACAACTACTAAATCGATGACCGCAGCCCCAAGAAACGACAGACGCCGATAGGATGTTGTACCGTAGAGTCCGACACAGGAAGCGTGTGTCATTGATTCTATTGCCAGACTCTTATCAGAAAAGGTGTATGCAAGCAGGTCTTCCAAATCTACGATCGTTGTTGCCCCCAGTGCTTTGGGTGGCCGAGATTTGGAATATGTGCCATCATGAAGAGATCCTGTGGTCCAAATCTTGATCTTAGGGATCATTGCTGCTATACATATGACAGCTTGATCCAGGCCGTTGTCTAGGAAGGCAGCGCCTACCAAGGCCTTGGCCATATCAGCAACAGTAGCGGCACCAACATGTCTCTGCCTGGTTCGACTGCCGTTTGACAATGTTGTTGACACGAAAGCCGGCCGCCATCGTTTTCCGTTAAACCGTGTAGTCATGAGATAGTGCCCAAACCCAGAATGGCATACAGCCGCTGCAAGCCCTGCATCAGACACAATGGAATTCTTGCTGCTTGTCAAAAGGCCCTCGTGCCATAGCGTATGATGCAGAAAGAGCTGTCTCGTTATGAGAAACTTTGCGATTGTATCCCCGATAAACGCCATAGAGCGAAACTCGGACCGATGCACTATATCGGTTGGGTTGATAGCAATGGATAGCAAGTCCATTCGTTCAAAAGGGGCTGCTTGGGCATTTGAAAACATTCTGTCCTTTAACTTTTCCGCGATCAGATATACTCCAATCTTATGGATTATGCTGGGAGCTAACACGGCAGCTTCAGCATAGACTGACGGAAGCCGATCGACCAAATAATCTTCAACAGCCAGCTCGCCCAGTTTCTGTTCGACGACAAGGGGCGATTGCCGCTTCTCTATCGGTGTAGCTGTTACCAGCGCTGGCTTATGGAGGAAGTTCCGGCGTCTGGTTAAGGGGTGTATCTTGCCTCTGATTGCTAGGCTGGCATCATTGCTATGAGGGCCCTCGTCCTCGAATTCCTTCAGCTCTTCAACAAGCAGTGGGCGACAGGCCTTTGTGACATGGCGCATGAGCCCAAGCGAACCGGGCCGAGCTCGGCGTGTCGGAAACCAGGCGGCGAGGCTTGTCCTTCCGGAATGACTCTCAAGAAATCCAGAAATCGCAACGGGATCCCTATCTGGGACAAGGATATGAACGTAGTCGATGCTTGTTTGATCTTCGTGGCCTCCATATACGGACTGTAGAATTAAATGTGTCGCCTGTTGACATATTGAGATGTCCGTGGTTATTGCTCTAGCCGAACTGACAACTGCTGTATGCTCCGTGTCGGAATCCAGAAACAATTGAATACGAACTTCTGTCCTCAGTGGAACTGAGAGAATCATAAAGAGCTTGATGTCCTCTTTCTGTGGTCGGACAATGTGAAGTTCGTGGCAAAATAGCTCCCGTCCACCAGACCAGAGCAAAGCAACATCATGCCAAGGATCTAGCTGCTCAGGGATCAAGTAGTGCGACCTTGGTAACAGATCTTTTTCAAGAATGTCCGACAGCCGCAAGGGGAGAAGATAATCATTGACGAGTCCGGCATGGTACAAGGCCTTGTATGCTTGGAGGGCTGCATCCTCCTTTGCCCACCTTTTCCTAGCCCATTTTTTGAGACTATTGAAGGTGTGAAGGGATGGGTCAAGATTGCTCGGCAGCCGGACAATTGCCTGTACCTGGCTGCACCCATCCATCTCGCAGTTGAATACAGGTTTATTACTCACATATGGCTGGGCTGGTAGCTCTGAGCAGAACCTATACAGGTGGCTAATGGCATTTCCCATGGTCATTTGAGCCCTATATGGTCAGATCAACAGGCCACAGGTTAGAGTTTAGAGGGAAAAGCACATACCCTGTGGAAGTACTGAAAGTCAATGAGTCTCTTAGCTGTTCGTCGTTTTTCAAGTCATCTGGCAGTACTGTCCTTTCCTCATCCTGAAGCTTTCTCAACAGCTCACTTTCCAAACGCTGTACGGATTTCACATCATTTAAGTCCTCTCCATCTTGAAGAATAATGATGAATTTGGACTGCTGTCTTCGTGCACGCCCACGTCGCTGAATGAATGACTTTAAATTCAAGGGACAGTTGAAGTTCAGGACTGTGTTGCATGCTGGTATATCTATTCCTTCCTCTAGGGCGTCGGTCGTTATGATCAGGTCTATCAATCCATCCTGAAACTTCTCGAGCGTTTCCATTTGGCTTCTAATATCGTGAACATCCCCGAGCTTGGTTTGCCTTTTGTAGATCTGAGACATACCCACAAATGTCCCACAACGGAATCGCTCGCGTGTTCCTGCGTAATTTTCGATGAGCCATTTCAATGCAAGTACGGTTGCTCGTTGTGAGACGAATATCAACGCACGAAATCCTTCCCTATGTTCCTCGATGAGAGAATCAAGCAAACATTGACTCATAGGCGAGGTATTATCAGGGTGAGCCTGCCCGCCGTATTGGTCTATATTACCTAGTTCACAAAGCATTTCCATGATATATTCTTTTTCAAGGCTTGGAGTGTTTGTTCTTTCAGCATTCCTTCGCATGTCTTTTTTGAACTCGAGAATTGAAGTTACAATGTAGTTCGTAGCGGCCCAAGATCCCAGCTCCCAGTTTATTGCTTCCGCTTGGTTGACAAAGCGACTGAGTTGTTTTTTTGCCTTTGCCAAATCTCTCTTTTGTTCATGACGTGCTTGTAGAAGTTCGTGCAGTTTTTCTATTATGGGTAACCCGCTTGGATTTGTCCGTGAGCGATAGAAGGATACTCGTGGCACAATCAATGGTTGATTCGTAAAGCGTAACAGCTGCGCATAGAACTGGCGCGGCATCCTGCATGAACTGTGTAGCCTTTTTTCGACGTCCCTTTTGTATCTTTGTCAGGTCTTCATCTCAATCCTGCTGATCAATGGTATATGTATACATACTCTAAGGTAGAAAGATCTGACAAGATCGGAGATGCAGTAAGACCCAATATGGTTGGCTTCTGTTGATCCGAGATCTGCGATTGACGATGATAGTACTCGCTCATTATTTTACTGGCAGGATGGTTGTCGGTGCAATGATGAGCTAGTTGGTCTGTCAGCTATGGCATCACATAGGGCGCACTGTCCTTCTCTCTCCAGAACTTGCCTTCATCAAAGATAATCAAAGATAAACGGGCCATAGTTATAAATCGATGGACCAGCGCATCATACAGAACCTGATAGGTCGAGATTGCAATCTTCACATTTGCCAGGGCAATATCCCACGTTTCAACAGTATCCCAATGATCGACATTATCGTTACTAGTAAATGACCTACACCACATGGGAGGGAAATGGGCAGCCATCGTACGAACATGCTGTTTGCATAACGCGACTGTTGGACATAAGAACCAGATAAGCTGCCGGTGGTTAATTATACTATTTGTATAGCGGATATGAAGTACTTGCCTTGTCCGAGCTTCCTCGGTCTATCTCTGCGAGGATTCGGTGTACGGCACTTGTTCAATCTTCAGCACCTAAAGCTCGCCGTAATGGATATGTTTCTTACATTTGCGTTTTCCCGGTTCCCGTGGGCATCTTTGATACTATATTATTTCTTTTTTTCTCCCTGGGATTCTGGACCTAGAGAACAAAACAAGAGTGATCCTACTCACCACAACAATCAAATTTCCTTCTAAACTCTTATTCACCATTTCCACTTGGTAGTCCCTGATCTGAAATTGCTTGTCATCTACATCCCGTGGGATGTAGCCCTGGGTATTCTGCTCATTAGATGCCATGTCGGAATTTGCAACAGACTGTATCGGTAGTTATGAGAGTTGATTGCAACGACTGCCATCACGGCACCATGCCATGTATTCATATACGATACAATTTATCTCATAGGAGCAATACCTCTAGACAGCCATACTATCCAGAACGCTCTATGTTACGAGAGGAAGTTAGCTTTGCATTTGCTGCCCGAATTCCATTTTACTAGAGCGGGCTGATATTGGTTGCCTCGCTTTGGACACGTAGCCAGCGTAAAGTCAGGCTGCGATGTTCAGCCTTGCATCGATCAAACGAAAACCAACAAATAATTGTTGAACCTACTCCCCCCCAAAATTAATTTCTTTCCATCTAGCCATGGGTGGCTTTGTTGAATTACACCAAAACATGAAAGAGGAAGAGGGGGAGGAAGAAGAGAATTTCAGACTCCAGTCATAAGGGCTGGATTAAGCGGAATTTACTCAGTGTCGGCCAATATGGACAATACGGACTCAAAAGTACCAGCAATAGGCCTCGCACGTGATAATAGCTGAGGGTCGCAGAGATCTTATTCCCACAACCACTGGGACACTGAATGGTAGCTGCTAGGATTCAAACTTTTATAATATATGTGCTATTAGCACGGAACTCGGTTCAAGCGTTGTTGGTATTAAACTTCTCCAAAACTACACGCAAAGGATGGCAAGACCTCTCTTCGGGAGAGTCTGGTCAAGGCTATACAAGCTGAGAAAACGAATGACTCTCACAATAGCCATGGAGACTTAGTATCTGGATAAAGCTAGCCAAAGGCTTCCAAATAGGTAGAACCATATGCCCTTTTTGAATGACTATCATTATTCTCTTCCAACTACTGCATCACAAGAACCTGGGGGTACACTCCACTTCAGGGAGCGCTCAGCAAATCAGGTGTCAAGGTAAAGGACCTCTATGTTTAAAATAGCAACAAGACTGGATTGGATGATCTAGACTTTCCACCTTTCTGATCCGGTACCGGTCGTGAGTCCATGCTTCCTTTTGCAATGCTTCCGTAGATTGTCCTTTCGCGTGAAAGTTGTGGAACACACGTCACAGTGGAACGGCCCCTCAATCTTCCATTGATGCTTAGCCCACATACTGTGGGCTGCCACTGCGTGCCGACGAACATCCTTTTGCTCCGCAGCTCTGAAGTTACACTGAGGATGCAGACATTGGACAGGTTTGTTGTGGATCCTCATATGCCTCCTGATATCGTCAGAAAAGGTACCGAAGATGCAAATGACACAAGATCTTACGTGAGGTGGGCCCTCAGCGTGAAGCCACGCCGGTTTCGACATTTCGGATAACTGCAACGGTAAATCCCTTCTTCTTGGACGTTAGAATAATCGTACGAAGGCATTCTGACTTCTGCAAGCTCCAGATCACTCCTTGGCATCGTCATTGTGGAAGCTGTCTCGTGGTTTATCAAGTTCGGTACCTCACCAGCTGTCCCTGAACCAACGGCTTCAAAACCACCCACCATGTCAAACCAGGTCTTGGACAGCAAAGTACTCTAAGGAGACCCATAGACGTCCTCGGGACCGCTAATGACATGAGATTGGTACCCGATTGGGATTTGGCTCGGGGTGGGAAAAGGGTATGAGAGTTGTTCTAGCGTTGGGCTAGATATATCTGCTTGCCCTTGAAGGTTTGCGAACGCAAAGCAGTCTTCAGTTGTCGCGGTGTCGTTTACCAATGGAGTCATGTCCAGATTCCAAATTATGTCGTCATCGTCACTCGGAGGTTGTAGTGCCATGGCTAAAGTCGTGCGCGGGTGAGGAATAGGGCCGAGAATATTACTTCATGGCCCAACCTGTCGAAGGCTACTGACTGTTATTTCTCCCACAGTGGGTTGTGGTGTTCGGTAGGAAATGGGAAGATAAATACTCACCAGACCAAGAGTGCCAGCTCCCACTAGGTCAAAAATTAGTGCCACGGTCCGTGTGGGGGATGGCACTGGTTTTTTGAGTTGTCCCCGTTAACATTTAGCATCATGTATTGATGCAACCCAGCGGAAGCGAACCCCATCGCCACGTCAGCATCGCATGATTTTGAATTGATCCAGCATACAATACCTAAAATGCTACTCTTTACAGCCTGGCATCTGGCTAACGGGGGCGTACAGCAGACACATCACCTATTTTATCACCTGAGCATGTAACCCGTCCCCTGCAGGGCATCGCCGACGTATAATTATCGGGAGTGACCAAACTGCAACCTCTGCTGCACGTTATTATTGGTGGGGCGGACCTAAAATGAAAAGAGTAAATTTGCTAGGAAATAATCCCATAAGTCTTCCTACACTTATCGTATATGTTACCGATTCTATAATGCCCGGTAACTGTCTTCATGGATTAATATAAAACTCCTCGGGACCTTTTTTTTTTTTTTTTTTTTTTTTTTTTTTTTATTTATTTTTTTTTTTTTTTTTTGTTCTTTTTGTCAATAAATAAAGCAGGCAAGCTCGTGAATATATATATTTTGTTTTCAAACGTAACAGGCGTCCTGGTAACAACAGACCTGCTATTAGAATGGAGGGGCCCCTGTGTATCTTGGACATTATGACGCTAGATACGTAAATTTACGTGGATTTTAGCGCTCCAGCTAATCCTCTGCCTTCAGCTTCATCACCCCCAGTTCTACGTTACAAGGTGAGATTTCATACGTCACCCTGCAGATGAGATCTCTTGAAGTCCACACTACGATTCAAAGACATAGCCATGTGACGGAAGAGAGAAGCTCGTCATCACGAGCGGATCGGTTTGACGGTAAGAAGGAGGCTTGCAAGGACAATTTTAACGATGTCTCGCCTATGCTGTTCTATGAAGATCGGGAAATGATCTAGAAAAGATCATGCTGCCTCTTTAGAATGCACACTTGACTCGGGTATAAGACAGCCTATGTGGTGTAGGAATATTGGTCGGCGAAGAGCCCGACAAAACCGTTACATGGCCCGAGACTAGTTTGATACTTGGTTGAAACATTCGCTCAACTGAAATCGATTGTGATGATGAAATCCAGCGCATTACAAAACGGAAATGAGCAAGAAGGCCACAGCGACTTTGCTCGTTGTGATTCTTTACTCAGCGACCGACCGTCAATTTAGGAGAGGAAGGATGGTATGTAGATCCTTCGGTTGCTCTAATATATAGCTAGGTTCGATTATCTCGAGCTGGAACGGAGGGCAAAAGTCTCGAGGTTGGTAAAGCATCGTCCCTATAGTTTTCCAGGCTGCTTTGCTCAATTCCCGCAAATAGTCACCCTGGGAGTGATCGAGGATGGAAACAATTTGCGGGAAAATGGACTCCGGCACCTTTAAGAGCCTAATAGCCGGTTAGTTGGATCTCGAGCTTTCACATCCATGACTTACATATTATCTGATAGTTCCAGACCTGTTTGGTAGGATTGTAGCGGGTATGGTATCAGTGCGAGAATGCCTCTACCGAAACGCCCCTGTAAGATGTGAAATCTCCGTGCAAGTATTCGAAGGTTGCTAACATCTTTGTATCCTTTCCTCCACTCTGAAGATTCCCGTTTAACATGAGGAAGCACTTGCTTCATCATCGCTCTGGTAAGCTCTGCCTCTGCATTGTTGCGGGGATTTCCTGCCCGTCTTTCCCCCGAAACGATATAACCTGGGGTTGCAACGAACCCTGAAAGTGACGGTGTCTCACATCCACCACACTCTTCAAATAAGTAAGAGATTTGATACCTTCGAAATAAATTCAGACCTGTGATTTGCTGGCTTATAAGAGAGATATTGTTATATGTCTGTGCCTTCGATGAGTGGTTAGAGATCTGCAAATAAGACAGGTCGGCCCTCCCTCTCCAGGTTTGAATTGCCTCTTGAACGACCAGGACTGACTGTGCGCTGCCAGAGCCTAATATTAGCCGTTCCAAGACATCCTTCGATAGCTTATGATCTACCCTCTCGATGGCTCTCGCAATGTCCGCGGTAAAGTACGATTCTTGTGGAGTTGGAAGACGATTTTCTTGACATTTTATGCTTTCTTGCGCCAGGAAGGATTCCGTCGGACTATCCTTCTGTCGTCGAACTTGCTTTGCCTTCCTCTGATCACCCCCACTCTTACTGAATGAGATATCCGCTGATCGTTTGCGATCACTCTCTTGCACTGCATTTGGCACATCACTCCCTTGTTGGACACTGCTGAAGGCTGGGGGCATGGGATGACCATTCGTGCACTCAATATCGTACAGACTTGAGTTGTGCTGACATTCTATGCTCATGGCTCCGAGCATATCCGCCGCTCCTGCACAATTACCGCCTTTCTCAGGCAGTGCTACAGGCACATGCGTATCCATATTTATGCTAGTGTGTAGCCATGAGGGATTCACCCCGTTGTCCTCTTCTGTGAAGAACCTAGAATACTCATTTGTCACCCGTGATTCAATTGAAATCCATGAATAGCTTCGTACCCTATGTACTCCAGTATCTGCCACGTCCGTAGATAACTTCTCCCACAGTCGAGATGTGCAGCGGCAATAATCGCTGCCAAAGCCTTTCCGACGATGATGTGACCCTCCTCGACGAACTGTGGGTTGTATACGATCATTCTGTCAATGGTCGTGCGTTGGGCAACGGAGGCAAGGTGAGCGTATGTGCACAGTTTATCTTTTCTTTCGGCAATGTAGCCTTTTGTTCCTGTGAGATTGATCGTCCTTCCAGGAGCTTCGAGGCCCTTACTTGATTGAATGTTCTGTTCATAAGCATTAAACGAAAGGCACGAACGAATCACGTCAATACCAAAATCTGCCAGCCCTTCCCCGCCTCCCGCTGGTGCCGTAAGAGCCTTGCAAAGGTAGATCGGTGACTCAGATTGATAGCCCAGAATACGTGCGACCTGTGTAATGTTGCTCTCGATGCTCATGTTGTCAGACCATTCGCGTAGATGTTACCCGCCGAAGAGAAAGAATTTCAATCATAGATATGGTATGATGTTTTCCCTGAGAATCTCTCAATTAAATATGCATTCCCTATACCGCCGAATTATTATTTTTTACTAACTTCAATCGCATAGCCTTGCTTTCCCGTTGTGCCTACATCTAATGTGCTAAGTGTCAGAGGAATCTTTAACCAAGGTCTACACTCAGTGACAAGACAGCCAACTAAGCATCCCATGCTTGGACTCTATGACGTTACCGGTGTCCTATACAAGCCCCATCAGCTGCATGGAGGTTCCGGAAGCGGTTAGGGCTCCTGTACATATTGACAAGCTTGCTACGTCCCACCCCCAACACAAAGTGGGGTTCCATCTTGTTAATCTTAGATACCTCTAGTCTATCTTTCCATCATAACCATGGATCGAGGAGTGGGTGTCCCGGGTCTAGCCAGATACTATTAACAGATATTAAGTTTCGTAAGAACCGATATGTTATAAAAATCAAGGTGCATGGATCTTACATGAGCTTATTGATAGGTAGTCGTAGTTGGGAATATCATAATATTATTAGGTAGGTCCACTACATCTAGGATAGATGAAAATGTTTTTTTTTCCGGCGATAACGCAAAAATTAAGCTACATTTAGGAGCCACTCAACAGGATTTTGTTCACACGTGGTTGCAGATAACTTATTTTATTAACACATATTATGCGGGAGGCCCACTACCCATGCCGGAGGCCCTTTATTCCGGGAGTCGACCGTGCGGGAGGCCCATCATGCTGGAGGCCCATCATGCGAGAGGCCCAATATGTCGGAGGCCCATTATTCCGAGAGTCGACCGTGCGGGAGGCCCATCATGCCGGAGGCCCATCATGCCGGAGGCCCAACATATCGGAGGCCCAATATGTCGGAGGCCCAATATGTCGGAGGCCCATTATGCCGGAGGCCCAATATGTCGGAGGCCCATTATGCCGGAGGCCTGTTATGCGGGAGGCCTGTTATGCGGGAGGCCTGTCATGCGGGAGTTGGACTAGGTAGAAGGCAGGCTGTTATCGTTCAGATTCTCCAGTCTGCCCTATTCAAATTTTTAGTCGGTGAGGCGGGTCTTTTATGATAATGTTGTCCTGTGGACATTAGAAATTATTTGTGAATACGTCAACTGTTATGATGAGAAATGGAGTAGGCTGTTCTACCTTATGACTAATCATACTGGCGACTGAGAGATACAGAAGTGGGCGATGGAGTTAAAGCTGCTGGAAAAGATTGACAATGTGGAAGACAGGTGGAGGGTACGCATATATGTATATCTATAAATCATTCAACCAGCAACTTACTGACTCTGCGGATTCTGCTTTCTATCCCGGGTTCGGGTCCAGCGGGGGAACCTGTGCCATTCTAGACTCGGCTGGCGACTGATCTCGATATCTTTAAGTCCGTTGTTATCTAAATAATATAAATAAAGCCTTGGAGCTGTCCAGATGGAATTGATGACTTCTTTTCCCTCTATGAATCATCTCCTTTTGAAACCTGGAAAAGATTTCTGAGAAGGCCGAGTAAGGGGACCGGTTATCATTGTTCGCCCATGATAGCTAGTAGTATATAGGTAAACTAGACTTACTTTACTCCTGTACCTTGAGATTAGGATGGACTCATGTTTCATTTTGTATTATTTTGTGCTTAGGGCATTCAATGATATGGCAATATTGACTTGTATGAAAGTAGGGCTGCTACTGTATATATATGAATCTAAGGATACAGATTTAAGTCATGGTTATTAAGTAATATATAATAGGAAATTTAAAGCGATGCGCGACAACTATAGATCTATACGAACTACTATTAACATACTACCATGGGATAATATATGATGAGACCCTACTACTCTATCTTATAGATAATTAACTTAACGTTATAAGTATACCGTAGCTATCACATAATGCAAGACACCAATCCTTCGACAAAAATCGGAGGTTTGGCTGTATGCTAGATTTAGTCCATCGTAACCTATTTACGGATTAAATCCACAGAACATATCAAAATTAATTTCATATACTCGCACATCCATACAAAATAATATCCAACCCCTTCGGATAGAGACGAACTTGGGGTACTGAAGCCAAGGTAATATAACTGAGAAAGACAACAGAGTACAGACCCAGGTGATTAGTTCAGTTCAGTTCAGGGAACACATTGGACTTGGAAGACTACAGCTTTGGATGGGCGGGCTGCCCTTCAGACATGCTAATGACCACCTTAAGAGATCCGGATTTGGAAGGTGTCTGGAACGTCTCATAGGCCTTGTGTATCTGATCAAACGAGAAATCTGTTGGATATGTCAGCTGAGAGTGACCCAAGATAAATATAATGACCAGCCTACTGTGTGAAACCAGGAAATGAGGACTAATCTTGCCCGACTCGACAATCTTCAGTAAATCAGGGGTCGTGCACGCATCGACCAGCCGAGTTCTGATACCTATTCATAGTTTAGTGAGAACCACAGGAAATGGTAGACAAAATAGACATACAGATATTGCGATGCCAGAGGTCCTCCAAATGCAGAGCACAGGGTGTCCCAAACACCCCCAAACTGGCTATCGTCCCCCCGGGACCTACTAACGCCTGAGCGAGCTCAAACGAATCAGGGGTCCCCACTGCTTCGATCACCACGTCGAATCCCTGATTGTTCGTTACTGCGAGGGCGGAGCTGACTGCGTCCGCCTTGCCCCGGAGCACACTGATCGCGTGATCTGCGCCCATCTCCTTTGCAGTATCAAGCCTGGGCTGTCCTCTACCGACTACGGCAGTTATGGACGGTCCGAAAAGATTCCTCGCCATCTGAAGCGCCATCAGCCCGATTGGACCCGTACCGATGATAGCAACGGTTGACCCGGGCTGGATCTCACCATTGAGAATGCCGCATTCGTATGCAGTAGGAAGAACATCGGATAATGTGACGGCCACCTTAGGGTCGAGGCCGTTCGGGAGCGCATGCAGCGAGAAGGATGCGTGGGGGATCCGCACGTACTCAGCCTGTGTGCCGTCGATGGTGTTACCCAGGATCCAGCCGCCAGATGTACACTGTGAGGGCATTCTCTTGCGACAGAAGTTGCAGGAGCCACACGACGTGATGCAGGAGATCAGTACGGGTTGTCCAACTGAAAATCGTGTGACGCCGGTACCCAATGATTCAACTATTCCAACGCCTTCGTGGCCGAGGATACGTCCGGGAGTGCATGTCTGAACGTCGCCTTGTAAAATATGCAGGTCCGTTCCGCAGATGGTGGTGTGTTGGACCTTGACGATGGCGTCAGTGGACTCTAGGAGGGATGGCTTTGGACGTTCCTCCACCGAGATGGTGTCCTTTCCAGTGTAAACAACTGCTTTCATGATTCCAAGTACTTGGCTTCACCTAGGTATAGGTATATAAGGCTGGTATCAAATACAAAGAAATAAAGACAGCTCCCTGTGGGATTTTAGTACACCTTTCGATAGAATCCTTTCAGTACATTCTTCTTTCCCCGTAGAAAATGCCACCTTTTATAATGAGGGGGTTAGGGTACTGCAGCTGCACAAACCAATCCTTCAGCGAACTATTGATGCCCGCATAGCTACCCTTAATATCTATCATCACTACCATTGGGTAGCATTGTCTCACCGACGAGCCGACGCCGCGGAATGATCTAGACTCGAGATATCTAGATCACCGGGCGTTCACTGGCGCAAAGGGGCAGCGATAGCCGATCAATGAATGGCTGTCAGATATCAAAAAAAAAAGCCCTGGTGCAACATCATGCAGCTTACGATTGCGCTAAGGCGGTAGTCTTTCCGTTATCCCAGTCGGTTTCCATGGAAGTCGCTTAATGCAGCTACTAGACCCAAGCTAATCACTTATAGGGCAAAGTCCCTCATCGCCGCAACAAAAATTGCGCATCGTCACATGAACATCTGCACGTGCCTCTAGAGACACACAGGTAGCAAAACACACAATTGCTTTCGGTGCGGAGGAATTTCCCATACTTCCTTCTCTGCGGCTGTTACGCTTTTAGCTTCAACATGACAGGTCTTGGCGTTTGTAATTGTCTAGCAGCTCGCCCGGGCTTGGAAATATTCCACAATTGAATCTCCGTAATGGATTCCAGCTCATTATGTCTCGTGAGGATCTGATGGAGCTTTCTTTCAAAACAAAAAATAGTGAAATTGATTCTCTGTACGTTGGAAATATATTCAAGACAACACGGGAGGTGAACAGCCTCCATTCAATTCTAGCTTGTGTTTACTTCTAACATGACCATGGCATTGTGAAGCGCCCAAAAGTTTGGAGAAAAAGAGGCCTTGTGATTATTAATTGCTAACATGTTTGACTTATTCTTCCCAGTTGTCATGGTATATCCATGTTTACAAGATCTCAAATCTCCGACCTCGTTATTAGAAGACACCGCCGAATATAGGATAGAACCTGCACATGCTATTCTAATAGTACCATGGTAAAAGGTATATCATAATGGAGTTAGCATCCACGAATTCAAATGCGTCTGCAATAATTTGCGATGTCGACAGTATGGTAAGAGCCGAAAGCTCTACATTCTATTCTTAGTTATTAGCACATGCTAAGACACCTAGGTTGCCAGTACTTACCATAGCTAGCACATCATGTTGCCGCTATTCTCAACGGCGACGCCATCAGAGCGTCATATTGGACCATAAGCTTGATGGATACCAGAAGACTGGTTCTGAGGCGAAGTATAGCACACCGAGCTGGCGTGTGAGCTAGAGCAAGTGCGTTCAGTCTTCGAGGCTACTAATCCCCCAACGTGAAGTTTCGCTCCTGGATAAGCCGGGATAACAGTCGAATCTCATGAACTAGGGAGTTTACCGCTTTAGCATTCTGTCGGAGAGTAGCTAAGAGCTCTTTGTTCGTAGTCGTGTCTGGACCGGGAGAGACTTGTCGGGCATGTTGAATGACATTTATTCTCCGACGCAAGACCATATCCGAAGACGTGTAGTAGTCGACTGTTGCAGAGTGATGGGCAAGCTCGGCCACATGGAGTAAGATAGTCCGCTAGGATGCACAGTAGTTCTGCTGATATGTTGGCTAAATTAGAACATGCGAAGCTTGATGGCTTGATCTGTGTAGATCGGAGATGCCCTCGGTTACAGGGAGCTTTAACCAAGCCGTTATCGTTTATAAGGAGATATAAAGTGCTAAGTGGATGATGAAACTTGAATTTGCTCACTGAGCAGAGTGGTAAACCCCTATTAAAACAGTAACATACATGACCATGAAAGGAGATCCTGTCTCAAATATGTACACAGTACATCTGAAAGTATATGACATCTAGCAAATACCGTGGGTCTTGCCATGCTTACCCTGCAGGGAATGCGTCTCTCCCTTGTAGTGAGGGTGGTTGTGCTTGGACTTGTGAGAGTGGGTAGTGTGTGTGCGGACGTGTCTGGTTCAGTCAGTCTCAGTTACCAACATATAAAAGGAAATGCATAAAGGCTCCTTACTGGGTGTACTTCTCCAACATGGCCTTGTCCATGTCACCCAGCGTCTTCAGGCCCAACTTAATATCACTAAGCAGCGAGTCACACCGGCTTTTCGTGAAATCCTCGCGGACAACCACACGCATCAACTTCAGGTTGTTGCTGTTGGGCGCCATCGTGTATGCAGGGACAATCCAGCCACGTTCGCGCAGCTGGTGTGCCAGGGCAAACTCGTCGAAATGACCCTCCCGCTCAGCGGGCAGTCTGAAAGCGACCAATGGGAGACCGTGGCCGCGACGCTGGCTCATGATAATAAAGCCCAACTTCTCAAGCTCTTGGGCCAAAAAGTCCGCAATGACAGTAATGTTGGTCATGATGGAGCGGTAGCCACGCTTGCCGAGTCGGATCATCTGGTAATACTGGCCGATGACCTGAGATGCACCTTTGGAGAAGTTCAGGGTAAAACTGGCCTGCTCAGCTCCGAGGTAGTTGATGTTGAAAATCAGATCCTTGGGGAGATATTCCGGGGACCGCCAGACGACCCAACCCACACCTGGGTAGACCAGACCATACTTGTGGCCCGACACGTTGATTGAAACGACCTTTTCGAGACGGAAATCCCATTCCAGCTTGGGGTTGATGAAAGGAGCGACGAAGCCACCGCTAGCGGCGTCAACATGGATAGGAACATCGATGTTGCGCTCAATCAGGAGGTCATTGATTGCCTTGACGTCTTCATACTCACCGGTGTAGGTGGTACCGAGGATAGCGCAGATACCGATAGTGTTCTCGTCAACCAGGTCAACCGCTTGCTGGGGATCAATCACATAGCGGTCCTCAGTGCAGTACACATATCGCTCCTCGACGTCAAAGTACCGTGCGGCCTTCTCCCAGCACACCTGTACAGCACTGTTCATGACGATGTTAGGGCGAGAGCAGTCCTTGCCTTCCGCCTTGCGTTTATTTTGCCAACGGCGCTTCATAGCCAGGGTACCCAGCATGATTGCCTCGGACGATCCGATCGTTGAGGTGCCCATCGGGTGCTCGTCTTCGCTGTTAACAGGCGCGTTGAACAGGCGCGCAATCATGTTGACGCAGCGGTTCTGAATCTCCGCTGACTGAGGATACTCCTCGTAATCGATGAAGTTCTTACTGAACGATTCAGTCATGAGCTTTTCGGCTTCATCTTCCTGCTACGATTAGCATAGGACCTCATCATCATCTCGGTCGAATAAATTGTTACCATATAGGTCGTGACAAAACTCGCCAAGCTATGTTTGGTTAGTATCAATCGCATAAATCCACGGAGGCGAGAAATTGAAGCCTACTTGAGCATTGGGTTTCCATCGAGACTCAGCTCGTCCTTGATCATGCGATAAGCGACCTCCCTGGGCATTTCCCGCTCCGGCATCTCAGTCTGAGGCAGCTGTTCTGTTGCGAACCGCGTCCCGTAGACGCTGGAGTAGAATCCATCTTCTTCGGTGTTCTCCAATTGAATGGAATCAACACGCTTGATGGTGTCGTTGAGATCACCGTTGCGGTGGACTTGAGCGAGGTGGACCATGATTTCGGTAGATTATGCCAAATATGTTAGATAAGGAATTCACCAGGAATATAGCAGCGAGAATAGGAAACGAGGGGCAGGAAGGCGCGCTTTTAGCACTCAGCGAGCGGCACGATCCGAGCTCAGTCAGGCAACGTAGTCAGGAGGAGGGGCGACCAAAATGACTGGCTATTGTTCCACAGCCGATGTTTAGGCCTTCGCTACCCCTGCACGCGGCGATCTGTAGCCATACAGATCGCTCGCCCGGGCGGTCCGCGGCCATCCTGAATTACGCAGTTTTCAGCTCGTGGCGCAGCAAGTGGGTGAGGAGATCACCACGTTGGTGGGCGAATCGCGAAGGCTGGCTCAGGGGCCCGATTATTCAAAGCTTACTCGGAGTCGAGAAAGCTTGGCCCAGACTTGTGCATCAATGGATAAATGGATCGTAATTTGGTGGATAGTCTCCGCTATCGATTCTCTCGGTTATTAGTTCCTGGTAAATCCCTCGTGGGGCCGTGGGGTCTCGTCAGCAACTTGTTTGTGGGACTCTTCTCCTGATGCGATTCCTGGAAGTTGTGGACTAATATTGTCATGATGAAGGCATCGATGTAATGAATTGGGGGGGGGGGGGGGAAGCAAAGAGGGTCAACTACTAAAATAATTGGAGAGACTATAAGGGTGAAGGTAGGATCCGACTAGCATTACCGTATAAAGGAGAAACGCACCATCCGACAAACCCGTGACCCCACCTGACTGGTTTCAACCCTTTTCCCGTTACATTGTCCCGGTTGACGACTGGTGGGGAATTGCAAGACAAAACAAATATCGGTGAGGATGAATTCTTTGTCTTTCTTTTCAGACTCAGGCATCGCCGCGGAGAGTCCCATTGATCTCTTCCAAAGTATCGCCATGAGGGCATCTACCATCCTGTTGCCTACGTCATCGCATCACTTGCCTGACCAGTTGACGGACACCGCCACGACGCCTGTTTTAACACATCTAAGCAGTGTATATAAGAGCCTCGCACGTCTCGATCACTCTCCCCAGTCTAACCTCACATTTTTCAGTACGATGGAAGTCATGATGAGAACAGACAATCTTGCTAAAATCCCAGCGGAGAATCCCCTCAACTTAGCTAGCTTACTAGACAATGGACATCCCGTGCCTGAGCAACTTATTAGCGACGTGTAAGGACATCGCAGCTCATTGTCGCCATCTACTAACACTGCCGAGTCATGTGTCTGTTATTAAAGACACTGTTATTGAAGTTATCGACATTGGCATCTTCAAGAACCTCCTGATGGCCGGTATAAACCCTAACTCCACTAACAGCAAAGGGAACACACTACTCGCTATCGCCATGAAGAAGTAAGAATTCGTTGAGTACAACGCGCCTCTGAATAGGAATGAACTCGTGGAAGACAAGCTTACTGAGTTTGACGCATTTGTTGATTTGGTTATGCGCTTATAAGCACGTGGCGCTAATCCTTCTCTAGCAAACCAGGATCACACGCTGCCGCTTGATTTGCTAGTCGGTGGACTCTCAAGAACGGGGAATTATGTGCCGCTCTATACAAAAAGGGGGCCAGGGTCACCGACTTGGCTGCTTTTAGCCGCATATGCGAATGTCAACCTGTATCATGGATCGAGAAGCTTATCAGCAACGGAACTGACATAGCTGGTCGACGAGAACGTGTCCGCCAGGGCCTCATTATATTCCATCGTCTAGCGGCCAACAGCAAATATGGCCTCTCTGAAAAACGGCCAGTGCTAGATTTACTACATCAAGTTATGCCTGGGCTTCTGGATGAACCGGCGATTGAAGGAACCACTCCTCTTCATCTTGCTACAACATGCCGCAGCGATACTCTCGTCTCCTATTTACTTGATAAAGGGGCCAACATCGAAGCTTTGAGCTCGGATTGTGGGAATCCCTTGAACTGTGCAGTGTATCTTGGGGATTCATTCATCATCAGTCGATTGCTTACCAAAATAGATAGAACACGTCGACCATCAGAGCGCCGTGACGACTTCGAGGTGATCTTGAGGATTTCGCAAGAGCAAGAGACTGAACCGTCTCATACAGGAGTCTATGCACGGGATGCTTCTATGCTTCACACATCATCTCCTTACTAAACCCTTCGGTGTTCCGGTCATGCTTGCTATTCATTCTTAGACTGCATTGTTCTAGGGGATTTCTATCGTGCCTTCACAAAGTGGAACTAGCTCAACTCGATGCAATGGCCTTGGAAGGCAGGTCTGTGCTCGGAAGTACCAGTTGAAATATCAGACAGAGAAATACAGATGGTGAATACCATTACCTCCGCCTAATATAGGATAGACAGGTTCCCAGTTGGTAGATTGATGTCTTTCTTCCCACAGCCAAACGAGCTAAAAGCGAAACACGACCAGAACAGCCCAGGATATTCTTTTTTTTTTCTTTTTCTCTCTAGAGGCAATATATCAATAGTTCCCTTTTCTCACCTCTTCGATGTTATACGCTTACTCCCTTGTTCTTGCGTACTTGTTCTCTTTCGTACACGAGATCTCTATTGAAGAACTACTAATAAGCCACAAAGTCCTCTATCCCAAAATACCGTACCTACACTATTGCTTGCTTATTGCCTATAACCCGTTACCGATTACGTCACATTACCTTGAGAGTATATCGACATGTCAATCACCTTATTTGGCCACATACCAGTCTTTACCCCATAGTCTAACTCAAACGAATTGCTTTTAAGTACTCTATACTCCAAGACAGATAGAGATACACTGACAATCATAAGCTAATTAAAATATCTATAAAGGTAGTTAATATTGCCGTGGTTTATAGCCTTCGTACCACGATAGAACCACTCCGACTCTTATTCTTCAACAGAACATTGTGAAACAACAGAATAAGTTTACAAAAACTGCTCCAAATAGAAAGGAAACGAAGAAAAAAAGCAAAAGCAAATCCAAATTAGAATATTCATCCTGCCATGCCAATAGTACGTCATATAGTCCATAGTAACTCCATCTAGTGACACTACAGCCCACAGAAAAGTAATCAACCCCTATTCCACAACTCCAGAGTTAGATCGTCAATAGATATCTATCATAGACTAAATCCGTACACCATTCCCGAATGAAGGAGCCCCGCCCCGCTCGGCTTTTCGTAGCGGGTGTCTGATATCCATGCCCAGAGAGGAGGGTAAAAATAGATATCAGATCAGGAGAATGCGTGTCATGATCAGGATCTCACCATGTCAAAAGTACGGACAAATGGCGGTGAATGGCACTAAATCAGATGTCAGCCCATGTTTCATTTTCATAAGAAATTGTTCAATTCGGATCTCCCAAGGACGAGAAAAAAGAACCAAAGAGAGAACAAAGTTTCTTGATTATCATTAACTAATAGCAGAACAGGCAATTGCTTTACAACCAACACGACAGAATGTCCATCCCATCCAACCGTTCGGCATCCTTTTGGTATCCATCCTATCATATCGATTATCATACACGCCATTGACATACATGAAGATATATCACTTAAAAAAAGTTTTTTTTTCGTCGTTTTCGGTTTTCTCTCTTCAACCAACCCTCTTGGGTCCGTGGGTATCAGGAATTAGGGTCTCCGTGGGCTTTCCATCCCATCCATCAAATAGCCAAAATAAAAACAAAACGGGAACCAAAGATTATCACTCGGTGACTCCCGTTAGGCTTTTTCGCCCTTGAGCTTACGCTTGAACCATCCGAAGAAACCACTTTTCCGCTTCTCCAGCTTGGCAGCCTCGGCCTTGGCACTTTCTTGCGCCTGATCTTGCGCCTTGCTGGCTTCGTTCGTCACGGTCTCCTGGGCCTGGTCGGCAAGACTCTTGCCCTCCTCGGGCTTGCTGACGGTACCGGCTGGGGCTGCCTGTGCGGCCTGAGGTTCCTTTGTCTTGGCCTCTTCCGGTTTCTTGATGTCTTCCGACTTCAGCTCCTCCTGCTTGTTGGCCGGAGCAGCACTTTCCTCCTGAGCATCCTGTACGGCACGGGGCTCCTTGGTCTTGGCTTCCTCGGGCTTCTGGATCTCCTCCGGCTGCTTTGCGGTGCTGCCACCTGTTTCCTGTGCCTCCTTGGCAGCAGGCTGACTCTCGGGGAGCTGGTTCTTGACGGCTGCAGTGCCCTCCTGCACTTCGGCGGCCGGTTTACTCTCTTCGGGGATGGTCTCCTTCACAGGAACCTGGGTGTTGTCGGACGCGCCCTGGGCTTCCTGCCCCACGTTGGACACGGCTTGGTCGGCAGCAGGCTGGTTCGCGGAAGTAACCTTCGAGTCGGGACCGTCGTGAATGCTGGAGGGAACCTTAAGGGCTGGTTCGGCAGGAGGGGGAGCAGAGGTTGCACTGCCAGTACCGGTGGTGGCGGATGCCGATGCGGCCTGGGCGGTCTCGACGGGCTCTGAAGGAGCAGTCGCGCCAGAAGGAGCCGCCGTCTCTGTGCCAGGAACCTCCGAAGGAGCTGCGGCGGTGGTCAGTTCAGTGGGAGACGGAGCCTCCGGTTCGCTAACAACGGCTGGCGCAACGATGGTGGGAGGCTCGCTCGTGACCATCTCCTCTGCCTTAGATATTTCCGAGTCTTTGGACTGCTCAGCAACATCAAATTTGCCGGCCGACGTAGGGGCTCCTGTTGGAGCAATGTCCTCTGCGCCCTTGGGTTCAGTGGCGACTGTCTCATCCTCTGCCTTGGATATTTCCGAGTCCTTGGGTTTCTCAGTAGCATCAGCGTTGGCATCAGAGGTAGGGGCGCCCGTTGGGGCAATGTCCTCTGCGCCCTTGGGCTCAGTAGGAATGCTAGAGGCAGGAACAGCCGGTGCCTCAGGGGTCGCTGGGACCGTGGACTTCTCCTCTGCGGGAGAGAGACCAGGGACATTCAGGACAGTTGACACATAGTCGTTCGGGTCTGCACCAAGACCCGGCACAATCTGAGGCTGCACGCTCCCCGTCTCTGCAGGAACGTCCGGTTTCCTGGCCAAGGATCCCGTCTCAGCAACATGACCCGAGGTTGCACCCGCAGCCGCAACGGTATCGTCCACCTTAACCATCTTGTGGGGTAATTCGTCGTCCTTGGCGGTCAGGCTGCTCTCGTATGGTCGTTTGGCATGGGCATCGAAGGTGTCTGTAACCGTCTCCTTCGGGCGCTCGGGGAGGGAGGTTTCCGTTCCAGTAGTGGCGGGCAGCGTCTCGGGGGTCAATTGGAGCGGCTCATCGGTCACGGACGATTTGACTGTGGGAAGAAATGGTTAGGCCAGGAATGGTTGTGTGGACGACAGCCAATGCGCTACTTACCCGCACCAATTGCCTCTGCATCAACCAGCTCAGCCTTATCGGCCGGGCCAGTTTCCGCCTTATTTACCGCGTCCTGCAAGATCTCCCTGGCCTCCTCAGTGGAGGCAGGCGGGGCGGCCGAGGGGATATTGGTAATCGCATCGGGAACCGTGGTCGTAGGCGCCGCCGTCACGGCCTCAACGGGTTCTGTGACAACATCACTGACCTCGCCTTCTCCCTTCGCAACAGTCTCCTCGACTTCATGGCCAGGGGTCCTGCGCAGGCGTCAGTATAGCGGCCAAGACGCGCGACCGCCCCCTCCCGAAAAGATCCGGCGCGGGCGATGCGAAGTGCGACTTACACGGGGTTCTGAATATCAGTGGCCTTCTTGGTCGCGGCAGCAGCGGCACCGCCCGCCTTGCCACCCTTGCTCTTGTTCTTACCCTTTCCTCCTTTCTTGGCCATGGTGATCGACGATAATCTGGTAGCGAGCGGAGGGTTAGAGAGGGCTGGGACATGGATTGATGACGACAAGAGGTTGCGCGGGGTTCCGAGGGTCCCATGGAGACTTACAGTAGGGTCGAGGACGATGGAGGATGGAAGGTTGATAGAGAATTGCACAGCTGGACGATTCAATTCAGGCTGGAGCAGACTGGAAACGGACCGGTTGCGTGGATGTCAGTCAGGGGCGGGTGAAGGTCTGCCTGGTTGGTATGTTGGTTCTTTCCGAATGCTAATTTAATCGTTCGGCGAACGTTAATCCGCGATTGTCGGGAGGGCAGTCCACGTTTGCCCAAACAACAATTGTCCCCTGTCGCGACAACCCTTGGAGTCACTCAAGTTGTCGTTGCAAGGAAGAAGAGTAAGAGTAGTGGGCGTCGAGCTCCAAATTAACAATCACAAGTTCATGCAGCCAAAGCAAACATTGGACGTGACACACTCTGGTCACGCTCTAGTCACATGAGGCGCATCCAAGGGACAACTTTCGATCCTTGCGCGCTACAGCCACTCGTTTGTCTAAAAGGCAATTGACACCAGAAATGGCTGGAAGGGAGAGCAATCCAGGTGGCGATTATCACCTTGCCAAAATATGCCTAACAATTACAAGGGGGGGGGGGGTTGTTTCGTTCAAGTTTACAGCCATGGTTACTCGTTCTCATCGTCTTGTTGACCGGATTGTTCGGGAACCAACAATTCGCAATGAGATCTGTTCAATTAAACCCTCCAGACGAACTCAGACACCCGCTGGTTTCAGGTCAATAATGCGATCATGTCCTTTGAAATTTCCCAAAGGGGGGATCTCAAGAGCTCTCGTTCGCTGAAAGGCATTGTCTGAATTCGAAGCCGTCCGCTGGTTTCGTCGGTGGCGGCGATCCACGGTGTGCCTGCAGTAGTTGCTCTTAGCAAGGCTGGGGTACAGTCAGCTCACCCTACCTCGGGTTATCGTTGTTCCGGAGGTCCCACGTTTCCAGTTAGGGTAAGTTTGCACTTGACCTAGTGATACAATATAAACAATAATGGAATAGATGAGGAATGATTCCTGGGACTTACTCCTTATGCAATCAGGATATATGCTTTGTGCCCAGTGGCCATACAGGGGCACAGTGGGCAAAGCTATACGGGCTTTACAGACATACGCATAGACTCGTAGAGAGCATGGTTGACAAGCGAGTTACATCACCAAGAATGTGTGCAGCCTATCAACCGAAAATAGCTTCTTGGCCCAGAATGTTGCGGTCTTCCGGTTACGTAGAGCGAAGTCTCGATAGACTAGACAAGAATCGCAGTGTGCGCCCTGCAAGGCCTGACCCGGATGTTGACAGCCAAGGACGACTCTATGACTAAGTCGATCTTCACAGCCTGAGACACAGCCAGCCATGGTGACTTGGCGTGAATGCGGAAGACGTACTTGTATCCCTTGCCGATCTTCGTGTGGTGTGAATCAGCATCCAATGATGCGTACAACATGCATGAATGCCTGATGCAGACAAGTTGAAGAATCTGAATCTTCCAGAAGGTCACCATGAGTGACATCATCGGTCATACGCAGCGGAAGTTGCCCAACAAAGGCTCCATCAGCCCCTTGCAGCCACGGCGTAAGCGTACCTACTACGGGAATACGAGAGTAGTTATCTCCAAGGAGAAGAAAGAAAAAAAGAAAAAGAGTAAAAGAACAACGGAAGAGAAGGGAAGGAAAAAGGGAACATAAGTAGTATTATGGTCGATATTGAATATATTTTCTATTTGATAGTTACTTTGAGTAACGTCCAAAAAGATTGACCGACGCAGGGATCGAACCTGCAATCTCTTGATTCGTAGTCAAGCGCCTTGCCATTGGGCCAGCCGGCCTGGTTGTTGAAAGAATAATCCGATATCTGCCTACATTAGGCAAAACTATACTATTCACACGACACGGAAGCAACGTGCCGAGTGGGGGCAACGCCGACGTCCGCCGGGATTAGCATCCCAGACATATCATTTGCCCACACCCACTTATCATTGATCATATTATTGATGGATATTAGCAAAAATTACTAGTGCCTCTAGTAGTCACTATACAGAATATACCCACAGCGCCAGCGCCATTGACGGCATAGTGGGCTTGGAACGGCGATGGGAAGCGTGGCCGGAGTCACCGCGACCAAGGATTGACGTTGCATACATGAACGAACAATGATCTCGATATGAGTCGCATGCTACGGTAATGATAGATAACAATAAATGTTCATACTACTAAATGTCGGCCGCATGTTACATCCGGGTGACACTCGGCGTCTTCAGAGTCTACGGTTCCCTGGGTTGGCTGCTCGGTGGTGGCACGTCGATCGGTCCGGCTGGGCCGACGGACGTTCTGGAATTCTTCGCTGCAGGACACGACAGCATTGCATTCCTTTGGTCTTATTTTCAATCAACATGGGTGTACCATTTGCCACCCCATGAAGCAGTGGGTGGGCGAACTACCAATACCGCGCGTCAGGGAGGGCAACCAGTTGTCATTCTTGACTGGATTTTATCTTCCCTTTTGATTGGGAGATAAAAGAAGGAGGATCCTTTCGCAACCCATTCGACAGCCAGGAATGCTTGGCCAGCGGCGAACCACCCGAGAGCACGTAACCATGGTAGCATTGGTGGAAAAGGGTAGCAGTACCTTTCCTTGATGCGCCGCACAGGTCGGTACAACCCGATATTTCTTATTTGATTGTTGAACGGGGCGAGAAAAGGGAATCAATCGGCCATGGGGTTGGGAGACATCCGGGGCATCGCGCATCGCTGCACCCTTGCGGCATTTCTTTGACTATGAAAGCCTCGCTGGGCAGGAGAACAGTTGGCCTGGCCGTCGGAGTCATCATATCGATTATTATTGGCCCCCAGGTAAGCCGTCAGGTTTCTCCAAATGGTACACTCTCCAGTGATTCTTAACTTATCGAGGACAAACTCGCATTGGGAATGCGATAGGTAAATTGACTAAACCATTCGGGAAAACCGGATCATGGTCTGGATTTCAATACTGTAATGTGCGCACGCACACACACACAGAGAGAGAGAGAGAGAGAGAGAGAGATCCTAATGAAATCTCCACATTGACTTAACGCCCCTCTTTTTCTGATTGTCTCACCGGATGAAGTGATGGCTTATCGCGGCTTAGAGCGCTGTACTAAACCCAGGTGGGAAGTAGACGATAACCTTAGACCCGGTTAATACGGTACCGACGGTAAAGTCCGGGTATGCCTCGTCGTCTGGTATTCCAGTACCTGGTACGAACGTCCCCGTTCATGCCCGATGAACCAATTACAACCGTCATTTTGCATTTTCCTTCTAATGGAAACTCCCCCCAACCATGAAATCATCGGTATGATCCATGTAACCAAACTGCTGGAGTGGGATTCCGTCGATGTTCCGTAGTTTACCACTTAACCAGTCTGAGCTATATTCCTTCCAAACGCCCCCCCCCCCATCCTCTATCTATTCTATGACTTCCTGTCTCTCTCTCTCCCTCTCTTTTCTACTTCTTCTTCTCCCCATTCCTTGTTCACACCAACCTCCTTCCTTTATACCCGTCTATGCAAACGATGATATCACAGTTTATCCGTAATTACGACTGTCGCTTGTGCTTGCACGCTCTCCCTCGCGTCCATTCCCTTCTCGGGAAAGGTCTGCTGCTGTGAGTTGCTGACTGGATCTGACGCTTGTCCCCATACATCGAACTATACACACCGGTCCAACAAATTTGAATCGTACACGGGTATTAGGAGGATTCTTGGTACTTCTCGCCAACATGAGTCTTCGCGAAAAGGTTCGCAGAGTATTTCGTCGCTCGACTAGCGGTTCGAAATCGAAGGACAACTCCAATTCCATCAAGATCGAGTATTACAAGCGCCATGAGATTCCACCATCCAAGTTCAAGGGCCCTTTTGACCGCGAGCATCAAAAGAGCCTAGCGGCATGGTCCTTTGACGACGCCCAGGCCGAACGACCCCGGTCCCCAGATCTTTCTTTGTCCCCTTGCGCATCTTTGCCCGACTATTTGAGGCCTCGCATCCAGGAGGATAGTGTGGCTCCTGATGAGGTTCCCTCGCTTGCCCCAGAGGATTTGTCTGATGGTACGTAAACCTGCCATTCCGAGTCTCCCCCCCTTGCCGCATTCTTAATTCTTAACTCCCACGTGCTTGACTGTTGTCTAACATGGACTAGCATCCGCCACGATCTCCGATGATGAGCACGCCCAGGAGCGCCAGGAGAACAGTGGTTCCACGTCCTCGACCGCTTATGACCCGGACAGCTATAGCAGCTCCATGATGACTCTCTTCGACGAAGTTATCCGACAGGACTCGATCGCCCAACTCAAGGAGACGATCCGGTACACGTCACCCGTGGTCCGGGCCATCTCCCCACCCCCACTGTCCCCCAAGGGCAGCTACATGCCATTTGCCCCCGAAGATTTGACCCGTGCGTTGAATGCCGTGCAAATCTGTGGTTAAACCGACTTCTGGCCAAGTCCAATTACTTTTCATTTCTTACGTCACGTGAGAATCCGACCACACGGCGCTTACTACTGGGACCCTTTCTCATTTTAATTTCCGACGACCCTGGTGTGCACTTCCCTTCTTCCCGCCCTATTTCACCCGAGTAGTGTGACGGATGGTCATGATTCGAGATGACCCGATTTACGAGGACCACTTTTTATGCGGCTTTGACGCGAGGGGCAAATCTTAAATATACCCCCAAAGCTGGGCCTCCACCGCCTTCACGCATGCAACGAGCGATGTTTTCAAAAGCGAACGGTTTTCCCGTGTATTGTCCTTTGAGCGTATACCCGTTTTGAGGTTTGAAATTTCCCGGGTTCCCGGGGTGAGTTTGTACTGTACGTACATGATTATTAGACGAATAGAATCAGTGTACCAACAAATAAGCCCTTGCTCTTGTTTATGTCCGCGGAGTAAGTCTAGCCAAGAAACGTAACGAACATACGTAAACGAACCGGCTTCTAGACTCTTCCCCTCACCGGAAAAGTCAAGCTTCCAGTAAACCATGGATTGTCAATCATCCCCGCCAAGACAATAGACCAACCCAACGTCGATCCGCGTTACCCGGAATGTCAGTCACGCGATGGTCACTACCAATGAGATGAAGACCGTTATCGCATTATTGGCCTGGCTTTTGGGACGTCTGGCTTGATCGCCGCAGGGGTTGTGGAAATAGTCTCGAACGTCGTTGCAAGGTTAACTTTATGCTTCGCTGCCCTTCGGCTGATATCGGATATCCGACTTGTCATGTTCAATTATGGAGTAGAAACTTTTTGGCTTGTTCGAAGGTTCCCTTTTTATCCTTTCCACATTTGTCATGAAATGACGTACACCTCTTAAGCATATTCTGGCACCAAGATCTATGGACTTGTGTTCTGCAACTTCCACCCGTTGCCGATACATAAATGTCGCCGCTTTTACGATGGCAGCACGTGACCACCCACTTGATCAATATTTGTTCAACAACAGAAATCGAAGCCCTCAGACCTATCCTGTAGTATTTCATAAGAGTATATTATAGACCAAAGGCTGCATGGCATCCTTGCCACCTACTCACTCTATACTACTGACTGGCGCTCAGTACTCACAACTACCACCAAAAGCGATGTCTATCTACAGTTATTTGGTTAATATATATCTCAACTAATGCATACCGTAGTAGATACACAACGCATATCATTACCATAGAGAGTGCCAGCTAAAACAAAGTTTCTAATCAAATAGCTTATAATGGTTGCCCTAAATGAATTATTATAATTTCTTATCGTGTGAATTTATTGTCTAGAGAGTAGAATTGCAGCAAGTTTAATTCTCGTAAGAGATCATGATCCATGTCTCTACCGTTTCTTAATAGCCGTGCTAGCAACAATTGTACAAATCACTCTAGTCTATTCCATATACATAACATGTATATAATTAGGACGTCGAGACGCCCGCCGCGCCATCGCCCAGAGTCCTGGACCGCTTAAGGTACCAGACACGCGCCTCTTCCGTTGGTTGCCAACATTCCTTCTTTTCTCCATGCTTACATAGCTTATAGTATGAAAAATATCCATCCCCCAACCCCCCTAAACTCCCCAAAAGTTTCGATAGATCACAGTCCTACTTCAAGGTTAGATAATTCATAATCAATCCATATGAGGTTGACAGTAGTGGAAGCCGGATATTCAAGAAAATGGCTGTGGTAGACCGGCAAACGCAAGTCGAGAAAGATCCGCGAACTCCCCAGAGATCCAGCAAGGGTCGTCGGTGGCGGTCATATGGGTCTCCAGGCCTTGGAATATGTCCCCCAGCATACACCTCCCACAGTGCAAGCCTTGGTGACAGAGAATTCAGAAATGGAAACAAGTCACGGAAGCTGAAGATGTCATAGACGTTTTCTCGCGATTCACACATTGTTGTCGTATTCCGGACTCGACCACTATTGCGCGACGCTCGCAGTCTATTGATCGCGTTCAATACCACTGTTGACCCGGGAATTCGTGCTTGCACCTGATCCAACGACGACACAAGCATATCCAGCTCTTCCGAACAGTAGCTATCAGATTCCGTCAGTGAGCATTCAGCGGCGTTGTATAGAAGCTGCGGCATTGCAGCGACTATTAGGAACCAGTTCTGTATACCAAGAAGATAATTGAGGTCATCCCGGCAGTCAATCTCGTGGTATAAGCGGGCAATGCATGAAGAGGCGATCAGAGATACAATGTTCGGCACCGATGTAATGTCATGATCGTTGAAGTGGTCACAGTATAATATAATGGTGGCAAGATACACGATATGTAATTCGAAAACATCCCGTCAGTATGTTCGCACACCGTTGCGGCCGAACATGTGAATAGGGGTCGGAAGATTGCGGATCCAATCTTTCAGTGAACGGAGGATATCTGGATGCTGGTCATGGCAGCAAGAGTAAGTATGAAAGTCCGTGTCATATCACATCCGCATGCTAAATGACGCAAGGCACATATACCTGGGCTTGTATATCTTTAGGCGCCGAGCAGTTAATGGGCAGCACGCTCGTCGAGCGCGCCACGATCCGGCAGTGGATTTGCTTTTCCCAAGGTGAAGTCATGGCGAATGTCATCCAGCTGGCATTGTGGCGTCGGGGGGCCAAGCCCTATGACGAGGCGGTTGAGAACAACGCCTTGGAGCGCCTGGAGCGCTCGCTCGTCTTCCTCGACTCCCACCTGAAGGACGGCACCTGGATATGTAGCGATGGCAAGATCAGCATGGCCGATATAACACTCGCCTCGGCGCTGCCTGGGGCTTCTCCATGGCTATCGACGCCGAGATGCGCTCCAGGTGCCCGGTCACCATCGCATTGTACGAGCGTGTTATTGCCGTCGACGGAGTCAAGCAGGCTTTGGCGAGAAGAAGTTCATCGAGAAGCGCCAGGTTCCTCAGAATTAGATAGATTGATAGAGTACAGACCGTGTATGTGAATGACAAAAGAGACGCGGACGCGCTCATAAAAGAATTCGTGCTATTACAAAGACTATAGGTATCATAAACTAAGAGCACCAAATTGGCGTAGTGTAGATGGCAGAGTGAACTCCCGCTTGTGTCACGCCTTAGTATCTAACGGAGCCGACTTGTTATACCTGGCAAAGTCCTAGTCTACATTTACAGTATTATTCCTTAGGGGAAAGGAAAGTTGGCCCCTCTAACGAGACAACGATCTCAATCAGCCGGGCTCCTAAACGACATATCGCTAACAAATTAAGCAAGATGAATATTAATTGATAACAATATCAAATGTCACTGTATTTTATGCATTATGCAACTTGCTATCTGGCTAGATGATTAGATGTGGGGGTCGAAATCTACTCTAGGATTAAAGAACCGACGTGGGTTGGAATAACAGCCGACGACTACCGAGCAGTACCGACCAGCCACCCCAATGCCCCCGGTTTGTAGTGCTATGTATACCATTGATCTAGATCGAATGCGAAACCATTATCTCCCTTTTTACTTGGGTGATACCGAGCTGTTCTGGGGATGTGGAGACTCCATTGGCTGCATATGGAAAGAGCGGCAAGGGAATGAACTGAAGTCATACAACTAAGCGCGCTCGTCTCGGCATCGTATAGCATATCTTCGGCATTGAAGACGAGGATAAATCCATCTACCCGCATGAAAGAGGTCACACAGGCCTGGTACTATGAAGCATGCACCGTGAGTCAATAACCATCACCCTAGCGTTGAGACCGAGGCATATGAGCTCTTTTTAAGAAACGTTGTGCGCCGAATCTGATGTTCAACCATATTTCTTCTCTCCATCCCATCTCAACACGAACAGCCACACACCGGTGCAGCCAGAGTCGCGCTTTGACGTGATTATCGTTGGCACAGGCATCTCCGGTATCAACGCCGCCTACCGCATCCAAGACCAGCTGCCCAACTTCAGCTATGCGATCTTGGAAGCTCGCGAGGACCTGGGTGGTTCCTGGGACCTGTTCTGCTACCCCGGCATTCGCTCAGACTCAGATTTATTTACCTTCGGCTTCGCTTTCAACCCCTAGAACCACAACAACCCCATTGCGGAAGGCTCCGCGATCAAGGAATACATGCACACCACTGCCGAGAAGTATGGTATTGATAAGCATATCCTGTTCCGGCACCATGTGTCATCTGCGGACTGGTGCACAGCTAACAGCACCTGGTCACTGGTCGTTGATGCGGACGGTGTGCCCAAGACCATAACTGCACGCTTTATGATTTTTGGTACCGGCTACTACGACCACAAGCAGCCCCTGCAGGCCAATATCCCCAGTCTAAATAACTTCCAGGGCCAAGTTGCGCACCCGCAATTTTGGCCCGAGGACCTCGATTACAGGAACAAGAAGGTTATAATCATCGGTAGTGGCGCTACCGCGATCACGCTTCTCCCTAAAATGGCAGATGAGGCGGCGCATATCACAATGCTACAGCGTACTCCAACCTATATTTATTCAGTTCCCAACCACACAGCCAACAGCAGACTAGCATACCTCCTACCATCGGGCATATATCACGGACTACAACGAGCTATCTGGACCCTAAGGCAGCGAATGTTCCTCCTCTTCTGTCAACGCTTTCCCTCCTTCGCGACCTGGATCCTCAGGCGCGGCTTGGAAAAGGAACTCCCCGGCCACATCTCCTACGACCCCCATTTCAAGCCTCACTACAAGCCCTGGGACCAGCGAATGTGTGTCTGTCCTAATGGCGACTCCTTTGCCTGCCTGCGCAGTGGAAAGGCAGATGTCCACACCGACACCATTAAGACCGTCACGAAGAAGGGTATCGCGCTCAATGGGGGCATGGCACTTGACGCGGACATCATCGTCACAGCAACCGGGCTTAAGCTGCAGATCGGCGGCGGCATCAGGCTAAGTGTTGACAAGCAGAAGATCGACATCCGTTCCAAGTACCTGTGGAACGGGGTTATGTTGCAGGATCTTCCTAACGCGGCCTTCGTGATCGGATACACCAACGCTTCGTGGACACTGGGTGCCGACGCCATCACGCAGTGCATCACCCGCATTCTCAAGATGCTCGAGTCGCGCAAGCTCGTCGCTGCCGTCCCGCGTGTCAAGGCCCAGGATGCCCAGAATTTCCAAGACCGCCCCCATGACCGGTTTACTGTCCAAAGAGAAACTCGAAATGATAAGTAGAGAAACAAATTTCGATTATCAGGGCCCCAGACCGAAGTATTTCTAAGACATGCCAAAAAAAAATTCGAAAAGAAAAACGAAAAAGAAAATCTTAAAGAAGTCAAAACACTCTAGCTCACTAACTGCCCGTTCCCCCTCCTTTTAGGGTGAGCGTAACCCTCTGAGCCTTTCTCAAGTATGACTGTATGTCACGGCACCGCTATATATAAGGCGTGATTTGGGCCCGGTCATACAGGTCTGATCAGAGTGACTATTCAACCTATGAGCATATGGGTGCGAATGCAGTTGTAGTCTGTCCTATATTGTGCCATGTATGGAAGCGTAGCATGAGCAGCATCTTCCAATATAAATAGTTTCTCCATGGTCCAACGTATAAGTAGAAACCCGCTCAATAAGAGCCATTTAATAACTTTCTTCGATCATGCCCAGGATTTTAGTAAGCCCAATCAGAATAAGCATTGCAAATAGCCAACTGCAGTGAAGACCTACACTGGATCCCACCCCCTGGAATATCGCCCTCATGCCTTGGAGTGCTGCTTCTGCATTTCCACTTCGCGGGCTCCGATACATCAAAATAGGGAAAAACCATGTTTTATACTCTCCCAGAGCCGACTGTGTCCATCATAGCATGCCTAGAGTCTCTCATCCTAGTCCCATATCAGGGCGGTTATGATATACGATGCTAGCGCTCAATTCCACCCTGGTCGTTCCAGAATATGTGACAATTTGGGATCGCTCTTTATCTTATCCATGTTGACTACTGCACAATAGGCAGCGATACCAGACATTCCCAAGGGGATTTCTGTCCTCTCAGCACGATTCTTCGAGCCGTGGGTTTAATATAAGTAGTGGGTGTCGGGAAATCGGCAATTTAAATATTGCTTAGGGCGAGACAAACTCTTATAACCCATACATAATCAATCGTGCGTATATTCCTGACATAATTGGTCTCGGTTAGGCTCTTTCGCGTGTGGAATTTGCCGGACACTCCGAAGCGGGGCCAGCTAAAACTACTAGTATAATCTTGTATACAGACCAGACCAATCGCTCAACTACCCAATTGCACGTGTGGGAAGCTTAGCTGCCTTGTGCCTTGCTTATCAGCAACGCACGAATGCAGCTGTGTAAGCATGCATCTCACTTATAAAAAGCCCAGCCAGCTGGCTGTTTGTGATGGGGGGAGGCACGGCTTCAATTCTTTCTCATAATGAAGGCAACCACTGCTTCCGTCTTGCTGGCCCTGTCGAGCACCGTCAATGGCCGCCCTACAGTCGATAATCGCTTCCCCTACAAGGGTCCCGCGGTTCCTGTAGGTGACTGGGTCGATCCCACAATCAACGGCAATGGCAAAGGTTTCACCCGACTCGTGGAGCCTCCCGCCGTCAAGCCTGCATCGTCGCACCCGACGAACAATGTTAATGTGATCTCGCTGTCGTATATCCCCGATGGTATTCACATTCACTACCAGACACCCTTTGGACTGGGACAATCGCCCGCGGTGAAATGGGGCACTAGCCCACACCACTTGGTCCACGTCGCGCGAGGGTTTTCCCACACGTGAGTAGCTTCTAAGACTTTAATTGAGACAAGGTTGTATACTGATAGATTTTAGCTACGACCGTACTCCCTCCTGCTCGCAGATGAAGGCTGTCACGCAGTGTAGTCAGTTCTTTCACGAGGTTTCTCTACCTCATTTGGAGTCTGGTAAGACCTACTACTACCAGATCCCCGCCGCAAATGGTACAACCGAGTCCGAGGTCTTGAGCTTCACAACCGCCCGGAAGGCCGGTGACCCCACCGAGTTCTCAGTGGCCGTTTTGAACGATATGGGCTACACCAACGCGCAGGGTACCCACAAGTACCTCACCAAGGCTGCCAGCGAGGCCGCCTTTGCCTGGCACGGCGGTGATATCAGTTACGCAGATGACTGGTCTTCTGGTATCATGGCCTGTGAGGATTCCTGGCCTGTCTGCTACAACGGCCCTAACACCTCGCTACCCGGTGGTGTGATCACCTCGGAATACAAGAAGCCTCTTCCTCAGGGAGAAATTCCTAACCAAGGGGGTCCCCAGGGTGGCGACATGAGTGTCATTTACGAGTCCAACTGGGATCTCTGGCAGCAGTGGATGGGCAACATCACGAAGAAGATTCCTTACATGGTTCTTCCCGGTAACCATGAGGCGGCCTGTGCTGAATTTGATGGTCCCCATAACGTCCTCTCGGCCTATCTGGATCACAACGAGCCAAACAGCACCTGGACGAAGAATGACCTCAACTACTATAGCTGCCCTCCTTCCCAGCGGTAAGTTCCTAATCAACCCCACACTAGTCCCCTATCCCAATACTGACCCCGTTGCCCCATAGAAACTTCACGGCTTTCCAGCACCGCTTCCGCATGCCCGGCTCCGAGAGCGGTGGTGTGACCAACTTCTGGTACTCCTTCGACTATGGCCTCGCCCACTTCGTCTCCATGGACGGCGAAACCGACTACGCTAATAGCCCCGAGTGGTCCTTCGCCGAAGATCTCACCGGCGACGAGACCTTCCCCACCGAGTCCGAGACATTCCTCACCGACAGTGGCCCCTTTGGAGCTGTCGACGGCAGCGTCAAGGACACCAAGGCCTATGAGCAGTACAAGTGGTTGAAGAAGGACCTCTCCAGCGTCGACCGCACCAAGACGCCCTGGGTAATTGTCATGAGTCACCGCCCCATGTACAGCTCCGCGTACTCGGCCTATCAGAAGAATATCCGGGAAGCATTTGAAGCGCTTTTCCTCCAGTATGGCGTTGATGCTTACCTCTCCGGTCATATCCACTGGTATGAGCGCTTGTGGCCGCTTGGTGCGAACGGCACGATCGATACCGCTTCAGTGCTGAACAAGAATACTTACCGGGTCAACCCTGGTCAGTCCATGACTCATATTGTTAATGGTATGGCGGGGAACATTGAGAGTCATAGTGAATTTAGTGCTGGTCAGGGCCTCACGAATATCACTGCGGTTCTTAATACCAAGGAGTATGGTTTCAGCAAGCTTACGGTTGCTAATGCTACTGCTCTGAAGTGGGAGTACATTAAGGGCAGTGATGGCTCGGCTGGGGATACACTTTGGTTGGTTAAGCCTGAGGCTGCTGGTTTCCCCGGTCATGGAAAGAGCCCTTTTGCAAAGAAGCCTCGCTACTAGATGGTCTCGGGCTATTCTAATGGCCCTTGTATTTCGATCTTTTATGTACATAACTTGATCTGGGTTCTGTGACGGGGACCTCTACCTGTACAGGGAGAACGTATGTAATATATTGAAATAGAAGTGAAGGATATCTGTTCTACTCAGTGAAAGAGAAAGCCAAGAGCCGTCAAGAGAAATCAGGTACGGTAGGAGTAGTACCTCTAAAAGGGAGTTTGTAGTATTGATTCTGTCGACCTAAATAAGGCTCTTATTCTCTCTGGGTCGTTGTAGACAACAGAAAGACAAACCTAGAGCTGTGTAGGGCTATCGAAAATGGTAGAGAATACCTCGTATATTTTGTATATTGACATCAGACAATATTCTCACTTAACATCGTCAACACATGAGCCACCAGGTATGTACCGACCTAGCTATGTTTATGCAGTGCACGAGCCTTACCCCACGTATCAAAGAACAACTCTAGACCAACAAGTGCCGAATTCAGCTATGATTGAACAAGGCTGAACTTGGCAGATACTACTAATTAACACCTACGTGGGCCACATGGGAGGCCTTAGTGGGGTCCGAACTAAAAAAAAAAAAAAAAATACGAGCTTCTTATCGGCCTGATTTATCCGTACATATTTAGATGTGTGATTTCCGAAAACATCATGCATATATGTAGGCATTTCCTAACGGGGGAAGCTGTTGGACACGCTGCATTATTTCTTATTCTCACCCTAGTCATTATAGCCCTATCTCTCATCTACCTATTTAATTCTTAAATCAAGTGGAACTTCTAGTTTTCTAATCGATCACCCCTACCTTTGGTCAATTTTGGTTATTCCACAGTTTATATCTAAATTACTCCTCTCCCGAATCCATCTCTAAGAAATTTTAGATTTATACCTACAATATCACAACAAAAACCCCCAATCCACCAAAGAACCCAACAACAACAACCATGGCCCTAGACCCCCTCTACCACACTCTCTACAACCTTCCCCCACCATCCCCCAAACGCACTCAACCAATGCAAGTCCTAGCCGTAGGAATCTCCCGCTCCGGGACCGAATCCCTCCGCGAAGCCCTCCACATCCTAGGCATAAAACACACCCACCACGGCTTCGACACCATCCTCCCCCCTTCCTCATTACAAGCCACCTACCGCCTCCTCCAAAAGAAGTACACCGGGTCCCCCGAGCCCCTCACCGCGTCGGACTTCGACACCGTCCTCGGCAACTGCGTCGGCGTAACAGACCTCATCGCCGCGGAATTCGCCCCGGAGCTCATAGCCGCATACCCTGATGCCAAAGTCATCCTCAATGTCCGGCGCGACCTGAACGGCTGGTATAAAAGTATGCAGCTGACTATGGGGTACTTTGATCGGAATCCGGTGGATTGGGATTGGTGTAAGAGTTGGTTTTGTGCGGAACTGTTTTGGATTCGGCAGTGTATGTGTCGGACGATGATGAGGAGGTTTTTTCGGGGAAGCTTCGAGTCGAATGGGAGGTGGGTGTATGAGAGTCATGTTGCGCTGATTCGTGGGTTGGGGTTGGGGGAGGAGAGGCTTTTGGAGTGGAGTGTTGAGGATGGCTGGGAGCCGCTTTGTAGGTTTCTGGGAAAGGAGGTTCCTGAAGGTGTGGAGTTTCCCAGTGGAAATCCGCCGAAGGCTTGGGCGGAGAGGATTGCCAGGACGATGGAGGTGCATCATCGACGGGCGGTTAGGAATATGGTTGTGTTTTTTGCGGTGGTGGGGGTTGTTTTGGGGGTTTGCGGGGCATGGTTGTTTTATTAGTGGGTTTTGTATATCATGGTGTTTTGAGGCTGTTGTGATGTATATATCCTGATTTGGAAGATTTCAGTTGAGACCTAACATGGCTTGTTTCGGTGAGGGTTCATTGGTTCAGTCCTGGGTAGATTTTATCGAAGGTAGTTGTGGTTCTATGTATTCTTGGAAATCGTAAAGATTCCATTGCTCTTCGTAAAAGACGAAATATAGGTAAAAGATCTAGGCCTCTTCGTCATACACCCCAGTCGTAGATTGAAATTAGGTCTGCTAGAAATCAGCTACTCAATTAAAAGAACCACCCACATAAGTACAGGGTCTAGATAACGCAATCATCGCCACCCCACGCCATAATCTATATCCTACCTCATTGTCCTGCTTACTGACACTCGTCGTAAAGATCGTATTTGGTGAAATCAAGGTACAGGTCCCTTCAGCGGCTTCTGACCGTAGACGCTCACCCTATACACAATGTAACGAAGACTGTCAGCTGCCGATCCCATCCGCCAACTTTCCATGTCAAACCAGGGCGTGGACTTACACGTGGAAATAGGCATGGATCTTGGAGTAGTCGCGCAATCCTTTCCTCATCTTGGCCAAGAATACCTGCACTTCCTCGTAGCTCCACTGTTTATGATGTCGTTAGTCTCGTTCGCATAGACCCAACCTGTCCCGTAAACTGAGAAAAGCTAAGAAATAAGGCCTTACCCCCATCACACGGGTGAGCAGTGCCATGGACCATCCTTCGATACCCTGCTCGCAATGCAGCAGATTCCAGCTCCCCAACTGTCGGTAGTGCTCGTCCCTGCTCCAAGGACCAACAGGGAGCTTGAATCGCCGCTCGGTTACATTCTCAAATCCGGCATCGATCATGTGTTGGCGGGCTAAGTCGGCGATGCGAAACGTTTTGCCGAATCTCTCCCCTGCGTCGATGAATAGACGTGACCACTCTGCCAGGACGTGGTCGGGGGTCACGGTGCCGTCATCCGATCTGAACTGGATGGACATCTCGAGTTGGTCGAACCATGCGCCAGGCCGTAGACCGCTGTAGCAATTAGAAATTGTCCATTTGGAATAAAACTAACGAGTATGATGTTTAACAGGAAGCTCTAGTGCAACCTACATCAACATGTTGCGATAGAACGCTGGCCAGTTGGAAATCGCCCCGTAGAGTGCACGCACGTGGATCAGATCGAAATGGTTCTCGGGGTATGCCCATGAATCTTCTGCGTCGTCGATCTCGAATTGCAGGTTTGGCGGGACAAAGCTGGGTTGAGTCGGTGATAGGTCAGTCCCAATGACCTCTGCGGAGGGGTATTCATCCGCAAAGTCACTGGACATACGTTAGCAATCATGCACGGTCAGTCTACATTGGTTTGTACCAACATAGCCCATATCCCCGTTCCAGTACCGACGTCGAGCACTCTCTGTTACATTTCAGTCAACCACTCTCCTAGTCGGTGCAATTAGACCTTACCTGGACATCATCTGAGATAGGGGCAAGACACAGCCTGTTGCCGAGAAGCATTGTGAACATATGATGACTAGAGTTTGAGGTTAGAATATTTGAATGCTTGTTGACCCTGGCCTCGGGTACGTACGCTATGTCGAGTTGTTCGTTCTGGGTCTCATCGTTGGGGCCCCTGATCATCTTAGCCATCCGCATCCTCGGTAGAAAGTCGCGCGCTTATAGTACCAGTAAGCACCGTCCTTGTAAGCATGATATCGTCTCCCATTTTCATAGCGATAAGCGGTGATCGCCGAATTGATCGAGGTGGTGTCACTCGCGCTAAGAAGGTTAATATCGGGGGAGGGCAACATCGATCATGGAGGTCGTAGCTCACAACTCCTCGTAATAATCAGAATAATCTGTGCCATCATCCAGCTCTCCCTGCACTGGTCAGCCCCGCGGTTTCCGAGAAAGATGGAGTGGATACTAGTAGCGAGAAGGGGGAGACCGACCGCCTGGTCGTAATTGTCCTCTGCATTTCCCTCCCTCGGCGAAGATTCCGAGTCCGACCGTGGCGATTTTTGGCGCCTCGCAGCTCCCATGGTGAAATGGTTTGACAGTTACTCCACATCACTGACGAGAACCGGGAATCTTGATTGTTTTCAACTTCCAGCGTAAGCTCCACTCCGAATGAGAATCCTCCCCACTTAAGGTTTAGTCCCAGGCACCGTGCGCCGCCATTGATCGAACCAATGATGCTTCGATACGAAGGCTAATGCTCCACTTCTCCGCCACTATCCAGGTGAAGAGTGGAGTCCTCAGGCATGGAGTATTGGCTGTGCTGCCCTCTTTTGGAGGCGCCGCCGTGCCGGTGCACTTTGGGGACTGCCCAAACGAGCAAGGATGTCTTTCTGAAGAGTCTGCACCGTACTCCGTAGCCTGATACAGTTTCGAGTACCCACAGCCATGCACGCGATCCAGCAATAGGATTGTCGCACCCGAAGGTCAGAAGCACCTTGCAGCACTAGTCCATGTTAATTGCGTCGTGGTGAGTAATGAATGCGACATTGTTAGTAGTATTTTGCCAGTGAACGCATCCAAGGCAAAGGTAAACCTTATGCAGCCGATCGTTGGTCATTGTCACCCCATTGTTCCTCGTCGACATTGCAGAAACGGTGTGGAGGCCTTGTGGAATGGGACCCCGTACAACGCAAGGGCAGAACATTCAACGAACAAGATAACCCATCCAGTCAATCCGGCAATGGTCTGATATCCATAACCCCCCACCTCGGCAAAATCAACGACCCATTCGACTAACTGAACTCGGTGTTGTCAGAAAGACATGATTGCAGATTTTGGAGACCGTTTCCAGCTGTGGGGGGCGCTAGCTTGGGGAGTTATCGAATCGCAAAGTTGCAACGGGACCTGAGGGATTTACTGAATTGCCGTGGCCCTCCCTCGTCCAGATTGCGGACAACATGTGGAGGTAGTAGGAGGAGTATGCGAGAGGAGTAAGTTGGACTACTAGTCGTAACTAGGTCACGTTACGCCATACATGCCATGGGTAATACGTGTCAAGTGTAGATATATCTTTACGTCTATCCTTATCAATATGAGAAACAACCGAAAAATCGTCATACAAAAATAATCATTTCGTTAGCATTGGTATCCGACATCTATCCGAATAATCATCATCAATCATAGCACACGTCTGAGTGGGTCTCAAGGATCTATACATGGATCGATCTATGTCCGAGGCCTGCAAGTTGCTGGAATCAATCACCCTCTGGGCAGCTTAGTCTTCATGCGTGACGGCCATATCTAACACTTCGACTCGTCCTCTGCCCCGAGTGTCGTTGCCCACAAATTCATTTAGTCCTTTGAACGCGCCCGGTTCGGCAAAACCAACAGCCTCCCACTCGTCGCCTGCAATTTCTTGCGACTCGACTGACTCGATGAAGCTCAAAATCTTGTCCTTGACATTAGTCGGTACCTTTGGCTGCGACGGTTCGGTGTCAGAGCTACCCTCTGCATCGGAATCTTGTTGACGTGCAGACTTCTTCGATCCTTTGCCGCCTTTCTTGTTGGATTTGGAGTTACCACCCGACGAAGCTTCCTTCTCTTTGTTCGAGCCCGCTGGTGCTGCAGACTTGACGCTTTGCTTCAAGAGCGGCACGGGACAGGTCACGCGGAGGCGCATCCGTGCTCGCATCACTGGAATGGGTTGCCATGCAATGAGTGCCTTCATGGCTTCGAGGGCTTGTATTTTCGCTGACTTGTTGGGCGTGACACCAGTCCAGAGTGGCTTCCGAGGTTGCGCCGGGCGAGACTCATCGCCAGCACCACCTGCTTCCCCATTATTATTCTGACTCTGCGCTTGTTGCATCTGTCCACTCGCTGAACTGAGTTGATCCAACGCCTTAGAGATCATTCCCGGTGTGTAGACTCGCTTAGTGGTTGGGTCAACAAGCCTGCCCGATACAATATCCAACACCTCCTTCTCAACTCGCTCGATGATCTCCTTCCGCTCGCGCTCACCAACTTGCACTTCACCTTTCCGTAGGATCTCCTGTCGAATCTCGTCTGCGGGAGTGTTGGCACCGAACGCTTTGGCTATCTCCGCAGATGGAGCGGTTTGTGCTTTCGAAACGGAAAGGAAAATGGTAGGCACTTGTAGGACATTATCAAGATCTTTCTCGGCGCCGGAGCGGTATTCTAAAAGTTTGTTCTTGTAGCAGGCGAGTTCGAAGCGCTTTTTGCCTGATGAAAAAATTATGTTAGCGGGGTTGCGGGGTTGACCTTGTGAGTTCTAATTTTCTTTGGTTTTCCCTTTGTTTTACTCCTTCATTCTCTTTTCAACAATAGTCTTCACAAAAACTTGTATTTATGAAATCAAATGCCGGAACGGAGAGAGTATTTACGGACCTTTTTTCAACCTCACCACTGATACATTGGTGAATTTAATCTGATTACTGGGTTGCATAATCGGCATCTTGGCGGATGTGTCTTCCCAGAAGACGTAGAATGCGTATATTGATAAAAAAACAAGAAGAATAAAACAAGAAGATAGATTAACAAGGCGTATGGGGTATCTTTCAAGCTGTTGATGCAGTGAAGAAAGTATGTCAACTTTTTTTCCAGAAGCCAAAACTGGGTCTTTTCCGATAGTCTTGTGATTGGCGGAGAGGGCAATGACGCGAGTCCCGTGATTACATGAGTCAGCGACCTCTAGATACGGCTGACTCAACGCGTGCCTGCTGTTTCCCCGGAGGTCCTCTCTCGCGTGATTGGCTGCCCTGGGGACTCCTATCGGCGTCATCGGCGCTTGCCATCGTTCCCCAACCAACCTAGGTTCACCTCCTCTTTCTCCCCATCTCCTTCTTCTCTGACCTCTTATCACCCGTGGCTGGTTCTTCATCAGCTACTTTAGTTATTCTGTTAGATCTGTTTCTCCAGTATGTTCCAATCCCTACCATATCTCCTAGCTACCCCCCAATAACAGCGTGATACTGATAAGCTACTTCCCTAGACCGCAAGGTACCCTCTTATCGCCATCTCGCCCTTCCATCAGAAACGCCCCCTTGTTACATCTCATTTGGAGTCCAAGTGATTCAAAATGAGAGTACTACCGGCTACTTTGCTGGTGGGAGCTGCCTCCGCGGCCGTTCCGCCTCTCCAGCAGGTGCTGGGTCGGCCTGATGAGGGCATGAGCTTCTCCAAGCCACTCCATGCCTTCCAAGAGCAGCTGAAGACCCTCTCAGAGGACGCTCGTAAGCTCTGGGATGAAGTTGCCAACTACTTCCCGGACAGCATGGACCACAGCCCGGTCTTCTCTCTTCCCAAGAAGCACACCCGTCGTCCGGACTCTCATTGGGACCACATTGTCCGTGGTTCTGATGTCCAGAAGATCTGGGTGAATAATGCCGACGGAGAGAAGGAGAGAGAGATCGACGGAAAGCTCGAGGCTTACGATCTCAGAGTCAAGAAGGCTGATCCGAGCGCTCTCGGTATTGACCCGAATGTAAAGCAGTACACTGGTTATCTAGACGATAATGAGAATGACAAGCATCTGTTCTACTGTGAGTTCCCTTGACCGCTATTTGGTTATTTGTTTGATACTAATCTGCAAAGGGTTCTTTGAATCTCGCAATGATCCTAAGAACGACCCTGTCGTGCTCTGGCTGAATGGTGGCCCCGGCTGCTCTTCCCTCACTGGTCTATTCATGGAGCTGGGACCTAGCAGCATTGATGAGAACATCAAGCCCGTCTACAATGACTTCTCGTGGAACTCTAACGCCTCCGTCATTTTCCTTGATCAGCCCGTTAACGTCGGCTACTCCTACAGTGGCTCCGCTGTCAGTGACACTGTTGCTGCTGGCAAGGATGTCTACGCTCTGCTCTCTCTTTTCTTCAAACAATTCCCCGAATACGCGAAGCAGGACTTCCACATTGCCGGCGAGTCCTATGCTGGACATTATATCCCGGTGTTTGCATCCGAGATCTTGGCTCACAAGAACCGTAACATCAATCTCAGGTCCGTCCTCATTGGCAACGGTCTCACGGATGGCCTCACTCAGTACGAGTACTACCGCCCTATGGGATGTGGTGAAGGTGGCTACAAGGCCGTCCTTGATGAGAGCACCTGCCAATCTATGGACAATGCCCTGCCCCGTTGCCAGTCCATGATCGAGTCTTGCTATAACTCTGAGAGCGCCTGGGTCTGTGTCCCCGCCTCGATTTACTGCAACAATGCTCTGATCGGGCCTTACCAGCGCACTGGACAGAACGTCTATGATGTTCGCAGCAAGTGTGAGGACGAGAGCAACCTGTGCTACAAGGGCATGGGCTACGTGAGTGAATATCTCAACAAGGCTGAGGTTCGCGAGGCCGTCGGAGCCGAAGTTGGCGGTTATGACTCGTGCAACTTCGACATCAACCGCAACTTCCTCTTCCACGGTGATTGGATGAAGCCATACCACCGTCTCGTTCCCGGCCTTCTCGAGCAGATTCCTGTCCTCATCTACGCTGGTGATGCCGACTACATCTGCAACTGGCTCGGCAACAAGGCCTGGACCGAGGCTCTCAAATGGCCTGGCCAGAAGGAGTACGCCTCGGCCGAGTTGGAGGACCTGAAGATTGAACAGAACGAACACACCGGCAAGAAGATCGGTCAGGTTAAGTCCCATGGAAACTTCACCTTCATGCGTCTCTACGGTGGAGGCCACATGGTTCCCATGGACCAGCCCGAGGCTAGCCTCGAATTCTTCAACCGCTGGTTGGGTGGTGAATGGTTCTAGACTAGCCAGTCCAGACTGGAACAAGACACGTCTGGATGCGTCTTGGTGATATAATACTGGCCCAAGAACTGTCTCAGAGAATATGTTTCGATGCGTAATGTGCTTCAATCTCTTATGTACTGTGATGTTTGTACATCAATATTGATGGTCGTGTTGTGCTATGCATACCTAGATATATATAGGGCAAGGACTCGACAACTAGAATACAGACCCTTTCCATAGAATAATCGCACGTCTGTTTGATTTAGTAGATGGTAAATAAACCGTAGTTGACGATACATTTAATGGAAATAAAGAAAAAGGAAAAGCGGCAGATCGTACGGCGGTTTGGTATTCGTACATCCTTCCTCAAGGGTACCTACTAAGTAGTTGCATACTCCGTATAGAAAAGATAAGAGCAGCGATGTCCTTATCACAAGAGGAACAATTCGACTGATAAGTACTCTCCGCAGATCCTCCAATATTACATACTCCTCTGGAAATTGTATATTCAAAGCATACGACAGGCCATCGACA